ATATAAAAAAAAGCTACTGTACTTTGTACTTGCTTATATTAAATAATTATTCTTCTTATATCAATTAAAAAATTTATAAACTATATAGATAAGAATTAAATAGTATTTGTAGTACTTTTATTGTATTTAATTTATTATTTATAATTATTATTTATCAGAGTATTTGTATTACTTATAAAAATCTATATAAGGAAATTAAATTCACTATTAGATTAAAAATTTAATTATTTATATATCATTAAATATAATTTTTAGAGATCTTTTTATATAATTTGAATTATAATACTTATATCTCTGAATATATAAATAAAACTTAAAGCTATAAAAGTTCATTCACTTTAAGTAAATACTGTCATAGCTCAGTTTAGAGGCATGATGATAATAAAACAAAAGCTCAATTCATCTATCTAACTAGGTAACTGCGATGAAAATACTAAACTGAGGATTAGAATATAAGAATAAACGAGCAGTCTGATATATATAGATGGTTGGGGATCGAAGTGAATCAATCTTATCTCATATTACTAACGATAGCGCTATAATAAATTCTTATGATATTTATTAAACAGTTAATTATCTTTTCTGATATTATTTTATCTACTTTATCTACTATTATATATAAATTCTACAGAATTTATTAAATAAATTCACATACAGTAATCATTATTAAATGCTGAAATTGAATAAATTATTCATACTGATAAAAAATTATTTTTGAAAATAAGTTCTTAAGAATAAGCTTTTATAAATCAAACTTAGTAGTAAAACTTAATTATTTTATATGAAACTATAACAATAGAAATGAGATAAGTCCTCTTAGACTATTTAATAAAGATATATTTAAACAGATTTTATTCTTTTTATCTAGTAAGATTGCAGTAGCTCAGAAGTATATAACTTAGTTAAAGAGTAAAAATCTATAAAAATTATATAAAAGAAAGAACTTTAATTATAATGAACTATTCAATAAAATAAAAAAAACTATTAAAAATATTAAATATAAAATAGTTTGTAAAACAGTCTGAAAAAACTACTCAGAAGACTATAGATATTGAAAAATATAAAGTAACTAAATTTTAAAAATAAAAAACTATAAAAAAATACTGAAGTAGTTTCTCAAATATTAATATAAAGTAAATATAATTAAATTTAAACATATAAAATCTATATAGACTATTTTATTAAAAATTTAGTTACTTTAATATTAGAATTATTATTTAATACTTTTTTATCTTGTTTTCTTTTACAAAAAATAAAATTAGCTATTTTAACTATATTATTAAATTAAATACTTATTTATTTTTTTAAATATAATAATTTATATATAATTTATAATATATTTATTTAATATTTAATAATTAATAATAATTTAATTTATAATTATTTTAAAATTTGCAATTTAATAGAACTATAGAATAATAGATAGTGAAGTCATTGAGTAATAAAAATTATTAAATGATTAGTTATATTACTTATCTCTAACATAATTAACTAATTCATAAATAAGCTAAACATATAAATAAGTCATATATAGAAGTAAGTTATATACTATATTATATTATTAATTTACTCATAATTCTTTTAAGATTAATAGAATAAAAAGAAAAGATAATATAGTTGTCTAGAGTTTTTAAAATAGTAAATTAAATCAATTTGCATAGCTATAAAGTTATATAATATATTTTATTTAATACTAATTAATATTATAAAAAATATAATCTTATATATGATAAATACTTAAATAATTATAAATTAATTTAGTTAAAAAAGATTTATTTATTAAATAAATTATCTTTATAAATTTATATAGAGTATTACTCTGATCATTTATTATAAAAATAATAAATAATATAAAATATATTATTAATAAAAATAATATATAATATACTTCATTATCAAATAGTAGATATTATTAAGTAATAAATTCTATACAAAAGTCATTAAATATTCAATATATTTAACAATTGATATATTTAATACTTAAAATATTATTAAATTAAAACTATTTAATAGTTGAATATATAGTTATTTATTAAAATAACTATATATATTATATTCAATAGTCTTATAATTATTACAATATAATAAATTTTATAATTTAATATTTTTTATATATATTTTTAAGTATAATTTCATATTAATAAATTATTTATATAAAGTAATTTTAAAAAATCTTATATATTTTTAATATTTTTATCTTCAATATTTTTTAAAATTAATATAAAACAATAACTAATTAACTAGATATAAAATTTTTAAGATAAAAATATTTTGAAAAAAAAGTTTAAAAAAAGTTTAAAATAGTTAAATTGAATATTTAATAATTTTTTTTAAAAAAATCCACTACTTAGTAATATTTATTACTTAATAATAAAATATAATAATATAAATATATTTATAATTTTAGTAAAATTAAATTTATATTAAATTTTAATCAATATAAAAAATTATAAATAAATTATTTAATTAAACTAATTTATATTATTTATTATATATTATTTTTATTTATAATTTTTTAAAATATAATTTATATAAAAATTTAATTTAATAATATATTAAAAAATTGATATTTTAATTTAATTAAATTTATATAAACAATATAATTATATTAGTTTATACAATTATATTTTTTTTATATACTATAATTATTTAATATTAAATATTTTATTATATTTAAATACATATATAATTATTTTAATAGTTATTTAATTTATATTAAATAAAATTATATTAAAAACTTAATATTTTATTTACTATTTTTTGATGTATGTATAATCTCTATTTCTTCAGTTGTATGAAATCTGTATACATCTCAGTCCTGCATCTCTAAATGAAGCTTGAAACTCGATGTCAAATAGATCAATAGAGTTTTATATCACGTGATAATTACATGATTTGATGATCAAAGTTCATGAGAAATAGTTACATTAACTAACTAGTTAACTAACTACTTACTAACTAATGTAACTGTTACGGCGCAGTCCCAGGTAATATGGATTAAGATTGATCCGTTCCTACCTCAACCATATTTGGTTGCTTAGGTTGATCCGCTCCGATCCTCCACTGCCTATATATATTTGGCTGCTCGTCTCATTCCCACATTCTAATCCTCAGTTTAGTATTCTCATCGTAGCTGCCTAGATAGATAGATGAATTGAGCTTTTGTCTTGCTCTCATCATGCCTCTAGTTGAGCCATGACAGTAACTGGTTAACTAACTAGTTATTGAGAAATTTTCTAAGTTTAAATAGAAAAAAGTAGAGATCGTTAGGCTTAGCGCCGGATTAAACTCGGCGCCGGATTAGGCCTAACCCTCATCATGTGACCACGTGGGTTGTTATAATTCCGGGCAGACCCTTTCATCAAGCTTAGTATTTCGTTATATAGCAGTTAGCAACGTAGAGAATCCTATCTTATGCAGCTCACATCCGCTCCTAACAGAGATCAAAAAACTTAAAATAACTATTAAATAAAGATATTAAGTATACTAAGATTAAAATTATAATTATTTTTAATTTTCAAAAAATATTATAAGTTTTATGTCATAATATATTAATAAAATCAACTTTTAAAGAATAAAAAATAAAAAATAAAAAAATAATTAATATTAATATTTTTATTATAGTTAATTCTATATTTATAAAATCTACTTTAAAAAACATATCTAAAAAATGTATATATATATATATATATATATAGAAATTTATCTATTTATTGTCAAATTACTATATTAAATACTAACTTTATAAGTAATAAACTGGATCTAAAATAAAATAAATATTTATAATACTATTAATAAAAAAAGTAAGAAGAAAAGTTAGTAATTACTTTTAATAACTAGTTAAATAATTATAATTATAAATTTTACTTAATAAAGAAGTTTTTATAATACTATTATATTTATTATTAGTATATAATTTTTATATATTATAATTTTTGAATAATTATGTTTTTATAGTAATCTTAAATACTATTATTCAAAAGTAATTAACTATGTATTATAACTTTAAAAAAAATAAAAATAGTAATTTTTATAAAGTTTATCAGAAATATATAAATAGATATTTAAATACTTTATAATAACTGTAAAATGATTCAATTAAAAAATATATAAAAAAATTTTTAATTATGTTTTTAATATTTTTAAAAAATAAAAATTTATTGTTATTTTTACTTAAAATATATAATAAAAATTAAAATAATAAAAATTTATTAATCATCATTATATTTTTTCCACAATTATTTTGATTTAATATTATTTAAAAGTTGTTTAAGTAGATTAATATAGTTAAAAAAATTACATTAAATATTCAAAAACTTTGAATTCAAAATAACTCTATCTTTATAATTAATTGAATAAAGTAGTTTAATTGTAAGTAGATGTCATAGAGTCAAAACCATCACTGTCAAAGATGCAAATAAAAGAAATCACTTGGTTTAGAAAGTAAAAAGTGGTGAAAAAAGCAGAATTAAGACAAAATAAATAAAAATTAAATAAAAATTGATAAAAATGTACTCTATCCTTTTTCTAAAGTTATAAGTAAATAAAAGATAGCACACATACACAGATAATATAGATCTATTTACTATAGATTAAACTACTAATTGATGATGGATGAAGCTATTTAATTAATATGATTTTGATTTTTATCATTCCGCTGTTTTTATTATTCTAGAGTGGCACATTAACTAGAGGTAAGTGAGTAGGCAGAGGCACGAGTTCTGTTTATCTGCTAGCAATAAGGGCAACATACTCAGGCGAGGAACAAGAAGGGAGAAACTATTGAGGAATTGATTCGCCACGAAACGACTCTGAAAAATGCTCAAAACCTCTACCTCTACTACTATTACTGTACAAGAAGGCCAAGAGGAGGTAGAATGGCTGTTGAATAGAAATGTACATTCATTAGCCCGATATTCATAGTGTGTATATAAACGTAAAGAAAATAAAGAGCCCGGAAATGAAGACTGAAACTTTTTTTTCTTCATAACTAATCATTCTCACCACTCCAGTGGCTCCCCTTTAACTTCGCCCCTGTTAGTCTTAGGCACAGGTGCAGCTGGCACCATCACAGGGCCTTTCTTCGCATTACCCCGCCTCAGATATCCCGTGCCATCCAGCCATGGTGTCTCCAGCGAGCGGTGGGTCTCAAACTTCTTAATTTTATCCTCCATTTGCATAGTAAGCCCAATATCGTCCAGCCCGTTGACAAGACAATGTTTCCTGAACTCCTCCACATCAAAATCCGCCAATTTGTTTCCTGCGGCGTCACTAATTCTCTGGTTAGGAAGGTCAACCTCCAGCTCGTGACCAGCTCGGGCTTCGCCCAAAATCCTTTGGTAAGCAGCGTCATTCGTAATGATGATGGGTAACATGCCATTTTTGAACGTGTTGTTAAAGAAGATGTCAGCATATGACGGGGCAATTATGCATTTTATGCCGAAATCGAGGAGGGCCCATGGGGCGTGCTCTCGGGAACTACCACAGCCAAAATTATTTCCCACAACCAGGATCTTGGCGTTGCGATATGGTTCTTTGTTAAGGATGAAGTCAGAGATCTCAGAACCGTCCTCGTTGAATCGCAGGTGATAAAACAGAGCGCTTCCAAGACCGGTACGCTTGATGGTTTTTAGGAACTGTTTGGGGATTATGGCGTCTGTGTCTATGTTCGCACGGTCCAGAGGCGCCGCCACACCATTAAGCGTTGTAAATTTTGGAAGGCCAGTTGTTGTATGAGGGGAGGAGGTGTTGGTGTGCGGTTCATTGTCTTCAGGAAAGTCAAGGATGCGATCAAGGTCCGATTCGCTGTCAATCTCGTCGACGTAAGCGTGGACATCAAGCTTGGCCGAAGTCACACTGTGAGTCAATGGGCGGAGGGTTTCGATTTTACGGATATCAGCAAGCTTGCCAACAACTGCGGCTGCGGCTGCCATCACCGGGGACATAAGATGTGTCCTGCCGCCAGCTCCCTGACGCCCCTCGAAATTTCGGTTAGATGTGCTTGCACATCGCTCACGGGGGGAGAGAATATCCGGGTTCATGCCGAGACACATCGAACATCCCGCTTCTCTCCATTCGAAGCCAGCATCAGTAAAAATCTTATCAAGCCCCTCAGATTCAGCTTGTTGCTTGACCAGACCGGATCCGGGAACAATCATCGCCCGCTTGATGTTGGGTGCGATTTTCTTCCCCTCAACGACATGAGCAGCTGCACGCAAATCCTCGATACGGGAGTTGGTGCAAGATCCGATGAAGACCTTGTCAATGATAATATCCTGCATGGGTGTTCCAGCAGTGAGGCCCATGTACTCCAGAGCGCGCTTTGCGCTCGCCTTCTGATTCTCATCGGTAAAGTCATCCGGTCCAGGAACAACCCCGGTAATCGGTACGACATCCTGGGGAGAAGTTCCCCAAGAAACCGTGGGGACGATATCCTTCGTGTCTATAAAAACATCTTTGTCGTATATAGCACCTTCATCCGATTTCAGGCTTGACCAGTGCTTGACAGCCTTTTTCCACTCAGGACTATCGTATTTTGGTGCCAGGGGCTTTCCCTTCAAATATTCAAAAGTTATTTCGTCTGGCGCGACCATTCCAGCTCTAGCACCAGCTTCTATACTCATGTTACAAATGGACATGCGCGCCTCCATACTCAAACCTCTAATTGCAGAACCGCAAAATTCCACGACAGCTCCAGTGCCGCCTGCAGTTCCAATCACACCAATCACGTGGAGAACAATATCCTTGCTGGTTACACCAGGTGGGAGCTCACCATCGACCTGGACCCGCATGTTTTTGCTGCGCTTTGTGAGGAGTGTCTGTGTAGCCAAAACATGCTCAACTTCGCTCGTACCGATACCAAATGCCAAGGCGCCAAAAGCACCGTGCGTTGATGTGTGGGAGTCGCCGCAAACTACGGTTGTGCCAGGGAGAGTAAACCCTTGTTCCGGGCCGATAACGTGCACGATCCCCTGTCTCTTGTCCCCTAAGCCAAAGTATGTGAGGCCAAACTCCTTCACGTTCTCCTCTAGAGTCATACATTGTAGACGGGAGTCCGCCTCATGGACAAAATTCTCAACATCTTTAAATGTTTTGCGAGATGTGGTGGGGACATTCTATAGTTAAGTCATCAGTTTGGGTCAAATCTTGATATGAAAATCCGGGGTATAGTAAGTAACATACGTGATCTACCGTGGCTAAAGTACAGTCTGGTCTCCGCACTTTCCGCCCTGCATTCTTAAGACCCTCAAACGCTTGCTGTCCAGTATCAGTTAGAAAGTCTTCTCTAACAAAGTGGTTTAATATCTGGAAGGGGTAGCCAACATACAGGTGAAGTGACTTCGTGAACAAGATGTCTATCTGTAGAACTAATCAGAACAAGGGTTTCCCAGGCAAAACGCCTCATGCGACAGGCAACCAGGACATACCAATATAAAGCAAGATAGTTCCATCTTCCTGCTCGTTCACAACATGGTCCCGAAAGACCTTGTCGTAAAGAGTCCTTGGTTTCTTTTCTGCACCAGGCATTGTGATTTCCTAGCTATGAAAAGTGGCTCTAACGAAAGGACTATTGTACGTTGCTTTTTACATAAAACAATGAGAAGGTGGTTAAACAGTAATTGGGTTGAAGGCAGGGGAAAGAGGACAGGAAAGAGAACAAGATGGGGGAAAAAAATAAATAACGAGGGTATCAAAACAGAACAGCTGTCCGAGCTGTATATAAGAAACGGCGGCGATATTCACGAAGCTGCAACTTGAGCTTTGTGGCAGGGAACGGCGCCGATGTCGGCAGTCAGCGAAAATGGTTGGCCGGCTCATGTGACTCAGCTTGTGGTCGTCGGCCCGAAGAAGAAGCATTGCCAAGACCGACCGGCCGTTTATCGGAGCCAGCAATTTCAGTCAACAATGAGGGGTAAAGAATAATATATTTGTAGTTCCTTCTATTCGACTATTTACAACTGCTAGCAAGGTATATTTATCTATTTGAGACTTCGCCAGTGATCCAAGTTAACGGTTGTCTTCAGAAAATACCCATAAAGCAAGCTTATGCCTGACCAGCAAGCCCACAATTCCACAGAACACCTGGAGCATCACAATCTGTGTAGCAAGCCTGTCTTCCCTCATTGGACCAAACCATGCCAACCACAGGTTCAGAATCGTCAGGTTGGTAGATTCCACAATCTCTCCAGCTTCGTTCTTCCGTATTCGCACAAGTCGCAGCTGGTGGAGGAGCTCGAGAGCCGTCGAAATAATAAATGGGGGCGGACGCCCCCATTCCGTTACCGAAGGATCAAGCAGCCCCGTGCGGGAATTGAAATGTGGTAGACGGTGTCGCGGACAAGGGACAAGATGGAAAAGCTGAGGGGTAGAGTAGACAAAATTGAAGATTTGTGGGATGAACATGAGAAGAAGAGTCTTGCTGAAATGACCAAGAATGCCCACAACCGCAAAAACCATTCCTGCAAAGTAACAGTAGGTATCCCCTACAAAAACTTTTGCAGGATACCAATTATGCCACCAAAGTGCAAGTGACACGGCAATGAATGGGAGTAAAAGATATATCGAAAAAAGATGGGAGTCCATGGCTGGATGGGGGTAAGGAGTGAAAGGGGAGAGATATAGGGCGTCATTTATCAACAGTAATATCGCAATTACTAATGACTGAGATACCTCAATCCCATTAATCCCGGCAAGCATGTTAATGCTGTTGGGACAGAATATCGCAACAGCGGCCATGTACACGTAATACAGCCAGCCCAGATCTATGAAAGGCCCTAGATATCGCTGCAACGGGACTGGGACAACCACATGGGTAACGCCAAAATCCACAAAATACACGATAAGCATTGGTATTGATGCAAACGCGGGGATGAGCACTTTGTGCCGCCACCGTATATCGAGCATGTCGTCACCGATACCGAGGATCACAATAGCCTGCAGCGACAAAAGGCCAGAGAGGTATAAGGCAAGCTAATGATTAACATAAAATGTCAATAAAACGGCACTAGACGGAGGGAAAAGTCCAGAATCACGTTGTACCTTATTATGAGGAAAACGATGGAGAAACCGTCCTGTTTCAACATGGACCACTGGTAACACCACATCTCGATTTCCACCTCCTGATGTCGCAGCCACAATATCTTTGTAAAACGGGAATGGAATAAAAACCATCAACAATAGTATATAAACAATGGCGCAAACGGCGCCCATTGTTTCCGGACTATGAGCGGTTGTCAGCAACATTTTCTTAAAGGATAGAAGTCCGTCGTTATTTCTGCACCATACATCTCAACTTGTCGCAACTTTGACATGTCCTTCCCTTTTAATCCAGCCTTAATAAACACCCCTCCTAGCCATCGTATTAGACTATAAGTGGCTGCAAAAGCAATACCGCTCAAAGCAAGAGACGCGACCAAAGGTTCGCCGTCGCCTTGAAAAGTGTTGGCGAGAACTCCGAGACATGCGACTACCAGCGCCAGCAAGCTCCAGGTCTCATTGCGAGTCAGGGCATCCTTCATGTTAAATAATAAAATGACCATGTGTCCCACATAGTCATGCAGAAATCCAAACACTGCGAATTGCAGAAACTTTCAAAGTCATGTCGAGATATCAAAGACCAATACTTCTGCCAGCTGTCAGTGGTTGTTTTAACGCTCAATGCCGGAGCTTGCATTATTCTGCAGCGCCTTACCGTCTTGATAATGGAAAAAAATAATTCCGAAGTGCTGAACATATATTCACGTGATATGAAACGTCATTCCCGAAAGCAGCAATTGAAGAGCGTAGAGAGCAACGAGTTCAAATGTCGTAGAGAATAGAGGGATAAAAAGGAAGACCTGCAGTGGCTGCAAATCCTCGATATGGCTACTTTTGCTGACTTTGATGCCGACCACCATGACCTGGTGACAGTCACAAAATTCAACTTCTACGGGAACCGTATTCTAACCGCGTCTTCCGATCATCGCATCAAGGTCTGGGATCAAAAGGATGCGGGCTGGCAGCTTATAGATACATGGCGGGCCCATGATGCTGAGATTCGCGACGTAAGTTCTTTGTCTATGAAAGAAGTGAAATAATAAGAAATTTACATTCCTACCTCCGTTTTGGGTTCAGTACATCTTGATCGTGCTATCGATTTATATTTGCGCGCAAACAATTTCTTTGACTGATTCTTTTCATGCATGCGTCCCTTATCTTCCGGGTAAAAGGCAGGATGGAACGGACCTTTTACAGGTCAACATATTGGAAGTGTAGGCGAGGATATGAAGTTCAAGATATGGCAGGAAGACGTTACTCAGCCTCCCAATTCCGGACGCCGGTTTCGAAATATCTTCTGCCTTACATCCCCCGTTCGCACTCCCTATGTCTCACTGGACTTTCGGAACATTGATCTCGAATCATACCTCGCGCTGATTACGCGCGATGGACTTCTCACGGTCCTTGAGCCCGTCAACCCGGATAATCTCGCGGAATGGCAGCAAGTTGATCAGTTTAGAGTCTGTGCTGAACCATCACGTGGTGAAGAAACCAGCTTCAAGGTGCAATTCTTTCATGATCCGATGGATATCACGCAAATAATTTTACCGGGCTGGGATAGCAAGTGCCTGTCACTTGTTGTCGCGGCTATGGACACTGTGAAAATCTATCGCACGGATGCTAACAGACGATTTTATCATGCCATTGAGCTTGGAGGACATGCCAGTCTGGTACGCGATATATCGTGGGCCAACGGGTCTGTACGCGGCTTTGATTTGATTGCTAGCGGGTCGAAGGACGGGACAGTCAAGATATTTGAAGTTTATACAACTTTGGCCAATGCAGCAGGTAGCTCAGCGAATGGTGCTACCAATTGGCCCCCCTCGACTTCCTCTCATTCATCTACTGGTCGCACATCTATACAGTCCGGTATTGGCACAGCTCTTGCCAACCGTTCACCTGTCACTCTGATGAATCTCCAAGAGGGCGGAGATACCCATTTCAAGCATACATACAAAGAAGTTGCGTCAATTGACAGCAGACACCTGGATGTTTGGCAGGTGGGGTTCTCTCAAGCTGGTAAGCAGTATCCCTTGCCCTGTATTTTTAGAAACCCTGGTGTCGTATTCTTGTGGTCATGCGAGTGTAGCTTATTTTCTAACGAACCTTATACCTCCTGCAATAGGCGACTGCCTTCTCTCTTCTGGTGATGATGGCATAGTTAGATTCTGGAAACGGTCTATATCAGGGAAGTGGCTAGAGTTTGCAGAAACCGATATGGGTGATGAGTACGCCTCCAATATGCGATAACTTTCCTATGGCAAAACAGTCTAATTGCTGATCTATTACCCACGTAGATGAGTTTTGTTTAGACATGTCCGTCATGTTTCGGAAGTATGAGGAATATGCAAGTCCAACGTCCTGGTGTTGTCCTTATTTAACTTGGTTATTGCTCTTTGGATGCGGTTTGATGTTTATCCTTCGTCTTCCATTTCCTTCCCATTGTTTCTTTTTGCAGATTGAAACACCCAGGGAAGGTAATTCTTTTACAGTTTCTTATTTCATATGTTACATTTGCATTTGCATCGTTGTTTTGCTTTTGCTTTCCCACGTGATACCCCATCCCCATTGTTCCATTATTCTTTCTTTGTTTGCATCTTAATTTTTTATGAATATTATGATTTTATCAATGGACATTTAGAACGGATAGAAATAATCAAGAGTCAACCTTAGAAAAGCCAGCTATAAACACTTTAGGGGTCAAAATGATAAAATTTCTTCGAATTGAGGTCACCATTGAACAATGTTATTATGAATCCGAATTGGCTCATCAGGACATTGAACTTTTGCAGCTCCCTCAGGGCCGATCTGCTACGACTCAGACATGCAGAGAGCAAAGACCAAACCTGATCGATCCCTTTGCAATAAAGAATCCTTCAGCCCAATAGCTAAGTCCTAGAAAACAAACCTACCACGATTCCCTCGTCAAATTCAACCCAACTAGGAAGGGGTAAAGATATATGTCAGGGCGGGAGTGACTTTTAAATCGGCCATAAGCAGTAAACAATACCGAATACAATGGTCGCAAAGCCAAAGAAAATGCCCGATATTCACTCTAGTTCGCCAATATGACCTAGCCATCCTATGGAGAGTTCATCAAAACCAGGAATTGGAGGTTGATTATGCGTTCAGAGCGTTAGTTATTTAAAAGTTTTAAGGAAAAGTCGTTGAAAAGATGCGAGCCTCTGGAAAGTTTTGGTGCTCACAGTTGTGCGCTAAGCCCGCTCGTTGTGCACGTGATCTTAGTATTATTGTTGTACCGGAAGCCGACTTGGCATGAAAATCTCAGCTCGATTTTCATATCTGTCAAAATCGCTTTCTCAATCATTTCAAGTTCTCTTTTCATGTTTTATGAGGGTCAAATGGTAGTAAGAGAGCTGGTTGGACATAATGAATCTCCCAGTCATCCTTAAACATACTCGAGAACTCCTTTCCCATTACATCGTTCCCCGCGCGTGGCCGCCGGTTGGGTTTCCTCCTTGTTCCGCTACGTCTATCTCCCTTTCGTGCCGGATCTCCTCCTTCCCTCAAACCCCCCAATCACCGAAATAAAGAAGCAAAAAGCATGAAATCCACCCAGAGAGCCCCCATAATGTATGACCAAAAATCGAGAGGAGAGAAAAACCGTAGTCGGAACGTAAGCGGAAAAGAATCTCTGGATCCCCAAACCACAACATTGCCAGCATCGTGCCGCCTCTCAATGGCCATCGCATGCATACTTCGTTTATAAACAATCGCATGTGGAAGATCGAGCCCCTAACAGTTTTTTAGCAGAGACTGTCGTCTACTCCACCCTTCCATTCCAGCTGACTGTGGGATGGTGAGGACTATCTAATATGACGGACATTTCCTTTTCCAAGAACTTCATTATTCTTCCATAGCGCCATTCTGCTGTAGAGAGTATTAAGAATTACTCAATTAAAATATTAATAAATTACCATGATTGATCCAGTACAAAGGTTGACATGCAAGTTAAACAAATAAATTTTTTCAGTATTGATGGTCCTTGTGCTACTTCATTCAATTACGTGAAATACCCAACATACCCTTACGTAGATGATCAACGAGGCCTCGGGTAACGTAGTTGACCCAAGATTTTCAAACGCAGCTGTCTAAAATGAAAATAGTGATAAAATTCAGCAAAAGCCAGCAAGAAAAAAAAGTCAAAGGAAGGGAGGTATCAAGGACCTTGAAAGCTTGCAGCAGAGATCCTCCCAGAAGAGACCACACATAGTCCGTGAAGATGTGAAGGATATTTATCTCGACCGGTTCTCAACGGAGTAGAAACCCAATATCTTGAATAAAGGCCAATCTTCCCTGCTAGGGCTAACGGCGCCATGCTGACATCCACATTCCTCACTGTCGTCGCTGACCCAAAACGTTACTAACACTGTCAATGTATTAATCGTAAGTTTCTTGATTTCTGACGCCGGCGAGTGCGTGTATTATCGGACAAAATAGGAGCCAACAATGCGTAGAACAGCCTGTCAGAATTGAGATTCGCAAACCTTCTTTAGCTCCATATCCTTAATCTCTAGGTGGCGGATATGATTCGTGTTCGCTGAAAGTAATAATTTGTTCTCAGCTGGAAAAAGCAACAGGGGGAGGAAAAGCAAAACCAAATTTCAACATACTTCTTACGCAGGAATAGTATTCGAAATATTCTCCACAAGATCCACTGTTTTGTTGTTAAGTTTGTAATAACGTCGGCGGTTTCAATTTTTCATCTTCGGTGGAGAAGGCAATTCAGTCAAGCAAAATAGCATTTCTGTTCCGAAATTGCTTCTTTAACGTGCTCATCATATTGCACAGCCTTTTCATCCATGTGTCATAATGCACACGTCCACTAACGATATTTAAGCAACACTGATTGCCATTGCGAGAAGAGTAACAATAACGGTAACATGGCATTCCGGTCTCCCTTTTCTGTTCATCAATTTATCAAATCCGGAGAGCGTATGTTTTGTCAACCCCATTGAGTTCTGGCAAATACAGTATTTAATCATCTTGTTCATCAGGCGTGGTGGTAGTTATCATCCACATACTAGACAATTGCGTCTTTGAGAGTTGAAAAACTTCCTGTTTCTTCGAAGCCTAGGGCGATATGCGCATGCACTTAGACATAACACATATTTGATGAAACAGATGCGACATCACACGCAATATAATACCATCAAATCGCGCGCAAAACGTAAACGATTGCAGAACTAATGATATGGTTCATGTCTGCAGCTTTGACCCAGGACAGAAGCATTTGTGGGCTTTGGACTGCTTCGTCAACACAGTAGCCAACCCTGAAGATAGTTTCTTTGAAATGACAAACGGGCAAAATTGGAAGGACATTATCGACGATAACAGCGGATTGCACGGTTGGCTATCACAGTTTTTTAATCATGGCGAACGTTGGACAACTTCTCGCTGCGCAGCAAACGTGAACCCGGGAACCCAAATAGGTTTGCCGAAGCCAAGAGTCAACGGTAACTATCATAACATGGTTAGGTAGTCTCTGCGCACATACTCTCTTATAATCCAAACACCGTTTATTCACCCATATTCGGGATCTCAATATGATAAGTTAATATCAGTCCTATATTTGAAATATTTCTATACAATCGATTGGATATACCCGGAAATATTCACAGGGAGTATTCTTCCAGCTTTTTTCTGAAATATGAAACTGTATACAGGTAGTACCCTTTGCGTTCCTTTATGGCTTTGCAGCGGTGGCATGGCGTATTTCAAGTGCACTACGTCAAAAAATCATATCAAGATGGCAAAAATTTCCAGCTGACATAAAATACCTGTTCATGTTTAAACAGACATTGCCAACAACTCTTTTGTCTTGCAGTTATTACCATATCGGCCGTGTAGTTAAACAAGCCGACATTTAACTGGAGAGACCCTCTTACCGCAGACTCAGGGAAAGTTTCAAATGTATCCAAACTTCCATATGGACAATTGAATACTGGATCCAGCACTCCGTTTTTGAACCAAATGATAAGTAGGGAGATGACTGAATCCGATGATAGGATCGTTCGTAGACGTGGATGGCTCCGATACATCATAGAAGCCGCGATAGCTAGCCGAATCCTGATCTCCAGTTAGGAGAAGTTGAGAACTTGGTTGAGAATAAGCTTCTATTGGAAGCTCCATAAATGGCGTGGAATTCAAATCGCTAACCCATATATCATCATTCTTCACTAAATAGAGTATTAACGATACAACTCCAAAAGCCCCGAGAGAAAACACTATAACTCCACCCATTATGGCGAGAAGGCCACTGCAAGGTATTAGAGGTCCGGGCAGGTTAGCATCCAGGTTCTCCGCCGAAAATGAAGAAATACCGGCGAGGTTTCAAAATTGAAAATTCTTTAGTCCATTTCGGAAGGTTGGAGCCAGAAGAATAAACGTTGGCTTTGACTCTCCATTCGTCCAAAACTCCGGGAGAAATAGGCAGTGCTGGACGCCATTCCGCAGTACCTTCTTTCCAATCGGGTCTGCATAGCTTGAGCATCTCCAGGCCCGACTAAAAAGTCAGCAAAAGAGATGTTTCGTGAAGAAGCCGGCAGCGTAGAGATATCATTCTGCGTCTCCAAGCATTCGACACCTCCTTGATCGAGAAGATGAACCATATATCTTCTTCGATCCATTACGTTGTGGAAGAAGATCAATGTACGGTTAATTGCGCTCTTTCCGATATAAATTCCAATGATGGCCGTTGAGTTCATCTTAAGGATAGCAACAAAGGCCCTCTGCTTTGAATCAGCCATTCATATAAGGAGATAAAATGAGGTACTCGTATGCCAACCAAGGACTCAAACAGGCAAAGGGTAACCACCAGGACCACCTTGCTGACCAGTTCGCAATTACAAAGCATTTTGGCAGGATAGAAACCCAATTTGGAGGCCAACTCAAAACGAGGCGAAAAGAACTGTTCCAGCACAGTAACATGAGACGAACCATCGTAAGGAATATCTGACAGTAGCGTAACAACCAGCAGGTGCTGTCCGAGTCGCTGGGGGAACTAAAGCCCAAAAGACTGGTTGGAAACAACCATTCCCCAAGGGTCGGAGGGGCCCAAGGTAAGAATGCTTTCCAAAATGCAGGCTTTTCCTATCGGACCTTTCCTGAGGCAAGGCGTCCTCGATGCCGGAGTGTTTGTTGGCAAGGCAAAGGCTGGAGTGGAGCTGGCAGTTGACTAAATTCAACCAACCAATTCCGCTCAACATTCTCCCCTGTCAGAGTCCATATCCGCCCTCCATTTGGTGCGCTGCTCGAGGTTCATTTGCTCTACGCAGCCCGGAAAACAATAGCTCATTATTTCCCGTGTGCTCACGACCAGGGAATAACCAATCGTCACGTCCCCACCATTATTTCACTTCGTCCTCATACCACATACTTTTCCCTTAGGTATGTCAACCGGCCTGCTGTCGTTCGGTGTGAGGAGGGTAATTTACTCTCATTCAACTGAGGCATATCTTACTGCTGAGAAGGCTCTAGGTACTTTGCTTGGAGTACGGATTCTGCTGTTCTCAGAATAATCATTGATACCTTTAATGCTTTTCATCAGTCAACCGTGCATTATTACACTGGATCGGTGTTTGATTGAGCCATGGTTGACTTAACTTGGGTATTCGGGATCCATTAGCTAATCCAAGACTTAATGTGTCGTTGTTTTTCGGCTCCTGCGATTGGTGAAGAAGGTGTAATTCTGGCTCTTTCTATTGGTCCAGTCCCTTGTCCTCTTGCCTCGACATTACTAATCCACTGTCATGAAATATCCCAGCCATAAAATTTTGAACTTCATCTCATTGTATCATTATTGCATCCTCACAGTCATTACTCTCGTTGTTTTTCTCCTATTTCCTCCCTCCAAAGCATCATCTATCTCCTTTTTCCTTTGTCTCTGTTTCCGTTTTGAGAATGGCTTCTGTGGCGAGAACTTTCACTCGGGGTTTCACTCGCGCATCCACCGCCAATGCCTCTTCGTCGATCAGATATTCCACTCGCACTTCAACTCGCTCTGTCCTCTCCTCCCAGGCCTTCTTTACCGGGTCTCGCAGAGGATATGCTTCTGGTCCTGAGGGTGAAAAGTCTTCTTGCAGCTTCTACATCGGATTGGGAGCTGTCGCCATTGCAGGTGCCGGTGCTTTAATCTACCTGAACAAAGATGGCCCGAAAGCCAGCACGAAACCCTCGGGCCCCTTCACACCAACCAAGGATGATTACCAGAAAGTGTACGATGAAATTGCGAGACTCTTAGTTGAAAATGATGACTATGATGATGGTAGCTATGGACCGGTAAGCTAAAACTCCCCGCAATGTATCATTTCCAGCCGTTATCTAACTTTTAGAGTCTCCAACAGGTTCTAATCCGATTGGCATGGCACGCAAGTGGTACTTATGATAAGGAAACTGGAACTGGAGGAAGCAATGGTGCCACCATGCGCTTCGCTCCTGAGAGTAACCACGCTGCCAACGCTGGTTTGAAAGCTGCGAGAGATTTCCTCGAGCCAGTTAAGGGTATGTAAACAGTTTTATATGATGTATGTCCTATGTATGTCGGTTGATTACGCTAACTCTATTTGTAGCGAAGTTCCCCTGGATCACCTACTCCGATCTTTGGACTCTTGCTGGTGTCTGCGCAATTCAGGAATTGCAGGGACCTTGTATCCCATGGCGCCCTGGCCGCACTGACAAGGACAGCACTGCCTGCACCCCTGACGGACGTCTCCCTGACGCTTCTAAGAACGAGAAGCACATCAGAGATATCTTTGGACGAATGGGCTTTGACGACCGCGAGATTGTCGCCCTCTGCGGCGCTCATTCTCTTGGCCGTGCCCATTCTGACCGATCTGGTTATGATGGCCCGTGGGATTTCAGCCCGACTGTCTTCACCAACGAATTCTTCAGGATGCTGGTCAATGAGAAATGGAACTGGAGAAAAGTACGTACATGGCAATGGATTCTATAAATATAGCTCGACTTACGTCAACTAATAACGAAAAACACAGTGGAACGGTCCGGCCCAATTCACTGACAAGACTACCCACACCCTCATGATGCTTCCCACAGACATTGCCCTTGTTAAAGACAAGGAATTCAAGAAGCACGTCGAGCGATATGCCAAAGACAGCGAAACCTTCTTCAAGGAGTTCTCGGATGCATTCGTCAAGCTTCTCGAGCTTGGTGTCCCATTCACCTCCAAAGCTGACGATCGCTTTGTGTTCAAGACCTCCGACAGCTAAATTAGGGTGTCCCCCTTTTTTTAACAATTTCGTTGCAAAGCGTCCTGAGCGTTCGATTTCCGATTAAATTCCGGCTATACTAATTAATTTTCTTCTAGCACGTAATGTCGAATTCCCACCCTCTCCTTTTTTCTTTTTTTTTTTTTTTTTTAACACAGACTACATATCCGTACACTTTTCTCTTAACGGAAGATTGCAATTATAGATTGCACAGATCTCCACTCCTGTTTCGTCTCAGTTTCGAGAATTACACTCGTTCCGTTTATGTAAATCATTTCTTATATGTTCTAGTGTGATTTTGAAGCAGGATAAAAGACAGCAATACAGCAAGAGTAGAGCGGAGGAAAAGTGTGAACGAGTGCACTAGCGATGTTCAGTGATGATATAGAGTATTCAAAAAGCACCCTGTTGAATAAATTAAAACTTGAATTTAATTCTCCTTTTGATTTATCTCCTATGAACAGTTATTTAACTTAATTCGTTATTTGTCTTGCAAAAGTAATCAAGAATAAACATACAGCTAACCCGCTTGAACCATGCAGAAGATAAAGTTTGCAGATATTAACCGGCCATTTAACCACCTGCTCAAATAGTCCCTTACATCGTATTTTGCGAACCGCGCAGCAAAAGCCCCAATGCAGCCGGCAGCAGTGAGGAAGCCATGGATCGACTGCGTATATAATGCTAAGCCATGTTCGTCTAACTGGGACAAATCTCGCTTTCTATCTGTCGCTCTACCTACCGGCCCACACGCACCACACCAGTTGTTCAACCTTCCCACGCACATAACTATGACACCATCAACGGCTCCAAGCACAACGCCGACGCACTACTTGATCCTCAACCTCCCATATCCCCCGCCTCAACCCCTTCCAAAGCCAGCTGTAAAACTAGCTTACCATCGCGCGCTACTAAAACATCATCCCGACAAAGCTCGAGCAGCTACATCCACATCCTTATCCAAACCCGCCCTCACAACCTGTGCCAGCAACATCGCAAATTCAGGCCCACAATGCACAAATAGAACAGCGCAGGCGGCATCTAGTGTAGCTGCCACAGCTCCAGTGGATGACGCGAACGGAAAGGACATCCCCTACGACTTGCACCGGTACACAGTCGACCAAATAACCAGGGCGTACAAGATTCTCTCAGACCCAGTTGCCAGGGCTGAATACGACCGCTCACTTCGCCTGTTGGGGATAAATGGCAGCAGATATGGACATGGGCATTGTGGCAGTGACGGTGACGATACGGATTTCCGGACAGGAATGGAGGTTTTTGATCTAGATGATATGGAGATTGGGAATGTTTTGGGTTCCGACACGGGAACTGGTGATAGTGGCGGTGGGATGTGGTACCATGCCTGCCGGTGTGGGGAGGAGAAAGGATTTCTGGTGTTGGAAGAGGATCTGGAAAGGGAGGCGGAGGAAGGAGAAGTAGTTGTAGGATGTTGTGGGTGCAGTTTGTGGGCGAAGATTGTGTTTGCTGTTGAAGATGGGGGCGATGAGCTTGTTATGGATGAGGCCGGGGATGGGAGCGGGGATGGGAGTGGGAATGAGAACGGGAATAATAGTAGGATATCGTGAAAGGAAGAACCTTTGGGGTTGAATCCATAACTCCTTGCGTAACAAAGGTTCTTGCTTCTCTGTACGCTCTTTTTCGCTCTCCCCCGATCAGTCTGTGCTGCGCGTACCAGCCTTTCATATGGCATCCGCCAATATAGGGATATCAACACCCAATCCAACGAGAAGCAGACCCGCAACATGGGGAAATTTCTTGCGTTAGCTCTCATGGAGCATCCAGATGAGTTCAAGATGGTGTACGACACTTCTCTCTCCCCTCCATCTACGCCAGGAGCTGCTCGTCTGCTGCGAACTCTTTGACGGTCGCCAGAAAGGAACCCCTCAGCCAGCAAACGATTTTGTGACCGACACATAGTTTATTTGGCCCTTGGAGAATTTTGTTACAGAAAGTGTTCAGACAATCCACTTCCCAATGCCTAGGAATGGGGCAGGTAATGGCAAGGAAAGATGTTGTATATCAGCACATCTCGTTGACATACCCAACTAAAGCTCTAGGGACCGTTCTCAGAGTTGGAGCGGATTTGGGATAAAGTGTATATCTAGTTTATCAACGGATGCTGATACAAGTTTCCATGAATATCAAAGTGTAGTCATAATTCAGAATGCGGAATATATAATTATACCAGAAGTCGCATCAGCGCAATCAGCTACTCTTCTCTTTCTTTTCTTAAATAATAGTACATAATAACCGCATTCTTGAAAACACTGGGAAACTTTATAGAGTAATCGGTGGTATATATTCCCATCGTAGCGGGACGCTTGCTGTCGGTCGCTGCCTGCAAACGGCTTGGGGCCAGAGCTTACCACTAGACACTCACTATCAAGATTCCTTCACCTCAAGTTCACAACAACCACCTTTCCACACCACCTGGTCAGTGAACTCTCCCATCAAGCAATCCAAAATGTCTAAAATAGCCCATGTATCATCTCAAAAGCAATTTTCCGAGCTCCTCGCATCCTCCCCCATAGTTGTTGCAGACTGTAAGTAGCGTCTCTCAAAGCGGATGATTGATCTCGATATCACCGCCCCAATCAACTCTCCCTCCTCTCCCCTTCACCAGCCCCCATTATAAATCATCTGAACCGCATCGGACCGTCATATCAATAGAACGCAGATGGCTCAAATTGCGTCGCTAACATTATTTCCTTTCTACGGATAGTCTACGCTACCTGGTGTGGGCCATGTAAAGTTATCGCGCCGGTGTTCGAACAGCTGGCTACAAAGTTTGGGCGCCCGAACCAGGTATCATTTATTAAGATCGATGTGGACGCGAATGCGGAAGTGGCTGCCGCTTGTGGAATCACTGCGTAAGTGAAAAGAGGATTTTTTTTGTGATTAAGTTATATTCATCTTGTCTCTGGCCTTCCCTCTTACTTCAAAGGCCGCCGCACAAAAACTGCCTATTCCTGATTACCAACTGATACAGATTTGCTAATGTTCTACATTATTTTGTCTACCGTTCTAGTATGCCCACATTCCTAATCTTCAAAAATGGCAACGTCGCCCATTCAATCCGCGGCGCAAACGCGCAACTCCTCACAGCCAAAATCCAAGAGATCGCCTCGAGTGGATCGAACGACAGCGGAGCGGATGGCGCAGAGGGCGAGTCCAGCAGTATTGGCGCACACTGGCTTGGAGGAAACGTTCCAAGGGGATACTCAGAACTGTCTAACGAGATTGAAATTAAGGGCATAGATCTTCTCAATTGTGACAACGAGATCGGATCTGGGAGATCATTATTTGCACCAGAACAGCCTTCAGGTCTTTCTGCTTCTGCTGAGAGTGGTGGGAATGGGAAAGCTAAGGATGCAGCTACACGAGACTGGGTAGAGAGCGACACGGACGAACAGCTAATGTTATATGTCCCGTTTCAATCGTCTGTAAAGATTCATTCGCTACAGATCACCTCCCTCCCGCCTAGTGGGGGTGATGGTGATGAAGTACCAATGCGGCCCAAGACGCTAAAATTATATACCAATCGCACTCATATCATTGGATTTGAAGAGGCGGATGAAGAGACTCCAACGCAAGAGATAGAGTTGGCGCCGCGGGATTGGGAAGCGAAAACGGGAACTGCGACCGTTGAACTGCGATTTGTCAAGTTCCAGCGCATCACGTCGCTTGTTGTATACTTTGTAGATGGGGATGGGGATGGAGAGAGGATCCGTGTGGACAGGGTGAGGGTGTTTGGTGAAGCTGGTGAGAAGAGGGAAATGGGCAAGCTGGAGAAGATTGGTGATGAACTGGGAGAATAGGTTAAAGAGTCGAGCTTGTAAGACATGTCTAGATGGGCATGAAAAATACCTTCGAGGTGGCTTCGCTAATTACTTCTTGTATCAACACACCGTTTTAGAGCACGGGAGAGTGGGAAAACTGAGACAACGGCACAGAATTTCTCATTCAACAATATTCTTTCTCATTCGGGAATAATTACTCGCTATATATCTTGTTACATATGGACAAGCACTGCGGGCTTTCCGGAGAGCGATCCTAACCCGCCCATAAGCCATGGGACAAGTCCAATAGACTCTCCCTCATCCCTCCATCGAGTTTCCTCTGTCCACCAACCACGACAGCAATCAACCAGCCATTAAAATATATAAAAGGTGTTCGATCCCAAACCAAATGGCCATTTCCTCAATGCGAAAGAGGGTGATAATCAAACGACCAGTAAAGTAAGAACCGACGTGCAATTTCATCATTCTGTGACGCAGCCGACACCTAAGGATTTTTTGACTCAATCAAACATCACGAATAAAAAAGCTCTTTTCTTTAAAGAAAAGAAGCCTTTTGATGTCTAGGCAACACGGGTTAAAGGCTGCGTCGCCGCACGAAGACAGAAAACGAGAAAAGTTAAAAGGCAAAGATTGCGCGGAAAGTTTTTATATGGGAGTAGGACGGAGGAATAGTTCTACCGAAGCGGGCTGCTTTAGGCTTAGTGGGCTCTGTAGGTGCCGAGATACCAAATACTCTGTAATTACGGATTCGGGGTGCTTTGATAAAGAGGTAAACAAACGAAAGCAAAGTAGCTTTGGATGCTGTTTCATGAGCTTGGGAAGCCTTCGTCCGATCTTCTTCATCAAAAGTCCGGATTCCTGTCTCTGACTGGCTAATGTGCAGGTAGAAGTTAGCGTCTGGAGGAATACTTATGGAGCTAACCTGCCAAGCAAGAGAATCCCCTTGGCTAAAATATTTTAGAAAAAGTCACATTTCTACTTTCCTTTCCTTTCCTTTCCTTTGATAGTCAATGATGAGCGATATGCAACCACGGTCGTATATCAATTCACGTACAAAGGAAGAGGATGAATTGTTCTTTTTCGAGCTTGATATCAACTGACACTCTCTGGCAGTATTGCCGCCACCTACCACACACCCATTAAATTACATTCATCAAGCGCCGGACGTAGAGAACCTCGTATAGATTCTTCGGGACCGGCCAAAATGAAATAGCGTTGGTAGGTTGGAAACTTCACTGTTGCAACTTCAAAATTGAGGTCTAACTAATTTTCTTCAAACCTTACATAACGAAAACCACTCAGATCCGAAATCTCCGCGCATCTCACTGAAGGATTTCCAGGCCCGTATTTTAAACATGATAATGTCGTAAGGAACTCCGGTTATCAATCTAAATAATAACCTTGGAATGATCTCTGCAAGATAAAAAGCTCTATGGAACAGTCTTCTCCTACCTAACCTGCAGACCCAATATCACGGCCAAACCATTTCCGCGGACTTCGTCTTGGGGGAATCCATGGCTTCTGTAACTATGATGCGCTGGAGAGTCCTAACTCGGGCCTAACTAGTTAACTAAAAGATTCCAGAAGCTCATGGAAGTTAAAAAGGCCATCTATACGATGGGTCGTGACGCAATTACATTACATTGATCAACGAAATGTAAAATGGATGCAAAAACGATAGTTCTATGGATCCCTCAAGGTAGTCTGAAACCAAAAAATTGATATCATGGGTCTCCGCTTGAGTTTCGATGGATAACTGCCTTAGGATCCTAGTTATAATTAGTAGAACGCCCACCAAAAAATAAATAAAAAAAAGAAGGGAACCATCAAATCCTTTAGACGCGAATTGCTGGGGCTTGTATGTAGGCCAGTTTCCAAGTCTGCTGGGGCTAGAACGATCTTCTGGGACATATCCAGCGGATTACTTGAAGGCGGGAAAGAGAATAATCCAAGGAAGCATGTACAAGGGCAGTTTTCCTGGATAGCTGAGAGAATTTTAATTGCTGCTTGAAAAGGCCTTGAAGACCAAACATCATCAAATACTCCGACAAAAGAGGTGACAACAATCCTGAAACTAAGTTATCATTGAACCCTGCAGTCGCTCTGATAGCATAATAGGAGGTTATCAAAGTCAGAAAATCCCACTACAATAATCGCATGAAAAACAGTCGAAGGATCGCTGTCGACTGCAATCGTGGTGCCATTTCAATATCTCTCAGGCAGATGTGGATACAGATAATGCACCCACCATTTGCCGAAAGTCTGGAATTTGCGGGGAAGCAACTCGATATACGCCTACGTGAGGAGCAACAAGCCACCGGATTGTGCGCCTTTGTCTACGCACTACAGAGTGGGGGGAAAAGGGAAAGTTTAATGATAAGTGTGACATCGTTGAGTCCAGGTCACCGAAGTGTCCACTCTCGTGGTCTTGCTAAGTCGTTAGTTCTGCGATTATTGCCTGCGCTGGGACCGGTTCAATATTAATAGAAGCCAGCGATTCCATCAGCGCGGAGGATTAGTCCTGTTTTCCCTGCTGTACATTTCCTTTAAGCGATGTTTCAGTCTTTCACATGGCTTCAGAACGCTCCAGTTACTTCCCACAAACCAGAGACTTTGGAGATTCCAGACGATTAAAAGACGAAGCCTGTTTGATGAAGTCTCAATATAAATTCGACACTCAACAGAATCTGAGCCAAGAAGAACGCGCATTGGGTGGGCTTGCTGGGTTCTCCAACCTTCTTCCAATGCTTCAGTCCCTACCAAGATGATCCATCCTGCTCTGGTTTCCCAAATGTAGTAACAGTCCAGGAACTAGGAGCTGCAGAGTGCCCAGTGAGAAGGGTATTCGACCCACCATTATCAACACTTTTAACCAAATGCTACGGCCTCCCGGGCCCCTGCCAGGTTACTCTTGGCCGGATAAACTATTCAACTCTACCACGAGGTTGGTATTATTATTATTCCCCGATTCATGCAGCCTTGACGATTCTGGGTCAGGACAGAGAAGAGCAGAAAAACGTCTTTCTGGGAACATTCCCCAGAAAAGAATATTGTTGGCCAGTCAATAGTGGTATTCTGCTCTGTATCCAAATTATCCGTCATTTTCTTCACATGCCGGATTTGAAATTTCAGACTGCAGAACTAGAGCCACCGCAAATAAAATAGAGCAGAAAAGGGCGTCGAACTCAATCGACAATGGAAGAATCCTTCCCGAGATTAATTAAATACCGCTCTCCTAGAATAACCAATTCTCCCAACCCAGTCTCTCGTCCCCAGAGAAAGAACGGCGGTTCCGAATGAAAACCAAGGCTGACAAAAACGCGTATCAACGGTGAGGATGAAGCAACATAGAAAGCTCTTGGGGAAGAAAAGAGGCCGTGAGAACTGCAAAATAATGATCAGTTTTCTGGATTGTTTCCAATTGATCTGCTCTGCACGATGCTACTTTTGCTCCACTTCACTCAAGTCTAATCCTGCCAAGGAACGGAATTCTGGAGATTGAAGGGTAGAATAGAATGAAAATGGATTGGCCCGCCGTACGAATGGTGTGTTTCATGTTTCGCCGGGTTTGGCTCTTCAGCTGTGATTTCACTGGAACTACGATTATTGACGGCCGGGTCCAAGCCGGGCACACTTTCTCCCCAGATGATAATTGCAGGTCCACGAACTTGGCAGTACTAGGTAATCAGACATATCAGTCGAAACCTTGGCCAGTGCAGGATGCGAACAAGGAGGATAATAATAGTGCTGTCCTTGATAGCCCCAGTTTTGACACTTCGCATTGGATATTCGAGACAGGGAATCGATGGACAATCACAATCACTTATTTCACCAAGAAAACGAGGAGGAATGCATGCTAACTGGAAAATATGATCATCTTATCTGAACGAATCTCTTGTCTGAGCAGACAGACTTCATGATATTAAGTCCTTGAAGCTCTCTCTTATATTGAACGCTGTTTTGTGAAAGTCAGGGCCACTTTGTATGTAATGTATGTAATATACGCACAAGAATCCGACACTTTTCCATTTTTCTCTGGCGGTGTGCCTGGTATGCCAGACACTACCTGCTGTGGCTGCCGGATTTTATCTTCCAATGATCATTGAGTGAGAGATCGATCATATGGATGATATCACCACAAGATATTTTGAGTCTTCCCTCTCGTACAGTCTCGCCCTACGAGACGCGACTCTCGTAATGTCTCATGAGAGATGTGTCATTCCTTGCATGTATGCACAGCTATTTCACTGATTCGTCTATGGGAAATAATATCAACATATGCACACTAGATCCGGAGGAATCGAAGATAAAAAGAGAAACTATGTAAATGGGAGTGGGAAGCAAAAGTTCAAGGACAAGATAGCTGTACAACTTTACATTCCCGAAAACTTCGGCCGAGGGTTGCAAAAAGCTTTGTTACTTTCTTGACCAATGCTGAGATGATCGATATCAGAGCAAATGTTGTAAGACATTGGCACGCACCAAAGGTCCATCGCCCAACGAAAATATGCCCAAAATGCCCCTCCATCCTCGCGACGTTTGCAGTAGCACAGATATCTTATCCTATGGGCAGGTCTCTCTCCCCTCTTGTGGGCTATCAGGGTCAGGAACGAGAATCGCTTGTGCGTTGTACAGCCGTTTATTCGTGTTATCGATGTCCTGAATCATAGATTTCATATGAAGTCTCCCCGGAATACAGAATATGTATGTGCATGCACACATCAGACGTAGGTACCCACCTATTCCAACTTTTCTATTTTTTAAAGCAGTCCATTCTCCCAGTGTGGAAGTTGGGAGAGAAAAGTGCTGAGGAGCGACTTGAAAGAGTTATCCATCTCACTTGCACATATTATGAATGAGGAAGAATTCTTCTTTCAGCTTTTCTCTTCCAGGATGTTATCTGCCATCGGACGTTGTTTTTCCATGATTCAAGGACATGTTTGTTATTAGTTTCTCCAGTTCGAAATCCAGCTTTCGAATAATAAGATTTCATTCATGCATTGATTCACTGGGTTTATTCTTCTTCATTCGACAAAATAATAGGATAACGCCTGTTTGAGTATTAAAGAAAAAAGAGAAAGAAAGAAAAGAAAAGAAAAGAGAGGGAAAGAAAGCAAGGCATGATGCTGCTTCATATCTCCTATCTCCAAATCTCTCAAACAATCAATGTTTGAGAGATGTGAAAAACAGACAAGATTAAACTCGTCATTCATCGACATTGTTTAACGAGAGTTTCCCATCGCTCATGCACTCCAATCACGCAGGAACAGCTTTTTAAGTTTCTTCCAAGTAATGTATGCTATTGGATGCGGTGGGCGGGGAGGACCTTGAGGATTCCTATCTATCAATTTTCCGTCGCCTTCTAGACCTTGTGGCTTTGACTTATTCTCAATGCCGTCCGCCTTGAGTCCGTTCTCAAAGGTGTTGAGCAACTTTGAGTCACTTTACGATCAAAAATCATATAATTGAAACAATGAATAATAATAATAATGATGATGATGATGATGATGATGAATGCCCACCAAGGCTCCAAAGATCTTGTACGGCCATGTCGATCTCGCTCCTCTTTTCTTTTCGGTGTGTTCTTTTTTTCCCCTTTTAGGGCGATATGAGCAAGAAGGGCGCATTCCAAATATTAGGCTGGTTGAAGTAACTTGCATTGTCTTTCGCGGATGAAAATATACCGGTTATGCATTAAAATCCATCGAGTTCATCGACTGCGAGAAGAGCATATCAGTTATCTCTTTTCAATTCTCCGGTGCGACAACTATCTCGACCGACTCTCAGTCACCCCCACCAGAGGTCCTGTGGTATGTGGTATGACAATTGATGCCTTCAGGCAAAAGATAATAAGACAACTGAACTCCGATTAGAACATAGCGTGGCATCGAATGGTAAATCTGTCACCCCCACTTTCACTCTTCTCGATCTGGGTAGTTAAAATGCCATAGGATGTATCCGTCCACTTGGAATTTTTCATGCTAGGTGTTGTGTCGTCACTAACGATTATGGCAGCTTGGCTGGAGGAAGCGTCAACGCCCTCCATCTGGCCTTGAGGTCGGGCCATCTATTGGAATGTGATAAATCGGAAGTATGGACACCCGTGCTCCGTACAATGCACGTAGATGCATGGCACAGTCCACGGGTGAGGTCTGTAGACCCATGTATATATGTGTGTATGCACTGTACCTCCTCCATCCTCGCACTTGTGAAACCAAATGATCAGAACATCACAAATCGGGAAGCGATGGAGAGAGTGACTGTTATAAGATGTGTCGTAAGCTGACATGGTATCCATGGATCAATAGATGAAGAGTGGAATGACAAGATTCAGGCACTGTCTGCAGTATCCGCCAGAGTCATTCCACCCAGGAATATCGAACCCAAACATAGAGATGTTTCATATTCAACCAGGAACCAGATTTGAAACTAGGATATTTAGGTGAACTTAGACATTAAAGAGCAAGAACAAGACATCTGCTCTTCATTTAAAATACATAACCTCACCCCACTATTAATATGTGGAGGTTTCATCTCTCTCGTTAGTCAACTGTTTCAAAATCTAGGAATTTATATAAGTTGGATGAACACAGCGGTCCTTTGAATGAATGCATAATGGGAAGAATGCCACTCTACCTCAAATTCTCTAACAATCTGTCATAGAACCTGGTGTCAGGATTGGTATTTGACTTTTGTCAAACTTGGATCTTGAATTAATTAATCTGGATTCAAATATCAAGTTACGATGGTGATATTTTTCTTTGGAACACGGCTGCTTTTATGATCATATCAATAATCTACGGAAATGATGCAGCTGCAGGTCGTAGAATCTGTGAGACCTTCTTCATCTTCCGTCTCTTCCTCCTGCGATTGGGACGTACGAACTTGAAGATATTTGAAACTGTTTCTGGTTAGCTTGTGATCGAGACGCTCATTATGATACTTGTTTTAATTTTCTTATTATTTTCCCGCTGTAAGGTACCAGGGATCATGCCAATCATAAAGTAGAGAAAGACATGCGTGGAGCCGGAATCATATGACAAATTTTGATAAAATTGAGCACTGACATCCCCGAACCACACGAAGAAAGCTGAGGAACTCGATGTCATAGGTCCAAAAAATCAGGGACAGCCACACCTGTGAATCTGTGATGGACCGACCGATCACCATTCCACATATGTAATTCATCTTTTACTTTTGAATAGTAGAGAATTTTAATGCAGGTAATTTCATATTATTCTCGATGATTGGGCGAGCTCTGCCTTTTTAAACCCTCCAACCTCCAATAAACTGGCTGAAACGAAATGCTGAAGCAAACAGAGGTTGTCGCCCCGCTCCAAAGAAGCAGAAAAATAAGGTTTCAGGAACCGCAATCTGTAGTCCATGGAAAAGAAAAGTAAAATATAAAATCAGGTCTGCGGCGAGCCAGGGCCTAAAGCATGCTAATAGTTTCCTCACGAGTCAACCTTGGCAGCAGGATTTACAACGGAAGCCAGGGACTAAAATCCAGCACGAAATGCTTACTGGATGACAGGTGCATAAGTGGCAGAGAGTGGCAGAAGTGGCGATAATGTGTTGCTCATCATTGGGTGAGATGTATGGTCAACACCTTTGGCTTCGCAGGTCAGTGAGCCCACTACTGCAGGTCGAGTTATCCTGGGTCGCTGGCCGCTTGGACGATATGGAAGAAAAGCTCACATTCTTATTTTTATGCGAGTTTCTGGACGAGAACTAGTGCATTCCCTCGATTCTCTGGTTTAAACTCAGGCTGGTTTAGACCTTTTTAATTGACCCAGCCGGATAACGGGTGCCAGTTCTCGGCGTCCCACCCTCTCAGTCAACTGTCATCTTTTTCTTGTTTAAGAATAGTCTGGATAGGTGAAGCATATCGTGGTAGTTTTTAAGTCCCCTCACGGTCCCTTTAGTCCATATCTTAGCACCCGAATTGTGCCTACGTAAACTGTGAATAGCGACCAGTTGGAAACGAGAACCATTTAAGGACCCTAATCCACCCTTGCGTCCAACCTCCGCATTAACCCAGACACCTTAAAATTGTCCAATAAAGCAAGACCAAGAGAGGCTTACGGTGCCACAGTGGAGGGAGTTTACCTTGTCCAATTTTGTCTCTGGATGAACTTGTCTGGGCTTTTCTGCAACCACCAGCGGATCGGCGAATTGCAACCTTCTGGTAGCAGTCTTCAACAGAAGAGGGGCACCTCCTCAACGCACCTGCGGGATCCATTCAACAATCCAATTCATGTGTGTCTCCCTCATATCTGTAACTGGTGGAAGGGACGACATATAAAGAGGTCGCTTGCTCTTTAAGGTTCACCCTACAGAGCCCTGTCTGACCCCGTCTCTGACTCTCCTTAGATTCGATTATTATAAGGAGCACAGAAGAAGCCTTGCACCATTTGCTGGAATATTGTCACCGATGAAACCCGGGTGAGTAGAGCACATGGGTTTTCTTTTTGGCAGGTAAACCATGTCATCGTAATGATCGATGTTTCCATCGGTCTTCTTTTGGGTCATCCCAAGGCCCTTTGAACTGTGCGTAGTAACCAAATCATGATCTTTTCCAAGTTTTCCTAACCTTCGATAATAGTTTGTCGAAGGCAAAAATATAGGAAGAGAAATGGGCGGGAGCCCAGTGCAACCTAGCTGTACGCAAGTGCGTAGGTCGTCTCCGACTAGCCTCTCACGCTCTTCCATTTCTCTCTGAGTGATCAACCGGGTTCACTTTTTATTAGTCGTAAGTGAACTCAACCTGAGATCTGCAGGCCACGGGTGGATTCATGGATGGGGTCAGGAGAAGTGTAAAATGGTGCTAAATCAAATAATAAAAAGATGCCTATTTGCTGAGCCATCCACTCACGTCAGTCGCCCCAGACTAGGGGGGGTGGGTAGCGTCTCGACTGAGTGGGTGCTTGAGTGTTTGATGCTTGCCGCTTGGTGGGAGCTGCTCGTGGAGGAATCGCTGCTTGGTTACTGACTTGCTGCTAACTGCCGACGGGTGGTGGAGGTTTGGTGGTAGCGGGAGTGGGATTGGGAATGGTTGTGCTGCTGGGCTGTACCTGGTCTCACTGGTTGGCCCATAGCCAACCCGCCAACCACTCTTTGCTGTCCGTTGTCAGTGATGGTCGCTCGCTGGTCCCTGGAGGTTGTGTCCTGACTGACTCCATTGTGGTGTGTTTCCTGTGTACGGTGTCTGTGTCTATGTCTGTGGTGTGCATGTGCATGTGCCGGTGTGGTAGCCTGTCTTTGACGCTGGTGTTCCAACTCGTCTCTCTCTCCCTCACACTGTCTGTCGCTGACTCTGACCCGATGTCCTGTTCTGCACGCCAGGCTGGGCTACTTCTGTAATATCACCCTCGCTTTGCTCGCTCCGTCACTCTTTTCAACCCGCCCGCCTTTGCGCTGCCTGGTACTAAATATTGCTCTAACTATCGTCGTCCATTTTTCTTTCTCTTCTATCCACATCTTTCTCTTTCTCCTCTCTCTCTCTCTCTCTCTCTCTCTCTCTTCTTTTATTATTTATTTTTTGTTTCCCTCTCTCTCACTTCTTCGTTTCGTCCGTGGGCCGTTCAGTCCGTCCCTTTTAACTTCATTTCTATTTCATACCCTACACCTTTATACCTTACTATTATTATTACTTTTACTACTATTCTTTTTTTATTCTTTTATTTGGACCGGGTTAGGCTTGTCCCCTCTCTTGCTCGAATATATCAACAGTCCTTCCTTTTGATCCTCCAACTGCATCTACTCTCCATTGACACATATACAACACACATACTTACTGCAATACTGCAATACTGCAACACTGTACTATGCTTACTCGATAATATTATCACGCCACGGTCCTTTACTACTTCAATCGCCAGTGCGAACTGCCGGATCCAAACATACAAATCAACCGTACCTCTCTCGATCGCCGAGATAATCGCAACTCTGTTCCTCTACCGTCCGCCCGCTAGTCGCTCTTTTTTTTTGGCAGATCTCTACATTCAATAATTTGCCTTTATTGATTTTTATTTATCTACTATAACGTTTATTATTATTATTATTATTATTATTATTATTATTATTATTATCATCATCATCATCATCATCATTATTATTATTATTGCCTGTTATTCCTGCGTCTTTTCGCATGTACTATTTCGACTTCCATTCTGTATTGCCTCATATCGTTCGAAGCAGGCTCGACATTACCTGGAGCATTGTATCTGAGTCGAATATCCTCGACTTAGTTCCTAATTCTTTTGTTTTATACCGAAAGCCGTCTCTTTTCGGTTCTGTTTCATCATATCGGTAAGTGGGATGCGCGACGAGAGGGGGAAAAGGGCCGACTTGAGTCCTGTATCGGATCGAGGACAAAAAAGACTACGACCGCTTGAACAGTTCTGTACTGATTCTTGAGGGAGATTGAAAGCATTTTCCATTTCTAGATCAAAACAGCCATGGAGCCCAACTACGCCATGCATCCAGCGCCAGTTTCCGGGACATCGCCCTTTTATTACTACAATCCGGATCCGGATGCTCACAATGGGCCGCATGGGCACTTTTCAACCCATCCCTCGGAGATGCAACTTCAGCATCCGAACGGGCACATGCCAATATACCCAAACCAACCTGTTCACCAACTCCATCACCAACTCCAGCAGCAGCAGCAGCAACAACAACAACAGTTACAGCAGCAACCTATGCAAGAAAAGCACTCGGGATACATGCACAACCCGCTCCCAGCCCAAGCTCAACCCCAACCCCAACTCCATGCCATGAACCTGCTCAACGGCACGATGCACATGACACCCACCGCATCACCGCAACCACTGCATCTCAAGCCTAGCATCGTGCTGCATCAAGGTTCCCCCTTGCTAATTCCACTGGACACCTCGTGCGGCGGGGATGGCGCTGATCTGTACGGCTTCCCGTCTACGCCTCCATTGTCGTCATCTGGAAGTACGGTGAGCAGTCCACCCTCCAGCTGTGGGGGGATGCAACACACGCCTGTGAATGGGAGCTTTTTCCAGCTAGAGACAATTGAGGGAGTGAAAGAGGGGTGTCAGAGTGAGGTGCAGACGGAGATATTGGCTAGTTTGGACTGGGGGAGATCGAGTTCACCGCCCATGACGCCAGGTACGTGTATTCGATTTTCATTATTTTATTCTCTTTTTTTTTTTTTTTAAAATGTTTTAGGTTTGGATTTGGTGAAGAGATGAGGTTGAAATATGCGTTGAAAATTTTTAAAGGAAAAAAATGAAAAGAAAAGAAGAAAAAAAAATGAGAAGTAAAATGAAAAAAGAACTGTGTGATGAGAGTTGAGGGGAGGAAAACAAAAAGCAAAGGAATTAATTAATGGTCTGGGAGGTTCAATCAAACCTTTTTTTTTTTTTTTTTTTTTTTTTTTTTGGTTGGCGGAGGTTGGCTGCTTGCTGGCTGCTGAAGCTGCGTCGATGAGCAGCAACACCAAAACAATATGCAAAAAGAAGAAAAATCAAAAATCAAAATCAGAAAGAAAATAGAAAAAGAAAAACAAAAACAAAAACCCGATGGAAGACCAGAAGGAAAACACCAAACGCAACAAGGACCGTTATTTTTAACTGATTGCTGTTTCTAATATGTTCTGTTATTTCCAGTGTTCATCCGCCCCCCTGGTACAGGCGTTGGCGGTGCCAGCGTGGGCCAAGCCGGGGCCAGCCACCAGGCCACCCAGACCTCCACTAGCACTTCGTGTCCCTCCCTTTCCCCTTCCAGTTCGCCCTCGCCCACGCCCACGCCCATCCTCAACTCCTTTCTCCTGCATCCCCTTTCGCCCTCCACCCTGGCCCTCCACCCGTCCAGCTCCGACTTCTGCGACCCCCGCCAACTCACTGTCGAATCTTCGGCACATTCCTCCTCCTCGTTGTCCTCGTCGCCGCCGTCGTCGTCGTCGTCGTCGTCGTCGTCGTCGGATTTTCCTCCTTTGCCCTCGCTGTCGCCAGAGCACCACCCCGACCACGACCACGATACCCACAAATTCATCCTGGGCGCTGACACCGACTCCCTCCACCCCCACAATCTCTCCCATTCCTCTCTGAGCGATACTACCGATCACTCCGAAGATAACCTGGGTAGTCTGCCGTCGTTTGACAATTTTTCCGATCTCGACTCTGAAGACGAGTTTGTCAACGGGATTATCGATTTCACCCCGACCGAGAACACGTTCTTCCTGGGCGACAAGCGTCGACGCGTAGGTTCCTTCTCCCGCAACAACGACTGCAACGACAACGACAACGACGATCTCATCAGTGAGCAGAGTCTAGAGGACCTCGAAGACGAGGATTTGTTTGCCCGCTCTGATCTGCCGTTGCTGCCATCCGAAGTCCCAGACGCAGCTGACTCAACCACCGCTAACATTTCGACAACCACAATCCCACTTGCGACCGGTGAGATGAGGACGAAGAAACGTCCAACACCCCGCAAACACATCAAACACCACTCATCCTCCGACAGCGAGTCAGATACCCTTGGCTCCATCATCAAAGCTGCCCAGGCCAACGTCAACAGTCGCGGCTCCAACACACACACAGACACGACTACCCCGTCGTCCCAACAACCCCAGCAGCAGCAACAACATCCATCAGGCGCCCCGACAAAGGAGTCATCTGAAAGCAACCCACAAACCTCAAGCTCGTCAGACGCCACCATCCCTGCCCCAGTCCTCCCTGTCAATCGCCGTGGACGTAAACAATCCCTCACCGAAGACCCTTCCAAAACCTTCGTGTGTACGCTCTGTTCTCGCCGCTTCCGACGACAGGAGCATCTAAAACGTCACTACCGCTCCCTACACACTCAAGACAAACCTTTCGAATGCCACGAGTGCGGCAAGAAGTTCTCTCGCAGCGATAATCTTGCCCAACATTCCCGCACCCACGGTGGTGGCGCCATTGTCATGGGCGTTCTCGACGCGCGAGACGTTCATCACTCAGATCCGTCCTCCCCAACACACAATCACAACCATAACCACGGTCCCAGCCACAGTCCCAACCACAGCCCAAATCACAACCACCACTACTTCGACGACCAGGACGCTGGTGCCCTGGGTGCCGTGCTCTATGAGGCTGCCCATGTCGCCGCCAACAAGTCCACCACCAGTGAATCATCAGATGATAACGACGGCATATCTCCGATACCCTTCACCGATCGCAAGCGGCCAATCAAGAAGCGCAAGCGGGAGGAATCTGCGTAATCTCCTTTCTATCCATCTCTCTCTATCTCTCCTTCTGATTTTCAAGACTGAAAAAAAAGAGGAATAATACTGATAATACGGGACCTGCTATACGATGCCCATGCGACCAGGAGATTATATATTTTCCTTTCTCGCTCACAACTTCTGTCCTTCTTCCTTCCTGTGATTATAGATCTTGGGACATGCATGCATGCCTGCATGGATGGGTCTCGACTTGGAAACATATCTTGCATATCTAAACCAAGACAAAACCCCCTCCTACAATACCTTTTGTTGTCTTCTGTTTTATATCTACCCCTGGTGTGTGTGATCTTGTTGAGTTTTGCTGGTATATTTCACTCAAAACTACTGGCGTCCGGGAAACTTGTGTGGTGAGCATTTGTGAGAACCTCTATTTCTTTATATACTAATTCCCATCTTTATTTTCATTTCTCTTTTTTAATTTCCCTTTATTTATATATATAATATCAGTTGACACATCCTCAGTCCTCAAGTAACTCAGCACTCTTCCAAATCGGAAAATATGAAATCCCTAGGAAGAGACTGCGTGTGCTTTGTATTGAGGGTGGAAGCTTTAAATTATTTATTTTCTGATGACGATTTTTTTTTTTCTTTGCGGTTTGTCGTTTTTTCTTTCTACTTTACTCCTTGCACTCTAAATGGAAGAGTATGCGTTGGAGAAACGTAATACCTTTTTTTCTTTCACTTTCCTTCCGTTGGGCGGGACGGGGGGGAGGAGAGAGTCTCATCCATCCTCTTCCCCTCAATTTCGTTCTGCTTTTCTCCTCTCTCAAGTCCATCCTCTGTTCTTATTCATTTCTGTAAGGGCTTTGGGTTCTTTTGTTGTCTCCAATCTCGTTTACATTTCCATTCGCCATCTATTTCCCGTTTCCATTTTTGTCATGTTTGGCTGCTGGTCACGAAGACATGATGTATCAATTGTTTTGATATCACCACCCCGTGTGCTCTGTTTTGTTTGTTTTACACTATTCTCCTCCTGGGCCCTGTCTTCCCCCCCCGTGTTCTGTCATCCTGGCTTCTTGTATTTTGTTCATTACCTGAATGTAACTCAATGCATCTCCTTTCTCTACCTGGGATTGTGAATGAAGTTCTGCTGGGAGATGAAGTAATCCCTGGTAATTTTATCTGTCTCATGTTTCATATTTGACCTATATTTCATTCTTTTATCCTGGTTTGAATTTTTTTTATCATGTCATTTGTGGTGTGAACGTATTTCACCACGATCTGAGACACGCCATACCTGAAACATTTTCTCACATGATATACTCAGTTCAAGCAGCACCAATTAAAAATAAGCAGCTTCAACCTTATACATTCATATCTCATTATATATTGAGCAGTTATAAGTGGAAATCAACTTGTCTTAGCTACTTTAGCTATTAAAATTCAGATATTGAATCAGTAAAGGCTATAAAATATTTCTTATTCAAGTTTAAATCATTATATTACTAGTCATACAAACATATTACTGATTTAAAACACAAAGAATGCTATTTTCTAAAGAAGTTGCTTTTGTGCAGTATTTTCTACATTGATACCTGAACCATATATCAAGTAAACAAGTAAATAAAAGTTATTAAATAGAGTTTTATATCACATGAAAAAGTCTCAGTTGATGAAATAATATATTAAAAGTTGAACTGAAGAAATGTCTCAGTTGATGAAATAATATATTAAGAGTTGAATATGATTTATGTCAGATCCACTTTTCTAAAATCATAATTAACTTTGATTATTTGATTGATTTTTTAATTTTATATTTGCATTCTGTAAAAATGCTCTATAATTGATTTATTAACTTAAGCAAATAAAATAAACAAAATATAAAGAATTATATTTTATTATATATTTAATATTTTATAAAAAAATATATATTTAATTTATTTTTTACTTGATTTTTTTAAATTAAGTTATTAAAATTATTATAATTTAATTAGATTTTATTATAAAAAATATATATTTAGCAATCACTAATTGAATTAAAATAAATATATTAAATTTAAAATATTTTTTCTAATATAATTAAATAAATATTATTATAATTAATATATATTTATAATACTTATAAATATAATTTAAAATTAATAATATAATAAATTAAATAATTAATTAATATAATTTTTTATTAAATTAAATATATTATTAGTTTAAAAAATTATTAAAATTATATTAAATATTATATAAAATAATAAAAAACTTATTTATAAAGTTATAAAACTATAAAATTAAAGTATTAATTATAATTTTATAATAATTAATTTAAGTTAAAAATATAAATATTTTAAATAAATTTTAAATTTTATTAAATTAATTATAAATAAAAATAAAAATAAAAATTTATTATATAAAATATTTTAATTTTAAATAATTATATAATAAATTAAAATTTATATATTACTTAATATTTTTCATATCATATTAATATTATATTTTTATTCAATTTTATTATTCTCAATATCAGAGTTGTAAATAGGTTCAAATGAAATTATAAAATGTGAATTAAGTTGTAAAGAGCACACAGAGTAAGAATCTGAGAAGTATGATAAAATTACTCTCATTTCAGAAAACTATATGTATGAGATAGTTATGTGTGAGATATGATTAATAGGGTCTGCAGTTTTAATAATGGCATAAAACACGCTGAAGGATTTTCAGGCCGAATTTTAAAACGCTGTACGTCTGTCATTTGCTCTCCTGCTGAAGACCAAAAATATCCAATGAATTGAAAAACAACTTAAAAAAAAAATATTTGGGAAGACAAGAGGAAATTCTGCTTTTTAAACTAATAAATTACTTTTGCATTTATATTTATATCATGCTATGGTCTCAAAAGAATATCTCATGAATTTGAAAATTTATTAAGTTATTTCAGGCTATTATCGAATGGATCGATCTCCTGTGGCTTCATGGAACCTCGCAGCTTCATTGAAGTGCTTACATAATCAAGAGGCAACATCATCTTCGATCGCAACAAGCTTCGCTGTTTTCTTTTGCAATGAAGACTATTTATTACCTTACAACTATCGAGAGCAACATGTACTGCTCTTCTGGAATTGGTGGATCCCTCTATCTTCTCAAAGCAATGGGATATCCTAAGTAGCTGATTCGCTAAATTTCGTATGATCGATTCTCTCAGTTTATAATGATAGGCTTTGGCGACGCTGAGCTTTGATGACGTACGTTCCTCCTGCATATTATTCCTGCGGATTATGCTGTGGGGGCCTTTGGCAAAGGTCACAAACTGGTCGAATGACATATGAATTGTTTTGTTAATGTTTAAGCCCTTTTGTTTATCGAGAGCAGACAATACACTTCATGTGATAGTGCTTAAGTCTCTCCTTTGAACTTGTATGACGGTCAAAAACTAGTTACCCCTACATGAGCAACAGAGTATTCTATTCTTACTTATAAATTACTATGTCACAACAACTCAACATCATAGCCCTGATATCGGGTGGGAAGGATTCCCTCTACTCGCTCCTGCATTGCTTAAAAAATGGACACAAAGTTGTTGCACTTGCAAATATGCATCCGCCTTTGAGGCCAAAACCAGGCCCCAATTACGCTGCGTATTTTGCTACGGGTACGCTTGATGCGGGCGATCAGGATGGATGTGTTGTGCAAAAAGGCAGAGTTGGACAGGAAGAAGGAAACAGCAATGAGGACGACGCACAACAAGAACAGGAGGATGAGGAAGAGGAAGAGGAAGATCTGGAAAGCTACATGTACCAAACCGTCGGCCATAGCATAATACCCCTCTACGAATCTGCTCTTGATATCCCGCTCTACCGCGCCCCCATCCAAGGAACAGCCCTTAATACTTCGCGAGATTATCACACACCAACATCACCGCCCCCATCGTCACAACCATCAACTCCTATTCCAGAATCAGCGGACGAAACTGAATCACTCTTCCACCTGCTCAAACACGTCATGAAGCATCATCCAACAGCCAATGCTGTCTGCGCCGGTGCCATCCTCTCCACATACCAGCGAACGCGCGTTGAAAACATTGCCAGCCGCCTAGGCCTCATCCCCCTGGCCTGGCTGTGGATGTATCCCACACTCCCACCACCTGCGGAGCGTGCGAAGACACCTCGCAATTCCCCCGCAGCTGTTGCCGGTTTGCTAGAAGATATGGCTGCGTGTGGCTGTGAGGCGAGGATTGTCAAGATTGCGAGTGGAGGACTGGATGTGGATGATTTGTGGGCGAATGTTGCCGGGGGAGATGGGCATGGGGGAGGGAGTGTGGTGAGGGAGAGGTTGGTGAAAGGTATGGGAAGGTTTGTTGGGGAAGGGGAGGTGCACGGTGCGGTGCTAGGGGAGGGTGGGGAGTATGAGACTATTGCGTTGGACGGGCCTGGGGTTTTGTGGAGAAAGAAGATTGTTGTTCGGAGTGTGGAGAGGAGGATTGGAGAGGGGGGCGTAGCAGCTGCGAGGATTACTGGGGCGAGGTGCGTGCCGAAGGAAGGGGGAGGGGAAGGAGGTTTGGGGTTGGTGAGGGTGCCGCAGGTGTTTGATGCGGAGTTTAAGGGGCTGTTAAGTGATATGGTGTTACGTCTGAAGCAATATGATGATTTCCAAGAGGAAGAGTTACAAAATCGCATGCTTCGTGGTGATGATGAGGTCTGGAAGGCAGACATATCCCAGACACAAGGGGAAAATGTTTGGACCATTTCAAATGTTTCCGTCCCCGAAGTTGGTGCCGGCGCAGCGAACCAAATGAAGGCCATTGTACAGAAATTAGAAGATATCACCCGGCAATCTGCCACAAGAGACATTGTCTTTGCGACCATCCTTCTTCGATCGATGGACGATTTCGCTTTAATCAATCCCATCTACGCCTCCCTATTTACTAACCCGAACCCACCCGCCAGAGTGACCGTGGCATGTGGCGATAGCCTCCCTCCTGGAGTGGACGTAATCGCATCTTTCGTCATCGACATGCTTCCCCGCGAGGGTAGATTGGGCTTGCATGTCCAGTCACGCTCCTATTGGGCTCCAGCAAACGTAGGACCATATTCCCAAGCACAATGCATCCCCTTGCATAAGGGTGCGAAAATCGATCGAGATGGTGGGGTAATTTATGTTGCGGGGCAGATACCTCTGGATCCTGGGTCGATGGATTTATACAACCCCCTTCCCACACAAGAGAGCAGTGGCTGGTTTAGCCCCTTTGTGTCTCGTACAATACTATCGCTCCAGCACCTTTGGCGGATTGGGAAGGTTATGGAAGCGGACTGGTGGTTGGGTGGCGTGGCATTTTTAGCTGGAGATGAGAAGATTCCTTCCAAGGCTAAGGTTGCGTGGGATATATGGGAACATATGAACCGTGACCCCTCTTCTTCGAACGCTGGTGATGACAAAGGAGATGGCGGAGATGGTGCGCCAGAATTCGATGCCTGGGATCTTAAATATGGAAACCATCGGGATCTAGGGCACTCCTCGTCGAATGGAACGAAGAAGAATCTACCAAATTTTGATATCGTCAGGGGATCTATCTTCACTCCGCCTTTTTTTGCAGTGCAGGTAGACGCACTGCCTCGTGCAAGTGATATTGAGTGGCAAGGTTTGGGGACAAGGACTGATACGCTCGCCATATATGAGAAAACACAGCCAGGGAAGCATTGGATAATAAGTCATTTACAAGGTGCGGGATTCGGGTCGTTCTATTATATTGGAATCCAATGCGGCGACCAACCCGATCGAGATTTGGAAGGGCACGTACAGGATGCAATGGATGCTGTAAAAGCAAGAGAGAATGATACCCAGAGTGGGAATATTGATCATATTAATTTTACGATATATACTTCTCACAGTTTGAGTGAGAGTGTCTGGCAACAGGGGCAAATTGTGCCATGCAAGTCTCTCTGGGGCCAGCGGGGGAAGAAGCTGGCAGCTGGGATTGTGGTTCATGTGCGATTGAAGTGAAAGTTTATTATTGACATTGTATCTTTTTCTCTCATTGTATTTCTCTAAAAGCTCCTTCTTTGCGGGGGTGGAAGCTGGTGCGTTGTGCTGGAGAGAATGAATAAATACCTACAGGTATATCCGCATTAGCTTTATCATATTTATGACATTGACAATATCAATTGGCCTATGCATTAAGGACGTTATTGAATTTAAATGATAATGTATTTCTAGAGTAGGCAGGAGAATATCCATAACAACAGGTTTAATCGATTAGTTACCACATGTGATAAGACACGCAGTGCAGAAACCGCGGCAACAAACTACGTCCGCCTGTTCTCACCGCGCTTTTCTCGTCAAAAATGACCGCAAATTTTTAGCATGGACCTTTTCCGTCCACCACGAACAACGCGACCCATGGACACGAACAGTATCGACGACGAACGATATTCGAGCTATATATTATTCGGCGCCTTTTTACCAGGCGCCACGATCTTCCTGGACGTCATTTCGAGTACTAGTCGACTATGAAGAGAAGTTAATCCCAACGGTAATTACTGAACACAAAACCGGAACAGAATGCTATGGCAGCCCAGGACGCCCACAGAGGCAACAATGAAAACAATGAAGCCTCCTATATGGCTGTTCCGTCGCAGGATGCTCGGTATCGGCAACTTTCTAGATCCCCCCATCCTTACCATCGCTGCGCATTTAGCCCCGTCGCTCCTGGTGCGACTTTCATAAGTCATGATGAAGATGGCAGCGATACCCCTCCGTCGGGAAGATCGCCTATTTCTTCTAGCGATAGCGGGACGGAGGCAGACGACGAGAGCACAGGATTTCTGAAAGGCTTACCTGCACCTCAGATACGGTCCAGGCGGATCCTGGGAGTTAAGCCAGGAAATGTCCAAGAAAGGCGTGGGGGATCAGCAGGTGCACGGATATGGTCTGCATTCAGGAGGTCGAGATTAGAGGCTTCAAGGAGGGAAATAGGTCAAGGCATAGATACTTGTGAAGTAGATGCCCGGTGGCAAGCGGGCAGGCGGGTTGAAGCTCTACGAAGATTGTCAGAAACAACGCTGGTGCTTGTTGTAGGCGCAACGGTATATTTTGGGAATTACGTGAGATTTGCTACCAGAGATTGGGATAGGGGTATGTTCTTGTTCCTAACTACCAATAGGTGTTGGATGCTGATATGTTGAACTTTGGCGATATAGAGCTATCGATCTTTTCGATTATTATACTTGGACTCTACTTATCATACCCGTTTCGAATATTTATGGCCGGTTTCCGAAGGCACAGCTGGAAGTCTATTGCCTCCTTTCCATTCTCGACTGATCTCGACCCTGCGCCTCTGATATACCCTGTTCTCCTCCCTGTCCTGATCGCGTTGTCGCTGGTCAACAATCGCCAGAACCTCATACTCCCGAATATAATTCTTGGTCTTTCCTCAATACCCTTGCCTATGATACCTCTCCATGATTTGCTTCATGGGTGTGCCCTTACACATTGGGCCGTTGCTGCTTTCCCAATTATCACTTCGGATATCTTTACACGGAGCCCAATGGGCCTTCGCGACTTAAATCCAGAGCTTCTCCTCCTGATATTTCCTCTACATCAAGCGCTCGTTACAACATTGAACTTCATTTTCACAACCAGCCTGTTACCTACCGAATTGCAACTCCTTGCTACAGGCCTCATCAATATTCTCCTTTTTACCCAGTCCCCCCAAGCGGAAATACTCAAGGCCTTACTGTGGATAGGCGGGATTTGTATGCTCATCTTATGTCGACAAGTCCTTCATTGGGAGGTTGTCTTGGCTAGAGTGCCATCTTGGAAATTCAGCCGAACCCCTACTAGAGCTACTGGACTGATGAGTTTTTTCAGAATGCTTGATCAAAAGCTCTGCTGTAAACTGATGAGCCATGCTGGCCTAACTGAAGAGGTTTTGACTGATAGTGGCCTCCCCATCAGCCGGTTTACGGTTGCCATGGGCGAGGAATATCAAGAACACCATCGACTGAAACAGCGTGAGTTTGATCGCATATCTTGTGGCGGTCAAGCGGCAGTTTCCGGAATTTGCACAGCTCCCAATGGAGAGAACGTCAAATCCAACGACAGCATTTTCCTGCAAGAGTGCCCTCCATCTAGAAAGTCGAAATTAACAAAAGGCCGTCAACGTCGCCAATCTCTTAATTTTGACGATGGTGATGCAAACGATCCTGTTAAGACCACGCCTGGTGGCCGGCGCAAACGATTAATGACACCGAATCTCCAATCCTTCACCTCTTTGACTTTTGCTCAGGCCCACGTAAGAAAGTGGGCCTATGCACTATACGTCTACGAAGTTACATTGTTCATAATTTTCTTGCCTGTAAGAAGGTATATTGGCCGGAATGCGCTTCACGGAAATGACCCCTTTGGGTGGGCCATTGGGTATCTTTTCGGCAACATACCTCCTTTTAGATTTTGGCTTGTGAGATCTAATATGGAGAATTGGGTGCGATTACCACCTTTACTTGATGAAGAACTCAAAAGCCAGTCATGCCGTCTGGGTTGGGTCGACCATCTCCGGCAAGATACATTCGGAGAGGCAAATACACGTCTTCTTATTGCCTTCTATTGTGTTCTCGTTATTGTAGTTGGATTGGCGTTAGTGGTTCGCCTCAGCGGGACTGTTGAGGTAGATACTCGACGCAAAGTTTTCCATGGGATGATGGTCCTGACGTTCCTGCCAACCACCTTTATCGACCCTACATTTACAGCACTTGCTTTGGCTCTCATCCTCGCCGTTTTTTTGCTCCTCGATCTATTCAGAGCTTCCCAGTTACCACCCATCTCGAGACCACTCACATACTTCCTTGCACCATACGTTGATGGGCGCGACCATCGGGGCCCAGTTATCGTTTCTCATATCTTCTTGCTTATTGGCTGCGCCATCCCTCTTTGGCTCTCTCTTGCTGGAATCCCTCGCAGCGGTATCCCGCCCTGGGATGGGTGGGAGGTGGAGACCCGCGATCTCAGTATGGTTACCGGGATTATAGGTGTTGGGATGGGCGATGCCGCCGCGTCTCTGGTTGGCCGGCGATATGGCCGACGTAGATGGTTCTGGGGGGGCGGGAAGAGTATCGAGGGAAGCGTTGCCTTTGCCGCAGTCGTCTTTGTGGGAATTCTCGTGGCACGAACCTGGCTGATACTTGGCGGTTGGGATCGCTCTGTTTCTGCGTCGATGTCTGAGGTGATCACTTCATCCTGGGCGAGGATGGCGATGTCGGATGGGTGGGCTACCATTGTTGGAAAATCTCTCCTTGCCGCATTTGGGTCTAGTTTCACGGAAGCGGTGTTGACGGGTGGGAACGATAATGTTGTGGTGCCATTGGTCTTGTGGCTGCTTGTAAGAGGATTGGGGCTATAGAAACTGTTGACCTGTTCTAATATCTTCTGCTGGTGGACAGTTATCTTTTGCTACAATTGCCATACATATATATTTGTATTTCTTTCTACCAGCCACGTTTTACCGGGAAAAATTTCTCATCCTTTTGCTCCAATGGGATATTTCACACCCTGTATAGTAATAAGGGACCCTTTTGTTTCATTTCCACTTTGTGCTTTTCCCAACCCATCTGAATATCTAAGAAAAAGGGAACACAATTCATATGCAAACACATGTGGGTCTTCTCTCTTTGGATTCTATATCGTTGGCAAGGATTTGAAACGGGGTTATACCCGGAAACACTACTAGTTTCATGCTTTCCTGAATCCGTTAGGAATATCCTTTGATGTTCATAGATTTCCCGAATCTGCGAAGGGGACATGGCATTTGTTTTCCGTCGCCATCTTGGCATGGAGTTCATGTTTTAATCTGAACCACATTCCGTGGTTGGCTCACCTCTTTACAAGCTTACATTGAGATAAAAATAGGTGGTGACCTTGTCAGCTGTGACTGGCACAAGCGATATTGCGAGGCTGACGACGCCCGTCAATCCATACAACAAAACCCTCGAGGTCGATTACAAAAAGGTGCTTGAATCCCTCCATGCTAAAGTTCGAGATGTTCACTGCAACCTTTTTCCCTATAGCCTCGAAGAAGATCACTACTGCTCCGCCTGGATTTGTGCAATTTTGGTCTCACTCTTGACTGATAGTCTCTGATTCCAAGTCCCTGCCAACTTCACTCGTTGGTAGAATCGACGCAACAGAAACATGGGAAACGTGTTCTTGCATGAAACATTCTGTGATTGATACCTTGTGTGGCTTTTACAGTCAAAAAATATTACCTCTCGTCTAGTTCTTCTAACTAGAAGTTGGTAGCCGCGAGCTCCACTACTGATTGTCGCTATAAAACTCTGCACATCTATTAGCATCAAGTGGTGGAGACCATTGCAATCGGATGAGAAAAGCATGTCATCATTCGAAACATTCTATCCATTTCCCCGTTTCCCACCTGAAATCCTCCGGATCATCTATCTCCTAGCAACCCCGCCACGTTGTGTGTTTGTCAACGAACACCCCAAGCCAGATAGTGACTCCTATGGGGACTTCTACGAGTCGTTCGACACTCGAGTACCCATACCTGGTAATCTCACAATACACCCAAGCCTGGCCTACTTCGCGCATAACTGGTGCCAAAGGGTCCGGGTCAACAAGCCGCCCCGCGAAGCTTGGAATTTCAACACCTACAACGCCAGACGCAGCAAATCTTTACAGACAACGCTAGATTCGTATGGCTTCACGAGCAGCAAAAAGCCATACCAACCATTGACCCCGACTGCTGATGTCCCAGAGATCCCAGCCCATTGGCTTGCTGAACGGCCTGATTTAGCATGGCATTTCACGCGCGAGAGCCATTTCCGTAGCAGAACGCCCATCCCCCCCTTGCTCCATACATGCACCGAATCGCGACAGGTGCTGATAGATTATGGATATGAGCTTACATTCCGAACACGCACGGGTGGGCCGCGCGTGTGGTTTTTGTTTCTGCGATGATGTGTTGTGTCTTCTTTCGCGCGGGTACGATGACTCGTATGATGTGTTGGATGGATGCCCATGGAATGTTGGGCAGTTTCTCCCGGATGATCTGAGGAGGGTGAGGCGTCTTGCGTTACAGGATACGTTTGATCCATCAGATGGATGTGGGATTGCTCCTGCTTCTGGGGCGCTGAGGTTGTTTTCTGGCATTCGAGAGCTGTTATTGATACAGCAAAATTTGCGGTGGGCACATAAGTTTTGGTTTCCTGGTATTGAGGAGGTGGGAGACCAAGGGGAATGGACGTATTTAGACGATCAGGAGTTGTGGAATTGGGTAGCACCTGATTTGGCAGATATTCTTGATTATGATCTACGCAGGAATCGCGAATGTCTCTGCCTTGAGTATTACGATGCGGCCCTTGCTGAATACGAACGAGTTCATAAGGGGGATTTATGTGGATTCTTTCAATATGTTTCTAAAAAATACGAAACGGGGTTGAGAGATGAGAGAAATCGGGTCCTTGGTGTTCGCGAAGAAGGGCAAATGACCGTAACACCTTCTTGGAATATACCGAGTGTGACTCTTGTTACTTTTGGTCCGAAACATGCGATAAAGGGCACTTCTCCGTTGCCGGGAGAGGTATTGGCAGAACCCTCAGGAGAGGGATTACAGAAACCCGAATGCGCACCTTCGAAGCTTGTTCCCCTTTTAGCCACTATATACGGCGGAATACGTGGATATATATCCATATTCAGGTGTCTCTGACATCACATGGCGGTGAGAGGCAACACTCTACTTGACTGGTTTCAACCGAGTCAATTGAGAGCTTGCTCCTCTCATTGGCAGTGAATTACTACAAAGCGGGTTTCGTTTTCACGAGCTGGAGGTTTTCTGAAGTGATTTTGGACACGGATATTGCTTGGACAATGGAGTATAAATGGTGCACTTGGTGGGAGGCAGTATATCTATCTACCCATGGAGATCTCATCATAGTTTTGAAGTGGAATAGACTCCCAAAACATGAACCCTGAGCGATCTGGAAATCTAGACCTGCAGGCCTTTCCTCTCTTATTATTTATTTAATTTCCCCCCCCCCCCCCCCCCAGAACTAAAAGAGGAGAAATATTTGCAAGTTTGCGTAATGTTGCCTATCTCGTGGTCTCTAACCAGTCTATCATGTGGATTGTCAAATCTGAATGTAGAAATCTCTCATCCCTAATCTTAGCGATATACATACACTGTGTGCAGAGAAACAATATGAGAGAAGTGCAATATGAATCATCACAGAAGAGCAAAAGAGTAATAATGTAGTGAAGAAATAACATGCAGTATTAAACAGCTAAGCACTCAAGTTTCCGCATCATATCTGCAAATCTCAGTATATTTTTTTGTCTTCGCTGATACAAGTATTAAGAATAGAATTGAGTGAAAGAGATATTCAGACTCGTAGAATGATGCTTCTTCTATTCTTGGCTTCATATCTGTCTCACACACATTTCTCATGAGGATCTTGATATCACATAGTTAACGGGTTGACACAATTGCAAGTCTTCTGTTGCATATGATTATTTTTACGTGAAGTCTGAGTAGATTGAAGGCGCAGTTGAGCCAAGTGATCAAGTTCTTGGCCTCACCCAAGGAAATGAGGCAGTGAGAATGGATTGATTATTGACATGAATACAACGGACATACATGACTGGAGAAATATATAGAGTGTCGATAGCTCCCTCGAGTGCTAGCAAGGAGCGGTAGTTAATTGCTAGCGAAATGTTAGCAGCAGGGAGGCTGATGTCTGACTATACTGCTATGGGTAAAGAAGTGTTGACCGAGTTAACCATGGGTAACTAACTACAGGCAGGCATGTGTCGGTTGGCAAAGCAAAGCCTGACTCCAAGGTCGAAGCAACATGACATGTGCATGACATGGCATCTGACGAGAGGGCGGGTTTTGGTAGAGCGGAATATGCAAGAAATTCTTACGTTGTCCAAGACACATGATTTGAGTCTTGCGTGGAAGTGCCCTTTGTGTGCGCACTGGTGCGTCCTGGCTGTGCCCTATCAATACCTGGGGAGGAGAGGAGGGAGAGTCCACGGGTGTGTTCTTGATGCCGATCAGGTTTACTGTGAAGACCTTGTGGGCAGTGGGCTCCCGCAGCGGACTCTTTGTTTGGCTGGGGCCGGCAAGAGAAATAGTTGAGGAAATGCCAAGGCCCGACGGATGATCTATTTTCCGGATCCGGTATGGCGTCATGTGCCAGTCGTGATGTGCTGGGGAGGTAGGTCACTGGTACCTGGTACCAGTGTGCATGAACACAGGTGCTCTAGGTATTTGATACTTTCTGGGATTTGTTTCATCATCGGGAGGGCTGCTTTGCCCGGAGGTTTCGAGTACGTAGACTTTGCTGGGGCAGCGGACAGTAAGTAAGGTACTGGTTACCCCATGTCCCCCATTCACCGTTCCTCTTGCAGCAGAGGTTGACAACGTCGGCTGCATCCATGTACCAACATCTCACTCGTCTTCCGTTTCTTTTCTTTTCTTTTCTTCTTCTGCTGCTTCTTCTTCCTGCTCCTCCTCCTCCTCCTCCGTCTCTATAAACTCAATCTATTCCACCTTCTCGAGCGAGTATCGACTCTCCTTCTCCTCCCCCCTCCCCTCTCTCTTGCTGTGGCTCAGTCCTGTGACTCCCTAGCCTCCCAGCCTATCCTCCTTTTTATATCTGCTTTCTCGTCTACGCTGTTCTATGTTGTTCTAACGATTCCTCTTTAAATTGCTACCCTCTATATCGTCCCTATTCTATTCCCTGGAAGGAGTTCTTACCAGTTGGTTATCCACTAACTAGTTATCTGGTGAGAGCTACGAGCTGCTTATCCCGTACGTTATTAACACTCTTGCTGTCTCCATGAAAATAAAAGCAGCCAGCCCTTACAACGACAAGAAGAAAATAAAAATGAACACGAAGGAACATTTGTAAAAAATATTAAAAATATTAAAAATATAAATAATTAAATAAAAAATAAAATTAAAAAAAAATACCGTGTGTTTTTTCGTCCCCATCTGCTGCAAGCCGCCTTGTTTTCTGCTGGCCAATCACCAACCAGCCTAGCTTCCACGGCCTAGAGCTCACTCCAGTCATCTCCAGGTACCCGGCGAATCTTCCTTCAACCTCCTTTCAACGTCCTTGAACAGCGTTTCTGTCGTTTCCTTCATATCATCTACTTGGACTGCTGCTCCCTTGGATAGTAGCGGGCTATTTATCGTCTCCTCTCCGCTTCTCTCCGCTTAACCAAGTTGTCTCCTTCTACACTCTGCCTATACTCCAGGCAGTCTGGTGACCTCATCTCCACCCGAGCTCAACAACCCTGAACGAACGACGAAGCCTTGACGAAAGAATCAACACTTCCACATTGTTCTTTCGTGCCTGAAAATCGAAACAGTTGTTTTTCGTATCACACATATCCCGTGGTTGGCTGTACGTGACGTACTAAAATTAGTTTCCCAAATAATATCAACTCACTCCAGAAGCGCTCACCGATCGTCAACCACCCTGCCTTATAATATCAATACCCTCCCTCACGTCTCACTTCAGTATTTGCTGCTTGAACCGCTCCTGATGGGACCCCGGTCCAAGCAGTCGATTTTTATACCGTTGTCGAGGTCGTGATCGTTTCCGGGAGATCGAACCCTTTTGAGGGCTATGCCCATCATGGACTCCCCAAAAGATGCAACTCCAACGTCCAGGCCACTACCGTCCAGACGACGAAAAGAATTAGATGTCATCCCGATACAGGTGGGGAGCTACACTCGTCTCGAAGAGATTGGCCGTGGTAGTTTTGCCACAGTTTATCAGGGTGTCCATAACGTGAGTTAGCCTGTTGTGCCAGGTCTCTTATTTCCATTCATCCTCTGGTTGTGAATCTATTAAACCATAGGATCTTCCAGGGATATGTTTAATGTGTTTATTATGCTGACATATTAATTACAGAGAAATCAAACTCTGGTTGCCATAAAGTCTGTGAACATGGCCAGACTAAACAAGAAACTTAAGGATAACTTGAAATTGGAAATCAACATCCTCAAGGCTGTCAATCACCCTCATATCGTGATGCTTCTGGACTGCCAAGAGACATCCCATGAGATCCACCTGGTGATGGAATACTGCGTCCTTGGAGATCTCTCGATATTTATCAAAAAGCGTGACTCCCTTGTGAGGCACCAATTGACCCGTGATTTGATACTGAGATACCCGAATCCACAGAGCGGTGGCTTAAATGAAGTTATTGTCCGCCATTTTCTAAAACAACTTGCGAGTGCTCTCCATTTCCTCCGATCTAGGGATCTAGTCCATCGCGATGTAAAGCCTCAAAACCTTTTGCTTAATCCTTCACCCCAATCCATCGCCAAGGGTGATTACCGGATTCCTCCATACAAAGGAAATGGGGATCTATTCACTCCGCTAGCGGGTTTAGATTCCATGCCCCTGCTCAAACTGGCAGACTTTGGCTTTGCTCGCTCACTTCCTTCAACTTCTCTGGCCGATACCCTTTGCGGTTCGCCCCTGTATATGGCTCCAGAAATCCTGAGGTACGAGAAATATGATGCTAAAGCCGATTTGTGGTCTGTGGGAACGGTCTTGTATGAAATGGTGGTTGGGAAGCCGTATTTCAGAGCTACGAACCACGTGGAATTGCTGCAAAAAATTGAAAAGGCCAATGATCGAATCAAGTTTCCTGAACATTGCGAAGCATCCGAAACCATGAAAAAGACAATAAGACATCTGCTCAAACGGAACCCGGTTGAAAGGATGGGTTTTCACGATTTCTTTGAGTCATCGCTCATTAAAGGGGATATTCCTGGCTTGGTGATGGAGGGCAGACATCACTCTCACGAAATAAGCTCTGCGGATGAGTTACAAATACAAAGGGTGCGTTCAATTCGGCAAGACCGAGACAGCAATGCTGCGCAGGATACAGGCTACTCATCACCGTCCGGCCGCCATTCTTCGCCCCAGACTGAGGATCAACGACCAACAACTCCACGCCCAGTATCGGGGAACTTTTCTCGTCCACCCACGGCCGTACGCCGAGTTGGAAGGCGCGACATACCAGATCTACAAAAGGTAGTTGTAACAGGGCGACAGCAAAACATGACCTCTCAGCCATCTTCTCCTCGACAGCCTGATTCTGGCGAACACACTACTGCTGCTTATGCAATGGAACAGCAACGAAGCAGGAATACATCTTCGCCCGGGTCATCTTTATTCAAAGAAAATGTCATAGAGCATGGGACACCTCCGCAACCTGCATTTGACAAAGATGCCGAACGGGAACGGGAACGGGAACGCGCTGCTCAGGATGTGGCTTTTGAGCGCGACTATATCATAGTAGAAAAAAGAGCGGTGGAGGTGAATGCGTTTGCAGATGAGCTTGCTGCGAGCCCACGCATTCAGCAACAGAGTCAAATTCCGCTACGCCAGGTAGGGGGGACTATTGCCCGTCGTGCGGCCACAGCCTCTCACTCCCCCAGTACGTCACAAGGTGTTCCAGCTCGAGCGTTACAAATGGTTACTGGTAAACCCCGGGCAGATTCCAGCCACCAACGACAGGGCTCATACGACCGGAGATACGGCCCTAGCCCTACCTCGGCGACATCTGCAATTTCGAAAGCGCTAAATATGGCTAGCGGACGACTGTTTGGGGTTGGGTTTTCTCCTCCGCTAGCTTTTACAAAGGGTGGACGCTCACCGACCCCGTCCTACAGCCCTTTCCCCGCCTACCCACTATCCCAAGGTAATCTTGTCATTGTTGGCGATGGAGCGAAGACACAGTTTGCATTAGACGAAGACACGAAGACGGTCCAGATTATTGAAGAATGTGCAACGCGGAGCGATGTTGTTTATGGATTTGCTGAAGTCAAGTACAAACAGCTGATACCGTTGGCTCCATCCATGCAATCGCATACAGCTATTCACCCCGATGCCACCACTTCCACGGATATGGAAGTTGACCCGTCCCAGTCGATGGATGGCGGGCTGACTGTTGATGCAGTTGTGACACTATCTGAAGAAGCACTTGTACTCTACGTGAAGGCGCTTTCTTTGCTTGCGAAGTCGATGGATATCGCTGGTGCATGGTGGGCTCGCAAAAATGCTGGAGAAGTCATTGGCGATAGTTCATCCGTCGGGTCGGGGTCTGGTAGTGGTGGCAACGCAACCCCTGCAGTTGGGAACCGGGTGAATAACGTGGTGCAGTGGGTTCGCAGTCGGTTCAATGAGGTGTTGGAGAAGGCGGAGTTTGTCCGGCTGAAACTAGCGGAGGGTCAGAAGCGAATACCTGTCGGTCACCCTTCACATCCAAGGAACAATAACAACAACACATATGAATCAGATACAGACCTGAGACTAAGAACCTCCGTCGACCAGATTGTCGTGAGCTCTGGGATAACTGCCGAGAAGTTGATGTATGACAGAGCGTTGGAGATGAGTAGGATTGCGGCAATCAATGAACTTACTGGAGATGATTTACCCGGGTGCGAGATTGCCTATGTCACTGCGATTAGGATGCTGGAAGCAGTCTTGGAAAATGATGAGGAGGTGCTGGCGAGGAAATCTGGACAAGGAGACAAGGAGGATGCGGCAGATCGGGATAAAATGCTCATTAATGGAGTTCAGGTGGAGGAACGTCAGGTTGTGGCTAAACGTGAGTTGAGCTATATATTTGGAATTATTTCCGCTTAAATTTGCTGGACTCTGCACGATATGAAACCTGATGTCATATGATGTGCCCATATATGCTAACCTACTGTCTCTCAAATATTCAGTTGTCGTTAGCATCCGCACACGCCTCAATGAGCTGCGAAAGAAGATGACACTCCTGTCCAAGAGAACATCTGCTCCTCCCAGTATTCAAGGCAAGACCCCCATTTCCCATCATCGCGGAACTTCCTCGCCTGCCATCGCGTCCGCTTCCCCCCGGTGAAGGCTTAATGCTATTTGGGCTTTTCAGTCTCTCCTGTCCCCGACGAGGTCCTTTGGATATTGATATAAATAACAAAATTGATTTCCAACCTCTGTTGTATGCATTTTGCGCTAAGATGGATACCTAAGTGAACATGTCAAGTGATATTTATTCATGTTCTGCCAGAGTGATGCTGCTTTGCTTGATATTTTACCCGAACAATATCAGGATTTGAAGATGCCTCAGCACTTAGTGATGTTGAGCATCTAAGTTGCTGTTTGCTTCCTTTCCGTCTCTCCGGTTTCTTCTTTTTCTTCCATCTTATCATGCATGCCAGTTTGCTTGATCTTGAAGCTGCTTGCTTACACCCTCCCCCCCAACAACATTGCAACCCGTTTCCCTGAAATGGTTGAACCACTGATTATTACATTTATCAGTTGCCTTTTCACTACTATCTACTTTTCTATGTTGCATACAGACATGTACGTGGGTTATCTCTCTCTCTCTCTCTCTTTATTTTTTATTTTTTATTTTTTATTTTTTTTGCGCATCACTACCATTTCTCTTTCTCTATTGTCATATTTATTTTATACCCCTTAAGGTTGTGGGTTGTGGTGTTTTATTTGTTCAGGCGCTTATTACTCTCTCCTCTTTTTTGCACTTCAGAGAAAGAAAAAAAAAGATATGTAGAGGGAGAATTACTGGAACTTGAAATGAGGAAGAGCTTGGTTGTCCTGGTCTTTTGGTTTCGCTTCTTTTTATGGGCATACTATATAGTTTGATAGCCGCCCGCCACTTTCCTCACCTTTTATCCTTAATCTTTTTATTTTTATTTTTTGATTTAAATCATTTTTATTCTTCATGAAGCTTTATGATATTCTATTTTCCTGGATAAACAGATTGAAACATAGCTACCGCATGCTAACGATTGGGAGTTGCAGCTGGGTTTCTCAGATCGGAGAATTATTGGAGTCTTTCTTTTTTCTTTTCTTTCTTTCTTTTGGCTATGGCTATGTTATGGTTTTCAACTTAGATAGCCCGCGTTGGGGGTATTTTGTGGGAGGTCAGTTAGCTTGCCTAGCTACTTGATGCAATCAACATTTGGTTCCTGCGCAAACTGCTATGGGTCTCATATAAATCTACATATATTTAGTTACTTATGAAGTGATATTTAATGACCAGCGATGATTGAAATGAACTTTTTAGTTGTTCGGGAGTGTAGAAGGCAACGAGTTCGCAGAGAAATGTGCTGAAACAGGCTTCTTCTTGTCCGTCCAGTCGACGTATGGGCCCAGGCGGAGGAGGAAAGTTGATTCTTCTAAAACTCCCAATAAATCCGCTGCTAGTAAGCTGGCCCGAATGTTGGGCACAGTTTACGTAGCAGCTAAGCCATGTTCGGCTTGAGCGATCTACGGGTTCGGAAAATGGTGAAAATGATTTGTTTCACTATCGTATGAAAATTGAATCATAATATATACAGTTTATGCAAACACCGTATGATGAGCTTATGTTAGAGCAAAATGGATATGTCTGAGCCCACTGAGCCCTACAAATACACACCACTTGTGACCCCAACATCAATACGTCTCCTTCGCGTCGACTCAAAATCATTTTCACATGGCTCAGACATTCCCCGGATAACCTGTAGTCTTAAAACGGTTGACCTAATCGCCAACCCATGGTACCATGCTCTGTCATATACGTGGGGAAACCCACTTCCCGTGGATAACGAATACTTCCGTCCTAAATATGACGATGCGCAAATATTCACCAAATACGACTACGAGGAAGGTAAATGTGTCATCCACCTTGATGGCAAGCTGCAATACGTAAGCAGGAACTTATTTGATGCGTTGAGTACCGTGCCATCAGATGCGTGGGCTAGAAATTGCAATCGCGGCAACACGAAGAAGCAGAAGGCTCATGCCCCGCTACACTGGGTTGGGATTTCGGGTGATGAGGATTATCTTCTGTCAGTTTTGGCGGGCGGAGAGAGTGTTGATGTTAACCTTTTGGATGGCTTGGGGAGATCTGGGTTAAGTTGTGCAGCGGAGTATGGGAGGATGGGGGTTGTTGAGATTCTGATGAAGGCAGGGGCTGATGCGATGATTGTGGATGGGGAAGGGAAAATAGCGGTGGATTATGCAAGGGGAGAATGGGCATGGTGAAATTGTGAGGGTTTTGGAAGCTTGTGGGGAGGGGGGGGAGAATCTGTTGACTCCATTGGAGCTTCCGGATGGCCCGCAAGTTTGGATGTGGGTTGATCAAATTTGTATTAACCAGGAGGATCTCGAAGAAAGGGCTACGCAGGTTACTATGATGGATCAAATTTACCAGAAGGCACGGTATACTCTGGTGTGGCTAGGGGCTGAAGACCAGTATACTGAGGCAGCTGTGAAAGCTGTCTCGAAGATCGACTCTGCTCCTGTTGATTTTCAGGATAGCAAGATCACGCCTTATACCAGTGAGGGTAAAGATCTATATGAGAAAGAGGGCATCCCGTTCATCTCTGCAGAGGAGTGGACTGCTCTCGCAGCTATTTTCCTTCGGAATTACTTTCGACGGCTTTGGGTAGTGCAGGAAAATGTGCTCTCCGGGACCATTCTTGGATACTGTGGCAAGCATGAATTACCTTGGAGAATGTTCTGCAGAGTTGCACAGGTTGTGTATTTCAGACAACTACGACTCGCCCGTATCACATCGGTGGAATACATCAACAGGCTGGATGCGGTTGTCGGTATTGAGAGCCAGGCAGTCTCTCTGGTGCAGTGGAGGGAGAGATTTGAGAAAGGGGACAAGGCAGCGGAGCCGAAGGAGCTTTCTTTTGAAAGTCTCGTTTTTGATACATGGACTTTCCGCGCAACTGATCCTCGAGATAAGATTTTCGGTCTCTATGGACTGCTCAATATAGTCGACAAGGGTAAATGGCGGCCGGACTATCACAAGTCTGTAGAAGAGGTATACGCAGAAGCAACTAAGACGATTATGCAGCAATCTGGGGAATTACGGATGCTCTCCGCTGCCGTTGATTGCTCTCTTCGAAACATTACAACGCTTCCCTCGTGGGTTCCCGACTATAGCATGGGTTATACGAATATGATGTGTGCAGTATATAATGCTGCTGGTGACCTTCCTGTCTGTCCTTTCAATGCTACAGCGTGGGATGTGCTGGAAGTGTCCGGGGTTAAAATCGATACGGTGCTGGATATAGGAAACACGACACACAGACCTAGTGATCAATATATGATTTTTGATCCCCGCTGGCTTGAGCTGCTCCTGCTTCTCCCGGTCAAATACCATAATGGCCAAAGCAGAACGGAGGTTCTCTGGCGCACAATATGCGGTGATCAACATGTCAAAGGAGATATTCCCGCACCTGGGAGTTACGGGGAAGCTTTCCGCAAGGCGCTATGCGTGATGGTATCAATTATAGCCCATAATGAAGCCAAAAGAGCAGTTAGCAATTCAAGCCTCCCTCCAAGTCTGAGCGCCGCAATTGCTCGCGTGAGAAATATATGGTCAACGCCTCCAATGTCAGACATGACAGCAGAAGACATTGAATTCGACTTCTCTGAACTAGGTCGAAACCTGAGCGAACCCCAACATCGGAACTTAATCCACTATCTCTTTAAACTGCAATGTTTTGCGGCCACAGAATCGTCCCCTTTTACTCCCACCCTCGAACAAGCTGAAGAATGCTACTATACGGCCATGAACTGGGAAGCATACGAAAAACACAGTACGATAGTGCTACCGGAGGAGTGTGGGGACTTTTATCAGTCTGTGCGTTCTAGATATGGGAAGCGTCGCGTGTTTGTCACTTCCAAGAGGTACCTGGGCCTTGGGCCGCGGTCGATGCAGGCAGGTGATGAAATATGGGTGTTGCCAGGGGCTGGAGCGGCTTTTGTATTAAGAAAAACAAGTAGTTCCTCGTTCTTGATGATAGGGGAAGCATATGTGCATGGTGCCATGAATGGGGAGGTTGCTCTGGGGTTATCTGACGAATTATGTGCTATCAAGCTGGTGTAGTTTTCCCTTGGATATGTTTTAGGCCCTTAGCATATGCAAGTATGTACACGCTCGGTAGTGGCATGATATTAATGAAGGATTGACAGTACTGGCCCCTTAATATAGGGGAGATGTGTGCTCTCTTCTCCGAGTCTCCTGTTATTGGGCTCGCTAAGCCAACTTAAATAACTGTCTGTGGTGATGTCGTCTAATTAAGCTTATCTCTAGCGCGCCCGCTTGTCCTACCTAACTACTCTAGACGTTTAAGCATATTTTCGACTTCCCAGCCCCGGTCGACTTCCAAGGCCAACGTGAAGAAACGACAGTTTCTTTTTTCCAGAATGGAAAAATGATTCTCACTTGTACCCAGAACCAAGAAGGCCATGGTCTGTGTAACTGGGTATTAAGGCAATCCTTGTTATTTCAGTTGCAGCAACTGGCTTCTCTAGAAGATTATTCTTCCGTAAAGGACTCGGGTTAACGTGTTCTTTACTCTCTCTGATATGAGCAGTGTGCTCTAGAAACTGTTCTCTATGTCGAATGCTATCAATTACACCAGTCCTCTGCAACTGGGAGTTCGTGTCTGAAAATCTTCGCAGCTGCTGATTGCCAGTTGCCAGTTGCCAGTTCCAGTGGGCTCCAGGGACTCTCACCTTCCACCACTTCCAGCTCCGTCTTGATGGCGTTTGTCCGATGCGCCTGCTTTCCGCTATGCTTGCGCTCTCTTCTGCTTTATCGACACACTATCCTTTGTTTTAGATGTTTTGTTTTATTTTTTTGCCCAGCATCATTCAGATATACGTACACTTTTCTCATTACACCAGAACGCAATCATTCCTAAGCTTGAACTAATTGCATACCTACATTGGATATACCTTTTCTGCTGGTATCCCAGATACAGATACATATTTGTATCTTGCTTTCGACAAGGTGTTGGTTGCCGACGTTGCCAACGTTTTTTTGCCCCTTCAAACCCCTGGTTCATTTTTCCTAGGTGCGAATGTCGCAGGTACCGGAAATTGGGCCTCCATTTTGCAAACTGAATTCGTTAATAGTTGCGCAATCATCTCCGGACAGTTCGAGGCATGATGGAGGCCGTGAAGGCATGGTCAAGCGGAGCTCGGGGAGTTCGGGACTTACTGCAGATCCGTGTGAGAATATCTGCGCTTCTTTTGTTATCTCCCCATGTGCGGGGGCACATCTGGGGTTTTGAATCGTTACTGAATTTTCCTGATATATGTGTCGTATACAGTCGGGACAAGCGTGGTGGAGCAATGCCCCGAAAAACGGAGGCAGATAGGAGTCATCAGCGCTGCCTTTTTGATCTTTAATAGGATCATCGGAACGGCATCTTTGCAACACCTAGCGCGATTTTGGCGCTCACGGGTAGTGTCGGGCTGTCTTTGGTGGTATGGGCTGTGGGTATGCTGATTGCCATGACTGGAACAGCTGTATATCTGGAGTTTGGAACTACAATCCCAAGGTATGGACCGATTTTTCCCTTTTCAAGACGCTGTATATCTATCTTGAATGGTATGTCTCAGTATTAACGCCTGGAAGAAACGGGGGAGAAAAGAATTACCTGGAATACGTTTACACGAAACCGAGATTTCTGGTGACTGCGATGTTCGCTTCTTATGCCTTTTTTCTGGGCTGGGCAGCAGGCAACAGCATTGCCTTTGGCGAGTATGTCCTTCATGCGGCGAACGTTGAAGTAAATAGGTGGAACCAAAGAGGTATAGGCCTTGCGTGCATTACCTTGGCCTTTGTCATACACGCAACTGCCGTCAAATGGGGTTTACGCATGCAGAATTTCTTTGGAGCCGTAAAGTTCCTTATTGTCCTCATTATTGTTATTGGAGGAGCTGTGGCTCTCACTGGCCATTTAACTATTGAGAAGCCTGATAACTTTTCTCGGCCTTTTGAAGGGAGTATACCAAGTGTATATGGGATTGTCACGGCTCTGTACAGCGTGATATGGTCATACATTGGTTACTCGAATGCAAATTATGTAGGTTCTCATATTCTTGTTGTTTCTGGCTTTTACTATCTGTTGCTTACATATTGCAGTCATTGAGCGAGACGAAAAATCCAGCTAGGACATTGAAAATCGCTGCGCCCATCGGCGTTGGCCTTGCCGGCGTTCTGTACATGCTTGTCAATGTCGCATATTTTGCCGCTGTCCCGAAGAAGGAGATTCTGGGTTCAGGCCGTATTCTTGCGGCCTCCTTTTTTCGAAACGTTTTTGGTCCCAAGGCAGAGCGGGTTCTATCAGTTTTTGTGGCATTGTGTGCGTTTGGGAACGTCCAGTCTGTTCTTTTTTCCCAAGGTAGAGGTCAGTACAGGGCAGCCTATTCCTCCTGAATGGGATTCCGCCTCCCTCAAATCTTGAAAGTTAATTGAGCAATAGTTATCCAAGAACTGGGCCGGGAAGGAGTTTTGCCATTTTCGAAGTTCTGGGCAAGCAATCGACCGTTTAATTCGCCCGCAGCAGGGCTCTTCGAGCATTATGTCATATCTGCCGTAGTAATGCTTGCTCCACCGCCGGGAGATGCATATAACTTCTTGCTCAAGTCAGTTTGGGCTCCTCCGTTTAGTATTGACTTGTGTCTGACCATTAGCCAACCCGACAGCTTGATTTCCTATCCACTTTCGGTTGTGAACGTATTCGTCACTGCTGGTTTGATCCATATCTACATGTTTCCGTCACGTTACCCTGACTGGGCTCCGACCATTCGAGCCGGCCGACCAATTTCCTTCTTCTTCCTGGTTTCCAACATTTTCCTTGTCGTTGCACCATACCTTCCACCACCAGATAAGAAGCACAATGTCTACACGCACTTGCCCTATTATATTCATTGCGTTGTTGGTCTTGGGATCTTTGCGGTTGGGACGATCTACTGGATTTTCTGGGCAGTATTATTTCCTTGGGTCGGGAGGTATCGTCTTTTGGAGGAGACAGTAATAGCTCCGGATGGGTGGTCTAGGCAAATCATTACCCACGTTCCTATCAATGGGGCCGTGAACGAAAAGGGTCAATGGAAGTTGAGGTGATTGAGGGAGAGGAGGAGGATATGGTGATGATGATGGTGATGCCGCGTTCACCATCATCACCAGGACATCTTGAGCGTCTTCTTAAGCATGAGATTTGGAGGGAAACATTCGTTCATTCAACAATAGCTTTTTGCATATTATGCTTCATTGCTTACAAGGGCTGTAGTGTATACATCTAGCGCCAATTTGAGAAGTATTACCCAAAGACCAAGAGAATCACGCGTTACACCACTAAGAATAATGATTGATCGTAAGAAGGTAACATATGTTTCCAGTCTTTCTATGGAGATGAACTCATTGCATCTACACACAAATCACTCGTGAGAATGATTACGTAGGTAGAAAACGCCCCCTCAAACTTGCTGGTATTTCATCTCGCAGAATTGAAAAAGTCCCTTACCGAGCATATAAGAGACTGAGCAGTCTGAGACATAGTTATGTGGCTCAAACCACTGGAATGCTGCCTTTTTGGTCGAAGATAAGGGGAGAGTACAAAAAAAGAATGAAAATCGCTAAATATGGAGCGATGAGTAACTATGACTAAGCCCATGCGGTCGTCAATTTGTTGCGCGTGTGAATCAGCCAATCAACTGAAATCTACTATATATAGTGGGGCACGTGATGAGGGAAGCCGTAAAAGGTTTTATATATACGGAGTAGATATATAAAAATATATATTGTCCAATCTCAGCTGCCTAAAGCTTCGTTCAGTCTTTCTTCTGTAGGACTGCCATAGACCTTGGGTTAGAATTAATTACATATGGCTTGGGGAATACGCGCGTGTGTGTGTGTGTGTGTGTGTGTGAGCGATGTATAAAATCTACATACTTCAATTCAGGATGAATGTTGCTTCTCAGGGCTGAGATGTGAACTAGATAATAGTAAACTAGTTAGTTAACTATATCCGGCCGATCATCGTCTAATTGCAGCTGTTTCGCGCCCCCGTTTGAACTTCTTCTACGCAGTACACCACATTCATTGATGTTCAGTTGTTGATTGTTCATGTACATATATATATACACACATCATAGTATATCAACCCGACACCCGAGATCTAGCAGTGTTTTCTTCTTACTTGCGCCCCCCTGAGTGGTCCAGGGCTGACATTTGCTTCGCGAAGGTTTGGTGCCCTTGTAATTAGTTACTCCATATCCCCTAACTACTACCTAGTTCTCCTGGAGCACTCGGTAATATCAATTCCGCTACGGCCGAAGTTTTCTACCAGGTAACGGAGCTGAAGATATTGGCGCAATAGTCGTCATTGACTACCAACCGTACAATCCCAGCAAAGCCCAATCGCCTGCCAAAATAATTTCTTGTCCTTCGCCCGTCGATTTTTTATCTCTCCGGTGTTCAACCGCAGCCCCGACCGAGATAAGGCCCTTTGTTGACGCTTTTTCGCTCTCTTTGCCCAACCCTTGCCGCATCACGTTCATTTGGCCCCTCCCCCCCCACCCCCCTGAGTCACAGGCTTCCCTCCCCCCAAAGTCACAGGGCCTTCCCTCCAGCCCCGCAGATATTTATAGCCCCCTGCGTTACTCAGAGCCCCCCCCTGTCAATGCTTCTTCTTCACTCCAGGTACGCAGCGTGGCGGTCGATCCTGGATATCGCAAAGATAAAAACCCCGAGACTCCCTTCCGCTGTTCCCAGACAAGCTCTTCCACTGCGACTTCCGCACCTTGCACCTCGAGCCCACAGTTTATCAACATCTACACCTACAGCGCTTCCTCTACGTTCCCGATTTCAGTATACCTTTCGTACAACTTTTGCCCGTCTGACCAAGAGATATTGCTCCTATCGAAGGATGTGCCTCGCCAGACAAGGAGATGACCCTGCAGGAGGGGCCACGGCAGTGGCTGACCGGCAGGTCCTTCCTACCAATGTCAAGCCGCTGCACTATGACTTGACTTTGGAACCGGATTTCAATAATTTTACTTTCGAGGGGACCGTTATCATAGAGTACGTGACTTGAAATTTGCTCCAAATAAAGATCGTCATGAAGTGAGGGGGTGTCTGTATCACATTCTTACTGACTGCATATCTTCTTGTGTGTATATAGCCTTGATGCCGTTGAAGATACCAACTCCATTTCCCTCAATGCCACAGGCATCACCATCCATTCCTGTGCTGTGTCTGCTAATAAAATCGAGGTGGCTTCCAATCCATCAGTCACCGTGAACGAGGACAATGAAACCGCCACTATTAGCTTCGATAAGACGATTCCGATGGGAGCTAAGGCTCAATTGAAGCTGACCTTCGCGGGAACTCTGGGTGATAACATGGCTGGATTCTATAGATGCTCCTACAAGGGTGCCAACGGAGAGCAGAAATACATGGCTGCCAGCCAAATGGAGCCTACTGATGCTCGAAGGGCATTCCCTTGTTTTGACGAACCTGCTCTGAAGGCTACGTTTACCGTCACCCTGATCGCGGATAAGAATTTGACTTGTTTGAGCAATATGGATGTAGCATCGGAGACTGAAGTGAAGTCTACGGTCACTGGGGTTTCGAAAAAAGCTGTCAAATTCAACAAGTCCCCCCTGATGTCAACATATCTCGTTGCCTTTATCGTTGGTGAACTCAATTATATTGAGACCAACGACTTCAGAGTACCTATCCGCGTCTATGCTACTCCAGATCAAAATATCGGCCACGGAAGATTCGCCCTTGATCTTTCGGCCAAGACCCTCGAATTTTACGAAAAGGCATTTAGCAGCCAGTTTCCTCTTCCAAAAATGGACCTGGTTGCGGTGCCAGACTTCTCTGCTGGTGCAATGGAGAATTGGGGTCTGATCACCTACCGCATTACGGATGTTCTTTACGATGAAAAAACTGCTGGTGCTGCTACTAAACAACGGGTTGCGGAAGTGGTGCAACATGAGTTGGCTCATCAATGGTTTGGCAACCTTGTCACAATGGATTTCTGGGATGGCCTCTGGCTTAACGAAGGATTTGCAACTTGGATGTCTTGGTATTCATGCAATGTCTTCTATCCCGAGTGGAAGGTGTGGGAATCTTATGTTATCGATAACCTTCAGATGGCTTTGTCTCTCGATTCGCTGCGAAGCAGCCATCCTATTGAAGTTCCTGTGAAGCGTGCAGATGAGGTCAACCAGATTTTCGATGCTATCTCTTATTCGAAGGGATCATCTGTGCTCAGAATGATTTCCAAGTACATTGGCGAAGAACAGTTCATTCAGGGAGTTAGGGACTATATCAAAGCGCACGCCTACAAAAACACCAAAACTAGTGACTTGTGGGCAGCGCTAAGTAAAGCCAGTGGTAAACCTGTCGAGTCGGTGATGGACATCTGGACCAAGAACGTCGGATTCCCAGTTGTCACTGTTTCGGAAAACCCAAGCAAGGGATCGATATCCGTGAGACAAAACCGCTTTCTGCGAACTGGTGATGTCAAGCCAGAAGAAGACAAGATCCTATTCCCCGTGATCCTTGGCTTGAAGACTCGTGAGGGTGTTAAGGAAGCACTCATTCTTACTGACCGTGAAGCGGAGTTCAAAATCCAAGACCTAGATTTCTTCAAGATTAATGCCGATCACTCTGGAATTTTCCGGACCTCATATACTCCAGAACGCCTTGAAAAACTTGGAAAAGCCGCGAAGGATGGACTCTTAACCGTGGAGGACAGGGCCGGAATGATCGCTGATGCTGGGGCATTGGTTGCCCCAGGATATCAAAAAACATCCGGCATTCTTTCCCTGCTGAAAGCGTTTGATAGTGAATCGGAATATGTTGTGTGGAACGAAATCCTCACTCGTATCGGTTCCATCCGTGGCGCCTGGGTATTTGAAGATAGCAAGGTTAAAGATGCCCTGAAGTCATTCCAGCGCTCTCTCGTCAGCGCAAAAGCACATGAACTTGGTTGGACATTCTCTGAGAACGATGGCCACATTCTGCAACAATTCAAAACGTTGTTGTTTAGCGCTGCTGGGTCCTCTGGGGACCAGGAGGTCCTGAGTGCTGCAAGGGACATGTTTAATCGTTTTGCAAACGGTGATTGTACTGCTATCCATCCAAACATCCAGGGAAGTGTGTTCGATATTGTGCTTCGAGATGGCGGTGAAAAGGAGTACAACGTTGTCCTCCAATGGTACCTCAATGCTCCAACTGCTGCGGAGAAGACCACGGCGCTCCGCTGCTTAGGCAGTGCAGGAAAGCCTGAGTTGATCCAAAAGACTCTTGCTCTTTCCCTTTCGGAGGAAGTGAGAGCCCAGGATGTCTATATGCCGATCTCTGGGCTACAAGTGCACGCGAGTGGTATCACTGCCAGATGGGAATGGCTCAAGCAGAATTGGGAAGCTATTAACAAGCGATTGCCTGCTGCGTTTGGAATGTTGCGCTCTGTGATACAAATTTGCACAGGAAGCTTCTCGACGGAGGCGCAACTTCATGATGTTGAGGCTTTCTTTAAGGATAAGGACCAGAAGGTCAGTATCTCTACTTTTACACACTCTCCTTTTACACACTCTCTTTTCTTGTTGGGGTTCCAGAAAAAGCACCATCGAATAGGAATATTTGAGCTAACAAACTTTTTATAAATAGGGATATGACCGTTCTCTCGAACAAAGTCTTGAAGGTGTCCGTGCTAAGATTACCTGGCTCCAGCGCGATCGGGCTGATGTCGAGAAGTGGCTCAAAGACAATGGGTATATTACTCCATAGAAACTTTAGAAATGGGGTTGTTAAAGTCAGGTGTTGAAATGAAATGTATTGTTTTAAAAAGTATTTTTTGAGGTTGGTGGCATTGGTATGCCATTCAGGAGCTTGGAGCAGCTCGCGGGAAGAGATACATATATACATACCTCTTCATATTTAGAATAACCCCGCTCTATTCATTTAAGACACTCGAGAAACGAATTTCCGTTGGAAATATAAAATACAAGCCATGTTTAAGAGTTAACCAGTTATCATTTTGCTAAATATATCAAATCTCGTTTCCACATATTTGGAACGAGGATATCAAACTGACTTCATAATACAATACAAGAGGTCTAGAGCACGCTATTTGGCCAGAATCTTTGAGTACACCCTAAAACAGCACCGACATATCACAGTGGAAAAATGGATAAAAATAAAAAAAAATTAAAAATTAATAAGACACAAAGAGGATCGAGGAAAGCTGACTGATTTACCAGCCGGCTCCACCTCCTTTCCCAGCAAATCCACTGCTCTCTTCAATCTTCTTCTGCGAGGCAGCACCTCGTACTGGCTTCGACTGGGCAGCTTCATGCTTGCGGAGTTCTTCGGGAACGCGAGAAATGGAGGATTTCATAAGCATTTGTTTAAGATCGTATCTGTATGGTGGAGAAAATACGTTAGTTGATATTCCTAGAAAAGAAAGGAGAAGGAGTAAAAAGGAGAGAAATGGAGGGCGACAGAAAACATACAAGACGTCAGAGTCCTCATTACCCAAGAACGTAATCGCCACTCCACTCTTCCCCGCACGTCCAGTACGACCAATACGGTGAGTATAACTCTCGATATTCGTAGCCATGTTGAAATTAACCACCAAACTGACGTCGGGAACATCAATACCACGACCAGCCAGATCAGTCGCAACAAGCACATCTGTATTCCCATTGCGAACAGACGCCAGTGCAGCCTCACGCTGCTCCTGCGTTTTGCTTCCGTGAAGCGTGACGGATGAATATCCCATATTCTTGATATCTCGAGCAACAGCATCGCAGTTCCGTTTAATGTTGACGAAGACGATGATGGGTGGACGGAATTCGCGCGATGCCAGGATCTCAGCTAGACGTTTCTTGCGCTTGTCTTCGCCAGAAACGAATTCGACGCGTTGCTCAACTGTGTCAACGGCTTCGCCGACGTTGCCGATTGTGACGATAGCGGGCCGTCGGAGGTATTTGCGCGCAATTCGCTCGACGGCTGAAGGCATGGTGGCTGTATACATCATAGTTTGACGGTAGCGGTCCTTGCCGCCAATGTGTTGGCTCATTGCTTGTGGGTTTTCTGCATCTTCGGTGTCGGGTTTCTCGTTAGCGACGGGGAGAGCGTCAAGGATCTTGTTCACGGGTTCTTCGAAGCCGAGATCGATCATGCGATCTGCTTCGTCCATGATGACGTAGCAGCATTGGCTTAAAACGATCATTCGTCTTTCAATGCAGTCTACAAGACGGCCAGGGGTGGCAATGATGATCTCTGCACCGTTTCGTAAACTGTAGGCTTGTTCTTCTAGAGAGTGACCGCCGACGATACTGACGACGTTGAAGCCGAGAGGGGTGGAGAATTTCTTGGCTTCGATTTCAATCTGTTGAGCCAATTCACGGGTGGGCGCTAAAATGATAGCATATGGACCGTCGTTTCTTCTCCATTCAAACTCATCCAGTCGTGGGAGTTCACCAATGTAGACAAGCAAAGGGAGCAAGAATGCGGCAGTTTTTCCGGAACCAGTAACAGCAACACCAATGAGGTCTCGATTTTGCAACGCGATCGGTATAGCAGCTCGCTGAATAGGTGAAGGATCCGTGTATCCAACCTTGTCGATAATGCTAAGAAGGCGCTTCGGAAGCCCAGATTCAGCCCACGACCGCATGGGATTGGGAACGCTTCCCCCTTTCGTACTTATGTTGAAATCTTCTTTGAAAATTCTCCAGTCTCTTTCGCGCATGTGCTCCAACTTTTTCTCGCTCCAATGTGCATCCAGAGCATGCCTCCCACCCTCTTCTTTCCGTCTTCTTTCCATTTCCAATATCTCCCTGGCCCTGGCGCTCCCAGCCTCCGGATCTCTATCCTCTAGTGCTCTTGCATAGTTCCTTGCAACTGCATCAGCAGCCTCGTCACCAAATCCAGCTAAGCGGCCACGACCGAAGAAATTGGTCGTGGATCGGTTTTGGTAGAGAGGATTGTAATCCGGGCTAGTATCTTCATCTGCATTCCACTCAAAATTAAACTTTCTCTCTGTTGTCCGTCTTCGTTTTTTCTTCGCCGAGAAGTTCGAGGTTTGGTCAACACCCATATAACGTTGTCGTATCAGCGCGGCTTGTGCTTCTTCCGGGGAAGGTCGCTTTCCTCCCTTTTGTTCCGTCTTTGAACCTGATGGTGGAGGCATATCATTGTGCTTCGATCGCATCGCAGCCGGGGCGGTAGGGATTTCCACCTGTCGCAAACTTCGAGGTCCCGTGGGAATGGAAGAACGGGACGGGACATCAGTAGCATCATATCTTGATGTTGAGAAAGCGTAACCATTCGCTCCTGAACCCCGAGACGAGGTGCTCGTGGTTCCATTTGCTTTCAGGCGTCGTTCATTTTCGACTTCTTTTGCGCGCTTCTCTAGCGCAAGCTTTTCTCTCTGCGCTTTTGATAGAAATGTAGGCTAAATGTATCGAAAACAAAGTTGATAGACGGTCAGTATCCATTTTGTTTCTAAGTCGAGGAAAAGTTAAAGTTTCTAAAGAAGCTGAATACTCATTGTAAACAAACAGCACAAGTATGAGAAAGAGGAAATGATGGTAAAAATGGTAAAAAATGAGGGAGGTCTATTCATTCACCCACCTTTGATGCGGCTTCATCTGCTTCCCGCTTCTTTCTTAGTAGTTCCTCAACGCTTAGGGGCGTAGCTGACGCCTTTGATCCCCACCCCACTTTAGTTTTCTTAGCTACTGGAGGCGCTGGCGGCGGGGCTTCTTCAGGGGGTGGAGGGGGAGCTATAGAATCTGGGTGCAGCGGAGGAGCAGCTGCATCTGGTGGCGGAGGAGGTGCTAACGATTCGGGAGGCGGAGGTGGTGGTGTAGGAGGACGTTCAAAGGGTTCTGGAGGTGGCCCTGAGGGTGGCCCGGGGAGGGATAAATCGGTATAGCCATTCGCAATAATTTCATCCATGCTTTTTGTCGGATCCCAGATGTTCTTTGGGATTAAAGGAGTTCAGTTAGAGCAAACAATTCCATGCGACTCGTCGTGAAGTTAACTAATGCGTGGTCATGTGACCATTTTAAGATATTAGTCAGCAGCAGCAGGTCCGAACTCGGATCTTAGGGAGAAAAGCTGAGAATAAGAGCTTTGCAAAGATTCCATTACTAATTTTCTACTTGAGCCTTTGTGAAAGAAAACAAATGTTCTACATTTCAAACTATTGTAAATAGAGTGAAGCTCTGATCGCCCTCAGGGCGGTTGAACCTCACTAGTTCGACCGTGGTGAATTAAAAAACACTATCAAAACTAGGAACATTGGAAAAACATAATAAAGTACATTTCGTACTCATCCAACCATTGAGAGACAGCGAGCATTCCATATATAAGCAGCGGTGTGAGTTAGCCGAAATCTGGCATTTCATGGGGTCTGGCCTACAGTCAAATTCCATTAAATCCTTCCCCTGCCCTCGCTATTCCATCAATATTGCCTCCCAGCCCCCATGACTCAACTGAGAAAATCGCGACATGAAAATTTTGCAATCACTTTGTAATGGATGAAGAGAAACAAAAAGAGAAGTGCCAGCGTGACTAATTGCTAGATCACAAATACCGCACCGGCTGGATTGGCGTTTATCGAAAATATCAGCGACAAGCAAAGGAAACAGTGTAAAAAACAGGTGTTATACACTTCCATTCGATGAGACGGAACGTTCTGTTAGTTGCTGGTGGTTCTTGTGTGGGTTCTGGTCTGGCTGGCCCACGGAATCCGCAACAAGAGGGGCTTGACTTCCGTTTTGGTTGGCAGGAATCTTAACTTGAATATCTTTGTCTGCTAAAGGTTTGAGCGTTGCCTCAACAGACTGGGGACCATTGACCTCACGGTCCAAAGTCATATACTCTTTCGCAGCTTCATTGGAGCCACGCTCCAACAAATACACCATGTAAACTTGAACAAGCTCTTTCGCAACGGCTAGCGGGAGACTGCTCTTCGTTCGAATATCACCAATCACTTGTTTGATTCGTTGATACTGCACATCCTCGGTTTCCGCACTGGTAGGTTGTTCGAGTTCAAACATCAAATAACTTGTCCAGAAAGGGCGACTATCCGGGTACCATTGCTGGTTCTTCTGGAATACTTGTCGTGCATCATCTGGCAACCCCTTAACCTTCCATAGAAGTTTGGCCCATTCTGCCACGAATGCAGCTTTGGCTTGGATATCGCACTGGGGAGAATCAAGTTGGGACTTGTAAATCTCTATCGCAGCCTCGAGACCGCCATGACGGCGTGATAGATTTGCAAGCGATACAATAGTCTCGATATGGCCAGGTAACGTCAACAAAATTGCGGAATGGATATCTTTCGCGACGTCAACACGACCGTTTAATTCTTCGAAATATGCATAATGTAAACGGACTTCAGGGCGCGAAATAGGAACATATAATGTGCTTGCACGTTGGTATATATTCCGAACTTCTTCTTCTTTACCTTCTTGGGCTAGCATCCACCGAGCATATCGAAGCCAGAATTCATCATAATGCGCACATGTAACGAGACAGCGCTCATACAAGAATTGAACTCTCGCAAAAGTGCCATCTGCTTCTTCAAAATCTAGATACTTCCTCCAATTGGACAGTTGTGCTTCATCTAGCTCGGTTACATGGAAATATGGTCGCTTTATTTCTGATTCGTACGTCCATCTTTTCGTGGTCTCTGTCTGCGTTCTTGAAAATATTTCCAGGTGGTAGGTATCAATCCGGAGGCGAAGATCTCTCTCTATTTCAGCCTCGCCCTTTGATCCTGGAGGAATACCGGCTGCTGCACCGTCCACCTCCGCGCGGAATTGGCTGAGAAGCTCGGGAGGAACTAACTCTGAGACTGGGCGAGTTTGAGCCATTTGGCGATATCGTTCAAAATATCTGGCGTACTGATGCATAGGAATGTCTATTACATTGCCCAGAATGGCGAAAATTTTGTCTTGGGCCTCAAGACGTTCCTCAAATTCGATATACTTATCCCAGAACGGATGGGCTAAGAAGTCAAGCCCAACGCAACTAACACCCCTATCGAATAGTCTATTTCCATCCATGTTAGCTGATTTGCATTCAATACAATAGATGGGAGAAGAATGGGAGGGGAAGAATTAAGGGAGTGTGAAGGATGGCAAACATGGCATATGCAGTAAGTCTTCAGTGAAGGGCCCAACTGGGTCAAGGTCAACGGAGAGTGGTATATAATCGTGCGCCAATAGAAGGATCCCCGAACAATATAATTGTTGTGCGAAGAAAAACAAGAGCCTGAAACTCAAGGGTGAGAAGAAGTTTCAAGGGAACCTGGGTACCAGATGACTATCTCACCCATCGAGGAACTTTTGTTGATGATACTTGTCTACACCTCTTGTCCTCGCGATCACAACAAGATCGGCACTGTGTTGGCATAGTTATAGGGAAGGAAACCAACACGGCCATACTTACTCTCGAATTATATCTGCATCGTGGGAAGTTTCGACTTTAAAAGCGCAGTAATTGGTCCATAGATCTACAGAATTTGTTATGCTTGCAACACCCCGTTCATAAACCTGCCAGAGGACACTGTTAATTGGCCATTCAAATTGGAAATATATTGGGAGTATTGGATCAAAAAGGAACTAAGACAAGGCAAAAAAAGAAACTACAAAAATGGAGAAATCAGACATAAAAATTGTGACGTACCATTTCCGCCGCTTCAGTCCCCGCGATCGAAAATTCCAAATCGGCATATTTCTTCCAATAGCCGAACAATAACGGGAACTTAGCCAGGAACCGGTCATATACACTTCTTGTGGCCGTGATAGCCTGGGGATTAGAGTTGCGATTGATTCCCCCTTCCTGCCCCTCCGCAGCGCGAACAAGTTTCTCCCAGTTTTCGAAGTTATCAGGATCTTCCAACTACAGAAGCAAAGAATATGTAAGTATACAAGTATCGTTACTTAATCCATGCGAGTCACCAGTGAGTAACTTACCACCTCCGCGTTGAGCTTCTTCAATTCCGCATTCTCCTCCTCCGTGCCACCAAACGTAATGTCAGCCATATCGTCGACAACTTAGGGTAGAGCTCCACAATCGTATAAAAACAACAGGTAGTGATCGAATCAGTGATCGGATAAAATCTGAGTATGGGCGAGATGGATAGAATGCGAAGTGGGGCGCCTGGACTGGAGGAGATTCAAACAAGCAAAGAAGATGAGAAATTAACAAATGGAGTTGGAGGCGTAAGGTATTATGTATTATTAATGAGCACAGAAAGCCGTATTTTTACTGGATGATACCCTCCTTTTAGTATGGGTTGGCAGGGCAATTACCGTAATGTTACTAATTTTACCAATTTTGGTACCCCATATTGGACGCTAATATAAACCACGTGTTATAATAGCTAAAGTAAATAGGGCTGGACAATTGCATGCTCACGTGATTTCAGTTCCTCTATCGGGAGGATTCTCCACAACATACCTGCATAAAGGTACAATATCAAATTCGGATATTCAAGCCAGATACGAGGGTAGCGAGCCAGAACACAGCGCCAATGGCTACTAAACAAGCTGCCACAGGCGTATTGGAGAACCTCCCGATCCGACTCCGCAATTTCTTTGCCCGCTTCCCTCCACAGATCTACTCCGCACATGCCCTTGGAGCTACTACCAAAGCACTAGAGGGCGTTGAAGCCCCAGCTCCAGCTCCGAGTCCCTATAACCCATCACGTTCCGCCAAAGCCTCTAAATTAAATAAATCTACCTTTTCACTATCACAAACCTTCCTCCGCTCCGATCCAGAACACCCAAACCCATTTCTGCCATATAAAAATCCCGAAACAGGCCGATGGCGGGGCGCCATGATTTCCCTCAGACGGCAGAACGAATTGGTCAAATTGGCTGCGAAGTATGGCGTTGAGGAACTATTACCCCCCAGCCGCAAGTCGACGATTTATAAAGAAACTAAGGCTGTTGAAAAGGGACTAAGAATTCGTGGTACGGGTATTGGCCAGAAGGTCAAGGGTCACAAATGGGAACGCACGATAGAGACTCGTTTGGAGGAGAGAAGGAAGGCTATGATGGGTATGCCGGAGATGATTAGGATGTGGAAACAGGTATGTTGTTGCTTGTCTGGGATTCCCTTTTTTCCCATTACTGGATATCTTGCTAATTGACATATAGCGCGGTCACGGAAGAGGGTGGAAGAAATATCCACGGAAGTAAGGGGCCGCGGCTTGTGTGTATGTGCGAATATTTATATGTCGTCTATGGAGACAATATCCCCCTGTATGAATATGGGTGCAGCATCTGATTTATTGTAAATTTTGGATTTCACATTTCTCTTCGCTTTCCTCCCTCCGTTATCCCCCGGAATTGGACATATTTTGTGAAAGATAGAAATAAGCGTGGTAAATCAAGAACCACCTCATTCAGATACGTCACGATTGGGTTTTTTCTTTAGTGCTTGATGCGGATACACAGAACTATTTACCGATCTTGTCCTGCATATTCCCAGGTTCAAAGTAGATTGTAAGTATGGCGTCGCCTCCATTATGTACAAGCTAAGAAGTAAACTATTAATACAGGTTTGGTATCATTCATGCACTCGTATACGAAACAAAATATCAAAATGTTTCATCATAAAATGGCTCAAGGACATCCCCAGTCTGTATCATAACCCTTTCTCCCTCGTCCAAGTCCATACCTTCATGTACCTCAGCGACAGAAGGCGAAAGGCAAACGTGTCGCCCAAACATCACCTTGCCGTTAAATCTCCTCGTCTTAGCTAACGTTGAGAATGGCTCCTCGCTTCTGGCAGCTGTGAACTGATCTATACAAACCATTTGACAGCGTTGGCACGAGCCCAAGATGTCAAATATATGGCCCCTTATCCGGAAACCGGTCCATGCGTCCTCAATGTACGGATGTTCAGCATTTAAGGTTGGTGTAGATATCGGAACCCCGTTGTTGCTGTTGCCACTTTGATGTACCGCAACTGGATTTTCTGCAACAATTATGTTTGCCCGGAATACATCAGCAGCAACAGCCTTAGTACCCGTAGATGTGTACTTTCCGGAGGATTTAATAGTTTCGTTGAGTCTGTTTACACTGGATCGGGAGATTAGCAGAATAGGGCTTTCGTTTGACAAGAGAATAGGATTTTTTTGCAGTGGAGATGAAAGTGTGGGGGAAGATGTGGTGTGGGGGAAAGCGCCTGGCATATTAATGGAGAGTGGACTGGTTTCAGAGGATTTTTGGTAACGTGGTTGCGATTTTGAGTATCGGATAGATGAATTCGCAGGGAACCTAGCAAGTGTGCAAGGAACTTCGAGAAAGTCTGAAAAGAATGCCGAAAAGACGGGCGATGAATATATCTGCAAAGTCACCTGATCCCCACACACCGTAGAGGATTTCTTCACAGAATTTTCACAAAGTTCCCTTGTCGTTATATCATCCGATTCCCTTAATAGTGGTAGTTCTAGGCAATGGGGATCCGTTCCTAGCATCCCACGAGAAATTCGCAGAACACCTTGTTCAAGATCAATTACAGGACGGATAAGGGCCATTCGAGGATATTTTTTCAGGCTCAGAGCTACCCCGGTACCCTGGTGTACCAAACACCATTCTCTATCCCACGCTAAACCTTCTGGTTTAATTTCCCATTGCTTGTCTTTGGGGATTGTGAATGCACCACAGCTTTTGATTGGGTACACGCAGAGCCTGTCAACGAAAAATCTTGAAGTTGGAAGCCCCTCCCCTTGCGCAAAACCATGGGAAACAGAAGGAGCATCGTAATTAGACTTGTCCACGTAAAACACCTCGATGAAATCGAGGAATTTATTGACATCGCCAATAGAGCTCATGGCGCCAAGACTAACTCTTAAGCCTCCAGTTGGCTTGCCCCCGATGATATCATTATCATCTCCGCAACGTTGACCAGCGTTGTAATTTCTTTTCATTTCCTCAACTTTCAATCCAAGGTGGTATGCCATTCCACCTGGATTGCATAGTGTCCCGGAGCGGATTTGGATGCCTTTCACAGCAGCAAGTTTCTCAACCTCTGACTTTCCCACCCATTCACCCTTGTTGTTCTTCATGTTGAACGAAACTATAGGACCCTGTGTAGTCCGGTCTTCATAACTAGACTCCTGATGTTTGTACATTTCGCAAACCAAGGTTCCGTTTGCATGCCTCTTCGATGATAAACGGTCATATAACAATTTCGCGAGGGCACCAGTGTGGCGAGAAATATTTTCCATGGATCCATAAATTCGCTGATGCACGTCAACGGCCGAATGCAAGGCTATGATGCTATGAAAAGGCAAGGTACCATCCTCGAGTTTATCGTGGATAGAAGTTGACTTTTTTGCGTGCCACTGATTTTCGAGACTCGTAACCATGCCCACTGTGCCCCCTCCAAAGTACCTTCGCTTATTGAAGATATGGCCAGAGGCTTTGCGAACGATAAGAGCACCAAGATCAGGAAATCCAAATATTTTGTAGAAACTGAGGGTCGTAAAATCGGGAGCAGATTCGGGATCGCTAAGATCTAATGGCGACGTTGAGACAAGAGATGCCGCGTCTAGAAGAGTGTAGATGTTTCTGGTTTTGTTCGAGTTGTTACACACTCGTAACTTTCGACACCAGTCAAGAGGTAGACGTCGTCCTGTCATGTTTGATTGAGCCGGATATGCGAACAGCGTAGGACCTTGGGGTGGTCTTCGCATTATCGACGAATGTTGGTCAGATATCCAGTCCTCAACCTCATTATCGTCCACGAAGCATCTCCGTCCCCGTGCCGCCAACTCCCTAACTCCAACCAAGCTCGTATGCGCATCCACATGGTACCCATACCAGAATCCGCCTCCATCACAGTCTCTGAGCGCATCTGCAACAAGTTTGATGCCAGCCGTCGCATTAGCCACAAATACAACGTCAAAATGATCGGGACTGGCGTTAAAGAACTGGAGAACCCGTATCCTCGCATCATCCACCCGCCGTGTGGAGAGCTGTGAAGATGAGGATGCTGAATGAGGGTTTCCAAAAAGATTGGTAGTCATTTCTCGCGAAAACGCATCGATGAGGGAGATCGGATACAAAGTTGTTCCTGCATGGTCAAGATAGGTTGTTCCTGTGACACGAACCAGTGGAGTTAGTAGGGGAAAAAAAAAATAAATTGCTATATTTAGCCTGAGCATCATGTCTATCTATACATGCAGTCTGGTGGAACTTTGAAAGATCTAACCTTTCAGACACGGATACTCTCGCTCCCTGATAGCCTCGATGTCATCTGTATAGGACCCTCGCAATCCATTCCCGCCAGTTTTGCCATCCTGCTCGCCATGGAGCAGCTGTGGCTTCATAATAATATCCGTACGTGGAGATATGTGCAAAGAGCCCATGCAGGACGAGAAGTACGTTACTTGTTCTTTTTCGAACGGTTATATAGCTTGCCCCGAAACAACTGAGAAATTCGTCGTTTCAGCCTCTAAGCAGAAGAGAAAACTTAAAGATCTTTCAGGTATTAAGTAAGGTGGTTTTATTATTAACATCTCGCTCCCACTCTTGGAGCTGCGTGCTTTGTTTGGGAGGGTTGCGCTGAGTCCCCTGGTACTGCTGGGAGCTTGCGGCCCTGCCAAAGCCAAGAAGCTGCACCAAAGCGGGGACGTAGCTAATATGTACAGTTAGTCAAACGTTTGGCTTTAAATCTCGACCGGAAAAACCATCACGGCCGGTGACATTAAAACTGCCACCCGGATACACTAGTCATATACCTCGCACGTTTCTCACACCCATCTCTTTATACTGTTGATGGTAGTGATTTTATCATATTTTTCAGACCCTTACCCTTGGCTAACCCTAATCCTAATGTTGAGGGCGGCGGGTTGGATAAAGAGTTGTGTTTATTTTAGACACCCAACGTTCATAAACTAACTTAACTAACGTTAGTTATTAACTGGGTTAACTAACTAGTTAGTTAGTTATCTAGAGTCTGATAAACGCCCCACTTTTTGCATAATAAGTTTACATGTATAATTCATAATAATTCACTAAGAAATACTTAAGTTTCATGTTTGAAATTATGAATAATTCTGAAGATATTTGAAATCGTATTTATTTTTAAAATCATAGAATGTGAGAATACTACTAATACTAATAAACCTAAATCAAAAATAAACCATATAGTTATATTATGAAATTGTTGAGACATGTTATAATTAGAGGTTTTAAATAAAGTACAGTGTGTATGTAAATAATTCCCTGCCGGCTGTTGCGTATCAACTACCCTACGATTTTTGTCCCCGCAATATAGTCTTCTCAAAACGATGCCAACGTCACTCGGATTCGGGGTAGATATTTCGTACATGGAAACTGAGTTGGGTAAATTACATTTCTCATCGTAATTGGCAGAAGATATTTCCATATGTTCAGGCATAAAATCATATACCACACATTTCTTATTGTTGAGAGGTTTATCCCCGTCCACGTTTGACACCATCTTACTCTACTCCACCTGCTATAGATAGATTCGGAGGCGGAACCAGGAGTGAAGAAGTACATACAACGAAGAATATATAAAGCTCTATTCCACTGATTATAACAAAAAAAAATGGTACAGTGCACAAGACCTTTTAAATATCAAGATTCCTAAATAAGTAAAATCCCATTCCGTGCGCCCTCAGATCCAATTGTGAGTACTACATATATGTACTTGCTTTCATAGCATGCCGCTTGTTAGTTCAGCCTAAGAGCAACATTGGAACGGACTTATACCTACATTGCCTGTACAGTGGCCATCGGCTGAATGGAGTTGAGCAAAGACCTGATGGGATGTAGCTAGATCCAAGAAATGATTTACATGCTTTCCATGGATGAATAGATGTATATTCGGGGAGTGGACAGCAAAGGGGTTCTGCTGGGATCCCCCTCCGCAAAAAAAAGGCACACCCCTCCCATATTGCAACATCATCCAACTACTGCAGAAGATGAAGAAGATATGAACCTCACTTTACTATACAGGAGCAGCGCTTAAACGTCCCACTGCTCTCTTCCTCTCCACGGACTCAGCTAGGAGGGTACCTACGGGAGATATGTCACCCTCCCGGTTAGAAGAGCAGTTTGTCATCTTACGGTTTTGGTGATGTAGAATGGACTGCATTGTCATAATTGTCCGGGGAACCGTTTCTTATCTGTATCTGTGGATGAGTTTGATGCCAAGCCAGGAACTTGATTGGTTTATTTATTTAGTTCAAGATCGTCTGCATTTAACCTTGGAAATTTCTACGTGCGTATGTTGTTGAATAATTTTAATTATTTTAAAACTCTCCGTCTCACTTTAGGATCATATCTTTTCATTTCTCTTATTGAGTTATCATACATCTGTTTATCCCCATTCCAATGCCACATCTGGGGTTTCATTAGAGTGCGCTGGAATGATATCAGATCGTGAGAGGTCTCTTATCACGCTTGAGATCACGTACAGAGTATGGTGCCGTCGATAGAAGAAAATTTTCTGGTCATTCAGGTTTTCGGGTTCCACCTGAGAAGCTTTCGTCAAAAGCGCGAGAGAGGGAATGAATTGGCTCAAAGAAGAAAGTGAGCGCAGCATGCAATAAATGAGCTCCGGGGTAGCTGCCAGTCGATTATCTCTTCTGCGGAGATTCATTTAAATGAATGGGACGAGTAATTGATACCTCCGCCACGACAATGTTGTTTTTCGCTACGTACTCTCCTCCAATTCCATTGTCGACAGCCGTGGGCAAAAAACCCGTGAAGGCCAAGTTTCATGAATACCCTAGTAAAAGGGAATACAGAGGCCACTGGTTAAAATGAACATCAAAACATTCCAATGCAGTAGTTATTCTTCAGCTTTGAGCATTTGAAAGATTCAGATGACAGATATTGTGAAGTGGATATTCAGCAACAGTTGAACATTGATAAAGTTTGGAGCCTACTTGTTCTCTTGAACCACAGAGTTTATATATCGTAGGCTATCGAGGCATCTGGGAGATTTGGAAAAATCATTTACGCTAAGTTTTCAAACGTTAACCAGAACTTATATACAACAAAGGTTTGCTCGTTGAAAACCATATGGGTCCTATAGCTCAGTTGGTTAGAGCGTGGTGCTAATAACGCCAAGGTCGCGAGTTCGACCCTCGTTGGGACCATTCACATGAATAATATTGCAACCAAATTTTTTTGTTAGGCGGCGGTTAGTGGTTGTTGCAACTTGCATCTTGCTTGCATTCTCCTCCACCTGTCATGTTAACAGGGATATTTTGCTTGATGGGGTTGCTTTATATTCTACAGCTTTTCAACGAAACATGGATTGCATCTTAGGCAGCTGCTTGTTCAAGTCCTAAAACAAAAAAAGTAGGCTCGGCAATGTATACAGATGGGAAAGGTAGTCTGCTCGCAGTCGGGAAAGCCAATATTTCCGAGACAGTTAAAAGACTATTTATTATATTAGATACGCATTGAAGCCAGTTCATTGCAAGGAGAGCGGTGATTATGCTTTCAATGTGTGTCTCATGCACTTCAGATTCGAGATATCTCTGAATGAGAGCAGACGCTCTGGCAAAACAACCTGACGAATCTTGCTGAAGCCTGAGATCATATGTTTTTGACTTCTTCATATTCATGTTTTTGCCAGGCAGTTCTGGATACCGTATCCCAAGCAAGGGATAGGCTTTCCTGAAGTTCAAAGGCAAATTGAGTAGTCGAAAATTTTCCGCGAACTGGTAGCATTTGCTTCACGCGATAGCTGGTTTGTGAATCTTTCTGAACTCTTCCAGGCCCTATTCAAGACCAGAATACGCAAGTTTTCATTTAGGTAGACTCCATCTAAAGATGTATCACTCACGGTCGTAGATTATGTAGGGGCAGCGGTTAGGTCAGGACCTAGGTACTAGATTCTTGCAAAATCGTCATGATCCGGGAAAGAGAAAATAATACCAAAATTTAAACGACTCTTTGAGAAGACGTTTCTGACTCAATAACAGAAGAATAAAAAGGTTCCGATGATGCCAACGAGGGTCGAACTCACGGACTTGGAGTCATTAGCACCATGCTCTAACCAACTGAGCTATAGGACCGTTGTGATTGGCGGACAAAAACGCCCAGGAATGAACATGTAGCGCCAAATTGACTCCTCCATACCTCCTGGATCGAAGCCCGGTGCAATTATATCACCAGGTTAATTAGTAATGTGAGATACGGGAGGCTGAATATCTTCCAACTTATCTCGTGATTCCTCTTGTGGTTTGATGGATCAGCCACATCATGATAGGAATTATATGTTTCCTCTCGCTGCAGGCTGAGCCACGATTGCTTGACACTTGCTAGAATACATGGAAGGTAACTTAATCAAGGTAAAAGTGGCTGATTTGGAAATAATCCTCAGTCGCTAGAGGGGCGGGTATTGACTTCGAACACCTGCCCTTGGGGGGTTTTTTTCTTTCGATAAACTCGCAGATGCCCAGGGGATATGAGGGAAATTTCCCTTGTCAATTAGCTTTCGGGAAGAGTTCAAATGGTGTCATTTTTGGCGGCTAAAGTGTTGTTCCATATATTGTGGTGTTGATCCCATTGCCGGGTATGATTCCATATCTTCGTATCGTTTCAAGACGTATCTAGCAACTTGTGATAGTGGTTTGCGAAAAAAAAAAATGTATGTTGGTAATATTTTTCGAATAAAGTATCGGAACAACAAAATGCTTGGCTGCTAGAGTGTTGGAAGAGTTATTGAATACCAGCATATAACCATTGTTACCGTCATTGTCTCTTGTATGGTGCTGGGAGTTCGTTCTGCTTGGCAACCTAACATTGTCATCAATAATCTAAAACCCCTATTTTCCATTCGAAAAGATGCATATATATATAGTTTTATGCTTAGACTTGTGTTAGGAGGTGTCATGGCGGTGAACAAATAGAAAATCCGTCCAAAGTCCTGGTTGTGAACAGAGCATTCTGTAACTTCTAAATAAGTTGTTTGAAATTGTCAGCCAATCCTCAAGATAACTAGTTAACGTAGTCCGACACCTAACCGATCACGACACCTAACCGATCAAATTTTCGTCCCAATCACCCACTCTATTAAATCATTCAATATGACAGCCACACCTAGCAAAGAACCTTCTAATCAAGAAGCCAGGCTCTTATTAGCTATTAAAGATTATGAAACTAAGCAAATTTCATCTATTCGCGTTGCTGCTAAGACGTACGAGCTTCCTTATACTACGCTTTACGATAGACTACGCGGTGGAACCACGTACACGAATGCTCAACTAAAAAATCGAAAGCTGACCTCTACTGAAGAGGAATCTCTAGTTCAATGGATACTCTCTATGGATAAGAGAGGACAGCCTCCCCGGATCGCGACCGTACGAGAAATGGCTAATCTACTACTTGAGGCGCGAGAATCCACTACTACAACTACCGTGGGAGGAAGATGGGTAGAAAGATTTATACAACGGCATTCTGAACTAAAGACGAAGTTCTCACGCAAGTACGACTATCAGCGAGCTCAATGCGAGGATTCAAAGATCATATACGAATGGTTTACCCTGATGGATCGTACGATAAAGAAGTATGGAATTACTTCAGAGGATATCTATAACTTTGATGAGATTGGCTTTACAATGGGGGTTATTTCAACATCCTGGGTGGTTACTAGAGCTGAGAGAGCTGGCAGGCCATCTCTTTTACAGCCAGGGAATAGAGAATGGGCAACTGTGATCGAGGCAGTTAACGCTACGGGCTGGGCTCTACCTCCTATGATTATCTTTAAGGGCAAGCTTCATCAAGCCTCCTGGTACAAGCAGCTGCCAAAGGATTGGACAATTGGCGTTAGTGAGAAGGGATGGACCACGGACGCTCTTAGCCTTGATTGGCTGCGGAAGGTCTTTAACGGAGCTACTAAAGCTTGTACGAAGGGCAGATATAGACTGCTTGTGTTGGATGGGCATGGCAGTCATGCCACGGCCAGATTTGATAAATTCTGTCTGGATCACGGCATTATATCATTATATATGCCTCCACACTCCTCTCATTTATTACAGCCACTAGATGTGAGCTGCTTTTCACCATTAAAGAGAGCGTACGGCAAGAGGGTGGAACAAAGCGTGAGACTAGGAATCAGTTATATTGACAAGGAGGACTTTCTAGCCAGCTATACAACAGCTAGACAGGAGGCTATGAAGGATATAACTATAAAGAACGGATTCAAAGCCACAGGCCTAGTGCCATACAATCCAGATGAGGTTCTTACTCGCCTACATACTCAATTTCATACTCCTACCCCCCCGGGGTCAGCTCACGGATCTCACGGATCTCAATCCTCCTGGACCCCCAAGACCCCTCGCAATGTGACTCAGTTGGAGCGGCAGAGCAGCAGAATCAAACGCCGTACGGAAATTCTCTCTAGTCCTACAAATCAGGCTCTTGATCAACTAGTGAAGGGATGTCATACGGCCATGCATAATGTTGCTTTACTGACCAAGGAAGTCATGGAGCTGAGAGCTGCCAATGCTAAGCAGAAGCGTAAGAGAGAGAAATCACGTTTCTATATAGCTAAGGAAGGAATCCTTACGGCTCAAGAAGCTCTAGCTAGGATGGCTAAGCCTCTGGAGCCTCCTGAACGTACGGAGGTTTGGATGGAGGATCCAAATCCGGAAGGTAGAAAGCGAAGACCTCCCACCTGCAGCAAGTGTAATACACCCGGACACACTATTAGGCAGTGCCAACAGACCTAAGGATCTAATCTATATAATTTCTATATAAAATCTCTCGTGGTTGTTGCTCAATTTAAAAAATTGTCAAATAAGGATGAAAATTTGATCGGTTAGGTGTCGTGATCGGTTAGGTGTCGGACTACGTTAGGAGTTAACTACGTCAAATTTGTCAGCAAGAATGAAACCTGATAGTTCCAGATAGCAAGCATCTTTCCCTTTTTATTCTTCTGCCTCGTTAGCTTTCTCTTTCCTGGCTAGACGTTCACGATCCCTTACCGAAGAGAGTAAAACCAGTCGCTTCTGGCCCGGAGAGCACTCCGTTGCCATTGGAAATGCAGTGAGGACGTCGTGAGATATATGCCTCTGCTCATTACATTCCACTCCCATCCATGTCGTTAATGCCACAATAACGGCAAGGTCGCTCGTCTCTGGCTTCCAAGGTTTGAACCAGGTTGAGCAACAAAGTCCAACGACTCTTCAAATCCCCTGTCCCCGGACCATCCCATCAACATTCAGGACGTGATACATTCAAAAATGAGAAGCTGAAGCTTTCTTGGGACAATCAAATTCAAATAAAAGCGGTTTGGCTTGTCCCTGGATTTAACCTTTGAACTGTTGTCGGGAAGGGTAAGCTTAAACGCGATGAACCATAAAGTGGAGAACTCTTCCCAAGGCCACGTGGTGTCGACCAATCACGGACCTACACTATCCCGTAAACTCTGTCCCAACCACGGATCTGCAGGACCAGCATCCATAAGGGAGAATTCACAATAAGGAGTAATTACCTAGTAGTGAAAACTAGCCCAGCTATTTTAACCGGTAGCCATCGCTTCAGGTCAACTAACCATTGTTTCCCCTAGAATGCCACTGAGGACATTCATCTCCTGTTGTGGAAGGTCCCACGTTTCGAACGGTGTTTTGGTGTTTGTTGTACGGAGTATTTCTTTTCTCATTATGGACGTGATTATGAAGTTTTTGACGGAATAGACTGTGCTTCATGCTCACAAAAAGGAGGGAAACGAATTTCTAAATACAAACACATTCATACATGGCATCGTTATCTACATCAAATTATAATAGTTTTCATAAAGCTTCATAAATGGAGAGCTCATCAGGAAGAAAAGGAACAATAATACAGGCAGTTTAATCAGGGGGAGAGTAGAAGAGGGGGAACATTCAAATAAACTCTGGTTCTCGTACATGTGTGCATCAACAGCAGGCAAAAAGAAGTTTAAAAATGTGATTAGAGGAGCAGTACGCAGGCAAAGGAATCTGGTAAAAATCAGTTCAGAAACACTCAAAGCAGAGCAGGGGAAGGTAGGGCAAAGGCAAACGGAAGCAAGAGCGCGCTCGAGTCTGTAAAGATGATTTGGTGATTAAGATGGCCATTCTTTGAAACATCAACCCTGTATCGTTTTCATCACATTCATCGTTTATCATCGTAAGATCCAAGCCACGGATATTGTGGCGAAAGGGAGTCAGTACTTGCCCAAAATGTAACTTGATGAAAGAAATAAAGAAAATAAAAGAGGAGGAGATATAATTCATCACTTAGACATTGTAAACAGGCTGTCTCCCCGAGCTGCTTCTTCGGTGCCGAGAACTTGAATGGCCACGACGGCTAGAATGCGAGCCTCGTCTGCTGCGCGAGCTTTTCTCATGCTCCTCCTCATGATGATGCATGAAATACGCCAGCACTGACGTAACAAAAAATGAACCAATGTTCATAATGCCAAACGCAAACGCCGTCTTCAGCATTGCGCAGACCTTACCCGGATTGCGCGCCAGCGGGTTATTAGAGCGCTGACCCGCGAAACCGAAGGGTCCCAAGGAAATTGTCAATGGGTCCAGACGGAAATTGCCGCAGTCTGAGTTGGTGATGCGTCGCAGTTGATAGACCCCGGCGATAAAAGCGCCGACGAAGAGGAGATCGACGAAGGCGACGAAGGAGGCGGAGCGTTTGGCGTTGGAGTGTCGGATGAGGGTGTCGAGGGCCCAGAAGACGCCGAGGACAGTAGTGATGAAAAGGACGAGGATGTAGGTTGGGGTTAGTTGGTTGTTTTTGACGAAGCCGTCGACAAACCAGGACTGAATAGGTGGCTTTGTTAGCTTATGATTTATTTATAATAGGGATGGGAATGGATCAATGTGGAAGGGATTTTCTGTTCAGCTTCTGTACTTACGAGAATGCCAATCGGGATGATTAGGGTAACGATTTGGCCCATCCGCCAACAGATAAAGAAAAAACCGGCAATCATATTTGCAAGCGTAAAGATTTTAACACACTTCGAAAGTTAAGATGGGTGGTAGATATAGCAGCAGATGCTATCAGCTTCGCTGCGGCTACCAGTGTCTGGATGAATAGATGTTCGTAAGATTCGAGCGCAAGACTCGAACAACACGGCAATAAAAACAAGTTCTAGCGCGTTCTATCACTTCAGAAAAGTAAAGATGCGCAGTGGCTGCTGTACGCACGACTGTCTTCCGCACTCAGAGAGGGCTGTTTATTCGTCCCAGTAAGCATGAGAAGGATAGATGCATAGTGAAGGTGTTCGAGGACGACATAAGGCGAGATCTGCGCGAGACTCTGATATTAATACGACCAACCACATCAACACAACCTGCGCCAGCAGCCGACCAGTCGGACGTAATGCTGTAAGGCTGTGGGACAATGCTGTTGTGATTGGCTGTTGGACCTATGTAGGTGGCTGGGAATGTCTGAAGGATTTAAGTCGATGGCGGGGTATTGAGCCCCTAGCAGCCCAGTGAACCACCAACATTGGACAGATCCAGTTATCGATAAGCAGTTGGATGTCAAAAGAAAGAATTGGGCGCATTGACGCTGAAAAGTCCAGTGAAAGGAACGATGTGTGTGAATTTAAGGTGTTCTCCAGATTATCTACATCTACATATCAATTATTGTTTACTTGAGATATACTTCGTACGTTTGTACATTGTATTTGATCTGATCTGATCCAGGGCACGTGATGGTCTCCGAGTCACCCATGTTATTTAGTGAAGCAAGCATGGAATGCCAATCAACAAGGAATAAAACAATAGACATTTTATTTGTCCATGAGTTTCCTGGAAACATTGGCCCTCTTGACCCTTGGAAGAACTACATGAAAACCAAATGTTCAATCACATATTCCATGAATGAACAGCACAAAATGCATGTGGATACACTCAATTCAGCAAAGCCATGGAAGATGATAGTTACTCATCGTGAAAACTAACACTTCTTCACCGAAGAGTAAGAACATAGAAGAAAACTACGGAGAATGAAGGAACGGAATTTCAAAGGGAGGATTCTTTTTAATCCCTTGGTTTGCCTCATTCACCCCATTTCCCAAATGCCACACATACCAGGGGCGAGTCAAAGAAACCATTTGACAAAAAGAAAGGTATTTCAATTTCCCTCACTGGTCTCCGAATAGACCCGTTGGCGGTGAAGGAGGGCATGGATAAAAGACGAAGTTAGAGGACATAAGGTGTAAGATAAAAGATCCTCACTCTTCAAGGATAATCCGCCCTCAGCATCAAGATATAGACGGAGTAAAAAAAGAAATATATACGCAACAGAATGAAACTTGAAAGGTCACAGCAAAGACCACGCCTGGGGGAACATAGAGTGGATGTTAGACACAAGCAGGAACAGTAAAAAAAGATCATATTGTGAAACCCAAGCCCTCCCTGGCAAAGATAAGATGTACAGTAGTACGTATGTAAGAACATAAGGCAAAAATTATGCCCACGTAAACAAAATGCCTCCATTGAAAGTAGGCCAAACGCAATTGCACTTAAAAAGACTTAACAAAAAGGAAAGGAAAACAAAACAACACAGGGGAACAAAAAAAAGGATGGATAATGATATGGTGATAAGACAAAACGGAGATCGTGAGCCAGTATGGGAGAAAGCAACTGTCGACATCAATGCCAGATAATTTCTCTATCTGCAAGAGGTGAGATGGGGAACAACCATGTATATACATATGTATAATCAACCATGAAACCCAAAGACGTTGTTTGACAAGATCAAAAATTGGATCGTCGGCCTTTATTAAGAGAGGTGCTTGCCCAATGTATAAATGGAGTGGGGGAGGAGAGGGGGTAACTCGACAAGTCAAGTCCAACAAATACAGTCAACTCGTACAATCCTGTATTTTCTCCCAATAGGAACCACGTTGATTGCCGATGGACGGGGTAAGCAAAGGCGGACAAAAAGAGTATATATATATGTATAGCATAAATGCAACGGTTGACAACGAAGAAGAAAGATTGGGAGGACACGGTAACCAGTACAAAAAGGGTAAGGCATGTGAAGGAAAAACAGGTGCGTCGTAAACAATTAAATTTCATAAACCCAAATAGGCATTTGTCTATTTTATGGTTTTCTTTGCTCTTTTCTTTGCTCTTTTTTTCCTCTCATTTTATTTAAAGAGTGTTAATGGTTGATTAATCAATTTTTCAATATAACTGGGTGGGGGACACGGGACGTTCACTTTCCCCTTCTGATAGAGTGTGTGCCGTATTGAGCGATTGAGCTCCCAGATATGGCTGATAGCTCGTCTGTTGCTGGTAGACATTGTTGGACTTGCTGCGTTGAGTCCGAGTCCCATCACTGGGCTGCATTTCATATGCCATACCGATCGAGTCACCTCTTGATGAAGAGTAGTTTCGATCCACGTCCGGCTTTCGTCTTAAGTAAGGGTCTGACGAAGATGCTTGGTCGGTTGAAGAACGGCGTACAGGTGGGGTTTTGTGTGTGGACCCATTGTTTTGGTCAGTTGGTCTAACTTGACATTCCAGATCTGCAGGACGAAGGGGTGCAACTGAATCATCGTTTGATCCATCCAGATCAAAGAGGTTTCGTCCCGCCATTGGAGGGCCAACTGGGTCAGTTCCCCAGGTTCTAATCGGGTATGCGCGCCCTTTCCTCCACGATTCCTCGAGGGGTGGGAAATATTGGCGGTAGGCAACGTAGGCGCATAATATGCCTAGGAAAGAGCCAAATAGCACATCAAAGGGGTGATGTCGGGCATCCATTATTCGCGTTACAGCAATCAGCCCAGCTCCAAGGGTTGGGAATAACACGATGAATGTTTTCCACACTTCACCCCTGTTATCTAGGACATGAAGTTTGCCGGCTAGGTAAAGGGAGAGATAGAAGAGGCCGGCGAAAGAAGCTACACAAAAGAATATATATTAATATCAACAACGATAAAAACATAGCAAAAAATAGATATGGAACATGATTGCCCTACAACTTGAATGCCCTGAATATATTAAGATATGTGTTAGTATATGTACATACACTCAAACAAAAAATACATTTATATTAGAGGCCACATACCTGATGGAAATGATCTATACCCATCCTGCAAGATGCGATAAGGTGTGGATGTGTTACACATCTTAAAAGTCACCATATCAAACCGTCCTAAAGATCCAGTATTTTCTGGTTTACAACGATCGATAATATCTGGTCGCGGTTTGCCGACGGCATTTTTAACGGCGCCCGTAATCACAAAGGCGCTTGCTTGGGCCAGAAATAAACCCAAAAATCCGCAGTTACATTCCCACAGTCTATCTTTTAGGCTGTATGGACCCATCAGCTTCCTTTTGCCGGACGAGGTCGTGGGTTTATGGTGCGAGAAAAGGCCATCGATAACAATGGTATAGAAGAAGATGATCACAAGTGGGATGCCTCCAGAGATGGCTAGTGCGAGTGGGATGGAGATTCGTTCGTGGACAGTATATGGGTAGTATAGGGAGTGATTGTTCAGGGAGAAAGGTTGGTGGAAAGGTTCGATGTGGTCAAGAATGTAGAATCCAGCGACGAGAGCTCTAGAAATGGGGCTTTGTTAGGCGGTACTATACCTAGCGTGGAAGGAGGTCGCATGTCAGAGTTATCGTATTCTGAGGGAACGTACACTAGAATGACATAGTCGAAAATGTATCTGGGGTAAGAGATTAGCAAAGTTCGCTCTTCAATGGAGATATAGACGGCGGTTCCCTACGAGATGATTATTCGAGTCCTGAGAGGTTTCTTTGAAAACGGCAGAGTGTTTGGGAGCGTGCTGGCCATGGTGGCTTGTTGAAAGCGTAAGGGGGAGGTACGAGATCGCAAGGGCAACGAAAGACGACAAGCCTAAGATGGAGAATTAAAAGAGAGAACTCCACTGCGTAATGCACCCAAAAAGGGGGCAGCTGATCAATGGGTCCACAACAGAAAAGCAAAATAACGAGGAGGAAGAGAAAGACGAAGAAGAAACCGATGAATTGCGATGGAAAAGAGAGTTGAGACAACTCTTGGGCGGTTAGTGAAGTTTGCGACGTAGTTGATAGCGTCAGCCACACTTCGAGGGTTGACCCACACTTGGCAACAGATCTGCGGAAGATATTCCAACTACTTACAGAACCTTACAGAAAAGCAGGAGTTATTGTCATAAATGAAATATTTTTCTCCGTACTATGGGCCATCTTCTGCCTGCAAAAGATACGAATATCACCTTGAACTGACCGCGCAAGAGAGGCACTAGAGACCGCACTTTACACTGAACGCAAGGTATACCCAACTACCCAACAACTTTAGTTTTGGAACCCTTAAATCTTCAATGTAATATCGTTCATTGAAGACAATATATATTGATGCATTATAACTTTTTCTAAAGTCTTCATATAAGTTTATATATACTTAAAGATTTTCCATGTTGAAGGTTTTTATTATAGTCAAACCTCAGACATTCTTCTGAGATACTCTTTTTTTAATAAATGTGAGTCAAATAAGTAATTCTATATTCAATTCACGAAGTTGAAGTCTTTTAACCCAATTTGTAACTATTTAAAGCAGTCTTTTTTTAGAATTGAAAATTAAGGGAAAGATATTGTAAAACAAAATTTACTTATTTAGTTATCTCTTTCTAAATATATCTTAGATTCAAGTATTTTCTTCATTTTTTCTTTTCAAAGCTTTTTATTTTTAATAAAAAAATGCTTCAAATTTATATAGAAAGAATTACTACTGAATTTTCAAAAACTAAGTTTTTAATGAATAAACAGAAGATTTGAATTTAGATGTAACTAGACAATACTGAGATAGAGTGCCAGCAGCAATGTCACATAAAGTTGATTAACAATGAGAAGCTGAATGAGTAAGCTTGATTAGTTAGTTAAAAAAAACAGACAAAAATTATCTATAAATAGAAGAGGTAACTAAGAATTAAGAGTACAAGTGATTGTATAGAGAATTGTAAGTATTATTTCTTAAAAAATATGTTTTTATATAAGTTTCACAGCAGTTAAACATTTAAGCATACTTTCAAATTAACTATGTTTAAACTTGCTATTTAAGCATATGGTTAGCATTTGAGATCGATTTATTCCTGATTTTTATATCAAAGTTAAAGAGAAGATTGTTACTTAAGCGTAACTTGAACTTAAATTTCCTTCAAGTTTTATATCCATAAATATAAAAGAGAGAGTCTTTATTTTTTTTAATTTTCTCATTTTGAATCTAATTCTTGAGTATTAAAACTATAGTTTCTACGTTTTATATCTTTGAGACTACTCTGCTCTTGTAGTTTTCTCTTTCTCTCTCTCTTCATTATTTTAAAATTTGATATTTCAAAGTTTTAAAATAAACTTCACTTAAATTCCTTAGAACTCAATATAATATCAGTTACTTTAAATATTTATTTATTTTCAAATTAGACAAAGCTCGTTAAATTGACCATATATTCCGCTGTTCCCATGTCATTCAATCGGGCCAAGTCCGGGCCATGAGTTTTTCGTGCGTTGAACGGTCATTGATCGAAGTCATGAGCTATACCGCACGAGAGAACTTCAGAGCCTGACCTTAGATCAATTCCTCTTCGATATTGGCCGACGCGTGAGGATGAAGGTCGTGCGAAGGAATGCATAGCAAGGGCGTCTCATTCTGGCGGTTGAGGGATGATGGAATTCCGCCGTAGTCAAAGAAGTTTCTTTACAAGCTCATTAAGCAATACAAGATGTTATCTCCGGGGCAGCGTGGTTTATGAAAAGGAGGAGAAAGATATGCTGGATCTCGACAGAGGAGTCTCTATCCACCCACTTTAGGGTCTCGAGTAAGCATTCATGGAATACGATACCGACATTGTAGGAATGTGTGGGCGGTTGCATAAATACTACATATGCTCTCCTGTCCTGTCCTTGGCAACCATCCACTGTCCCATACCAAGGTCTGGTTCATCCAAATCCGTGATGAGCCTCCGACTCTGGCACTCAATCAACATGGTTCTTCCATCCAGGTGAGCGCTCTGCTCAGCAACGTAAAACTACCTGCTACTCTCTCTCCCAATGACATGGCTTCGCATCAAGCAAAACACCAGAAAAGGAGAGGGCGTCAATCGTCTAACTACGTTACAGGGCAATAATGAGTTGTTCGTTCAGAAAGAAGCACTACACAGTCCTTGCCGAAGAGTGAAGGGTGCACTCCTCTCTCAAAGATATTGTTCCTGGTGGGCCGGAAACTAAACCTCCCAACGAGTTGCTCACTCGGAAAGACTTTATGATGCTCATCTTCCTCGGTGTTGTTATGGAGAACTAATATTCATGGTCAGGAAATACAAGTAAACGATCGTAAACGGAAGCGAGCCTGGGAATCTGAGCAGCCACTGCTGCGTCCAGCCAGGCGCCTTGAAAAACGACAGTGTATGAGCCCTACCAACTCTGGCGACGACGCAGTCCACAGAATAAAGGAACACGGGAGCATCAATCGCCCTTCAACCAGAGCCATCGATCTAGAGGTAGCTTAATTGCCTCTATGATACTATGACGGCTGTTTTATGTATGGCCATGCCGATTATATTAATAGCGACAGCAAGTCTATCTCTCGTCAAACACTGAGTGCGAATCCTGAGGTTTCCAATGGAACTGTGTATCAACGTGCTGAAGGATACAAAAGAAGAACGAGACTGGAGTTATTCACATTATAGATGAATTAATTGTTCCGTCAGCAGAGAATGCAATCAACCTCAGTCACAGCGTATTCCCACATTTGGTTGTCAGTGTGAATGGTGCTTGGGATGGGTCAATTTCTCTTGACAAATCTCAGCAATTGGCATAGATTTTTTTTTTTTTTGCAACCTTCGCGATCTCACAATTTTAATTACCCCGGCCGCAGCCGGGTTATGCTCTAGGATTCGGCGGCATCTTTTATTGAAACCCAGTTTGAAAAACTTGCGCCATTCGTCGGCGAGGTTGGTGACACTTCTTTCGTTATGAGAACATCATACATGTTTTTTCCATTCATGACGGGCCGAAGTGAAGTGCGGAAAGGAGGCACTTGATATTGCAGATCGACAGAATACGCACAGCATGATTCTCTCAGTAAGTGGATACGTCAGGCTCTTCAGGCTCGTGAAGCGTGAGAAAGAGCTGCATGGACAGATTCTGGCGTTTTCTGTTTTACATGATCATCGAATGGTCAAGATCTACGGCCATTACCCTGTGATCCACGGAGAGAAGACCACCTATTATCGTCGTTCCATTCGGAAATTCGGAAATTCAGTTTCGCGGATTTGGACGGCAGAGAGAAATGGACATCTTACAAGTCTGTGATGGGCACCTTTTCATTTTGAAAGATTATGCTCCGCTATTGGTGATCTACCGACTGTCTATGACACGTCGCAGGAGTCAGAGACACTACACCAGCCTGAGGTTCTATGTCAATCTGGGCTGAGTTTCTCAGAATCAACTGGACTTTCTCCAGGTGTCGAAGGTGTTGATATACAGGGTTCAAGTTTTGCTCCCCCCTCCCCCCCTTCGCAGAATACTCTCTCAAATACTCTTTAAAAGAAATCTACAGAAGCGTTCAAGATGCCAAAGAAAAGACGCAAATAGTTATTTATATGATTATGGAAATCAGGGAAATGATGATCCACCTGGACAAGTAATCACGTACTAATGAGCCATCATTTCATCGTCACCTCGATGGAATGAGTGAATGCTAAAATTTTGTCTAAAGGAAAGGATGAATGGCTAAAACCAGCAAATCCTTCACTCCGTGACTTATAACTGCAAAAACGTTTCTCATCGGGCTTCAATGTCTTTCGGGGACGAACCCATCAAGAAGCCAGCGGAGTCGGCGAGTTACCAAGACAGGATCCTTGTTGGAAAGTCACGGTAGCCTGGGGTGTTTGCTCGCAATCAAAAGATGGACGGACAATAGTCGATCAAAAAAAAAAATCCCAGCCTATATATCCGCATCCGCATCCGCATCCTCATCCCCCCCAGACCATAGCAATCACTTGTGCAAGCTGTCTTGCTTCCAAGGCTGTATGCATAAACCAACACTGCCTCCTCACGATATCTTTCTGCTATCCGGCTTCACGGCTTCCTTGTCCATTGGAAGTTATAAGTGTGTCCTATATAGGGGAACTCAATTTGCCATCTGATCTGTTCCGCATGCGAGGGTGATGATAAGGTCGCGGCCTGGAATAACAGTGGCTATTGGATAGTAATTTACTGTTACGCAATACTACCCAAGTTGTCCTTCTCTGATTCTACGACTGTATGTTATTTTGTGTGGTGCCTTCCGGGTCGTCCCGTTCACAAAGTTAACGCAACCTACCGATATAGTTGGTCAGTTCGGTTGACAACTAATTGTCCTTGTCCAATTGCCCAGTGCCACGTATTTCCATTTTTGTCAAAAAAAGAAAAAGAATAAAATAAAAGAATAAAAACCTTGTCGATCCGGGAGAGAAACACTTGCGCTTCGGAATTTCTTTTGAAACAATAGGAATGCTTGTAAGACGCAAGAATGCCGTCGGAGCGGTGCCATCCTGTAAGAGGGAGTCACACTCATAAACGCATGCATCAAATCCAATCATGCTCGTAACAGCACCGAAAAGTAGGATGAGAGACGAGATCCGAGCCACGAAGCGCACAATCAGCAGGTGAGAACCATGAGAAGTCTTGGGCTCCACATTGGGTCATCCCGCACTAAATACATCAGACCTATGATTATTCTACGGGCAGGATATCCTTTGAGATGGCCGGGACTTCGCGCCATCTTCTAATACATTGTCTGCCTGGATGGAACACGAAGAAGACACATTGGCATATAGAGATATCCGGTTTTGCGGGCATCCATGTTGAGCAGCCTTTGTAAAATATATCTCTGATAGGCATCCCCCCCTCCATATTCAAACGGAAGCACCCCCATCAACGCAAATTTGTATTTTCGTACCACCTTATCAAGAACGTCTGTCTCACGCAGCCAGAACCTTTATCAAGCAGCCCTCTAATTGGCGTTACGGTCAACTCAAAAAAAAAAAAAATTAATAAATAAATATGAGCACCACGAGCGGTGCTGGAGAAGGGAATAACCTGTCCTATAAGCTCCCATTGCCTAAGGACGAAAAATTACTTGAGCTAGCCGCGAAAGCGTCGAGGGAACGCAGAGAAGAGACGAAGGAAATAAGAGAAAAGCAACAGGCTAACCGAGAATTGATGGAAAGGGCAGGGAGAGATTCTAAGGAGCGTCGACAAGGAGGTCGAAGTGCCACCACCTAAGAGTTGGCTTCAAGTTAGTACTCAAAGTATTGGTTGCTACGGACCATGAATTCTAAGAGTCCTAGGTTTCTCCGATCCTCTCTCCGCTATTTGACTTGATGGCCGTCAATTGTGGGCCTTATTGAGATTGTGGAGAGAACTCATAGTGTTGCTGATGATTTCATGTCAGAAGATTCACTGTAGGCTTACAACAATGCATATTCCTTCTCATAAGCCGCATTCTGCTCCATCTTCATCTGTACAAATGACTCCAAGTCTCCTCGTAGCTTGTCGTCAAGCAAGTTGACATCAGCTTTGCCCCCATAGTAAATCTTGTCTAACTGGTGATAAAAGATCGCATCCACATCTAAGCTCTTTCTAGCTGCGAAATTGAACCAGAACTCTCCGCTCGTCCAAGAGTTGCGCATTAGCTTGGAAATGCGTTGCATACGGGGCTTTCTGCTACACTTCTCAGCCTCTATCTGCTCCAGGGCGTATAAAAACTGTTCCAGTCTGGGTGTATACTGAGCCACAAACTCTTCCATGGTATAGCCTCGTTCCAACCACATATCCGGGCCTACCAACAATAGCCACCAGGGTGGATCACATGCGAACTGTGCGGGCATAGCATTTGTGAACTCAAGGTCAAGGACTGCGGTGATCTGTAAGGTTTCGCTGTTCACCAGAATGTTTGCAGGTCGGAAGTCATCACAAAAGAGTTTGAAGGGACCGTTCTCATTGATACAGTTCTTTGCAGCTAGCTGCTGAAACAGATGGCGCGCAATATACCGCCTCATGGCATCCATAGGATCAATGGAGAGGTTGCGCTGGGTGTGGAGATGAACCAAGTGTTGGTCCGCAAGACTCTTGAAGTATTCATTTGCAGATGCAAAGCGCTCCGTAGGTAATCGATTAATTGGATAACCCGTGCATGTGGCCAGTTCGTTCATATTATACGTCAAGGGCCTTCCGGTGACGGCCCATGTATTTGCGCCTTCAGCGACTTCCGATATGGCTCCGATGTGAGTGAAATCAAGGTTGTAAAGTTGAAGCATGAAATCAGCTATCTGACGGTACACAATGTTCAATGTGGTGTCATCGATATCAGGGTTTAGTATTTCCTTTTCTTGATTGTTCGCAGTCGGCTTTTTCAAGATGTCTGACAAATGTATTCCTTCGACATATTCCATGATAATAAAAGGTCCTAATTGCTGAGGGCTGTCCACAGTTAAACCCCAGCTTATCAAACGAGGCAGAGGAATGCTGGTTCGTTGGCGAAGGAATTTCATAACTTGCACCTCTTTCTCCACTTTTTCATCCCGGAAAGCTGTAAACCCAGGTTTAGTGAACCGGATTACAGCGTCAGAGCAAGTATCTTTAAATTTAATACGAATGCAGATATTAAAGGAACCCCGATAATAGTGGACAATCCTCTCGGGATCACCACCCTGGCGACGCCGAGCGACGAAATCAGCTATCTCTTCTATGGAACCCAGAACTCTGTCCTTCCAAGCTATCCATTCTGCTTCACCCTTTGCCTCGGCGATCTCATCAGCAGAAGTCATCGTCACTTGATCACAGGTAAGACGCAAGAGCCTTGGGGCCGATTTGGGTGACGAGACCGCTGGTCTGCCGTCCAGATTCCCTTTTGCACGCGGTCAAGGTCTCTGAACCTAAAAAATATACTAGAAAATAAGATGTGGTTGGTTCCGATGGAGTGGTGGAATGGTAGGGGTGAAGAAGCGTGTATCTGCATCCATTGAACTAGATGGAGAGGAAATAGCAAGAAAACGCTGAGAGAGATTCATTGGGAGCGCGTAATAGGGGGTATGATGACTAAGAGTCACTCCCCCCTTTTTTGCGGAGAGAGCAGAAGCGAAGAGCAGCAATTATTTTAGTGCCTGTCTCTTGCCAGAGAATTTCCTTTTTCAGCGATCATTGAAATATGGAGTTTACTGCATACTGCGTTCTTGGGGCTGCTTCGGATGCATTCTCGCGCTCTGGTTGACCGAAGAGAATTTACGTTCCCCTGGCCTTGTAACCAATAACTGCAATAGCCCGTACACCGAGATACCAACCAGCAAAATAAACAGGAGCAGTTCTCACGCTCTGGTTGGTCGAAGACAAGTTACGGAGGAACCCCCCCCCTTTCAAAGGTTTCTTCCTGCCAAGGCGCCATGATTGAAAATCACACACACTTTATGATGATTTTTAAAATTCCTTTTCAAATTCAATTCTTCTTTCAATATGGCTTGAAATACTGATATTGCTACTTGTGCTCTTGTGGTTACACTCAAATCTGTTGGGGGAAAGACTTCTATTGAATGAAATCTCAGAGATAACTGGCCTATCTGTTCAATTAATCAACCTAATATATGTTCACGCCATTAGAAAGAGGCTTTGAACCAAATCATCGACCTCTAACTATTCAAGATGACTGGTTAAAAGATGCTTCCTGCTCTTGCTGACCTTCTAAACAGACATCTGAGGTTCAGCAACAGGTTATTGCCAAGGTGCAAACTGATTGATATGGGCGAGAAAAGAACTGTGCTGATATTGCAGGTGAACTCATTCTGAAAGGATTCAACATTTCTGCCATTACAATATGGAGAATTCTGAGGACTGCTGGATTTTGAAAGACAAAGCCAACATGAAAACCTGGATTAACTAAGAAAATGAGGCAGAAATGGCTTCAATTCTGTCTTGAACATAAAGATTGGACTTTTGAAGATTGGAAATTGATTATTTGATCTGATGAAACCTCCATTATTCTTCTTCATCAACATGGTGGATATCAAATATGGCGAACCAAAGAGGAGGCCTTTGTATGAAGCTGTATTTAGGAACAGTGGAAGGGCTATTCTGAGTTCATGTTTTGGGGGTGTTTCTCTTATGATAAGAAAGAACTCTGTCATTGCTGGCTTCCTGAGACTGCTTCAGAAAAGACTGAATTTCTAAGAATTATTGATGCCTTAAATGAGGAATTGAAGTCAGTTATGAAAGAGAAATGGGAAATAGAGAATGGGATGAGGCAGCTTAATCTTCATCCCTATCCAGCAAAACACCTACATGGAAATGGAAACAGAAAACAGGCAAGCTTTCCCATGGCATTGGCGGTGGTATAGATTGGTATCAATATCAAATCAAAATCTTGATTCCAAAGCTCTTTTTGCTAAAGAGTGTGAAAAAGAACACCCAGGTACAATTGTTCAAGAGAATAAAGCTCCTTCTCATGATCATTATATTCAACGCTGAATTTACAATATATACAATGTCTGTTGAATGCTTTGGTGTGGTAATTCCCCTGATCTTAACCCAATTGAACCCTGCTGGCCATGGATGAAGTGAAGAACTACCTGTAAGAGGCCATCAAAGAGCCAGGCAGAAGCTATTAAGGTATGGGAGCAGTGCTGGAAGGATCTGTCTCAGGAGGCAATACAGGCATGGATTGAGAGGATCTCTATTCATATTCAAAAGATTATAGAGCTAGAAGGAGGCAACGAATATAAAGAGAGCTGTGGATAAAATGAGTGTATATTTCTACATTAAGTTTGGTGGCTTTTTTAGTGTATTTAGTGACTGGAAGAAACTTTTGAAAGGGACCTCTGTACAATCATGCGATTTCCCCTGGCCTGTATCGACGACATTGCCAGCAAATTTAAAGAAGCAGTTGACAACTTCAGTCTCGCTGTTATTCTATTGCTCTGTTTCAAATAGGCCATTTTAGCTTCTTTACTGCTGCTTGATGTGGCTTCAGAGACTTACACATTCTAATCATGACTTAGGGCTTCGTGTAATCAAAGATGCCCTGGCCTGCAGATGGCCTGCAAATGTTTCTTCCATCTTGGCAAGGAATCTATGTGCAGCTTTCCATGCCTCAAACAGTTAATTAATGACTGGATTGCAGACTTCTCTGTTGTATGAATGCATCTGAATTCATGCAGTTCTTCATTCTTTCAATCTCTATTGCATTGATACACTGGGTGAAGGGGAGCTAGGCCCCTTAATCAAACAGCCTGGCAAAGCTAGGAAGTAGGAGCGGGAGGAGAGTGTCGAGATCATAGACCTCAAGGATATGGATATTGCTCATTTGGAGGCGGAGAACATGGCCTTGAACACCAAAGTCAAGAATGTCAGGTGTCCCCTGAAGGAAGGAGTAGTTAGTTAGTTTTTTTTTTTTTTTTTTGAAAAATGCTTATGTTACAGGCTGATGAGTTAAAATCTCTTTTCATCTGTAATTTCTCTTTTACTGCTAACTGGGCTGTCTGCTCTTAGCACTGCTTGTTACCGTTACCATTTTCTGGGTACATTCGGTCAGTGAAACATGGAAAATAAGAGGAGACAATGTGTCTAGCTTGCTTTTGGCTGGATTCCTACCGCTGCTGGTCTTCATGACGGATATGGAATGATGGTAAGGTGGAAGGCTACGGCTTCTTAGCAGAGAGATGAGTGGATGGTTATATGGGAGAACGCCATTCTTATACCACGAAAGCTCGTGACCAATGGTTTTGACGCCTGAAGGCATCCATGTGAAAGTCGGGCTTGATGATCTCGGAAGCTAACTGCCTGACAAGGAGTACATCGAGTTGCTGCGATCGATATAGGTAAGGTCAGCCGTATCTATGACAATAAGTGAGGAAATTTATTGGTGTCTTTTTTTTTTTTAATACAAAAACTGAGCATCATTAGACAATCTAATGGGGCGGTAACAAATTGGAATTGAATACAGTAACATGTTGCAGCTAAATCTTGGACCGTGTCTTCTTGGGGTGGGTCCTCAGGAGCGGTCTCCCACGTCGCTTGAGGGATTCGCGACTCTCTACCTTTCCAGGCCTGACGTGGAACTCGTGGACCAACTTCTCTCATCCAGGGATCAGATCACGTTCAGGTTGCCAAGAAGGGTCGTAGCCCCTCCATTTCACAAAGTACCAGCGCATCTCTTGATCACCTTCCTCGACCACCATCAACTTGAGGATTTCATCGACCAGCCACTCCTCCGTTGAAGTCCCTCCACCATCTTCAACCAATACTGCCAGTGGTGGCTTCTGGTCCTCGGAGTTGGCTTCGACACTCCCAACACTGATTTCCCGGCTGCATGTCCTGGGTGCGGTGAGGGAAATTGGGATTCTATCATTGTAATTCAGACCCCGATTATCGTCATCAAGAATGATGGGTGTATCTGGCATCGTAAGAATCCACGCAAGTATAGAGGGGATTGGGCACTTGGGACTTGGGACTCCGACACAACATCAGCTCAGTTGCGAACCAGTCCCGCCGTGTCCTCGCCAGTGGCGAGCTGATGGCGTGCGCAGTATGAGCACCTGCAGGCCTAGAAGATGGACCAAGGACAGAAATTTGGCCACAAACAGCAGAAACTACGCAGCAACGTAGATATCATCATGGAGCGAGCAAAAATTGATGCCATTACCGCTCCCAATCTATACCCCACGTTGAATGAGCCCATATCCCGCATGCAAATGTTGGCCAAAATCCTAGTAAAATAGGGGGGGAAGGGGGGGGGGGGGGGGAGAAATTGCGCGCCGCCCATCGTCCTGTAACACCAACCGCCATACTTTAGGAAATTCTGGTGAATCGCAACCCTCCCTACTTCTGATTCCCTAAACGGTAGCATCGATAGATGCCCGTTCTCGACACGATGTCATGCGTCAACTGCCACTTCAACGCACTTTCCTGTCGCATGAACACAAATCTCCAGGAGTAGAGCATGCCCCTTGATTTATCATGTAGAAGAGCAGAAAAATGTAAAGATGGGTAACTCTGGCATCGCATCACAATGACACACGATTCTCCTCTCTTCATTTGATTTCAGCGCCTGGATACCAAACCTGAAATCCTGTCTCCAGTGGAGGCCTCCATTGTCGTTGATTCAGCAACTTGCTGCTGGGCCAAGAGGCAACATAAGTGTGACCAAGAATTCACCCGTGCTGGAGTAGTTTGGGCCATGTCCACATCGCCCATCTGCAATTTCTTTCCTTCACTGTGGCGCGTCACCATTGAGACATGCCCCAGTCTCTGAAGAAGGGAGAAATTTTCAATTTTCGTGAGCAACTGCACAAGTTCGGGCCAGCCAACATAGAATGCATGTCATTACAAAGTTATTTCAACTTTGACCCGAGAAAACCTTAATAGGGGAAGTAACAAAACAAACCACGCATATGACCAAATTAGGATGGCCAGGTATCGAGAGATCGAGTATCAGATTATGCGGGAAATCGTCATACAAATGGCAAGAGAGGGGGCTGTAAACATAGGACCTGGAAGGGGGGAGGACGTTTCTATGGATGTAGACAGCGTGGAGCAGATTCCATGGACGTAAGGATGACGATCCAAATAGACTCGCGTGAATGAAGGTGAGCGTGGGTGAGGGAGGGTGACTGGTGAAGGGTAAAAATTGTAGGTCATTAGAACAGCGAGGTGTAGGTTTAACTGTATAGTTAGTTAACCTACAACTAACTATGGGTGTCCAGTTGCGGTCGGCGGCACCAACCGCAACCGCAAAATGGATGGCCGTTTCCGCCAACGGGAAAGGGACCATTTCCTGCCCTGGAGGCCTTCAAAGGCAGATTGCATTTGTAATTATTATATACAATTAATAGAATGACTGTAAATGCTAATACTACCAGAGATTTTATCAGGTAGTTATCAATGCAGAGAATAAATTAATATTCCCTCATTTTCTTATTAGTTATCTTTGTTATTAAATATTTGCTCTAACTACCTTTTTTCCCTTCTCCTAGCTTCTCAGCAGTACAACAGGCTATACAGTAATATCATATGAATATACCATTGGAAATGAAAATCTAATTTTTTATTTTTTATTTAAAATTGATAGGTTATTGTAATTTCTAGATTCAAGGTGAACATTTTCAGAACGAAGACAAAAGAACCAAGAGAAATATCCAAAACAACAGAAAATGTCAGGAAATGAAAAAAGTAGAAGATCAATAGTGTGGCAGAAACAATTTGCGTAATTCTCCATTATTCAAAGTAGAAGAGCCAGCACATAGTACCTAGAGCTAAACCGATATCCCACCCGCAGGAATCTCAACATTTGGTAATATAAAGTCCAATTCTACATGTTTGATGGGCACCAGAAGCAACTCCAAGTTAGCACATCACTTTAATTCACAGGGACACGGATAAGGGGCAATGAAAGAAAGAACTCACGGGGGACTTGAAGAATCCTGAAAATAACTTAACTCGGTGGAGCCCACACTATCCATTCGAAACGCGATCTTCTCCGCCGCGGGACACTCGAAATTAGTCACATTAGAATTCCCCCCGGGACTCAATTTCCGCTCCAGCAACTGGTCTTTCAAAGCTGGCGCGTTCGCAAACGACGTGTTTGTCGTCGCTGCCTTAGCAAGTCTACTAAACTTCACCGCACCATCGCCTTTGAAGAGAAAGTTCCTCTGTGGGAACAAAAACCAGAGAGAACAACTCATCCCCTTGCTGGAGCTTGGGATGTCGAAGTTGAAGATTGATGAGATGGTTGGGGTGGCTGTGCCATTGTAGGACGTGCCTAGTGCCTTGTCGGGGGCAGTGGAGTCGATGGGAATGATTAGATGCGGGAACTCGAAGCCCTGGGTTAGCTCGCCGGGGCAGGTCTTGGGTGGTTCTCCCTGCATCGGAGCGGGGTCATCACGCCGGGCAGTGTTGACGAAGGAAGACTTGTATCTCTGGCCGTTGACTCCTAGGGCCAAGAGGAAGAGGGCGTAGATGGGCCTCATATTTGCTTAGATGTCCTGGATATGCAGCTGCGTATATGTTGATAATGGCTTTTTGTTATCGTGTGCAGAAGGACCTATATCTTGAATAGAGCTCTATGAGACAAGGAGAATGCCCCTATTTATGCATGCGAGTGTGTGTCCAAGAAGAATAGGCTCTTTAGGGCCATCGGTTAAAAGCTCTAACTCCTGTCTTGGAGACCGAATTGATTGCTGCTGAGTTGAAGAGATTTGTTGGCATTTCCAGCCTCATGTAAGTGACTGTAGTACCACCTCCCGACGGATAACATGATGAAGGAAGAACCGGGCAAGTTTGACTTCTATCAGAACTGGATTTTGCCATGTTTGATAGAAGTAGATATATATAGGGGTATATGCTGTGCTCGGTGTTTAATTTACGGGGCACCAGGCACCAGTTGTTATACTCAAGAGTGGTTCACAGTGTTACATATAAGTTGTCATCCAGATACAGCCCAAATATGGACCGATAATGCGGCTGGAGAATATTATAGTATAGACCCATGGCAAGGACGATTTTCCCTGTCCATGGGGGATGGATGTTGGTGAGAAGCAACCTCAGCCAAGAGGCTTCAACTATGAGGCGATCCGGAGTCCTGTCCAAGGAGAAGAACATCCATACATGAGGTGTTCCTAAGACTCCAATCAAAGATTGATTGTACAGTAGCCATTTCTCTGTGAGATATAGAAATAAGGCTCTCTGAACTATGACGGAGAGTTGCAGGAGAACAGCAACTGCAAGAAAAGTCTGCTTTGATCGGTCAAGCACAGACGAATGTCATTGACAGGATAGAAGTCTACTCAGAAGAAGAAGCCAGCCTATATAATGGAACCTGACACCGTAGACGGGAAGACATCAAACCAAAGGGGGAAAGTGGTTGTTATACGGAGGGCAACCTATTCCAAGGTGGGAGTGAGGATGAGAAGAAGTTGATGTGACAGCAGCGGTCGGGATATTTATTTGCTTCGAGTGAGCACCCGCGTCGACTGTCATGTGGCGTGCCGTCGGGGATATATATCTATTATTAATAGAATGGGTGTTGCTATTTCACTAATTTCATCTTACCAATGTTGTTGTATATAGAGGCACATGGTTCCAGGCTCCTCGCTTAGTTAACTACCAACAACTCTATCTTCATTCATAGTTCGCCGACCACCGCCACTCTTGTCACAGGTAGATCTCCCCACCTTTCTTGAAGATTAGAAGTTGTCCTGTACCGAATCCCTGACGGTGAATAGAAGTATCGAAGCAAAAGATGTAGACTGCTATCATATAAGTGATATTTTTATCTATCGTCTATATAAGGTTGTCAAACTCAACGGCTTCGAATTTCGATAAGTTAACTACCCTATAACGGCGTGAATAGCCGCCACCAGCGCCGGCGTCAGAGAACCCGCAGAACTGTCAAAACATCCCGCTCCAATGGATCTCTTGATATGTTCAATGTGCGGATCCCAGCATGATACACGGTTCGCCAAATCGTGCAAAATATGCGATGATCCACGACAATATATCCCACAGGAAGGGTGAGATTCCTCTCAGCGAATTCTGAACAGGGCGTTCTATTTTACCATATCCCCTTTTCCTCGCGCCCTGCTACCTCCATCACCTTTAGCTTCACATACTTGAAAACATACCACCCCGGGGCTTGAATTATTGGAGATAATAAAACAAGCACATAACAACTAACAAAGAGGCATATCAACTTTGTCCCCTCTGCCACCCCTCATTACAGACAATCATGGACAACGCTTCGCCAGCTGCAACAATCCAAAAAATACCACAATGAGTTCCGCATGGATAAGAACCATTCAGGTCTTATCAGTATCCTCACCGTGCCTCAAGTAGGCATTGGCCAACGGGCCTTCCTGTGCTGCACCCCTGCCGGCAACGTGCTCTGGGACTGCATCACATATATCGACGACGACACGGTCCGTCAGATCAAAGAGCTGGGCGGCATCAAGGCAATTGTCATCTCACATCCGCACTACTACTCTACCTCCGTCCATTGGGCGGAGGAATTCCGTTGTCCCGTCTACATATCCGCTGATGATGAAGAGTTCCTGATGCGTCATGCCCCTACGACAAGGTCAATTACCGCAACCCAAAGTGCGAAGGGCCACGATTCGTTTCCCGGCCATTTGCTTTGGGAAGGCAAGGAGTTGAATCTTCTAGACGGCACATTTACGGCTATCAAAGTTGGTGGTCACTTTCCTGGGAGCTCAGTGCTGCTGTGGAAGGAGGCGAAAAAGCTCCTGATTGCAGATAGTATCCTGGTGGTACCAAGTGGTGTATATCATGTTGACCGTTTGCCCGGAACCACGTCGTTTACGTTCATGTGGTCGTATCCTAATTTTGTAAGTTGCTTTGATTTATTTATTTTATTATTTATTTTTATTTTTTAATCTCCCACCATTTCCGCTTATTTTTAGCATTCCACTCTGTTCCGGAATCCCACATCAAAGAGTCCATAGTGACAGCTGCTGACGGAATGGGGGTTTTTTCAACTCTTCCCTCTTCCTCATGTGAACAGATTCCCTTACCCCCAGATGATGTGTATGCAATTTGGAAATCCCTCGCCCACCTTGACTTTGAAGACACGCATTCCGCGTTTTGGGGGCGGGATACGATTGGCCAGAGCAAGAAGAGGCTTTTGGAGAGTGCACAGATATATATTAAAGCTGCGGGATATGTTGACCATGCGATTCATCGAGAGAACTTCAAGGAGTAGCTAGTAGGAGTTAATATGCTTTATGCTGTGTCTGTGGCATATATTTGTTTGCTCACGACCTTTATGAGCAAAATGAGGAGAGAACTCTCTGATGTTTAATCCTACGTATCTTATTCATGAAGATATTAATAATCATTTGAAAGTATTTCATTTTGTATCTCGATCCCGCAGAGCTGCTCTGACATAGTACGTTTGTCGGACTTTTCCCTATGTGAAAGGACCCCTTGTGCGAGAGTAAATTCACCCGTCATCATTTGCTTCAGTAGCACTCCGTAGGAACAAGTATGCATGCTACGTTTAGGTCTGTATATTTTGTGACAATAATCCTTCGAACCAGTTAATCTTACGTTGATGCTTTAAACACATCCCGAATAGAGCAAGAGTCTTTATGGTACGGTAAGATTTGGAAAGCAGGAAAATGACCAAAATCAGACAGTATACACAGTATGCTGTTACAAATCGAACAATAGAGGACAGTTAAACCGCCCCAGCAACCGCTCTAGTTACATCGATAGGTTAAGGAAGCAGGGAGCTTTCTGTATCAGACACGTCAACTTAAATAGCTCCTCCGGTGAGCTCCTCGGCAATCTTCTTCACTCTCTTCTCCCCCAGACTCCAAATCGTAGCTTGTGTCTTTCCCTTATGCACCAGAGACTCAATAGTCGATGGAGGACCTAAGTTCCAGATATTCTCTCCAACATCCTCATCGTTCGTCCATGCTGGATTCTCGCCCTCGGGGAAGACCCGTTCGATTTCCGCATTCAGCTGCTCTTCATTGATGATGAAATTTCGGGCGTTCATGTACAGAGAGTGGAGACTGTCAATTCTCTGTTGCCTCTTACTCTGCTGCTTCGAAGCATATTTCAAACGAGAAGCTTCAAGTCGCTGTTCCACATTAGGATCGGGGAGAATGGGCATCTTGCTCGGTTTCATGACTTGAATCGTAGACGGTTGCATTAACCGGTCATCTTCTCGAGGGCCCTGCGCAAGAATCCGTTCCCGCTGCGCTATTTTGGCGCTGCTTCGTTTTGCTCTATATGCGTCGCTTTTCTGCTTGCGCGCGTATAGTTCGACTAGACCCTCGCGCAAATTTTGGCGGCGGATGGCAGCCATTCTCTTTTTCCATTCCACATAGTCGAATTGAGGGTCTCCAGGCTGGAGTTTAGGTTTATTGCTTGATGGCTCGGGTGTGGCAGCCTCAACATAGGCAGTCGTTGGCTTGTCCGGTCGGCGGGGAGGGAATAGTTCTCGGGGCACAGGGAGCACGCCCTTCACCGCAGGCTTGATGGGATAATAGGGTTGTATCGGACGGGGAATCTCGATGAATTTTGGCGACTCTGGCCTGACCATTGGGCTGGGGGTGGAACTGAAGGCCCGGACCTGCGCTCTGGCAGACCTGCAAGGGCGGCAGAGAGACATGGCCGACTTTGCGGGGATAGCCATGACGGCAATTGGCAATTGGTAAGATGGGATATGCGGCTTACCCCACCTTCCTTTCAAACGGCCATATAAGGAGAAGATGGGAATCGAAGTTTGATGCGTAGGTCGCAAGCGCTTAAAGGGTGAGGTTAGCTTTTGACACTTTTGACATCTGCACAAAAGCAAATGTTGTTGATTAGTCATCCGAAGCAATTTTGGCACGCTCTTTAAAACTCAAAAGAGGACAAGAAAAATTCTGGGATATTTGAACATTTCTCTCTTAAGCTGTTGAATTTCTCACCAGCCCACATATTTTGCTGCCAACCACCACAAGTAACCCCAGACACCTAGACGGAGTGGTGGCATTTGATTCACATATTTCTCTTCTCTATGGGTACATCGAAGAAGGAAGCCGCCCGCAAGTTGCGGGAGGGCAAGACCGGAGACGGAATGGGCAATGTCAAGACCAAGGGCGAAAACTTCTACAGGTACGTAAATGGTTTTGTTTCCCCCTTTGTATGAGATCAACTTCACAGGTACTGATTTTTGTATAGGAGTGCTAAGAAGGTCAAGACTCTTAATATGTTTAAGGATGGTAAAGCGCAGCGAAATGCCCGCGGTGAAATCACCAAAGCTGCTTCCTATCAGTCGCGGGATATCCCAAACGCTCGGATAGAGCCCAACAGAAAATGGTTTGGCAATACAAGAGTTATATCGCAAGAGGCTTTGAGCTCCTTTCGTGAAGCAGTCGCTGAGCGTGCTTCGGATCCGTATCAGGTTCTGCTGAAAACAAACAAGTTGCCGATGAGTTTGATCCGCGATGGATCGAACACAAATGGATTGAAGGAGCACAAGGCTAAGATTGCAGTTGAGTCAGCACCGTTTAGTGACACCTTTGGTCCTAAGGCGCAAAGAAAACGAGTCAAACTCGGTGTTGGGACGCTCGAAGATCTTGCTGGCGAATCTGTCAAGATGCACGACACGTATTTGGAACGCCTAGGCCAAGCAAAGCTCCTGAGTGGGACATCCGGTGAAGATGCCGAGAATAAGGATGGTGGTGATGTGCTGACAGCTGCGAGAGAGCCTGTTTTCTCCAAAGGCCAGAGTAAGCGCATCTGGAACGAACTGTACAAAGTCATCGACTCTTCCGATGTTGTCATACATGTGCTCGATGCTCGAGACCCTGAGGGCACCCGATGCAGGAGCATTGAAAAGTACATTCGTGAGGAGGCACCGCACAAACACTTAATTTTCGTTGTGAACAAGTGTGATTTGGTACCAACCGGCGTTGCTGTAAGTTGAAAAAGAAACACAGTTTCCTGTCAATTTTCACCGTTCATATTCCTGTGACATTCCATTCCATTGCTAAGTCAAGGCTTCTTCCTGTGCATATTTCTTGCCACCTATGTCCATGGAAGTATTTTGTCTGTTACAGCTTTGGTAGATTGACACTTGTCCGCCGCCCTTGTTTCTTTCTGAAATCGGGGTTGACAAGCGATCGTTTTGAGAGCTGTGTCGTATAGGGCTTGTTGTGTCTTGTTTTGAGTTGAGTCCCGCTCCCACTCTATCTGTGGAATAATAGCAGTACTCTTAGTAACATCTCACACATTCCTTTTTTGAATTCACTTTAATCATAAAGTCCAGTTTTGGGTCTCGTTGCTAATTCTCGATTCCAGGCTGCTTGGGTCCGTGCGTTATCAAAAGATCATCCCACTCTCGCATTTCATGCTTCCATTAACAATTCTTTTGGCAAAGGGTCTTTAATACAGCTTCTACGCCAATTTTCTGCTCTACACTCAGACCGTAAACAGATATCGGTTGGTTTCATCGGATACCCGAACACCGGAAAATCATCCATTATCAATACCCTCCGAAAGAAAAAGGTGTGTTCTGTCGCGCCCATTCCTGGGGAAACAAAGGTGTGGCAGTACATCACCTTAATGAAGAGAATCTATTTGATCGACTGCCCTGGTGTCGTTCCACCGAGCAACAGTGATACCGAAGAAGACATCCTTCTTCGGGGAGTTGTGCGAGTGGAAAATGTCGAAAACCCGGAGCAATATATCCCCGCTGTTCTCAAACGGGTTCAGCCTCGCCACTTTGAACGAACATACGAAGTCAAGAATTATAAAGACGCGATTGACCTCCTGAGTATCCTCGCAAGAAAAGGCGGGAGACTACTCAGAGGCGGAGAGCCTGATGTCGATGGAGTTGCTAAGATGATCATTAATGACTTTCTTCGCGGAAAGATCCCATGGTATTCTTCACCACCACATTCTGGTGATGATCCTGGTCCTTCAGATGAAAGGATTGAAGGGCGTGAGGGACGGCTTGGCGAAATGAGTCGCAAGCGGAAGCGAGATGGCTCTGAAGCTGGATACTCAGAAGCCCCGTCCGGTGTTGCAGTTTCGGGGACGGACGATACCGATGCTGACAAGGAGTTTGAAGGATTCGGCGAAAGTGATGAAGATTCACCTGTTGCCGTGGAAGATGCAGAGAACCAAGAAAGTGCCTAGTGATTGGATGTGTAGAAACAAAGTGTATACACTCTTCATGGCATTAAAGGGCCTTGTTGGTAGCGCTTTCAGAAGCGTTCACAGTACTTCCCGCACTACATGAAGGTTCCCGAGATTCCGGACCATGTCGATCAGCAATCAACTGTTCCAGAGTAATCATTTTCAACTACGTTGCTAGACTGAATGGTATTCATGACAGTCGTGGGAAGCTCACTGTCTACCATTTCGCTACTGTTCCGCGTGGTAAACATTCCGGCTTCGTTTGCCAAACGATTTGCGAATTTCAAGCTCTTTGGTCATATATAGCTAGACTTCCATGAGTAAACAGGGGATGGGGACCGATTTCCATTCAAAATGATACCCCCGGTGTATTCCTGGCCCTGGATGCCAAAAGGATTCTCCGCAGATTAATAGAAGTCTTCTATATCCAACAACTTTAATCGGGCTTTATTTATACATACTATGGGCTCAAGAAATCGCAGAATCGTTTTTGCTCTGCGGAATGCTCGTCTGTCACTCTCTTAAACATTTCCCTTGTAAGTCATGTAACTGAAGACAACCGTTCACATATAGTAGTTCGTAGTGAATTGAACTGTATCTCGATCGCATTACTTTCATCCAATGCTGCCGCATCACTGAATATCCTTGTTTTCGGCATCCGCAGCTGATTGGAACGAATCACGTGAGCGGCGAGATTGTGGAGCTGTTGGAAGCCGTAATTTAACGTCGGCGGAGTCTATCTGAACAACGGCTCAACGACATGGCAATTCACCAACACATGCAGAGAGGAGCAGTCGAGGCCTAGCCAGCCTCATATCAAAAATGCAATCATATCTCTGTCTTTGCTCCCTTCAACTTACTGGCCGTAAGCTTTCCTCACATAATGGCTGATACTGACACCCAGCGGAATATGTCCATTGTTCCCTATACGTCGACTCGAGATGTTGTTTTGTAAGAACTACGTTTACTTGTGCTGCATGAATATTATTACCCCCCCAGATGAAGGTTCACACTTCGTAGGCATGCCCGCTGATAAAATGCACATCTAGGCGCCACGATGACTCTATCGTGGTATTTGACCATGCTTCCCGATCGCTCGTCCTTCGACGTGCATCCCAAGACGCTGATGTGGAGCTGGCGGACTGCCCATATTGTCACCGTCCAATTCGAGAACCCTCCCAGGATGTATCTCGAGATTCCAGCCGTGGGTCACGTCCCACGGCCAAGCCTGGTTTTGTGAACCCTGAATACTTTCGCATGCTAGATTCTAGCTTACCCAGCTCCCCCGGCTCAACCCATCCCGCTTCTCCTCGTCGACGATTGGTTCAACCGGGACAGTCCGAAGCTTTTTCTTCCGGGACTGATTATGGAGCTGCTCCCTCATTTGCCAATAAAATATCGTCTACGGCCTTCAGTCCGAATTATTTCGAGCGATTCTTTGTTGAAGAGCGAGAGCTTGGGAGAGGTGGCAAAGGAGTTGTTTTGCTGGTCAAACATGTCCTGGATGGCGTGCCGTTGGGACATTATGCTTGTAAACGTGTCCCAGTTGGCGATGATCACGAGTGGTTAAAAAAGGTTTTAGTTGAGGTACAATTACTTCAACATCTGTCACACCAGAATTTGGTCTCGTACCGGCACGTATGGCTTGAGGACGTGAAACTTAGCAATTTCGGGCCCAGCGTTCCTTGTGCCTTTATTTTGCAACAATACTGCAATGCAGGAGATCTTCATCAGTACATATGCGGCCCAAGTCAGCCCACTGCCACAGCCCAGCAACTGAAGGAACGGCTCCGACGAAAATCAAGAGGCCAGCCCGAACCTCCTACGGACTCAGCAGGTCACCGAAAGCTCCAGTTTGATGCAATCTACTCACTCTTCAAGGATATTACATCAGGTCTACGTTTCCTACACAGCAATGGTTTTGTCCACCGTGATCTTAAGCCTAACAACTGCCTCCTGCATGAAACTGGACAGGAGCTTAGAGCCCTTGTTAGTGATTTTGGTGAAGTACAATATGAGTATGCTGTTCGGAGTTCCACAGGGAATACAGGGACCATTTCCTATTGTGCTCCTGAGGTGCTACGACGAGTCAGTCCCAATGGTCCATTCGTCAACTTCACATTCAAGTCTGACATTTTTTCCCTTGGCATGATTCTATACTTTCTCTGCTTTGCGCAGTTACCATATCGTAATGCCGATCTCATCGATGAAGATCGAGAAGATCTTGATCAACTACGTGCAGAGATTACCAAATGGACAGGCTTTGATGACGGGCGTCGCCTGAGACCGGACTTACCCGAGAAACTGTACACGTTTCTTAAAAGGCTTTTGTCTGTTGATCCGGAAAAGCGACCCACAGCCGATGAAGTCCTTAGCGGGATCCAAGCAGGCGTAGCTGGTGCTAATACTGAAGGGCGTCGCTTCCAGAGTCATAGGAATAATGGAACGTCCGCTGCTGACATGCGTTCAGGCCCTCGTGTTCTTCCCGTGGATCCTTCCCTGCCTCCGAAGGCGCGTGTCCCAAAGAGCCCCATTCGACGAGTATCTACAAATGCGTCAAGGTTTCCCGGTAGCATCCCTGCACTCCAACCAGCTGCCTATCAGTCAGACGGCCCAGAGTCTGCTAGACTTGAGCCCGGCATGCCAACGGATCGGCAACGATCTCAGAGGGTGGATCATGACCTAGTTCTAAGGACTTCGGCCCTATCCCCAAACCGTCATGCTAGTCAGCCACCACATACAAGTAACCGAAATAGTGTCAAAAATGCTAACAATGCGCGTGCCTCATCGAACCACCTCCTCCTTCCTCCTCCCACCCCGCCATCCCAGCTACCCTTCCTCGTTCCCTTCAGCGGAAATGATGCCGTAGCAAACATCATTCGGTTCTCCCTACTTGTTGCTAAGGTCCTATCGATTACCCAACCATGCTCGCCGCTGGCTGTTCGCACGTGGATCTTATACCCACTTCTTTTCCTCGCAGCCCTGGATTTTGCTGTCAAGAAGATGTGGGTTCATGTTATTGCATTCATTTTTCATGTTGCTGTAGTGGCCTTTGCGATAAGGTCTAATTCGCTCTGCGTCTGGATACCTGAGATGGCACGGACGGTTTACGGAATATGATACTGGTTTTATCTATAAATATATTTATTAAAATGGGGCAGGAAGAAGATGTAAGGTTAAATTAGTTTCGGGATCACTGTGGAGCTTTTTTTTTCAATCTGGGTGCAAAAGATGAGCACGAACTAGAGTGAAATGTTACATAAATGACTATTTTGATTTTTACCGCTCTAGCTTAGGGATAGCTTCGGAAGTTCTGTTCTGATAAGTAGAGGTTTGTCACTTCCAGTCTCTGAAGATTGCCGATCACCAGGTGATAATTCTATACTCTCAGCTCACTTTCATAGAATTAGACCACACAGCTCCATCAGTGTGATTGATATCATCTCATTCTGCGTGAAATAAGAGAAGTTATTTAATCCTAATTGCTATCCAAGCTTCCGTGGTCTACAGCTCACAGAAGGAAAATCGCCCATGATGAACATTGAAATATCATCCCCCTTACAATTTAGTAGGCCTCTAGCGCCAGCCTGATCACATTTACATCAGAACATAAAATTACACGAAAAATGTAGTGGGTGAAACGAAACTGCCAGAAATCCCATTGAGCCCCATATCCGGACCTGCCTTCATCCATTCCTTCACTCGTCCTCATGCTAAGAGACAGGAGAAGAGTGAGTAACGAAGAAAGATCACCCAGATATTGAAGGAGGGACGCAATCAGAGAGCCCACCAAGATTAATCTTGGAACTTTTTAAGCGTCTTTTACTCAGCCTGAAATTGTGGGACGTGTTATTCGTGTTTTGTTTTCGAATACTGCAAAATCAGACTAGTTGGAGAAAAACTCGTCATCCGTGTTGAGATGAAAGGCTTTTCCTGACGGTTCCGTGCAGAGGGGATGTAGAAGGTTATGTTTATTTCAAGGAAGGGGAAAGGACATGAAGATATTTCATCCAGTTTTCAAGGTCAACAGGGACAGTTAAATAGTTGAAGTCGGTGTGGTGCACCTACACTTTCTCCTTTCATTGATGTTTATCGTACATGTACATATATCATCAACGTGGAGATCGACTGCTTGCTTACTTCATACGCGCAGCCTTAAATCGACTGACTTTCTTGGGCAGCTGTCCTTCATCATCCAATGGGGTTATACCATCGTTTTCTTCATCCTCGCACAAAAATCCACCCTCCTGGTGAACCTTGCGATTCCGGATTTTGTAAAACTCAGTAGCTATTTCTTGTTTATGAAGTTTCTCATTTAGTTCGTAGGTATCTGGCGGAACTGCATTTTCACGGGCAATAGTGCGCTCCACAAGTTTGTCGGCCAAGGGTTTGGGTGACTGAGAAGGAGGAGCAGACCTCCTTGAACTTGGATCCTGGTTTGGCTTTGATGGCTTTGCGGGAAACAGCGGGAGCAGTGGTTGATTGGTAGAGGGAGCTGATGGGCAGGCAGCAGGGGTTGGCCACGCAGTGGGAGATTCAAAATGGATTGGTTCCGCAGCTTTTCTCACAGTTTTGAAGCAGGAATTCTTCTTCAATGCTGTGGTATCTTTCATAGTTTCTTCCCTCTTAACTTGCGTTTGTTCCACAACAGTGTCTTGAACAACTGGAGCTGAGGGTGGCTCTGCACAGCATTCCTTAACTGGTGTAGGAGAGGTCGGAGCAGCGGGTGGTGCAATGTCAAGTGTATCCATGAATGCAACTTTCTTCTCTTTCTTTGGATATGTTTTATGTGCCACATCTGGAGAGCCCTTATCAGACACAGGTGCATCAAGCTCGTTTCTAATCTCCGGTGGAAGATGGTCGGGATTAGGCCCGATATTCTCCAAACTCCGAGCGTTTAACTTCTTCTCTAACTCCATCATCTGGCGACGATAGTCATCGTGGATCATCTTCCGTGTAGATCGGCCATGTTCGTCTTCCTCTTCGTCATCTTCGTCATCACTCATCATATAATATTCATCTTCCACTGAGAATTCACTCCCTGACTCGTCCATCTCTAGTTCTGCAACGACAGCACTAACTTCTTCAAGGCTATACTTCAGCATTTCTCTTCTTAGAGCAGCATCTTCTGGAGGCTCATCTATATCTGTTGTCAAACTCGCGTCATCACTAGAAGATGTCCCAGATGCTGAAGGGTCGTTGTTGTCTTCGGATTGAGCTGTCTGTCTAGTGTAAGCCGAGGGAGCAATAGTGCCTGTAGCAGAGCTCAATGTAGAAGTGGCTTGAGCAACTGACGCAAACGTCTCTAGTTTTTCTATTGGAGTATCCTCGGATGACAGCGTGGTGTGAGCTGGTGCCGAACTGTCAATATCCTTAGAGTCGTCTGCCTTTTGTGGTAAAATTTGTAGTTTTCTTTCAAAATTGTCCAAGCCAGCATTCTGTTTGTCACCAATTTTGTCTTTTGCAAGATCATCCATACCCGCTTTCTTTAAAACCTCCAGTATACCAGGTGCAGCCTGGTCAGGGGTAGTCGTAGAACTCAATATGACATTACCATCGTCGTCAAGCTCTTCCACGATATCCGTTATGGGCAAACCTTCTTCGTTGATGGCGCCAGGGTGCTCGACTGTGAGCATGGCATCGAGTTTCTTTTCAGAAACTAATATGCGCTTCTCTAATACCTTGATGTTTTGCTGCACGTAGTCCATTCTCCTTGATATTGCGTCCACCACTTGTTGCTTCGTTCTCGTAATGCCTTGCTTCACTCCCAGCAAAATTTTGATTTCGTTCTCGTTGACGAGAGACCCTCCAAATTCCCGTCCGATCCTGATAAAATCTTCATTTGCACAGTTTTCCTCCATTGCTGTGACGTCATGTTTTAACTCGTCGTATTCCGCGTAAGATAACCGCCAACTGTAGAGACATTTCCTAAGCTTCAAGACGCTCTCTTCGAGCTTAAGTCGCTGTCGTTCAAGGCCTGCAAGGTGATCCGACGGCTGTGCCATGTTAAAGAGGACATATAACTCGAAAAACGTGCGTAGCGTGTAGAGAGCTACGTTTCGTGGTTTGTGTTAGATGGTAAACGAAGAAGAAAAAAAGGAGGAAGAAGAATCCAAAGACGTTTAAGTTTTGACGATGCAGGGAAAAAACCGCTTCCTGCTGAACTACCGGAACTAACCACATTGGGAGCTATCTTTGGCCTTTTTCGCTTAAAGCTCATGTTAAGTACATGTTTCTCAAAGCTTGGTCGCAGAATACAATCAAGCAACTAGAAACATATATTTTAGTCTGCCAGAAATATCTAGACTTGCCTTTCTGTACCCCTTCGTTCACCTGCAGCATGTCCGTCCACTCTAATGGTGCACGTAAGGGCGGTGAAGAAGATGGTGAGCCCCTCCGACAGCAGCTTTGTAGTCTTAGAATTCATCCAGCTGAAGCTAACACGTCCGACTCTGCGACTGATCCAGAGGTATGTCCCGTGTGCAAGTCATCGCGGTATCTCAACCCTGATATGCGCTTTCTTATAAATCCGGAATGCTACCATAAAATGTGTGAGTCGTGCGTGGATCGTATCTTCTCGTCTGGCCCAGCCCCATGCCCTTTGGCGGGATGCCACAAAACACTCAGGAAGAACCGGTTTCGAAAACAAACCTTTGAAGATATTGGCGTAGAAAGGGAAATCGATATACGAAGAAGAGTCATGCAAATGTATGTTGAAATCATCTCTGCCATCGCCCCTCAAAAGCCACACGCAACGCGTCGTCACATTCCCCAAAGACTCACACATGGATTTCACAGATTAAATCGTCGCGAAGATGAATTTGACAACAAACTGGTCTATGACAATTTCCTCGAACAGCGTGAGGACATAATAGCACACCTCGTCTCCGGCATTGACGTTGCGAAAACCGAAGCCCAACTCTCCCAATATGCAGCCGCAAATGCCAAATCCATCCTGCGCAACCAAGCCCTCGAATCCCAAGAACCCGCCACCTTTCTCCAAAACCAATCCTTCGAGCAAGAGCAGGTACGGCTGCGCCGCGAAGTTGCACGGCAAGATTATGACAATGAAAGACGAGCCCTCCTCTCTGGGCGAGAAACCATCCTCACCCGCCTCACAACAGGAAGTTTTGAGGAAGCCGAGGCCATCGCAAACGAAGGTAAAAAGAGCATGCTTAAGAAGTCCTCCGTGCGTCGGAGCGAAGATGAACGACTTAAACGCAAACAAGCAGCTCTCCTTGCCGACTCCAAAGGAGCGCAGGCTCCTGCAGATTCAGTGGACAAGGGAACTGGCCAAGTATTTGATTCTGATCTTGTTAAGGGCCTGAAGAAGATCAAGACTCCTGAACCGGAAAAGCCATACGACCCCTTTGGTGGAATCAGACTCGATGGCCGCAACTACTACCAACTTCAAGATCATTACCCGTCCTCCTATCTTGATCCGATCCGGGATAATGTCCAGATGCTTGCCGGCGGTTATGACTTGAGAGAGTACTATGCGCGGTCATTACTAGAGGCGTTTGCAGGACTGGGATGTTTTATCGATGAAGAAATATCTACGAGAAACGCTGCGGCGAATCCTTCCCCAACGCGAATGGCAGCATCTGCTGCAGCCAGGACCCCTATCACTGTTGATGACGATATGTCATGACCTCCTTTTCGCATGATCTTTGCTTATTTCCCACATTTAATTTTTAAAACTTTGCTTAGCGTAAGCAATATTGCCTGCATAGCGACGGAGTTCCTGCAGTTTTTTCATTACATGGAGGATTGTTCTTGGATAACAAATGGCAACAGTCCAACGGGAATGGAAGCCCTCTCTATATTTCTGTATGCACCTGCATACTTGAATACAGCATGAATCCCACTATTAAATCAAATGTCTATGGTCTTAGACCCAGGTGGTCCTCCCCTAGACCAGAGACAATCATGATTGTGATACCTTTTTAAGTTTCTGGACGAGGTTTCCATATGCGAATCCGAGAAGTATCTGGTGCACTTGAAGAAATCAAAGATACCAAAAGTTGGAAATCATTGCAGTTAGAAAATCAAATTCTGATCTGAAAACCAACGCCAAAAACTTATATAATCCCCAGGTAATAGAGCCAATTAAAACTAAATAACAGACAAAAAACGCCCGTCCCCGGTTGAGCTCACACGGATGCGAGATAACAAATATGACAGCAAAGCACAGCGAAGAGAAGAATAACAATCCAGGGACCAACTCAACTGAACAATTGCTCAAAAACAAGTAAGATGAAAATCGTTACCTCTTCACCAAAACAACAAACCCATGCACCTAGCACACACGATCTAGAAAAGAAAACAGTTGACCATTTCTACATTTTACCAATCACTATCTTAACAGAATACCAGAAGACACCATTGACGGGAAAAAACGCCAACACAGGTTCAATTAACCAATTACAACACCAGCTCAGAGTCAGCAAAATTTTCCAATCCACAAACGCGAGAACTCAAGCGGACTTAACCCAAGAAAAACCAAGTTAGAAAGTTAAAAAACGCGAATTCGATCGCATGATGCAGAAAGATGGTAAAGGTAGCAAGGAGCTAACATTGTGCTTCAAACCTAATATCCAGAGACAACCACTCCAGGCCGGGGACATACACTCAAGTCAATCACTGCATGAGACAAAAGTCAGTCTGAAACCCGGGGCCAAAGAGAGATGCAAGGGAGGATCTGGCTGAATCGATTTCTTGTGCAGCATTGGGTATCATCATCGTATGCATGTTGTGAGAAATGAATAGCGAACGTTGAAGAACCCTGAAGAGAAGAAAAGTGGACGGATGAAAACGTCAATGCGAACCACATGCTAAGCAAAAACCACCAAAGACGGCAAAATGCAAAAGGCCTAACAGGGCTGTAGACAATCAAATTCTTTTTTCGAGAAGTCAAGCTAGGAACTTTTTGCCAGCTTCTTGGGAAAATTCCGCCCCGTAAGATGGCCAGTGCTTTCAAACCCTTCCCAAGGCGGGTCGTCGTAATCGCTATCACCGTCGCTGTTTGCACCCCCGGTAACGCCTTTCCCCTCATAACCGTCATGGCCAAGACGTTCGGTAAGATCACTGCCATCTTTTCCACCGAGTCCAATCGATTGCAAAGTAACATCTACCTCCTGTTGTGTCATCTCATGGCCATCCTCCTTCTGACCCTCGAGAACATCATACAAAGCATATATCTGATCAGATTTTGTATCAATTTCTCTCAGAAGGAATTCAAATTTACGGAGTATGGACTTCCGTTGTTTTTTGCGAAGAGATGCATCGTGTTTGTTCAGTGCCGTTTGTTGCAAAACAAGTTGCATTTTTAGGTGGGCCAACTCGTCCTCCAGTGCCTTCAAAACTGTTGCGAGAGCCAGAGCTGGTTGCTGTGACGGGCGGAGAGTCGGCTCTTCAATATACGGGGATGGCTCTGGCACGCGAGCGGACACAGGTACTGGTTTTGTGACTTTAAAGGAGACCTGCCCTTCTCTGTTGCTGAGGCCATGTATGCAGTTCTTGTCGATAACGTTTTTGCAAACGGAACAGTTTTTCCCATCATGTTTCGCTACCTCATTTAAAACACGCTGAGCAGCTGCGGACAACTTGGGTGGCTCTCCGGATTTTCCGGAAATTGCATGCAACGTGATATCAGGGAGAATAAACGCCGAAGTCATCTCCTCCGTCTTATTTAACCTACGTCGTGGACCAGCTGTAGATGTGGAATGGTTCGTAAGGTTGTGCTGCGATAAATCGCGAGTATTTGCAACTGATCTATGTTCCGTTCCGGTAAAATCTGTCGCTTCAAGTATTACGGGGCGCGATGCCTTGGATGAAGTGTTTTTCAAAGATGACTTAAACGGTATGCTATGTGTAGCGTTCCCTAAGAGTCTTGTCCCAAAATTGCCAGTTTTGGTTTGCTCAGTCAATTCCCGGCTAAGGCAGGTTTTGCGAGCCACCCTTTCCTCCTCCAGTGTTTTGCGAAGTTTAGCTATCTCGTTGGCCTAGATTAATTGCTATTAGCCAGTCTTCACATACGAGTGAAAAGGAGAAATCTTACATCAATAAAGCTTAAGAATGTCAAATCATTCGTCGGTCCAGTCCGATTGCGGAAGCCTCGAGTTTCCGTACCCATCTCTTCCTCGGAAAGATTGGAATCTTCCATGTACTCAACAACAGCTTTCTTGGTGCGCAGTTTACTAGTGTTGGGGAGTTTCTTTTGGGTAGTATTTGCTTGCATCTTTGTATGTTGTGTAGATTGCTGAACTGAAAGATGAGACAAGTCGAGAGAAAAAAGGGAGTCATACTCCGCTTGCTTCTGCTGCTTGGAAGCAGCCACTTTGACTGCAGAGGGCACGCACGGTTGTGAACGATCCTGTTGCGTTCTATTAGAGTTCCGTCGACGGGTGTCGAAACCAATTTGTTCATTTGATCCATTCGCATCGGGATCTTCGGCATGTTTGGTCCTTATTCGATGTGGTTTCGTTGCTTTGGTTGGGTCCATGGCCGTCGCTTCTCGACGTTTCGTTTTGGAGTCGCACATCTCTATAGGTTTACTGTCATTCGCTGCCTCGGGGAACGCATTCGACTCAATCTGGATCCTCATTTCATCGTTCTCCTGTGCCAACGCATCATTTTCCAATTTGAGTTCCTCTATATTAAGATAGGCAACGCCCAACTGAGTCCGGGCGGAATCTCGTTCTTGCGTCAAGTGCTTAATCGTCGTCTCATGGCTTGAATTTTTGCGGATGGAGACGTCCAACCGATTTTGAAGTGCCAAATTTGCCGCTTCCAATCCTAGAGAATGGAGGTTAAAATTCATACCATCTACAGGAATGCCAATATACTCACTGTTTTTTTGGATAAAGAGTTTGCCAACCCCTCCATTGTTAATATCTTCATCGCCACCATCCATACTAAAGCGTTTTTTGTCTTGCTTTCGAAGTCGTGCATTTTCGTTTCTCAGAATTAAAATTTCCTCCTCCATTTCCTCAAGCCTAATTTCCATGTCGGATTTGTCTGTTTGCAATGCTTGAACTTTCTCTTGAAGCAATTTCAATGAAACAAAAATAGCCTTTTCGTCATCCGGAACTGGAATGGAATCAAGGGGTAGGTGTTCAGGGGGTTGAGAAGTAGAAACTCCCATGGCGGGAGGCGAGGTGAAACGCGTTGTTCGCGACCGTCCCTTCGGGGTTCCATCCTCATAGATTCCCGAGACGAGTTCAGAGAGATCAGGGATGTCAGGAAGCGCATATGATTGGTGTGTGGGATTGTCCGTGGTTCCATTGCTGTCAGTGGTTTTCGATGGCAGTTGTCTTCTTAATTGTGCCTGTTCCACGTCTCCAGCATTGTAATGTTTGAGATAATTTTTCCCGGAAGCTTTGTTTCCCGCGTCCGCGAGCCTGGAACTTTGGTCATTTGTTCTCCTGTTGCTGAAACGCGTATTTCGGGTGGTGAGTGTCACCTTTGCCGGTCGTTCGTCGCTGATGTATGATCCATCATACGTCTCATTGACTTTCGCGTGAATTTCAGATAAAGTGCGGCGTTGGCTTCCGCTTTTGAGTTTTATATCTTTAGGCTGGTTGCTATCCTTCATGGCGAGGCTGGCGCGTCGTATCTGAGCGTCTTTGCGAAGGCTATCTCTTCCAGTCGAAGCTCGATTGGTAATTGGGCGCAAGGGAGCCCTTGGGGAGCGGCTTCCAAAACGACCTTCCCTACCCGCTGGTAATGCAGAGTATTTACTCCCATCGACACTCATGACTGAATCTCGCGAATCATCCAACTGTTGGGATGTCTTCTTTGCTGCCCTTCCCATTTCGACCGAAAGGTCGTCCTCGTCCTCGTCGTCCTCCTCCTCCTCCTCCTCCAAGCTGGATGCGTCAGAAAAGTCTGGGAAAGCTCTGTGAAGAGCAGATGTGTTAATGACAAAGTCAGGATCTGGTTCTTGTTCCGCGTGCGCGTCGTCCCAATTTGCACGTTTTGACTGAGGATGGAGGTGGTCGTTGTCCAGTTGCCTTGTGGAAACTAGAGCCTCATGATCCGGGTCAAAATCGGACGTCGTCGGTTCTCGCGAGGCGTGACTGTGGGCCATCACATCGGAGGTATTAGTGTGGTCATTTGGAAACATCTGGCTGGTATTCTAAATTACGCGTAAAAACTCTGGATATTTGCAAACAATTAACAACCGCCGGTAGCGCAGGTACATAAAAGAACTTGGAAGAGACACGGAAAAGCATTACATTATATGCTGGTGGCGGGGTTTGGGTAGGTACCTTTTCTGGCGGGATGCTCAGTCGCGTCGGGATTGATTGTTTTGGTGACCGGAAAACGGATCAAATGAAAAGAATGAGGACATGAATTGATACTGAAAGGTTTAAAAGAGGAAAAGAAAAACCGACTACTCCTGATAAATAAAACCTTGGAAATAACTGCAATGTTAGGACAGCCCAACGGCTAATACGTCGGGTGGTTGTTGCGGGGCGTGTTGAAGAATCGCTCACACACGAATCTGGAGTTTGGAGGTTTGGATGTTTATTTCCCTTTGGGGAGGTTTGTTTACTTCTGGGAAGTGACAGAATGCGCTAGTCCGGTTTGGAGATAGCGTGTCGAGAGCTCCAAACCTCGGCAAAATGAACATCAGTAGATATTCGACAGGCGTTAAAACAACTGAAAAAATGTTAAAACACTTTAATAACGCTCTACATTTTCCAATGTCATGTCTGCATGCGTTTGTGCGCCAACGTAAAAGGGCACCTGGAAACCAAAGTCTCCACTCTTGCTCCTATGATCTTCAACTCCTCAGTCATTCTGAGCTTTTGGTTTGCCATAACTAATGAACAATACTACATTATTGAAATCCGATATGACAACAACAAGCAGAGTGCAATTATGCACTACTTGTTTTCCGTACATTTAAACTGCTTATCTTTGGGGTGTGATTGTATACCTGCTGTTTGTAGTCATGTAACTGGGGTTGAAAAGGTTCATAACTAACCTAGTGGACTACCGGGAATTTTGAGCCTCGTAGGGCTATTCATGTCTCCCGCAAGCCGTTTCTCTCCTGTGCCAACCGTCTTCTTCTCAAATACCTTGGAATATGCTTGAAGTTCTGCTTTTTTCAATGCGAGTCAACCCTTCGGTGCTTCGTGCGTGGTCGCTCCATAAGCCTCTTTCTCCAACGACGGTCATGTTAATGATGTCACAGTCCCTACTGAACAAAACCCAACAAAGCGCTCAACGACGGGCAGGACGCAATTTCTTCCTATGTACTCGCACGGCTTACATGGTACCGTCACTCTCCTGCCAGGGCGCAAGTGTGAATCCTTGTCCAGGTCCAACCCTGTGATCTCCGTTTGCAGCCTCCTGACCAGCTGCAATCGGGAGGGATGCCCCGGCCACGATTACTGATATCTCTATGTATCACTTTCCATGAGCCATTGGACCCCTGTTTGTATGTCAGAATGAAAGTCGACAGTTCGGCTTTTGTGTTGGACATGTGGATTTGAGGGTCACGGCTTTTTCCCTATGGTTCTACTTTAACACCTGTTCGATCTAACAAAAAGAATACGGGATTTAGCTCTATGGATCAGAAATCCTTCAAAGAATCTATCGCCACATATCACACGGGACAGTGCCGGAGGCAGCTTTTCTACTCTCCAAGAAAATCTTGAAGAAACCCTAGGTACATGGCAGAAATATTTATGACCATCTTTTCAATCCAAATCGCCAAATTGTTAATGATGAAGCAGGTTCATTTTTGACCCAGCTACTACATCATACCTGAACGCCAAGGGACACCGTGAAATCACCCCTCCCATGTCTTTTCTTCATTTGAAGCAATTCGGTATTGCTGGCAAGTATGACGTGAACCCACGGGAGAAGCTTGCAAAGCTATCCTTTCCAGGCAAGGATAATTGCCCACCTAGAGATGACTTCTGCGTCGTGATTTCGAAGCTCTACAGTTCGGAACGACCGGTTTATTCGGAATTCGGCAACATCGTTGGCCACATTTCCCTTCGGTACATGAAAGATCTCTTCCAAGGATGAAATTTTGTACGGGTGCTTGATGATGTTGCCGGGGTTGGGAAGGATCTTCTCTTACTTTTGATTAAAGAACACAAGTTGGCATACTTTCGTGCGATACGTAGAAGCTGTCGAGTGAGGCCACTCCTGCCTGCCCAGTCCTTTCTGCCCCTACTATGGTGAGAGGTTCTGACACCGGGATTGATATCTCGTATATGTCATATGTGGTTTCTAATCGTACCCATGCGGTCAGAACCTAGGTACCTAGCTGGATAGCCGGAATATTTTCGCCTCCCCGTTGAATGTGGACAAGACAGTAGATGAAGATTATAGCAGCGTTGCATAATTATTCATATTCAAGCGATTGCCTGGTAGCCCAAACGTATGCGAAGATGTCGATTGATATCACTTATATACATCCATCCCTCTGGACAGGGGAGAAGAGGATGAATATATCGGCGGATTGGGTCATTCCACATCGCCTGAAGTTCAGATCACGAATTGACTAAGGTCAAAATTTCACAATGTTAGTAATTGGACACTAGAAAGATGCTCTCTACGGAAAATGATGGAAATGCAAAAAGGGACATGGAGGTAAGAGTGTGAAATTCCTTTGGCGGACCCAAATCTCGGCAAATGCGTGATTAAACTCCGCTTCGATCACGCTCTTTTTCAACTTTTAAATCTCTTTGCCGACCTGTTTTTTTAATTGCCGATTTTTACTTTCACATCTTTATATATATATCCATTGCTATTGCAATAATAGCAGATACATGTGCCTAATGCTCCACCAAACTACCTACATTAGGTAGATTCTTTTAGATTACCATATGATTGATACACTCTCTTCTTCTTTGCGCTTTTTGCATGCGCTCGCAGGGAATCCCCTCTTTTCGGCACCCTTCCGTAGGAATGGGAATATGGGGAAAGTTATATAACCAGCTGCTTGCTACCCCTCAGCATTTGAGGACGATTTTTTCCTCCGTCGTTATCAATTTCTTTGATATATTCCTCCTTTCGTCTTTCTCCTTTTATGCGTGATATGCTCACTCAAGTTATCATCATCCTTAATCTTCCTATTCGTAACAGCAGCAGCCCCGAACACTGTGAGATCATGCGATCTAAATGTCTAATATAATAGCGATAACACTAATATAATAGCGACAACACACTTCCTGATCTGATATACAAGCTCTCCCTCTTGCGGGGAAAGCCTCCAGAACACCCCAATTCCCCATTACAACCCCACAGTCCCCGATATCAAAAGCCATGGCCACCCTCGAAATTCTAATACCCTCCTGGCCCCAGATAGCCATCTCATATTCCCCGGGCCTCATAGAAGTCGCCACCACAATCCTCTGCCAAATTTTAGGCTTCTGGCTCCCCTGCACTCTCTACCTCCTCATCGACCTAGCCTTCCCGACCTTCTCCAACAAACACAAACTCCAATCCGCCCGCCGCCAACCCACCTGGGCCGCCATCACCCACTGCTTCCGCCGCGTCTTCACCACAAACCTCCTCTCCACACTCCTCCACATCGCCCTCAACTCCTCCACAAACTTCCAATTCTCTTTCTTCACAGTCACCCCAACATACCCAACCGCCCGCGAACTCGCCACAGATTTCATCTACGCCTTGCTCCTCCGCGAACTGCTCTTCTACACCGTCCACCGCACCCTGCACCACCCAAAGCTCTACCCGTGCTTCCACAAGCAGCATCACACCTTTACTGCGCCCATGGCCTTTGCTGCGCAGTATGCGCACCCTCTCGAACACTTGCTGGCCAACGTGATACCCGTCGTGTTGCCTCTGGCGCTGCGGCGCGTGCATATCTTGTCATTTGCGCTCTTCCTGACGTCGATGCTGGCGGAGACCGCCAGCGTGCATAGTGGGTATGACTTTGCGGGTGCGCGCAAGCATGATTTACATCATGAGAAATTTCGGGTAAATTACGGGGTGATTGGATTGCTGGACTGGGTTCTTGGGACGGATGCAGTAGGGTGAGAGCAAGGAGGGGGAATCGGATGTTCTTTGGATTCTGAAAATTTGGAGCGTTCGGTTTGAAATGACTGAGTCGTCACTGTTGTTGGTGGGAACATGGAGTGATGAGTTCAAGAGGGTAATGGGTGGGTGCTGTCGTTGTTGGACATGGGCATATATTATATTCATGTTCTTCAGATTATGGGCTTGAGTACTAGTTATCGCCTTGGATAAGCGAATACAACACCCGTCATGGAACTGGCCAATTACATTGGAATCTCGTGTCACAATATTTATGATGATATATGGGTTATGAGTATAACTGCTGACATGTGTCCTTGTATGGGAAGATGGCCCAGAAGAGGCCTGATCAGGTGATGTATGGGTTCAAGGTGGATTGAATTCAGTGAAGATGGATAATTCCCTAAAGGTGGTCAGTGTGTGCATTCAAGGGAATGACAATCAAAATATACGCTCAACTCTTATCAATTCAATGAAGTGCGCATGTGGAAAGTGAGAATAGAGTATAAGTTATGTAAGAAGAGAAATTTCATTGACTTCAAATGATGAAACAATTACTCAGAATGTAAAATAAATATATCAATTCATCCGGTTCATAAGGGATTTTTTTGCTTCAACCAGACACATACAAGGGTAAGAGCAATGTTCATATCTCATATGTACTGCATTTTCATATACAGACATTTTTGAATACAAGTTGGGGATAGGAGATAAGAGTCCTCACAGAATATTGGCCCTGATCTACATATACACATACATTAGTACTATTCGAAGCGAATTTCCCCAGGGCACGAAATCCAATATTCAAAACCTTGGCTCACGCCCTCGAGCTGTCTCCGATAGCGCCTCCCACCCCGCAACTCATTGCAGAATATTTCCTCTTCATTTTTATTACCAAGCAGTATATCAAAACACGAAGGCGGAATGGTAAATTCCAGCATCTCCAGAGTCGACGCTCTCAGTTTTGCAAAATCGTCCACGGCTCCGAGCCACGCTTTTTCCCAACTCCCAGATTTATCGTTCACAATCATCTGTGGTAGGAATTCTGTAAAGAGACGGAACACCTTTACTTGAGGGAGACGAAACAACGCATCGATAGCTGCGTGAATCGCGTCATCGATTAAAGTATCCATGACACTTCGGTGAAATTGAGTGTTGTTCGGTAAGTGCAGTTCGACGGAAGTGAGGGATTTGAAACGCCTTGGTGCAAAGCTGGGTGCAGCAAGGGACAGGGCAGAGTCTTTCGCGAAAGTAAAAATGTTTTTGGTGTATAGGATCGGGATACCTTCGGAATATCTGGGCAAGAAAAGGTTTTGGAAACGGATATATCAGTGCCCATACATTCTGCGGAAGATCCCAATCGGAGGGCAGGGCAGAGTAGAGGGGAAAACTCACATCCTTCTACATGTTCTTAAAATCTCTAAGCTTAGACTCTCCTCTGCCCCATGGCCGCAATGGCAATGAATAAACTTATTTTTTCGCTGGTTGTTGGAGTAAGGTTCATCCCGGAATATCTCTTCCCGGTTTGAACCCTGCAGGCACGATTTGAGGAGTTTAAACTTATTAGAGATCACTGAAATAACAATTCAATTAATCACAAATCAAAGCGTCATGCCTAGGGAACTAGAATTCGGGCTTCATAGTCTTACCATACAGATGAAGCACTCGATTGCCAAGCAACGCTTCAAATATCAAGAAGCGGATTTCAGGAGGAAGCTTGGCATACAGGATACACAGCGATTGGGGCTCGGTCAATGCCCAGGGGTTGGAAAAAGGCGAGTCGACCCAGTCTGGTAGTGGATGAGTGATACGGCGGCGTCGACAAGACGGGAGACGCGGTGTTGGTGGTGGTGACTTGTCGGATCGATTGTAGCAGTAGAGATGGGTGTTTAGCGGAGCCCCGGGTGGAAAGGTATTTCAGAAGAGGCTAATGGTAAGGGGCTAGGTCGGGATATTACGTAATTTGAGATTGGCAGCCCGCATCTCGGCTCGCAAAATTCATTTGAAATCCAACGTAAGTGGTGTAAATAGGTAGTAACCTAGAAAATGCCACCGAGAAAGCCAGATGCATAAATCAAACCGCAATATGTACCCGAATTCATATGTATGTAGATGTGTATGTATAGTCAAATCACCAAAAGTGGAGCGAAACCAATTCCAAACTCCATGCTTTATCTAAATTTTATTCTGAATCCTTAATGACTGCATAAATGAATGCATAGGTATTAACTTATGTTTAGAAAGTAAATCCTTGCGTCTGCCGGGTGGGTGGGGGAGTATGCATATAAACCCTTTTGAGAAGCAAATATATGGCCGCCTTCGTTCGGGCACAGGCGTAGGTGTGACACGATGGTTGACCGCAGAAGGCCTCCTTGTAAATGTGCTTTGGATATAAGATGCAATAATCTAAGCCGTTTCATCTCACCAGTTTTCGTCGATTAATATCATTCAGGGGAGTGAATAGAGTCGAGAAACGATACAAAATTGCAGTTTTGTCGGGAGCCGGAGATTAGACGAAAATGTTAATATAGGGTCGAAAAAGTTGAAATTAGTCATTAAGGTCTTTCAATCGGATAAAAATGAATATGGGAGAACGCCCGTTCTACCCTAGGACGGTGAAGTAAAAGGCCCAGAAAGCTGCAGAGAGCTGCTAGGAAGATAGATTACAGCATGTTATGAAGCTTTTCCTCATAACTGACGAGGCATAGAAGACACCGGGGTAACAGGGGCACTGTTTCCGGGAGTCGGGATTTCTATTTCGATGCTAGGAACTGCTGTAATTTCAGGAGGTTGGGGGCCTTGCCCCCTTCCAGCAACCGGACTCTGATATGGCGGGGCCTCCCCCCAATCCAATTGATCATACTGTGGAGGGTTTGCAATATTCGAGTTGCCAATATCTGTTTCAGCTGGAGTTATAGATCCTCGGGGTGTATCGTGGTCGGATTGGTTGGTTGGGTTCAAAAAGAGAGAGGAGCCCGAAGTTGCGCGCTGACGACCTTCAGCCGATCTTGGTAGTGAAGTACTTCCATCGCTTCCCATACTGGACGCAGCGTCAAGGAGCGGTCTTGAGTCTGACTCCTGGGAGCTGGCACGCAATCGGGTGCCATCATGTCGAACATCGCCCACATCCGCATACGTAACACGTGCCACCCGCTTCTCTCTACCACGAGACTGATGTTCAGCTATCAGAGCTGCTGCGCTAATACTGGTATTGCTGCCGTTGTCACTCTGATTTTCTTCCAGATTTCGAGCTCGACTCTGACGCTGTATCTCCTCCAATCGCGCCCAATCACCACGTTCTCGAGCTTCCCTCCGTTCCAGTCTTCGCCGTTCCCGCTCAGCGACTTCTTGTCTTCTTGCCAACCGGATTTGGTATAACGACTCCATCTCCTCTTCCCTTCGAGCCTCTTCCTCATCAGCTGTTTCTGGGAACTCCATCACAACATCCATCCCACCACGCTCGCCTTCCCTCCCAACTACTTGCTCTGTCGGTTTCGGGATTGGCGAGTATGAGGGTAACGTCATTACTGATTGAATGGAGGTTCTGCGGTCAAGACTGAGGTCGCCAGCACCAGTATAAGCAGTATTACCTGACCAGTTAGCCCCAGCCTGCCGCGTTGCTGGAATGGCATTCGGAACGTGGCCGTATGTGGTTTTTGGTAACCAATTTCTCCATTTTTTCTTTAGATACTTCGTGGGTATGAATTTGGGGTCTGAATTTCGAAATCGGAGGGTCCGGAGGCCATAGTAGAGGCTTAGACAGACAATGATAACACCAAGGAGCGCAATGGAAACCTGTAGATATTGTCAGTTAACTCCACCACGACTCAATGTTCGAGCATGTGTGGCCACACAGAACTTACAACAATGAAAATTTTTCTTGAAGGGCTGTCCTCTGCCTGATCATTCTCTGCCCGCTTGTGGAAATGGTTGCGATAGCTGTAGAGCTGAGGTACAAACATGGTGATATCTAGATAAATTTACGGGGGCACTATTTCGAGGCAGGCAAGCGTCGCTTCACATAGACAACATGACATCGGGACAATGAGAGGAAACAAAATCAAAAAGGTGACGCAGTTTGCCAGAGAATGACTGTCAACGAATCGATCTTCTGTCTGTCTGAGGAGCAAGAGGAGTTAGCGCCCTGTGGCTGTGTTTGTGCACAAGGACACGCAGTAAGTGCGTAATCTGAACCCTGAAATGGAGAGGAAAAAATCGCCAGATTCTGCTGGTCCGTTCGAAAGATAACGGGAAGATGGGGAACAAAAGATGACAGCGTAAAATAAGCGAAAGATATGGCAATGGGGAAAGATGGGATAGCAGTTCATCAATAAGAAAACGAAGGGCGTAGATTGAAGTTGGGAGTGGGGTGGACGGTTGGAGGTCGGAGGTTGAATGTCGGTGGTTTGCGACTGGTGGTTGATGGGCGTCCAACAGGACCATCTTAGTAACTAATGTAATATAACTAACTAACAAGTTACTGGTTGATTGGACTTGGGTGAAGTTCCCGCAGTCCTTCACGGATTAACATCTAACACACAGATTGAAGGGTTTGGAGGAATATGGAGCTGCTGTGTGAGTTCTTGTTTAAACGTGACCAGGTTAGTTTACCTTGCTTCTATCTATCCTCTCCTCGATTAATTATCTTTCCTGTGCAGCGGAATGACGGTGAACTGCAGCAGTGGCCACATAAATTGAAGGCTACCTTAAACTAACTAGTTAGTTAACTATCTAATAGTTAATGACTTCTATGTTTTTATGAAATAATATGTAAAATGCTGGGGACTTGGAGGTTCTCGACAACGGAATGCCCGACACGGTTTCTTTCCAGAATATCCGCCGGGTCCCATCAAATCATCCCCTATGCACATATTCCGCTTTAATCTGGGCGTTCGCCCACCGCCTCCCTTCACCCGTGTGGCGATTCGATCTGCCATTACATCTACTCTTCAACTTTCACGACGTGAAAAAAGTGGTTGCGTTGGCAGCAGTGGTGGTCCTGCTCATCATAGCATGTAATGTAAATACTAACTTTAACAGAACCGTCACGACTTCTCTCTAATAACCCAATAACTACGGGAGAGGGGAGATTTTGGGAAATACACGGGTATTTAAATAATATATGCCATGCAATGCGGTGAGGGTTACCGACTTTCATGTGCAGGTTGACTCGAAAAGCAGGCAGGGTCATGGATGTATGTGAACTAAAACAATGAAGAGAAAGAAGAAAAGATATTTCGACGTTGGGGTAAATTCTGTACGGTTTAATTTTGCAGATCAACAAAAAAAGGGGGGAAGAAAAGAAGAAAAACATACTCGGCATTAAGTAGTCATACAATCATTTAACGCTTTTCTTTTAAAGCAGAAGGACAACAAGGATCAAAAGTGAACACTGTCAATCCACACTCCCCTCGGGTGTGACAAGCTTCCTTAGCCTCCCTCCCGGCTTCGTTATTAAGTCCATATATGAACCTTCCTCAACTACACGGCCCCCATCCACCACCACAATTTTATCCGCAATTTCCATCATCTCGACCGCGTGCGTGATAATAATCACAGCTAGCCGCTGTGCACCTGGTATCATGAGGCTCTTAACCGTGCGACGAATCTGTTCCGCGCTATGAGCATCTAGATTCGACGTGGCCTCATCGAGGATGAGGATACGCGGCTGCCGCACCAAGGCACGCGCGATAACAAGGCGTTGCGCTTGGCCGCCGGACATGGAAAGCCCCCCATCACCAATTATAGTGTCGTAACCTTCCGGGAGGGAGGAGCTGAATTCGTCAATCCCGGCTGCCTGCGCGGCGCAACGGATGGCTTCTATCGTGTTGAGCGGGGAGGCTGGGTCGAGGCCGTAGCTGATGTTGGCTTTGATTGAGGACGGGAAGAGAGTGGCTTGTTGAGGAACGATGGAAACTAGAGAGCGGAGGGTTGGAGTGTGGATCTTTCGGATATCATACCCTCCGAGGGATATTGTGTTGGAGGCATAGTCCAATGACGACCGTATGGTCATTTTGTTGGCGGGATATAGAGCAGTAAGAAGGGAGGCAATGGTCGACTTCCCAGATCCAGAGGGGCCGACGATTGCTGTACATGTGTTTCCTGGGATTGCGAGATTTAGATTTCGAAGTACCTGTTTCTTAGGGCGTGATGGGTAGTTGAAGTTCACATTTGCGAACTCCAATGGCGTTGGGTTGGATATTTTTAGTTTCCCTTCATCCTCGTGTGAACTACCTTCCGGGAGCGTTGCTAATCGCAATAACCTCGAAGCAGTATCCCGAGATGAACTTATTTGAGGAACTGAAATTTCAGTCAGTACGGTTCAAAGTTGTATTGGAAACTGGGCGTTCGGACTGGCATACCAAATTCTAACGCGGCGTTAACGTTCCCTAAGCTGAATAGAAGGATCGAGAAAACCGTCAGAATGTCCCTTATTGAATATTCAAGTGATGATGCAAGGACTGCGCCGAAATAAAAGACAAGGGCTATGTTCCATGTTAGTCTTAAAAACATACAAGTTAACATCTATCACCGTCATTGGGACATACTGTAAACAAAAATGATTGATGAGCTGGATAACCCAAAGAAAAATCCCGAAAAACAGGCTCGTTTGAAGCCCTGTCGGAGGGTCTTCATATTCACCACATCCAATTTCCTATGGAAGTGAGCCTCAAGCGTCAAGGCGCGGACGGTTTTAATATCGAGAAACGTTTCGGAGAAAATATCCCCAACCACCTCAGTGGCATCGTTACATCTCTTTTCCCAGATGCCGCTCACATGTTCGAAGGTTCTTGTTATGGAATAGACAACTGGAGCACACGCAAGCCCAACCAGAGTCAACTTCCAACACACATCGATTCCCCAAACGAAACACATAATCATTATCACCGCTGCAACAAAAAGAAACCCAGCAAACCGCCCCACCAAGTTCTTCATTTCCTCAGCGTTGCGGTCCAGACACATCGTCAAATTAGATGTTTTGTTCTCTTCCCTTTCAAACCATTCCTTTGGCTGAGATAGGATACGTCTCACTGCCTCGTTACGGAGAGAGTTAACCCAAGCTTGTCCGCAGCATTCAAGAAGAAAATGCATAGCGAACGAAGCAGCTGCATTCGCGACAGAAACTCCAATGATTGCCACTGACCATTGGAGGGCCATACGTGAGCGATTTCCGGGTAGGAAAAATGCTCCTAAAAGCTGCGCAAATAGAAAGCCAAAAGCAGGGGTGGCAGCGGCATGGACAAATGCCGCTACAAATCCCACAAGTAGTAAAATCTTATAGCGCACGGTTAAGCGTGGAATGACAGTGAGAAGAATTCCCACGATTGATGAATATGGAGGCTTCCCTCTATGGGGACCTTCTTCGTCGCCTGGTCTGTCAGTTAGTTCACCATCTCGAAGCACGTTGTCCGTGAAACCCAAACCTGAAGAGCGCGATGAAGACAGCATAAGATCCAGTTCGAATTTAGCGTCGCACTCGCGAGAAAAATCTCTCAGTTCAATACCTGCAACGGATGGCATCGGATGTTTATATTGACGAATTTGTTCAGAGGAATCGCTGCGAAATGATAACGGCCTGAATACATCTTCGGTATGAACCATTGGTTGAAAAGAGAGTGTGTTTCGAAAGCCTGGAGAAATTGGAGACAAGGTTAATGATTGGAAGGTTCGACTCCTCTCTGTACTAAGCGGAGGGTGTAGTGGTTTGGAAGATGTTCCGAAAGTGACCCCGCTTCCCGTCTCCTGAGTATTTTGTCTTGGGATATTATCGGATTTTTCTTCCTGGCGATGGGATCGTTCATTCTCTAATCCGAACACGACTGACAGTGCAGAACCGGACGTATTTGTTGCTTCTTGTTCTAGAGCGTGCCTGTAACCTTTTCGAACGACTTCGCCCCCTTGCAGCACATACATAAAGTCCTGATTTTTGATCTGGGTTATATCATGCGTGATTATAATAGTGGTTTTGCTCTTTCGCCAGGTTCGAATGGCTTCCATCACTGTAGATCGACTAGTAAAATCCAGCGCGCTTGTCGATTCATCGAGGATCAAAATAGGGGTATCTCTGAGTCGTGAACGAGCGATCGCAACTCTTTGGCGCTGTCCGCCACTAAACGCACTCCCACCAACACCGACCACTGTATCAAGGCCATCTGGTAGGGTTCGGACCGTCTCATCGAGGGAGGCAAAACGGAGGCTGGTTACAATTTGGTCCTCAGTAATGTTTTGATAGTCTTTGGAGCCGAAAGCAATATTGTTAAATATTGTTTCATTGAATAGGAAGCTCTGCTGCTGTACTAATGTGATGTTGTTCCGGATCCAGTCAATACTCAACTTTTGAATTGGTGTGCCGTCAATTAAAATATCTCCAGCTGCAGGGAGATAGAATCGCATGAGAAGATTCGCAAGCGTGCTTTTCCCTGACCCGCTTTGTCCAACCACAAACGTTATATCGCCTGCTGGGAAAAAGAACGATGAATTTTTCAGCACGTAGCAGTCGGGGCGAGATGGGTATGCAAAAGTAACCTAGATGTATATATTAGTTTTCTCCTTGGAGGGTCAAGTTCAAAAGAACGTGATTTGTGACTCACGTTTTTGATCCGTATATCTCCCTCACAAATTCGAGGCGACAGTGACTCAGATGTATCTATTGCCGGCTTAGGTCGATTTACTCTCGCCACAATTTGTTGCAGAGCTGAAGCTGAAGCACGCCCTTTTTCAAGAACAATAATGTGTGGCAAAATTTCTTCAATTGCCTGGGTAGACTGAAGACATGCCCAAAATGCTGTCAAGACATCTGCGGGGGTTAAATCACCAGCTCCAACCAGGGAACTTCCGTACCAGAAGCCTTGGACAAACATTACGAATATCATTAGGCGTATGCAGCTAATCTGGAGTGCTTGGCCAAGTGCTTCATTTTTATACCAGCGTGAAGCTGACAGAATGCCAGCAGAATATTGTTCAGCCTCAAACCTTTGTCCATTAAAACACTTGACTGCATCGATGCTGGAGAAGCAGTTGATGGCCAATTTTGATGCGCGGGTTAACTCTGTCTCATAGGCCTGTACGCTCGGGGATGTTTTCTTCGAAATAATAGATACAACTGCCGCGCAGACAGGTATCGAGGCAAGAGAAACTAGCGTTAGCTTCCAGGAGGTACAAAGGGCCAAAGTGAGCGCAGTCACAAACGTGACGAGTCTTTGTAGAACACAACCTAGAGGCTGTGAAGTCGCTAACTGAAGATCTCGGATCTGTCTAGCCCGTGAGTGAGCGGAGGTGCAATAAAAAATAAAAGTTGGTACGAGTGTACTTACGTCTGGAGACGCGGCAGAAAGGAGGAAACGCCATCCTGTTTCATCTCAAACCAGGATATATCCTTCTTGATTAACTGTACGAAAGACTTCTCGCGTGCGTGTTTTGCTTGGAGCTCCCCAAAGGCCACCCAGAATGCAAAATGCCCTGTCTGGAGTAGCCAAATGCACATTCCCAACCCCATTAGATATAGGCATCGAACAGATATAGCGTGCATTAATTCCTCTGATGTTAAGGAACCTGCTCCGAACTTTGAGAATGCGTCAAAGATCTTCCCAAGCACCAGAGCCAACATGGGAACAAGGACACCAGCTCCCACGGTGAAAAGCAAGCCCAGAAGGAGAGAAACAACATGTTTTCTTGAGGTGAAAAGAAATAGCGATGTCCATTTTGCCTTGAGCGTTGGATTGTCTGTCAACGTCGCATCAGAACGACCCTCGGCGGACTCCATGCTGTTTCAACATTTGGCAATGAGATCCAACGAAGGGAGTTGGGAATATAAAAGAATCACAGATCCAGGAAATCTATTGTGAGCAGCGTTCACCCGCATTGCTACCATGACTACCGGACACAAAAGAAAAACAAACAAGGACATGGTGTGCAGACGGGGGCAATCCCCAAGTCGCCTAATGCGTTCGAACGATTCGATTCACATAAAAGTTTGTGGTGTTCTGATGACGGTTTAGGCAAGATTAAATTCACAAAATATTTTCAGCATTGAAACAAAGAATAATGATTAAACAAAGGGGCAACTATCCAATGATGCATATTCTGGCTAATCTTCACACGCTTGGTATTGTTCTTTGAAACAATTGAACTGCCCTCGAGGTTGACTTACTGGAACACTCTCAGTAAACTCATAGACGAATATTCGCCAAGGTAACACGTAATTAGTCTAAGTACCTTAATGAGATACATGCTCCCAAGGTAAAGCACACGTTTCTCAGTGTGTTGAAAAAGCCCACAACGGGAGTGAAATGAGCTGCTTGGTTGATTTGAATAATAAAAGAGCTTCCCATAATATGCTGCCTCCTGGAAGAAATGGATGAGATTGAAATAAGGTTTTGTCATGCTGCTAACCCAATCAGGCAATAAACATCAACAGCGCAACATTGAACTCGCTGTTTTCATACATTGTCAAAGCTGCGGATCGTATAGCGTTTAACCAATGGTACGGCTTAAGCTAATCTACTCGAATATCAGGCAAACCAGGATGTCACTGCTTCGCCGCAAGTTTGTGTTGAAATTGCATTCAAAAGTCCTTTGTTTGAGAGTGCAAGCTCTCTCGTCTTTAACGCTAGTCCCATTTGGGCCACACTAGCCTTTCCATCCCCGCTGGCTTAATCTTCGCTGTGAGCTTCCATGAAGAAGCTTTTAACCGTATTATCTCTTTATTAAAGGATCTGAGTTCGATTCCACGCAATAGCGGTAATTAGGTCAAATTATACTGCAGGTCAATAATCAGGGGCTCAGGTTGAGGCTGGGCAAACAAAAGATACCCGAGCAACTGGCCAATTAGGTGGTTGACCAAAAGAGGCACAACCAATGATCAAAAATCAGGGGAGGAAAAATACCTTCTTGATGGGTGGGGAGACACAGAAGTGACCCACCAATGATAATATAGAAATAATCAAAGTAACTGACCACACAGCCACACTCACAAAGTTTTTTTTGATTGATGAAAAGGTATAAAAATGTCAGATGATCTTCATGGAATTATTAAACTATTATGACAAATACACTTAATTGTCTATACTGACTTTAAAAATAAGTATAATTTTATAACACTTATATGTATTTTTAATTTGGTATTAATTACTGATATTTAGAGCTTTTATCATTTAGCTATTTAGTTAGTTAATATATCATTATTAATTATGAAATATTAATAAAATAAATATTAATTTGATAATGATCATAATATTTCAATAAGTATTTCATTTAATTATATTTATATGATTATAATAAAGAGAAAGTATAATAATATAAATTTTAATTAATTATTTTATATAATTTATAATTATAATTATAATTTTAATTTTTAATTTAATTTAATTTAATAGCTATATTTACTTTATATATATTTTATTAATATTTTAAATTTTAATTAAAAATATAAAAATATAAACTATTTTAATAAATATTATATAAAATAAATAAATAAAGTAAAATTTAAAACTTTTATAATTATATAAAAATAATTTTAATATATTTTTTATATATTTTACTTCTATTATTATTAAATTTAATTACTTTATTAAATTTATTATAAAAATTTCTACAGTAAAGAATAAAGTGATTTTTTTGATTATTCAATGTTTCAAATTAATGTCTTAAGATCTTGTTTCTAAAAGGTGAAATTCCGCAATTTATAAATACATAAAGTTATTTTTAATTAATTAAAATTATGATTCTGCATAATATTTTGATCTAACAAAATGAATTACATAGAAAAAATATAATTAAATAGTTAATGAATCTTACTGTATACAGATCTAATAAATTATTATAGGAAAAATAAATTCAGAAAGCAATTTTTGAAATGTTATATAGAGAGCATTTCATTATGTAGAGGTATTCGGAGTTTACTGTGTTCCAGTGTTTTTTTATCAAGTTGGAGTTGCCATGATATTCACCTGATTTGTCATGTGGCTGTCGCGAGCGAGCTTACCCGAACTATGCTTTATGGTTAAAGCATCTCCCGCACATCCAAGAAATAATGAACATTGGATGAAATGCATCATGAACACAACCTTGACCCAGATAGAAGTGAGAGAGAACTAACAGCCCTCGCAATAAATAGCTCTTCAGGGGTTCCAGAATCCCACATCCAGAGGAAGATGTGTAGCCGAGGTTGGGACCATGGAGCGAAGCAACGGAAAGAGGCTTGGCTGGAAAGGATCCCTATTCCCTTCTATATAGGCTACACAAAGTTGCTTGCCACTCCGCAGGGTCCGACCAAGCGTAAAAATTGCACATTAGCAACGAAGATAATCTTGTCGGGTCCCTTCAACAAAGAAAGCTCTTCTCCGGTTCACCTTTTTGTTCTTATAGTTCAAGGGATTTTGTCGTTTCTCTGTAGGTTCCAGCAAACTCCGAAACTTGGGAGGCAATTGGATTGAACCTGTAATTAGCGTTTATTGGCTGAGGTGGAAGTTGGCTTTAAACCTGCAAAAGGAGCAAGCTTTCATTCACCCAACCTCGGCATATATCCCCAATCTCCCTCAACAAAATCTGTCTTGGTAATGAGTCTTAAAAAGTGAAACGGTCGTGAGGTTTAAGAGGACTGTTTCGTAAAATCCACACAAAGAACGGCCAACCTGTCTCCATTTGCTGCCTCCTCCTGGTATGATTCTAGGAACGACCCGCCCAGCCCGCAAAAATGAAATTTAAAAGGCGATTTCGAGAATCCTCTCCAAGTCCGCAGCAATATCTTGTTTGTGCGGGCAATGGAAATGGAGCATGAGAAAAATTTGCCATTGCACCAACAGTTCAAAATATCAGTTGTTTGTTGAAGAGGTGCTTGTGGACTCCCAGAATACAGGTATCCCCGTAGACTTTTCACGTTGAAGAGAAGTTGGCGCGAACGGGCTATATCCAAAGAGTTGGGCGAATTAAATACTTTCTTAAAAATTTATGTCTTCAGCGCGCTGTTGGTCCAATAAGTCGAACCAATTATGAATAAAGTTGCTGGTCCGTTTCATCTTTCGAGGCAATTCGGTCGAACCATTTCCTCGAAGCAAGGATTGTGTCAAACAATACAATTGACCTTTCCATCCAAATCCATCTCTATCGTAAAACCCGGTAGTTGCCCTCAGGTCCTTTTGACAAACATACTTCCGGGGGTAGAAGATTTGTTGCTCGAGGGATAATAATAGACCGTTTTATCCGGTATCACAAGGTTGAACGAACAGGTTTGACTTCTAGCCTCCTCTGGGGACAAGGATGTTCGATTTAGGAAACGAAAGAAAGTAACAGCCTTTTTCACCACAGCTTTTCTCTTTATTTTAATTTTGACGACTACTGTCATCAGCTGGTTTGTGATACTAGGTGGATTCATTCTAAAAACCAATCAAGACCTGAAGTGGCCTGATGTGTTCTGGGCTCTTCCGCTTTTTTTTTTTTTTTTTTTTTTTTTTTTTTTTTTTTCTCTTTTCTCCAGAATTCACCCAGACTGCTGCAACCACTGAAATAAATAAAAAAAGGTTGTACGTGGAAAAAAGTGCCTATTACAGGATTGCACCTGGCGGTCGGAGCTCCGATGTTTCAATGTAAAAAGGGTTGAAGGAGTTGCGCGCGCATATTCTGGGGTTTGGAGATTGGAGAGTTGGAGCTGGAAGCTTTTTGGAGCTTGGGGCTGGCTTTGGAAGCTTCGAAGCTTACCGCCCGTAACCAGAGCAATATATATCACGTGATTGTCTAGCCGTAAAGAGGGGAGGGTCATGTGTACCCATCTTCCCCCCCCCGGTTGGAGGGAAATAAATAAACAATTCCCAAAATCTCTTGATTTCAACGGATGCCGGGCAGTCGGATCGCCTCCCTTCCCTCCCACCAATAACCGAACAGGGCCTACCTTGGATCCTGCCCGGCAATTGTCGGGGTAAAATTAAACGTTGTTTGGGGAGACTGCAGGTTCAATCGTTATGTGTAGCTCCTGTGTCCCGCCGTTTCCGCTGGTTTAGTTAACCCTCTTCAGCGTCTAGCCTTGCCCCGCGGAAGAAGCGAGGGGGTTCATATCTGTTTGGTTCCCGGCGCTTCTTTCCCTTCCCCAAATTTCTCAACCCCCCCCCCCCCCCCCTCCCCCCAACAGAGCCCACATATAAACAAGCAATTACTATCCAGTACTCCGGAGTCTATCCAAGATAACGGCATCCATGGATGTGCTCGAAGATTCTTAGATAATTTTGGACAACCCCACCGCCCTGTATTGGTGGACGATCCGGTACCCCGCTACCTATATATATTATTATTATACTCTACTGGTTTGATTTGCCACACATGGGGTCAGACGCAGTCATCTCGTCATTCCTCGAGCGGGGTTGAAAGGGTATCAAGAAGCTTATGTCTTAAGAATAATTGCTTACCACTGTTCGGCAGATGCTTTAAATACTTAAATGGGGGTCGGAGCTGAATCCATTCGCCAAAATCAAATGGGGCTTAGTCGGTCAGACTTTCCAATATTTGCGCATTCCGCCTTCCTGCGGCAGTCATGAGGAATATAATGAATTTGTCAAATGTGAAACCGACTTTTTGTGACCGACCGCTCGGTGCCACGGACAGGTAAAGTTCTCTGTGAACGTTTAAATAGGGCGGGGGTCCTTCCATCCAATTTCTCTCCTCTAGCCCCTATCTTCTCTTTCTCCCTTTTCTCCTCTCCACATCCTCAAGCGAATTCAAGCAGAAACGTTCCTTGCATACACATCTCCAGTCATGAAGAACGTTTCGCGGTTCTTCAAGTCAGGGAAAGACAATCCCTCCGATGGGTTGGAGAGACGTACAACAGCTGACCGAGAGAAGGGAAGAGATGAGTTGATTGATACCCCAGTACCGTTTCTGTCATGGCGTTCCTTTGTCATGGGTGTGTTCGTCTCGATGGGCGGGTTCGTCTTCGGTTACGATACGGGGCAGATAGCGGGACTGCTGGAGATGAAAGACTTCTTGAGACGGTTTGGAGAGCCCAAGCCTTCCGGTGATGGCTATTTTTTCAGCAACGTCCGCGCTGGTTTAATTGTTAGCCTGGTATGTGCCCCTTCCCCCTTCCCCCTTCCTTCTCTTTTACTTTTTTTTTTCTACCTTTTTTTTTTTATTATTTTTTTTCTTTTCTTTTTCCCCCTTACGTTGTTTCGGTTTCGTTAACATTTGGACATAGCTCTCAATTGGAACGCTCATAGGTTCATTGCTTGCTGCTCCTTTGGGAGATCGGATTGGGCGTAAATGGTCGATTTCCGGTTGGTGTGTGGTCTTGAGCGGCGGTATTCTCGTCCAAATAACTTCAGACACTCCAAGGTGGTATCAAATAGTTGTTGGACGTTGGATTGCTGGTCTTGGTGTTGGTGCCCTTTCGTTATTGGTACCATTATATCAGGGCGAGAGCGCCCCCCGACATATCCGTGGAGCGATGATCAGGTAAGCTTCTCTTGGCCTCCAGCTAGCGTCTACCGTTGCGTTACGGTTTTTTTTTTTTTTTAAAAAAAAAAAAAAAAATACTAAGTATTCTTCTAGTTGCTATCAACTTTTCATCACGTTGGGTATTTTTGTTGCCAATTGCATTAACTACGGCACCGAATCCCGCAATGACAGCAGTGCATGGCGGATTCCAGTGGGTATGACCTTCGCTTGGATATTGATTCTAGGCGTTGGGATTTCGCTGTTCCCGGAGTCCCCGCGCTATGACTATCGCACCGGACACATTGAGAGAGCGAAAACGTCAATGATGAGATTCTACGGCGTACCGCATAACCATAGACAGCTCCACTTGGAGCTAGAAGAAATCCGTCTGAAATACGAGGAGGAAAAGACCGTGAAGGACCAGCCTTGGTATGAAATATTCATCGCACCACGAATGGCCTATAGGCTTGTCCTGGGAGTGTCGTTACAGGCTCTACAGCAGCTCACAGGGGCCAATTACTTTTTCTATTATGGGACGACGGTGTTCAAAGGCGCGGGCATCGAAAACAGCTACATCACCCAGATTATTTTGGGTGCTGTTAATTTCGGATCCACGTTCCTAGGCTTGTACAATATCGAGCATTTTGGCCGTCGCAAGCCTCTGATATTTGGCGCACTCTGGATGTTCATCTGCTTCCTTGTGTTTGCCTCAGTAGGCCATTTCCGTCTAAACCTGGAGGATCCTACACTCACCCCCGGTCCTGGGAAGGTCATGGTGGCATTTGCATGTCTGTTCATACTAGGGTTTGCTAGTACCTGGGGCCCGATTGTGTGGGCCATTGTCTCCGAACTATACCCATCCCGCTATCGTGCGAGAGCTATGTCTTTCGCCACAGCGTCAAACTGGCTATGGAACTTTTTAATTGCCTTCTTCACACCGCTTATCACAGGTGATATTGGGTTCAGGTATGGGTACGTTTTCGCCGGTTGTCTGTTCCTTGCCGCATCAACTGTATACTTGTGTGTTATCGAAGGCAAAGGTCGAACCCTCGAAGAACTTGATGCAATGTACATCATGCGTGTTCCAGCGTGGAAGAGCGAAAATTTTGTTCTGCCACCGCTCGAAGGTCAGCAAGATCGGCACTCCAAAGAATCATTTAGTCACAATAACGATGTTGCGAAAACGGAAGGCGACGATTGCGGTCGAAATAACTAGGCTACTTGTCCAGTTATGTCCCACTCCTCTCGCTAGTGTTACGCATTAACCAAGGAATGAGTCTAGCAAGCTGTACAATATATATTATGTTTCACTATTATATATAGAACCAATATCCTGACTCGCAGTCTTCGCCGTCTCAGCCAAATGGAGCTTGTCACACCGAACATCCTCTTAAGCTTGAGACATTAGTCTTGCCCCTCCCCCCCCCCCCGGGCGGCTGGCGCCAGGTGCTAAAGATATTCGTTAAGCGAGGTATCCAGCATCAAAGAGAGCCAATGTAGAACTGGAGAGTTGACGACAGATTTGTAGGGTGAGGAAATTAGAGATGTTTTGTCATAGGATATTATTATACTCTGGTTGCATATTAAGGCTCTGGGCCTTTCGCTGTGAAGTTTTATTTTGTGGCTCACTTTTCAGGATGATTTCCATAGATATCCTATAATTATGAGCAGATCGCTGGTTTAGTTTTTATGAGACAAAAACTTTTCAAGATTTCCAAACGGGAATTTTCCCTTCGTCCCCAATTGTTACTATGATTGTGGATTGAAAATTGCCCGCCCGCGGTCGAACGATGTCGAACGATGTCGAACGATGTCGAACGTTCTTCAACAAAATCCCTTCCGGCTGTCACGCAACTTGAGTAGTAGTTCAACACACTCCCTCTTACTCCTTTCAATGAATAAATGCATATTTTGTAGCATTAAGCATGAGCTTATCTTTCTTGAACGATGATACGACTCAATACCAACAACGCTTGGGATAATCCAGAGCGGGCAACACAATTTTACCCTATTGTGTCTTTAAGGTCTCCGCCACCAGAGACCGACCCCCTGAAAACACAGCCTCAGCTAAATTTTTGGGTGGCTTGTTGATATCGCCAGTTATTCCCCAGCATCAACTTACGGCTCGACAAGCCTATATAGATAGATATATTGTCTTTTGCTTGCTCGTCACGAATATCAGTTTAAGCGCAGAGAACTTCATAGCACTGGTTCGTCGAGATATATCAGCTCCAAGCATTGATAATCGAACGGCTCTGAGTCTTGGCATTGCCATAACCATGGAGTCGAGATTTTGCAACCTTTCCATCGTTGTGTTGCTGAAGCATGAAACTCCCTACAAGTGACTTCCTTTCAGATAACTATTCTATACGCGGGTGAGGCTTCCGAGGCGAGCTTTCAACGATACGACATGTTCCCATACCACCGCAACATTCAATGCTGGCAAGAGGTAACGCGGGCAACCCGGGGAGCTTGGAAAGTCGATGTATCATCAGCATCTATGATAACCCTGGTAGGTGGAACAAGAGTAACATCCATGGGTCCATGGATGTTTGCGCCAAATGTCGATGAGATGCTGAGCAACATATGCAGGTTCCAGCGGCTGATGGAATGATGTCCTGTTTGTAGGTTGAGGCCCACTCCTTCGAAACCATATCAACTCTGGTTGACCCAATCTAAAATAAACACATATAACTATACCACACATACTGCTAATACAGATATCTCTCTTACAGCATCGCCGCCGTGATTCAACTCCAGGGTTAGGGCTAGGGTTAGGGTTACTTAAGGGCAAGGTCCAGAGAAACATGACAACATTACCAACTACAATATCAAGAGCAAATGTTCTACTATTAGCTTACTAATTTGCAATCTTGCACAAAATCTCACAATGTTATATTCTATTAGATATAATTAACATATTTAATTTAAAAATAAAATAAATAATTAAAATATATAAATTAAACATTAAAAACTATTAAAATTATTATATAAATATATAATATTTATTAATAATAAAATAAAATATTTTTAAAAATTATTTATTAGATAATATAATTATTATATTTTTATATTAATTTTTTATAATTTTTAAATATATATTATTTATAAAATATATTTAAAAAATAAAATAATAATATAAATTTTATATAAATAAATTAAATAAATTAATAAATAAATTAATGAAATTATATTTATTTTAATTTATATTAAAATAAAAATATATATGTAACTTATTTATTTATATATATAATTAGTAACATCACAACTTAAACTTATAATTAACTATAAATATTTTAGTATTAAAGTTGATATTCGTAGCTACCAAGTATATGAGACATTGAGAAATATGCAAAGGTTGAAGCTGCTTGCTTTATTTAATTAATGCTTCTTAAACTGAACCAACTATATCATATGAGAAAGTGTCTCAGGTCATGATGTGTGTCTCGGTTCATGGTGAAATACATTAACAGCTAATCTTATGTTTAGTTACTAATCATACTACACAATTCTTTACTCTTGTGAATTCGGTTTCACTCTCATGAATTTTTTCTTCTTTCCTACCGCCCTTCCCTGATGAATTCCCCCTTTGTGTATAGGAAGTGCTAGGGCTGTATTCAGTAGCACACCTGTAACAATCAGGATTTACTATCTAAAACAATGATAATTTCAAGTACAGCTAGTTAACCCTCCCGTTACATGGGGCCAAAAATGGGTTTGCGATAACAATAATTCCATTCAAGCGGTTGTATCTTGGGGAACTGACTTACAATCTAGCATCGTTCTAAATGCCAGAAGTTGCATATCTCTAAGAAGCCTCATTGAGAGAACTCAGAATATCAAGGTGTTAACACATTGAAGCCGGCTTTCCTACTTCCTGGACACCTAGCAATGTGAAGCATCTTAACCATGGGACCGGGGAGACTCAAAGCATCCAAAAGAAGGAAAGATTATTATGAATAAAACTTGTGCATTTCTGGACTTCGAAGAGGATTTTTGTTGACTCATCTTCAAATCACAATTTTCCTCTCAACCGGACTTCTCAACTCGCTTTGCGGTCTAATTACTCTTTTCCTCGTTAAGCACTGGTGTTGTGATTTTACACTTTGAACTCTGTCGTCCTGTGATGTTTGACCAACACGTCGGCAGCGTTACAGCTTCCTCACTGCTTCTCCATCGCTTGACTCATTCTTTGGCAGTCCAGTGAGTGGAAAACCACTCGAGAGCTCTTCCTTTTGTTTACGAAGAGGAATTTTTAATATTGACCTTAGTAATTGCTGTTGATAAGTGGCTCTGTGTAGAGAGTGGGGAGGTCTGGTATAACTAACTACGTGTAAGTAGAGAACCCGCGCTCATCACCGTTTAACAGCCAATGCCCAGGTATGATATGGCATCGGATGTTCTGGAAGTTTCCTTCCTCCAGTAAATTAGCCCCTATCTTTTGACTTTTCACAATCATGGGATATTGGATTTGTTGAGCCTATCAGAACGCCGCCTCCCCTTGATTACCATGAGATGGGACAGCCGAGCGTTTGGTACGACCCATTTAAATTGGTATATTTGTACGGAGGCTGGAGATATTTGCCCCATGCTTTCATTCCGCAGGTGGATGGCGGGAGAGCTGGATACTGAAATTGAAATTGCTTCTGGCAATAGCTCGTCATTTTCACAGTATACGATTCTTGGCATTCCATTTTGAGCTCAATCAGACAAGGCCTTTTATTCCCTCCGTGATAGGGGTGGTCAAATTCGAGTTCGAAAGAGAAAGTGGACAAATCTTAAGTTCTACCGGCTCCACGCTTGATGGTCAATATGGGCGCGAAGACTATACAGCCTTGAGGGTGGCAGAATATATACCTGCATTTGTAGAGAAGGAATTCTGATATACATGGGCGGCGTTTCTTCCATGTCGAATGATTGGATCCCGCAAACATCACTGGTACCGCTATCCATTTTTATCTCGACATCCACAGAGAAATGGTATGAGCAAGAAGCTACTGGCGGCTTCCCTCCTGGCCGTACCTCCTGCTGTGCAGTTTCTGCGTCAGAGGAAAATCGGGGACCCTGCGAGATGTAAGCCTATGAACTCCCACCTAACGAAAAGAAGGTCAAGGCAATTGAGAGGATAATGTTCTATTTTTGATTCTTCTAATTATATCCGTACCCAGATTCATTCTAGGCGGGGCTCGCAAAGTTGATCTTGTCCTTGCCGAAAAGGAATACGTCGATTTGGGCAAAGGTCCTCGTTCTCACCCTCATTCAAATGGATCACAATACCTATCACCTCTGCGTGAGTCCCATTCTTGTCACATTATCGGGGAACGCCAAACGCTCGTGGTCGGTGGCTCGATGCTGACACGCCGTCACTGTGACTCTCTGCAAACCGAACTTCGGCGCAACGGTCTTGGACTTTCGCCCTCACTGATTTACAATGGAAAGACCGCTATGATTCAGATGCTGCACCGTATCAGCGATCTCAGATTGTAAAGTCCACTACTCCTCCGGTGGAATCGAACCAAAATCCTGGAAATAGCGCTGCTGTCCAGGCCCTATTTCAATATACGAAAAAAGCTTTAGGCTCCAGAACAATTGACTGTAATCGAACTATAGCAAAAAGAGAGCGCTCCAGGTCCAGATCCAAAACCCGTTTCTAACGGCCTTGGGATCGATGTGTCGCCGGGGATGTGGGTGGCGGAAATTTTAGGAGCCATTATCGGTGTAGTGGTATTATTTTTCATCGTGAGCCAACTAAAGGCATACCGGAGGGCAAATACCGACCAGACCTTGGAGACCCTTGATTTCCAATTCCAAAATATTTCGAGGAGTTCACCGGTGACCAACACGGTTCCAACGATGGAATCTGGGTATGGCAGGCACCCTAGATACCAAGCAGCCTACAACAACTGCGTTTTGATGCAACAGGGGGAATATCAGGCTCACTCAGCTGAATCCTACGCCTGTATTTGAGATGTCAGCGTATCCTTCCAGAAAGAATTCGCAGCCTGCTGAGCTGGGTGGTAAAACGAAGCAACGAGCGGAGTTAGCTTGACGCGAGCGAAGAGAAGGTATCAACTTGTTGCTTTAGATGCAGGTAATCTGGGAATAGTTTTCAATATTCTAGTTAACTTTTTGTAAAATATATCCATTTGATCTTCCATTGAGACAGGTTGTTGTGCAATATAAAAATATATATACCTAGGCTCATAGATGTAGGTGTACTTTTTTGGGATTTTCTCGTTACGTGTATATGGATGTGCGAAATCCATATCAAATGGCCGACATCGAGTCGTATTTTTGTTTTCTCATAGAATGAAAGCATACCGCAAGACAGAACAATGAATTCTCTATTTCTTTCCAGTTCCGCCTTGAGCAGATTGTGACTTCTGGTTAAACTCAGCGAGGCTGTCGTTTCTGCAGTAGATGAAGTTTTCCACAATGGGAAACTCCTTTATATGCAACGATTTAACTCCTGTGTTACGGGCGAACAGTAGTCGAGCTTTGCCGACTTTTGTTATTCCCACCCCTTTTTTCTTTTCTTTTTTTCCCTTTTCTTTTCTTTTCATTTTTCCAGAGACAACTTTTGATATGAGTCATTCACAGAATCCCCAAATTTGTAACTCCATATCGAACCTAAAAATTGACAGAACGAACGGTGACAGTGCTCTACCAACGATTGGACCGAAGTTATATGCATTTATGCGAAACGTACTAATGAGGGAGGTGGGGATCTTGGATTTTGGCGGCGTTTGTTATGAGGATTCCTTTTTCGTCTCAGGGTGTGCTTTCTCGTATATCCAATCGTTCAGCCCAGCTCGATTTCTGTGGATGAGGGGTAACCATGTTAGACCAGCGACTCGGGGATTTTAGATCCAAAGCTTGGAATATTCGATAGGTTACCTTGCAATCTCAATGGCGTAGAATTGCATCCGAACGACTGCAGCCAGAATTAGCTAATGGTTAGCAAATACAATTCAATGTCTATCTCAAAGACTCTTTTTTGGGCTCTTCTTTTCTTTTCTTTTCTTTTCTCTTTTCTTTTTTTTCCTTTCTTTTTTCCCTTTCTTCTTTCTTTCTTTTGGATATAAAGGAAGGGAGAAACTAATCATACCAAAAATTGTCTCCTTTTCTCCATACTCGAATTTAGGATTCGCTCTTAAAAGAGTCCCGAAATTATAATCGTCAATCTTCTTGTCGTAGGGCATAATGAAATTTCTCCACCTCTCCTTGCCTTCTTTACTCTTCATCTGATCCTCGTCAATTGTCTCCGCGGGATTAAATTCCGGGAATAATTTCATAAAATTGTCGTATATCTCGTCGTCCATTTTCGTCAAGCGCAGTGTAGAACCCCGTCTCGATTCTAGGAGGGCCCAATATGTGGTCATTTGTTGGACAGCTGGAATAGCTGGGTTACTACGAGTGTCGTTCTGAGATCTTCAATGGATTTAACTCTTTATCCCCTGGAGAGGCGTACCTTTGACAGCGAACTGTTTTTCCATCTGGATTGAAAGCAGTAAAGGTTAGACGTCATCACATACAGATGTGAAAGTCCGGGTTTTGGCGGAGTAGCTTTAACTTACATCCTCCAAGTTTTGGGGATTTTCAGGGTCAAACGAGCTTGGTATCGACATGATCGGCGACGAATAGCTGTGCCGCTCTAGAGGATGGAATGATATATGCGAGAGAGTATACTTATGGCAGTTGTAGAAAATGTTGGTTAGCCCCCCAAATTTCGGTTTTAGATCTTGGTTAACTACAAAAATTCTGGCAGCGCTTAGTCATGGCAGAGATAGCCCCGCCACGGTAGCTAACCAGCGATTTCATTGTTGTTAGAAATGCCAGTATGGAAGTGACACGAAGATGGTTGTATTAATTATTATTTCCCGCAAGGACAGAAAGCCAGACTTGGGTTCTCAAACAGACTGTTCCATATTCCTTGGTTGCATTTACAACATGGCGGGCGGGGTCCCGTCCCCGGAAGAGGATCTGAATAAATTGCAAAAAGACTACAATATTCCACTTCAGAATTATTTGTTATGTTGAACTGCGCGTGGTAGTGATCACGAATGAGTTCATAAAACCCACCTCGGAGTGATTTGAGGAGTAAATTCCAAGCAGCAACTGCTCAACCCGCAAGCTGTAGACGGATAAGACTTTACAAGCTAAGTCATATGCCGCATCAGTGAATGAGAGGTACTTCATTAGTCCAATTCTGCAGTGGCAGAAGGAGTCAATATGCCATGTTTATTAGAGAATTGAGTGTCATGTCAAATCATGTCAAATTGATGGCCAGTTGAGGTGATTGGTATAATCACGTATGAAAACTGCGCCAATGGCAGATAGAACATGAATAAGAACACAGTTGGGAAGAATGTCATTACCATTTGTACTGTGCTTGCACAAAATACTGTATTGGAGATATTGCTCGCCGTGATTTAGCCATAAAAAAAGGTGGAGGGTTAATATGAAAGCAGTGAGCAATTTCGAAACGCCAGATGAAAAATATTTTATTTGACGGGAAACAATCATTATTCCAATTCTTCAAATCGTCCTTGTTCAAGAGCTGTCCGGACGCGGTTCTCGACATCAACCACGCCGGTTGCTCGTAGTCTGGAAAAAGCAGACGGGAATTGACTTAGCAAGGCGTCCACCATCAAATAAACATTGACCGAGGAGATAAAGCATACCTTTCAAAAAGAACAAATAATCTTTCCGCCTCACGCTCCTTTTCCTCCTGCGACATCTCCGGGCCCGTATCCCGCGGCTCTGCATCCCATCTCTGACCTGTAATAGGATTCACGTTCGGATTAAGCTCACCGCCTCTGGATGTATTGGAACTGAATGCTTCTTTTGCCGTCTCTGGAACAGGCATATCATGAGACATTAGGAAGCCAGCTGCAAATCCGTAGCCTACGTTTCTCACGAAATCGGTCGCATCGCTACCTGAAAGCTCAAACATCAACGCCGATATCCCTTCACGCAGACTCGGGGCTACGGGGGAAGTCGACAGGCGCAGGAGTCGCGAGGAAAGCGTATTCGATTGGCCAATGGGGAGGTCGTGGTCGTCGTCTTCTGGCAGGAGGAGCCATTCCATATATTTTCGCGGACCTTCGGGAGCAAAGGAGTAGATTTTTCGTAATAATGTGAGGAGGGGAACGGCTAGTGTTTCGAGGTGTTCGGGTTTATGCATCGCGACAGCTTGGTCGAGGATATTTATCATCTTGTCCACGTTGCAGTTTTGGTCAAATTTGGGAAAGAGTGGATTTGTTCCGAAGTGTTTGCTTTTCTTTGCTTCGAGATCAAGATTAAGAAGGGAATTGATGAGATAGTTCACGGGAGCCTGTAGTGGTGGGGTTGGAATTTCTATGCGGCTCAGAATCTTGAGGATGTGAGGAATAGAGATGGAAAATGTATCGCCTCTGTGGGGATAGAAGTTGGTGATGTTGAACATGAGTTTCAATGTTTCTGAGAGCGCAAGCTCGTCCATTTTATCAAGCTTCTTCTTTTTCGCTTTAGAGAATCGTTTCGAATGTCGATATATGTGCTATTTTCGCGGATTAGATTTGCATTTCTTTCTTTCTTTCTTTCTCTCTTCTTTTTCTTTTAGAAGTGCTGTTACGTTCGGGGGCGGACGATAGGCTCATACGTTATTGATGCTTTCACCCAGAGCATTGTTCTCAAATAATTTATCGAAATCCAAGTTAGAGTCATAGGTGGATAAGAAGAGTAAACGTGACGCTAGAAATTCATCGTCGGAATTTTCTTCCTGTAGCAGAAGACACAGTCCCTATTAGCATATAAAGGCAATTTTTCAATAGAGGCTCTTTCCTCACCTTGAGCTTCTCTGCGACGTCAGGTCCATGACCTAGGTCCACGAAGATCTGCCGCATGTCTTTTTCAAGGAGAAGGGCGTTTGCAAGACAGCGGAGAGCTTCGCGCGATATCGCCGGCGATCGTCCCTCGAAGCCATAATGGGCCAGTATTCTTATCCCCTGAATGTAATGTCAGAGTAGGCGTATTTCTAGTGTCCCTGCGTAGGTGCTGTCTTGTACCTCTCTCGAATATATGGCGTCTGCATTTAGTGGATTGCGCCCATGAACTCGCAGCTGCTGGAGAATCTCGATGAGCCCTGCTCGCGGAACCGAGAACAGTGTCAGAGAGGGAATCTGCATTTCCATGTCCAGTGTACATAAACTGAGGTATCTGAAGAACGTACGGGAAGACTGAAGCTTATTTGATTTCACATCTTTGGCAAGAGCATCGACCAGCTGCAATACTTCAACGAGCTTCTCTGTTACGGGCAAAATGCAGGTGTGGTTAGCGGGCAAGTACACAAACTGCTCAGAAACTCCAATAGAGCAAATGAAACGGGGCAGATTCTCGAATTACACACCTTTCCCTTCGAGTTCGCGAACTTCCATTTTGTATAGAAATGAGAGATGCTGAAGCGAAAATCGGGCGGAGCAAGGGGGTGTGGAGACAGGGAGGGGTGTTCAGAGAAATAACTCTCATGCGCAAGCCGGCGCGGGGCAATGACGAAATGGCAATTTGAATGATAAACTAGATAAACTAAGTTACAGCTGACCGTCGCCAGCCCAGTAAGTTAGTTTATCGAAGAAGGGGGGGGGGGGGGGGGAAGGGAATGAGTTAGGATTAATACTGAGAAATGTGCTCCGCAGAGATATAATAGAAATAGACCGCCAGACATACGAGCCTGGGACTTGTCAGTAGGGTGGTTTGTGACGTTTTCCCAAGAAGCGCCTGACCGACTGCTCCGGGCCAAGCAGCTGCTGGGCAGCCAAGATTTCTCCGCATTCGGGCAGTTTTTCTGCCTTCCCAGCTGTCACGTTGAGCAGTTGACTGTGAAGATTTTCATGCATGGGGATGTTCTTTTTCCCCTGTTCCTCTTTTTACAAAAATACTGGGTTCCAATTTGCTCTTCTACGTAAAAATAAGAACTAAATCCTCCTATCAGGAAACAAAAAAAAGAAAAGAAAAAAATATGTGAGGGAGGGAAAGAGGGCATGTATCTCTGTGACAATCTCAAATGGGATATTGCTCTGACTACCATCCTTGCTTGGGAGACAGATCGCTTCTAAAAGGAATAATCTATGCCTAGGAACAGTACATACATATTAATAGAAGGTGATGTTGATGAAGATGAGGACGGAAAGTCGCATCCTTCTTCTGAGCATCCCCTCTGGTGGAATTGATGCCGACCAAGCAGATAAGCGAGTAACTACCCATCTGATTGTTCTCCAGGTAACAAAAGAGTCCGCCAGTCTTCGGCCATTCCGAGGAGAGAGAGCTGGGATCATACAGCAGACCGTATACTGCATACTCATACGGGGGTGGAGCAACAATGAGCGGTGGCCAAACGCTACAACCCAATGGTCTCAAAGACCAAAAATCCCCCCCCCCCCTGTTGGACTATCACATGGGTAAGTGGTGGTGGGGAGCAGCAAAACCTGGGCGCTCTGTATTTATTTGAGAAGGACGACTGCCCAAGTCCGTGGGCCAATAGTCAGTAGCGTCTAGGCGTAGGAAAAAGGCGTTGGAGACTCTTGAATCATAGCAGCAATAAGGAGGATGGAAGTATTATTGATCTGTTTAATAAATAATGGGGGTAAACTATCTTAAAACTCTGTGCAACCACAATGCCGGAGTGCCCAAAGCTCTTTGATGGGAGCTCAATGGAGCTTGGGCCTTGAAACAAAGAAGCCAGTGGAGAGGAGTGGATCCCATTGTTAAGCTGTTCATCCTGGTTGGGAGGGAGAAATAGCATTCAATAATGATACAAGGTGCAGTTTGCATCAAGCCAATGCCTTAACCAGGTGTTTGTACCAAGAAAACAAACTTGGCGTAAGACTGGCCTCAAAAATGGATGTTGGGATGTGCACGGACATTAGTGCGAGAAAATCTCCTAAAAACGGAACACTTGCAGAGCAACTTCCAAGAAGTTTCTTACATCGTACGCAGTATATGCCATGTGGGTACACGTTACTCTGCAGGATCTAAATATAAAACTGTCGCGAAGTCCTTGTTGGGTCATCCCAACCTCCACATTATTGAAAATTGTACGGAGTATGAAAGGACCGTAACGTAACGTAATTCCAACGGCCTCCGATCTTTCCGTAGAATTGGTCAATGGAGATCTCAACAACGCCTTGACGTTGTTTTTAAATTTTGTTGAACATTAAAATTATATATAGAAGACAGCATATAATAAATGTTTAAAATTAACTAACCCAAGAGGGATTGCTTGGCTTAATAAGCTGCCCAGAATATGAAAATCGTGTTTTCGGAGCAGGTTGAAATAGATCCAGGTGTAGAAGAACTCTGAGAAAAGATATCATCTAGTTCCACTGGTGGCAGCTGTGTGGAAGGTCTGATTGCTACTTCGGGCAGGTTGTATTTAGAGCTTTTGAGTGGTTTTGGATCTCATCGTTATCTTCTTTGTAGGCCTCTTTGGCACCTGCACCTGCGCCTGCTCAGCTATTCTCACCTCAAGGTTGTGCAGCCGTACATTGTTCCCTCTCGTTTTGCTGTTGACTTGTTGAATCCTCTATTCCTTCTCTAAAATAATATAAAATTCTGAAATACGATCTCATATTGATAGAAGTTAACTTTAATTTCTTTAGAATCATACTTTAAAAATATTTAAACTTTGCAATATCATAGCAGTAGATAAATCGAAATAAGAACTTCAATGATGAATTCAGAGATGAAGAAGTATCAGCACCTTTAGATCTGCATCATAATGAGAGCAGACACTGAGGTTGAGTTTATTATATATCACATATCACTTTTAAATATGAATTGAGATTAACTGATGGAATGAATTCTTTATTCTTTTAAGGTAAACAGGACATTAAAGTTTAAAGTTTGAAGTTCAGTTCTATTCTGAGGCTGCTAGCACTGAACTGCCATCACTAATTAGAAGTTGCTGTCAACGTGTCAATAGCAGAGTGTTGCTGGGAGTTAATCACTATCAACTCATCAATAAGTCGAGAGTAGACAGGAGTTAATCGTCGTCAACTCATCAAAAAAAGCGCCGTGCTGGGAGACAATCTTTGTTAACACCCTGATGGCTCAGCCGATTGCTACTTGTGTGATGATTGTTTTCTAGTGAGCTGACCTATTCTGCTTTAAGGCGGGCATCCTTGGATACGTCAATTCTGCTTCGTTTTGACGAGTGGGCAAGCGGAGGCATTGTGTGTGTGATGAATCGTATGAAGCCCATTTCAAAGACTTTCACAGCAATAAAGGGACATCCAAGGCATTTAACAAGGTTGGAGAGATGCGGAAAAGGCAGCCATAGGCCAAATTCTTCGAAAGTTAAACGATCTGATAAGTTGAGTATAACTGAAACTACGTAAGGAGGCAACCACAAAAGGTTTGATCCAGCAAACGTCTCGGAAGATATGATATTCCGTGAAGAACTTTGACCTTCAGCCTCAACGTCGCGACTTCTAGGTCTTGGCGTGATTCTGCCATTTTGGACGCGTCCAAATGGGCCAAAGCGACGACGTTCGAACCACGACCGCCGACAACGGTCTTGACTCTCGACGGAGTCGAATTGCACTTTGGTTTTTGTTATCCCAATGGACGACGTCTTCTGATTTACTTTTCCCTTCTTTATTTTCCCCCTTTTTGTTCTTGGGTTGGTGGTTGGTTAGTTGCCGGTTTACGATAATACCTCTTGTTCTCCTGCCTCCATGAGACTGGACGCCCTCCACCATATCTCCGTATCTCCAAATATGGTTGAAGTCCTGAGCTTCAGTGCTCTTCCTACCCGTCCGCCCACTCCTCCCCGATCATCCTCCTTCAATTTGGCAGCGCCAAAGTCCGACATCCAGCAGCTACCCGGCAACCAAGCTCCCCTTTCGACTCCAGTCGACCGTTCCTCGCCATTGGATCTACCACCCCATCCTCAGTCCAGCTCTCAGTCAAAAAGGGTCAATTTCTCTCCTTTGACCAGCTATATCAAACCTCCGTCCTTCACAAATTCGAATAATCCTAAGACGAGAACGCCCCTTAGAGCCCTGCTACCCTCGAATCAATATAAACCATCCAAATCGATCCTCAAAACTTCCTGCTCCTCCCCAGCCTCCTCCCCGCCTGATGAGCAGCTCACCAATCCATCCGAGAATCTACCTGCCATGCTAGAATCAATCACCAACCAGCTCGCAGGCGAGTCTCATGCATCAAGAGCTGATGCATACCAACATCTCCTGGGCGCCCTGACCACTTATGAAAACATTCCAGATGAAGATGCATTGGCAGAGAAGGTTGAGTTCTTTTCACAGTGTATTCGGAGGGATATTTGTGAAGTATCGGGGACCTACCAACCCCTCGATGTCAAACTCGTACGCCAGGCTTTGAACTTGTTTGCCATGTTCATATATAAACCAAGGCTTTCGTCGCGAGTTTCCGAAGATCTAAAAGTTACCATCATTGATCATATCATTTCCTCTCTCCAGAATCCGAATGTACCAAAGGTTGTTGTCATCGAGTATATGCGTGTTCTATCCATACAAAGCTTTTCGCCAAAAGTTATGACGGCAAACCGAGTGACGCTCTTATTGACTGTGCTCAGAGATATTACAGACCGTGTGGAAGGCAAAGCGGTGGTTGCCCAGCGCCTGGCTATTTACGAAAGGCTCTTGTTCTTACCGCAGTCAGCAATGGCAGCCCATGCCGAGCTGTGGATCGATCAACTGGTGACGGCCCTTCTTCATAATTTCAAGGAAGTACGAACAAGAGCAATCAGGTTTGGCAAGCTAGCTGCGGTAGTTTTGGGACCAAATTTTACTGTTTCGATTGTGTTAAAAGACGTCCTCGACTATACTCTATCAGACTCCACTCATTTGATTACAGAGGTCTGCGGTCGGCTGACGGAGATGATCTCAGACCCCGAGGCTGGTCCGCACGTTCCGCAAATATGGAGTGTTATTATCCTCTTGCTGCGAAGCAGGCGATGGTCGATAGGCAGCTGGTCTCAGTTAAAGGAGTGGTTGCTAGTGATACAGAAATGTTTCAACTACAGTGATCCAGCCACGAAATCACAAGCCCTGATGGCATGGGATTTGTTTGTTTACGCTTTACCACCTAGCGAGACGACAGGTAAAGATATCACTAAAATATTATTTCGACCAATCCTCTCTCAACTTGAGCGAAAGAAGACCGATAAACAGGGGATTCTACTCAACCAAGCGTTTGCCAGTTACCATAAACTCCTTTATTATGCCTTTCGACCTTCGGCGTCTCATAGCCGCCTGGACTTACTCTGGACCACATATATCAAAACCCCATTTTCGGGACATCTGAATTCGGAGCCAACAAATAACAAGCGACTATGTCAGATATTGTCTTCACTACTCTGGAATCAACAGCCAAAAATTTGGGAGGAAGATAAAGTTAAGATTAACAAAGCGACAACTCTTAAACCCGAAGATCTACCAAGACTGGACTGTAAATGGGTTCGATCCCGGCTTTCAATAGTTCTCCCTGTTTTCGAATCGCTTTTCAAGTCGTCAGTTTGGAATGACAATGAGCTACAGGAGTCAGGCATTGGACTAGCTTGGATAAATCTTTCAAAGGCTCTGGCCGACGCTTCCAATAAGGAGATTACACCCTCTCCGGAATCTATGCAAGCACTTGCTAGTATCCTGGGCACATTGCAACGGATCTGGAAAGCGGCGCCGTCGTCATTAAATGCAGACGGGATCGAGCAAAACGATACTTTTTACAGTCGATTTCACTTTCTTGTGAAAACAATTATCTCATTTGTTGGACCAAATCCATTTACAGATAAGTTGCTTTTGAAAACGTCTCAAGAGACTTTTCAAACTGCTAACACACCTACGCACCATCGACGGAAGTTGAATACTAATGTCAGATCTCCCATGCTTCACTTGCTTCACATGATTACGACTTCACCACCACCATTACCGACCACTGGCCAGACATATTTCCAACTAATTCACAGTGTAATTGCAATGAGTGTACAAGGACGAACATCAAGGAATGCTAAACTAAAAATATTCCGCCAATTCGCAGATCTATGTTTAGAACCGTGGGGGAATGCTTCGGATACAGATAAACAAACCCTGCCAACCCGCCAATACCTATGGCAAAGTGTAGCGAAACTGGCGAAGGAATGTCTAACTGCTTTCCCAATTGAAACGGAGCTGAAGAATCGTGATGATTCGGCGCCGAACGATTATGAAAAAGTGATTGCTATCCTCACCGCAGGATCTGGCTTCGATCTGGCTTCTTTGGAATGGTTTCAACTGCTTGATTCATTTAGTTCTGTCGTTCAGGCTGAAAGGGGTGAAAATGCCCTTCCTTCCATTCTTGAAACCCTTTCAGGGGCAATTCGTTCCCAGCCGTTACCCTCTGCTACGAGCTGTTGTTCAGCTCTCCTCGATCTTGCCAAATTCTCTTCAAACCAAGAGCAATCCCCGTCTCCGCTTCATCCTCCAATTGCAAAATCGACGACGTTTCAATACCGCCACCCTCAATTTCATTCATGGAACAATTTAATAGACGCGGCTGGTAGGCTGCTAAAGGAACTTTATCAACACCTAACGGAGATCGACTCTGGGCACGTAGTAAGATTCTTGGACTCTATGACCCAGTTTCTTGGCCGATGCCCATCGTCATTTGGTCCAATTTTGCTGAGCAAGACTCAGGATTCTTTGGTCTTATGGATTACTGACCGCGATGGTCTGCTCATTACTAGACCGGATGTGGATGACGTAGTAATTGCTTCAGTAAGTTGAATATATTTTTTCCCCCCTTACGGTAAATCAGTATTGATGGTAATAGGCTCGATCATTGATACGTTCGATTACCGCGCTTCTCCAAAAATCTGCTGATTCCGACGATAAACTATTACAAACCCTAGCGACTCTTATTTCGTCTGGCTTGGAATCGAGGCATAAATCTACAGTTAACAGTTTCATAAAGCTGTGGAATGACTCGTTTGGCTCGAAAGAAAAGTTGGAATATCCCGAAAATGTGGAAACGGTCCTGAGGAGATTGAAGCCATTTGTGCAACTTCTGTTACCAAACTTTCCGCCAGTGGTCGGCCACACGGTATGTATAATGCTCATGTTGATATAAATTGTTCTAACATTGGTTTAGGTTGATCCTCTGTCTCCCGAATTTTTAAGTTCCCGGGAAGAGGTGACAAGATCTGAGACCCCAATTAAACTCCTTGAGCGGCCCAATAAGTTTTTCAAAGTTTTGTCTGTTTCTCCTGCACCAACCGCCACGCCGGCAGGCGTAAACAGAGCCCGTCGAAGAAAACGAAGTTCTTCCAAAATTACAACACCTAAACCTCGACTTCGTCACGATGACTCTCAGATTCAATTTGTCCCTGTCGAGTCCTCACCTGCAAATGACGTCGCTGGGGAGTCACAAGTGCTGACAGAACATCAGCAAGAGGTCAGAGACAGGCAAAGAGGAGAAGCTGCAAAGTTATATCCAGTTTTCCGTTCACCTGCCTCCCAGCCTGGGCAAGTTGCAGCTCTGGCAAAGTTGGGAGATTTGGAGACCGCAGAGAATAGCCCGCCAACCCCTATGCTTGATATTGCAATGACTGCTAATGATGAGGAATTCCTGGGTTCTTCACCAACTCCAACTTCCAAAAACTCAGTCGCTCAACCTGATCAAATGATTGGATCATCTCTAGCATATTCTTTCGACACAACCGATCTTCATTCTGAGGGTCCTCCCTCATCCCCCCCTCAAATCCAGTCTGAAGATAACCTGCCCGTTGAAGCGTCTGAGGTTAAAAGAATTTCCGAGCTTAAAGACGAGGATATCACATTGAATGGAGACGTGTCTTCACCACCAGGGAGTTCACCAACACCAACCAGTGGTGGTACTGGCTGTCGCAGAGGTGTTCTTGGCTCAAGGAAAAAGTCAGAACAGAAGACTATAGAATCCATCAGCACCACAAGTTCGGAAACTCTTGAAGAGACCCCAAAATCAGAATATCTTACGAATGTACAGTCAGATATGCTGGGCATAGCACCTCCTGAACGCAGCAGTGGCCTTGAGAAGCGGCCCGTCCACACGAGACGAAGCTCCCGCATTCCAAATGTTGAGTGCGATAGGATTGACATTATTCCAGACTCGTTCAGTGATGATCTTGAGAGGCAAATAGCGTCCCAACTCGAACAGGACCTAGAGTTGACGATGGATATGGAAGTGGGGGGGAGTCAAGGAATACAGGGACCTGATGCTTCAATCGTGACGAGGTCGATGAAACGAAAACGGGGCAACGAAGTATCATCCCAACGCGATCGCGCTAAACGAGTTTCTCCAAGTAATAGAAGCCTCTCTGCGGCTGACGATATAATCCCTTCAAAAAGTATCAACACTCATCTGGAAAATACTCCTGTTGAACATCGTGCTTCGCAATCGGATCGGCCAAACCGATCACGACGAAAGATGACTTCAATGCTAGCTTCTACAGAAGCTATCCACCCGCCACCAGACACCGGGAGAACCTCTATTTCTTCCAGTCAGCGCAAAACCAAGAAACGAAGATCCTTGCGCCTCAGCTGTCGGTCATCACTACCTGAACTTTCGATGGAGCAAACCAACCAGCAAACGACTCCCCAATTATCACCCGATCTCGAAATGGAACAAAGCCCCACAGCAGCTGTGAAAATGGATGATCAGCCCGAGCGTCCGGTTGCAGCAGAAGCATCTTCTGGCTCCACTGAACAGCAAGATCAACCTAGCAAACTGGGAAGTCCGGGCGCAAGTATTCTTGCTTCTCTACGGTCAGTGTTGGGGTCAATCAGGACAGCCACATTCGGGAGATCAGTGCTCCGTGAGATTGATGATGTGATGTTTGACATTAAAGCAGAAGCCCATGACGCAGCAAGGAGGCATGAGAGAAACCTATAAGAGCACTGCGCTCTGTTTAGTCGCACTCCTTATGCTCCTCCAGCTTTTGTTTTCTTTTGTATTCTATAATTCCTTCCCCCCCCCCCCCCCCCCCGAATTATTTCACCTTATGGTGTGACATTGAGAGGTTTTTATGTTATCTGATTGTGCATGGTGTGTATGGGTCTGCTGTAGTAACATTCATGAAATCGCCAGGCTGAGGGCGGATCAATGAATATTCAGTCTTTCTCTGGTTGTCAGCATTTGGTTCATGCCAGATGTAACAATGATTGATCTCTTTACCCTAGCTGTTACTTCTTAGTAATGATAAATGCAACACATAACTGGTGATTTGCTCTCAGGATGCTTGAGATGGGAAATTTTTCTTAATACACAAGTAGTTATAGATCACCTGTCATCATGCTCACACGCTCACCTGTAGAGACATGCAGATAAGGAGAAATCAATTTGTTTGGCAGATTAGTTAGTTACCATGAGCTAAATTTGTGTGTATCAGGGGATGCTCGTGGTTCCTAAGGCTACCCATAGGCTTCCCTCTCCTGGACACCATGCATTGTCGTCTTTATTGGCATAGTCTCCTTCGTTAAGTGTAAGGAGGATTGTTTCATGTCTGCGGCCGCTACCCATGGTCTAGAATAATTCGCTGCAGTCTTGTCCCTCCTAGTTCTATATCTGCTTTGCCTTACGCTGAAACCTAATACTCCAATGCCCCACTACCTACACTCCAATTTCCATCTACATGTCTCTCTCCGTACCTAATCTATCTTCTTCCGTCTTGTGTGTCGTTTTCTTTTTCTCACACCGTCCTAGTTATTTAGCAGCCACCACCATTCAGTTTTTTGGTCACACACACACACACACACACACACACACACACACACACACACACACACATACACACACACACACACACACCTCCTGCTCATACATAACTAGTTGTACATCGCCTGCCCCATCTAGTTGATAATGGAGCGCGCAAATAAACCTACAGCAATTCCAGTGCACTCTCCGCTCCCGCAGCCCACTATCTCCGTGCAAGAAGATCAAGTCCAGGCTTCACTGGCCTCCGGCGAATCCGTCACTGTCAATCTGTTTGGCGCGACTGTCGTGTCCTGGAAGCTTGCCAATGGCGAGGAACAGCTTTTTTTGAGCGAGAAAGCTGCGCTGGATGGGTCGAAGCCAATACGCGGCGGGATTCCATTGGTTTTCCCGGTTAGTAAAACACAAATTACCCGCGCTCCCTCATTGTTTTTCACCAAACTAGATTTTAATAACTTCATCATCTGTCTATCCGTTAAGATTATCCAATTGTCGAGAAAGGTAAATTGCTGACTTGGGTATGCTGGCTTCTTTTCGGTACCAAAATCTATAGGTTTTCGGCCCTCCTCCCAAAGGCCACGCCACTTCCGCACTCCCCCAGCACGGGTTCGCCCGCAATGTACATTGGGAATTTCTTGGGAAATCGACTTCCGAATCAGAGGGACAGAATGGCGATAGCAGCGTTAAGCTTGATTTCGGCCTGTCGATGAGCATGTTGGGTGACAAGTTCAAGAAGGATTGGCCGTATAATTTCGGTCTTCTGTACAGTGTTACACTGAGCAAGGGCAGCCTCATCACGTCGCTGCAGGTCCAGAATAAAGGTGCACAGCCGTTTGATTTCCAGGCTTTGCTACATTCGTACTTCAAGGTCAAGGTATTTATGTTTTCATTTATCCACCCAGTTCTACAATAATATATTGCTCTCTGTTTCCGGACGTATCCTCTTATTGCCACTTAAGCCTGTCCTTCCAATGCAGTTGCAGCGCAAGAGGGCAACAACCTGTTCAATTAAATTAAATATGTGTTCTAACAAAACCACACAGGATATTACCAGAGTCCGCCTTCTAAACCTGCAGTCAACAACATACGTTGACAAACTGCTCAACGCATCGGTTCATGTCGAATCCTCCCCGGCCCTCTCATTCACCCAAGAAACGGATCGCATCTATCAATCTCTTGATCCAACCGTACCCATCATCGTTGCCGACGCAGACAACAACAACAGCCCCATCTTCTCAATTACCCGCGAATCTCTCAATGATGTCGTGGTGTGGAACCCTTGGATCGAGAAGGCGAAGGGAATGGCCGATTTCGCACCTGATGATGGTTATAAAAACATGATTTGCGTTGAGGCCGGATCAGTTGCGGGATGGCAGACGTTGGAAGCAGGTGAGTCGTGGGAGGGTGGCCAGACAGTGAGGAGTAAACTCTGAAAGCCGTTGGCAAATCTCCCACTGGAGTAACACGGAAATGGATTGGAAGGCTTTACTGCAGGATAATGGATAAAAAGCGTGATTCTGGTGAGTTTGAGTGTTCACATTGTGTTTTGTTTGGAGAGCATAATACCGCCTTGGAGGCCTTTGTAGTGTATTGTCCATTCATATATATGCATACCCGCTCTGCTCTTTGTCTTCTGTCTCTTTCCCCTCCGGGCTACGGGATTGTTTATGAATGACGAATATGACTGATGAAATGTGAATTGCAAGAGATTACAACTGCCTAAAATTGCTCAGCCAAGATATCCACTTTAGATTGCTTTTTATGTTCCGCTCATAACATTGTGTGACAAATTTGGAGTTTTTAACGGCTCTAGGAAATTATTACGGCTAAGCTTAAGGGATCTTCTTCAGATCCTGTTATAAATATTCAACATACATGGCAGTAATTAACCTCCCAGGGCTAGTAAGGAATTGATCCGAATATTTGTCAAGATTCTTCTTATTCTAACATTAAACCAGGCGAATATTGCAGTATCACATGATAGCTTAACTTTCAAAAAAGATATGACATAATTATGACATAACTAATGTAGTTAATTGATAAATATAAACCAGCTACAACAACTACAAAGTCTCGAACAATATTAACAGTAATTGAAAGATGTGGAAACTGTCATGAGGAAGTTTCATCAACTAAATGAAATCCTGATCCTGGAGAACTAGTGTTTGACTTATGAACACAACAGTTCCTGAAAATTCCCTCTCCCATACAGTTCACACCATCTCTTTTAATCAACATGTCTGCCAACAAGAAGATCACCGCCTCCGACCTCGGCCTTCATCTCACCCTCGCCCAGCCCAGTGAAGCCAGCAGTGAGTATTTCAAATGGTTTCTCGCCTGCCTCCTCTTCGGCAAACCTGTACAACAAGAAGTGGCCAAACGCGCCTACTTCGAACTAATCCACGACAATATCACCTCTCCCGAAGCAGTTCTCGATGCCGGCTGGGACAAGCTCGTTGAGATGTTGGATAGGGGCCACTATGTCCGCCATGACTTCTCTACGGCGACGAAGTTGCTAGATGTCTCTACTGGAATTAAGGAAGAGTATGGGTCCTTTGGACAGTTGGTTGAAGGTGCAGGGTCTAGAGAGGAGTTGGAGAAGCGGCTGCAGTCTTTTAGGGGGGTAGGGCCAAAGACAGTGGAGATATTTTTGAGGGATATGGAGCCTGTTTTGGGTATTTAGAGGAGGCATTTAATGGGGTTTACGATGTGATGCAATTAGAAATTGTAAGCCTCATCCATCTCTTTGCCACTCTGAACCTGCGCATGCATCCACTTCTTGCAGACGGGCTCTGCTGTGGAAATATGGCTCAAAGCCTTGAGGGCCAACTTCGAATGTGGAAGTTATGAACTTCCACGCTAGGAGATACACAAATGTGAGTGGTGTAGATGGATGAGTCAACAAACCGTAACATTTGAAAGAATGCCTATTTTCGACATTAATAATAGCCTCCTCACCTTCAAGAGTTTGGTTTTTTTGGTGACCGTCGTAGATGAAGTACCTGGAAGTACCGGAAACCAAAGCACCCCCTGATCCATCATGAGGAGGCATAGAGGCCACCCTGCCTTGGGACATGTTACCCTATTGCCAAGTGTGAAGCTGGATTAGAGGCCTCTGGCCAACGTATGGGAAGCCTGAGGCATGAGCATATATCATTCCGTGATCTTGCTGGTAGAGAAGCAGAGCTCCGGATGTATCCCCTGGTTAGCTTATCCGAGTCATCTCAAGGTATATATATATATATATAAAGAATTCCATAATCCATCCGAGGAGCGACGACTGAGCCGGAAAGCTCTTGTATCAGAGATATATGCACATGGCTCGATATCCCGTAATATGGGTGGAGATACATTGTTGTTGTGCTTCAATGTTTTATTCAGAAATGCAAGAGGAGATCAACATTTTTAGTTAGTTACAAGGTTGCACCACAACGACCTTGCTGAGTCATTCGGCTTCTCGGTCTGATGCCGCACACCTCGGTGTCGTCATTATATCTCCGCATTTTCGGGGAGATTGTTCTCCTTTTGACTGCCATGAAATCAAAATAATGGACTGATCGTGATCAAGATAATCATGGGCAACGGTGGCAATTTTCCATCTGCATACCAGAACTGCGATGTAGAACTTCATGTCCAGGGTAATGTCTGTGATAGATGCTGCGGTAACAGCTGTGGGGGACGGCTCCGGAAGTTACTCCAATGAAACCAGCGAAGTCGGTTCATTGTCCCATTCAGAAGCGTCGAGCGGAACCAGACACGGCGCTCACGAGCATTCTTTCGGACAGGATATCAATGATGGACGGATAGTAGGGGAACGTGCGTCGAATGAATTGCACCCGCCAGCCCCTCCCCGTCGACGACTCTCATTTGTTGAAGATAGTGAGTCCAGCGCGGCGGGTGATGCGGACTCATATAAGGATACACCAGACAACCAAAAGCCAGTATCATGGTTATCTCTACCGAAGAAATCACAACTTGCTATCCTGACCATCGCTCGGTTGTCTGAGCCGTTAACCCAAACATCCCTACAGGCGTATATATTTTACCAACTTAAGTTTTTTGACCCATCTTTGCCTGACTCTTCTATATCTTCCCGGGCGGGTCTTTTGCAGGGCTGCTTCACTACTGCAGAATTTGCCACTGCGATGATATGGGGCCGAATTGCAGATTCTCACTTCATGGGCAGGAAACGAGTGCTCTTGATAGGGCTTTTTGGAACATCCCTGACTTGCGTGGGGTTTGGATTTTCAAAGTCGTTCGTTGTGGCTGCTATTTTTCGCACCATGGGGGGCGCGTTGAATAGCAATGTAGGTGTTATGCGAACTATGATTGCAGAACTTATTGAGGAGAAAAAGTATGTTTTCCTCTTCCTTCAATGAGATCCAGCCTTGTGCCCTATAACTATATCAATGGCACTGAAATTTGTCCGAATGTTTAATGATATTGCCATTTGGCCGGCCCAAATATACCTAAATATTGGCTAACAGGACCACAGATATCAGTCTCAAGCCTTCTTGCTCCAGCCAATGTGCTTCAATATTGGAGTTATACTGGGACCTATATTGGGCGGTATTCTAGCTGACCCCGTGCGAAACTATCCTGGTGTATTTGGCCCAGGTTCACTGTTGGGAGGCGAAGACGGTGTCTGGTGGATGAAAGAATGGCCGTACGCGTTGCCAAATCTTGTAAGCGCAATGATTATCCTCGCTTCTACCGTAGCAGTTTTCTTTGGGTTAGACGAGGTAAGCTTCATATGAATACTACCTATTACCATTACCATTTTGTGCCTCCGCTGTTGACTCCCCTCCCTTACAGACCCATGAAACAGCAAAGTATCGCAGCAACTGGGGACGAGAAGCAGGTAAAGCAATTTGGCGGTTCTTCAAATGTGGCCGTTCCCAACACAGCTATCAACCACTCAACGGAATCTATGATGGCCAGACCGCAGCAGACTCCATCGACATGGAGTGTGGCGTTCGAAGATCTATCCCGACCACACCCAATACAATTCGAATTCCACGGAGAAAACGCATGCCCTTTCGCCAAATATGGACAAAAAATGTCGTCTTAACCATCTTAACTCATTTTGCCCTGTCCCTGCACCTCAGCGTCTTTAACGCCCTGTTATTTGTCTTTTTGCCTACCCCACGTGCACCTGAAGGAAGTCGTCGCGGATTTTTCCATTTTGGAGGGGGTCTCGGCATGCCCAGCTCCAAAGTCGGCTTTGCGACAGCCACCATAGGTATCGTCGGTCTACCGCTACAAATCTTCGTCTACCCGCGCGTCCACTTTCGTTTGGAGACTCTGAACTTGCTCCGCGCATTCGTTCCGTTCTCCCCTCTGGCGTACGTCCTCGTTCCGTTCCTAACGCTCGTGCCGAATCGTGCGTACCTCGTCTGGCCCGCGTTGGTCGCGGTATTTTCTCTCCAGGTCATTTCGAGGACTTTTTCTCTCCCTGCGGCTGTTATTTTGGTTAATAATTCCATTCCGGACCCAAGCGTGTTGGGCACCGTCCACGGCGTTGCGCAGAGCGCGGTTAGCGCCGCGAGGACGTTAGGCCCAGTCATTGGTGGTTGGGGATTGGGACTGGGTTTTAAGCACAATATTGTCGGAGCGGTATGGTGGGCACTTGCAGGAGCTGCATTGTTTGGCTGGGGCCTTACATGGACCATTTTCGAGGGGAATGACTTTGTGAAAAGGGTCGATCAAAGCCATGAGAGAGCGTCTGAGGGTCAACCCAATCGTTGACGTGTGCATTTACGCTAACATATTGGATGTAATTTGGTCATTACCGTGTTCATGTACAACGGTGACGACGGCGGTGATGACGATGATATGACAATGATCATGATTGATGGGAGATGCAACTCCTTTTTGATTGGCAACTTGTCCATTCCAGCTTGGATTGACAAGTTTAGCAGAATTTGCGGATGGACTTGTCAAGAGAGGTTTTCTAACGATGTATATAGAAGCATAGAAAATTGTATCTAGAATCCATTAAAGGGGGGTGCCTATATCATGTAACAGCCCTGCTGCTCACAATAAATTCTCTCGCCCACGCCTATCAGTTCAAACCCTCAATTGCGAAACCCAAAGGCATGTGTGCATCACGAATAGCAACTAGATTTCTTGAAGCCTCTAAGATGCGGGGAAACCGTATTTCACTTGTTGTAATCGTTAACACGTATGCCACGATGAGCCAATGTATCTTGCCTTGAGTGGATGAAGGCGCCTTCCGTATCTCTTAAGGAGATAGATAAATCCAAGTCCAATTTTAGATTTATTCTCTCCGGGTATTTTTGGCATTTGAGCAAATTCCACTGGCTCTCTGCATCATTTGCGTCCATGCTTCTTCGGGCTGATCGAGCCAAGCTTCCTTTGTCCAAGCTTCATCCCTGCGCCTCGAATAACTTCCTCTTTTCTTAATCAGTGGGGTGTAGACGGCGCAATATACGCATGAATGGCTCTGATCGGATCGCCCTCATGTGACCTCAACAGCTCCGTGGCTTTTACCTTTGTCAGATCAAGCTGATCCACCTATGCCAACAAGCCCAGTTAACAACCGCGTGACGCTCCAAAAGGTAGTTTAAAAAAATAAAGGAATGTAAAATAACCGCAAAGAAAACACACTCACCAAAAGACCAACATCCTCTGCCGCAACCTTCACCACCTTCTTCACCGCCTTCTCCTTCTCCTCCGCTCGAACGTCCGTCTTGCTTTTCTTTGCCTTGTCATCTTTCTTCCCAGATCCAGCGGCCCCAGCTGCACCCGAACCTCCAGCTTTTCCTACCCCCGCAATAAGTTCCAATCTACTCATAGCCTTACCCAGCGCCTCCTGGTCAGCTGCGGAAGGGAGTACTGCACCGCTGGGTACACTCGCATCGTTTTCTGATGCGCAAGTTTTGTTGGCGGTATCAAGAGAGGAGAGGGCTGCTGCTGCGGCGCGGTCCTCAGCATTCGTGGGCAGTTCGGAGACGGATTCGCCGTTGTTATCATCGTTGTTGGTTGAGCTGGGGTCTGTATCAGCTGGTTTTCGGCGGTTAGAGGCACACATTGTTCCGATGTTGTTTCGTTCCCCCCCTTTTTTTTTTCTTTTCTTTTCTTTTCTTTTCTTTTCTTTTCTTTTCCCTTTTTTTTTTTTTAATGATTGATCTGCAGACGTCGTAGAGAGGGTAGCTGGGTATTTTAAAAAATAATTTGAACAACGGGTGGTTTTTATTTTATTTTATTATTTTATTTTTTTGGTTTACTAAAATGTACTTTCGGGGTGCATATCGTTCAAGGTTGTAAGAAGGGTGAGGATCAAGCGCCTATTAAGCGCGGGAGACAGCTTTAAAGTCAGATTAGCGCGCGGAAAGGTTGACAGAAACCTTTAAGCGGCCCATTTGTTGTTGGGCAATTTTTCGATGCACAATTCTTCAACTCCCGCTTTTGATAATCTCAGTCTTCTATTGATAGTATAATATCAATTATCAATTATTCCCCCCTCTTGGTACAACCGGAGAGCCAGCCGATCATTCTCATACTGGCTCCTTTCAAGATCTTTCAACAGGTCGGAGGAGCCTTTGGTACATACTTGAAACTGTTAGGGCTTAGACGAACGCATAGGCCTGCACGTGATCCGCGTACCGTGCGTATTTGTATCTTTCCGGGCGGTTGGGATTATGTGCAGACCGCTCCAATAACTACAACATCACTTCAAAGCAGACGAAACGGTCGCGGCCAGTCCCTGCAGCATTAGTAAGAGTAGGTGTAATACTGAACACATCGTCCAAACCAGGTAAAAGACACTGTATAGCTTGCTCACAACATCGGCAATGAGTTTTTGGTAGAAGCAGGAAGAATTGATTACTTTCAGGCGCAAGCCACAGTTAGTTAACTAAGCCAAACAGCCTGGAAGCTGTGAATTGAACAAGTACCAGACAAATACGTCAAGTTACCGCAAAAAGGAACACGGGTCTGTTCAAAGACTGTTCTAACTAGTGATTACTTGACAAAAAAAAAAAAAGAAAAAAGAAAAACCCAACGAGAGGTAGTGAACTTAACTATGGCTCTACGAGTCTGAAGAAGTCGAGTAAATGGGATTTCCTCGTCTTGGCTTGGGTTTGTGAAAAAACGTAACTTAGTTATACTATTACTATTAACATTATTATTGGCCATAAGCTGCCAGAGACTATGATAGCCCTACATACTCCTTGACTTCTATTTTCCTCCCGTGATAAAATACTCTTTGGTGGGATTCGAACCTACGACCGTGTGTGTGTGTGTGTGTGTGTGTGTGTGTGTCTCGCTGCTTGCCAGGCCAATCCGTAGTTGACGCTTAACACAACCACCACAAAACAACGAACGTCATCCACCCCAACCTCTCATAATACAACAGATCTCTCGAACCGTAAATCTGGTTGATTTTATTTTATTTGATTTGATTTTTTTTTTGTTTGTGAATATATATGTCCCAGGGTTCAAGAGGATCCTATCGAGATCTTCAACTCGCTGCAGTGGCTGCTTCCCGGTCCGGGCTGTTCAAATCAACCGTAGACTACAGTTGCCATCCCGCGTACGTGAAAGAGTTTGTGTCGAGATGTCGTGTTCTGGCCCAGAACAGCAGTCAAGTAATGATTGGACTCCGTTGTGTAGGTGTCCCTTCTAGCGACCCCAATGGCTGATCAACCTGTGGCTGATATGTTGATCTAGCTTGGACCACAAAGCCCATCAAACAAGAAGTGGTGTATGATGATAAGGAAGGTTTAAAAAATGCCTTGGTCAAACTTCAACGATTACCTTCGTTGGTGACCCCTCAGGAGGTATGGATCGAAGACAAGGGAAAAATTGAGAAAGAAAAGAAAAAAAAAAAATTTTGAAAACGCCCCAGTGAAGGAGAGTGATTCTATTCTGAGACATATATACTAACGTAGGAGGATCAGATTGTTAACTTGAAAAATTGTTTGAGAAATGTTGCCCTTGGTAAAGCCTTTGTTCTTCAGGGGGGTAAGTAGTCCGCTTTTCTAGATGTGCATTTCTGCAGTGCAAATGAGATAGATGTTGGGTAAAATGCGCAACCACTGACCTTGAATCTTAAAAGGCGACTGTGCTGAGCTGTTCGATTACTGCAATCAAGAGATGATCGAGGCAAAGATCAAATTGATTCTTCAAATGAGCTTAGTCTTAATCTGGGGTATAATATTCGTCATCACTGCAACATCAACTTTTAGAGTCTGGCTAACATGTCCAATAGGAGCCAATAAGCCAGTAGTGAGAATCGCTCGTATCGCGGGCCAGTTTGCCAAGTGAGTCCCCATTGCCAGAGAGAGTTCATTCTGTTCACCTGGTTCTAAACGTCTGAAAAGACCTCGTTCAAGCACCACTGAAACCATCGATGGCGTGACGATGCCATCCTTCCGTGGCGATAACATCAATGGCTTTGAGGCAGACCCCGTGTCCAGAACTCCGGATCCCTCCCGCCTAGTATCTGCATACTTTCATTCTGCTGCAACTTTGAATTATATCAGAGCAGCGCTTTCATCCGGTTTGGCTGACCTCCACTCCCCGTTGGACTGGGGACTTGGCCACGTCATCACCCCGTCAATAAAAGAACAGTACGAACGTATCGTTTCCAGAGTGACCGACTCACTGCGCTTCATGAAAACTGTGGGTCTCGACACAGCCCGGGGAATCGAAACCGTGGACATTTATACCAGCCACGAAGGCCTGATGCTAGAATACGAACAGAGCCTCACCAGATACTACCGCGCACCCCAGGATTCAGTACCTAAATCATACCATGCAACAGCAGGAAATGCTTCCTCCACCACCCAGCCATCAAGCGGCCACTACGCCACCTCTGCTCACTTCCTCTGGATAGGCGACCGCACCCGCCAACTCACTGGTGCCCACGTGGAATTCTTCCGTGGCCTTTCCAACCCCATCGGCATTAAAATCAGCCCAACGATGGAGCCGGATGAACTCGTCGAACTGCTTAACATAGTAAACCCAAGCAAAGAAATCGGCAAAGTCACCTTGATATCACGCTACGGCGCTTCGAAGATCGCCTCTTATTTGCCCGCCCATATTAAAGCGGTGCAATCCTCTGGCCATCTACCGGTCTGGCAATGCGATCCTATGCACGGCAACACACTCACCACACCCTCAGGTCTCAAAACTCGGCATTTTAAAGATATATTGTCTGAGCTGCGGCAGGCGTTGGAGATTCATCGCGCGCAAGGCTCATTTTTGGGCGGTATGCATTTGGAATTGACCGGTGAGCCGGTAACGGAGTGCGTTGGCGGCGGGGCGGGGTTGACGGAAGATGGTTTGGGCGAACGGTATACTACCTTCTGTGACCCGAGACTGAACGAGAAGCAATCGCTGGAGTTAGCGTTCTTGGTTGCGGGGTTTTACCGGGACCGGATGGCGGAGGAGGGCGACTTGAACCCGATGTGAGGCTGCTGTTGCAATTGGGTTAGACTGAGCGCGCAGCATAGAAGGAATAGGAGAAAAGGTTTTGTACCTTTTATCATAGAGATGGAAAAAGTTCACATGATTTTTTTTTGGACAATACGGTCATTTTAAATTGTGTATCACATGCATCCATTCTTCAAGCCAACTAACTACCTACAATTTAGACAGTGAGTCTGAAAATTTAAAGCCTAAGAATCACATACCATTTACCGAATATTACATGCTACCAAAGCAGCTCAAATCCATCTCCCAAAGAATAGGATGCAAAGAATGCACCGCAGATTAAAACCAAAGAACATGCGATGATACAGAAGACCAAAAACAGAATCCAATAATCCTCCCAACAATCAACCCAACATCCGTGACCAGATTCCACCCTGCTTGGGAAATAAGAAGTTATGTTTGCCAAAATCAAACCGCCCACCCAGAAAAAAAAGGAATGGTCGAAAAGAACCTAGAAATTCACCCCTGCACGTCCAAGTGGACTGCCAACCTTTGGCTTCCATACCAAGCTCTTCCTCCTGGCCGCCTCCAATCTGAGCTTCAACCCTTCACTCATCTGATCATCGTCGCGACCCTTGTCATCAAAGAGGCCCTGTCTCAATTGCTTCGGCGGGCATGTCTGCTGGGTTAACTTGGTTCCCTGCGATGGATGGAACGGGGTTATAGGGGAAAGAGCGGAAGCGCCATCAAAGTCAAAAGCATAGTTGAATTCAGGAGTAGTGGGTGACTCGGCCATTGGATTTGGTGGAAGGTTTGTAGGTTTTGGCTGGATAGCGAAGTGGTTCCGTTTTTCCGGCTGTGGGGTGGATGGTACCCTGCGCCACTCCATTGAGTCGCGCCTAGATGACTCTGCTGTGGGAGAGAAGCCCATCAATTCCTGGAATGTTTCGCGATCGGTGACACTGCATCTTCCACTGTTGGAGGATGTGGATGAATCAAGTTTGATGATGCTCCCATTCATGTTGCTTAGGACTCTGGGCTCCATGCTTTTTCTGCGCTTTTGGCCGCCTCGAGGAACTAGACTGACATCCACACCGTAGTTGGATTCGTCGAGCCATTTACTTTTACGTTCACAGCTTTTGGAAATCGTTGTCAGTCTTGACCACTTTTAATAAAGAGGGATAGAAGGGAGAAGTCGACATACTCAAGAACCCAGCTGACGCCGACACATTTTACGAGGCCATTGGCTTCTCTAACCTTTTCCAATGTTCTCACTCCGCCGTCTTTGAAAACTACATGTGTAATACCAACCTTTCCCTCTTTTGGATCGACACCCTCCACAGGAGAGAGGCTCGCTCGGGGATTCCATGACCATGACTTCACACATCTGGCCCCCATTTGTGTTAGAAGTTCCACGAAAATACCGCTGGCATCAGCGCCTTCAGCAGTGTGAACGTCCGCAAACACCACGGCTCCTCGCAAAACTCGCTCCTTTTTAGACTTGGGATTGCTAGGAGACTTCTTTGGGTGATTCACAGCGGCTTGAGGCCATGTCGTTGTGCTGTACTTGGTTGGTGTTTCGTCCGGGAGCTCAGGCTCGGGTTCACATTCAACAATGTCATCAGAGAAAGGCTTCAGAGCTGCCTGCCTTTTCCGTGGGGAAATCGTGGGCAGGCTTTTGCCCGTGCCCAGGTGCGCGTTAGAAGTCTTTCTAGGCGAAGAAAGGGACCGACTCCTTTTGCGAGGGACCTTTAGCACAGACCCATCGCCATCGGGTCGAAGAGGCACCTTTGAGACTGTATGGATCGTGCGAGGATAGACGCGGGAGCGAACTGGAGTAACAGACATGGGAAGCAGAATTGAGTTTTCCTTCTCCGCTAATTCCCTCTGGCTCTCATTCTCACCAAGGTAATGGAGATCAATTGGAACTGTGGATTCCGAAGGGGCGGCATTTTCATATGTTTCACCGTCGTCCTCAATGTCTTCATCAGGTTCTGGAGTCCACTTCTCATGGATATTGAGCTCATCCATCTTGGTGTCACCGGGCTCTATAGCTGTTTCATCATCCAACCCGCTAGAAGGGATGGGAGCCTCCATGCTTTCGTGACGCTTCATGGACATCGCATCCTCGAAGAAAGAAGGAGTTGACGTGCTAGAAGTTGTTAGAAGGTGGGCCTCGTGTTTCATTGCTATGTCTGTTGCAATATCCTGTTGTCTATTTGCAATGGGTTCATTTTGCTTTAGAGGTGAAAATATACCTCTACCTTGCACTCGAGAAGAACGTCGCTTGACTGGACTGATAGAGTTCCACTGTCTTAGCTTCTCGGCTAGAGGAGTAAATCCAAGTTTTTCTTCGGGATCTTCGTCGTTGTCTGCGATTGCAGATAGGGTTGCATTACAGAAAAGAGTTCCCCGTCGCGACTGTGCAATATTAAACTTTAATGGGCTGGTATCCGTCATCAGTTCATCTTCGGACTCCTCAGCCGTGTCGTCACGATATACAAACTGAACATGGCTCTTGGCCGTAAATGCTGGCGGAGAAGGTGCAGCTGGAGGGATGCATTGGTAGCTTCTTAAGGAACTAACGCTTGCATCTGGGTTGATAATCTCGTATTTGCCTACGGGGCTAGGTGGCATGGACGTGATATCTGTAATGATAAAAGGGTCTTCCATCTCCTGCGCGGGAGGTTTCATCGTATCCTCATAGCCGGATCCCTCGTCCACTACAGGTTGACAGCTCTCCCCACCATTTTCGCCCGTTGGCAGAACGGCATCAAGAACACTCAAATCGAGATTAATGAGACCATCAATAATAATGTCATCTGACTTGGGCTCTGCTTTGACCTGCTGTTCGTTGACAGCTCCAGTGGTTGATTCCCGTTCTATCTCCGAAGATAAGGGTTGCTTGGCAGGATGTAGAAAAGCATCTTCACGTCTTAATTCAGATGCAGTTCCCGAAGCGGGGGACTCTGGTCTACCCCTAGCCACCGGTTTAATTGGCGAGGGCGGCCGTTTAGCTGAGCTTTGTAGTAAAATAGATTTGGTCCTGAATGGTGTGGTTGTGGGGTTGAAGGGTGACTGAAAAATAGAGGCGCTCAATTTTCCCTTTTTGGGCGTGGATTTCAATGGGGAATTTTCTCTTGGATCAGGTCCTTCAGGGCGAGATATTGAGGCCGTAGGTTGTGAATGGGCACGTCGCGGTGAATCCCTCATAGATTCTTTCAATGGTGAAGGAGGAAGTTTTCTTGCTGGCGATGCTAATATCATTGAAACGGAGGAAATGGCATCCGTGACGGAACGACAGAACAAAGGTTTCTCGCTCTGAGAGGCCTGAGTCAAAGAATGACCCAGCATGGATTTGTTAACAGGGGAGACAAAGTCGATCTTTTTAACTGCGGAATCGAATGGCCTGCGCGGACTCTGTTTAGTTGGAGATCCTTTGTAGCATGGTATCCGAGGTCGCGGTGAGCCAAGATTATCATCAGTGCTATCTGTTGAACTGGCGGAGGATCCGGATTTGGCAATCTGAGTTGCTTTTTTTGGTGAAAGCGGTTCGTTCTTTTTCCCATCAGTCGTTAATTTTCGTTCACCGGTGGTTGTGGCGGTTCTTCGAATGGGTTTCCCTTTGATGCCCATTTGAATTTTATGATGTAGCTCGGCGACCGTCGAGGAAGGAATTGGGTGGTTCTCTTTGTCGGATTCGGCGGCGGCCAAGTCCAAGAAACTAACTTCCTTCCTCGGGGCTGACGTTCCTCTTGTTTTCGCTTTAGCAGCGACTGAGGAAGCAGTCAGTGCAGCGGCTGAGATATATATTTTCTTGCTAGTGACTTTGCCTTTATCGTCTGCTACCACTGCAGTTGCCTTCCTCGGTCGTCTGATAGGGCCTTTTGCTGAGCTTTCAGTAACAAGTGGCCTGCAATTCTTAGATGTCGGTAGGGTTTTTGGTCTTCCTGGTCTTTGATTTGGAAGCTCTAACTGCGCCAGCTCGTCGTCATCGTCATTATCATCATCATCATCGTTTCCGACATTTTCTGACTCGTTGTTGTCCTTCCCTGCTGGAACCGTTTTTTTGGTCGTCACAACAGCAGGTCTTATGACATTTGTAGGCATATTCGAAGAAGACGGCGCTTTTGGCGCTTTAGGCCTTGCCCTTACAGTCACAATGTCCATCTCATCATCGCTGGATTCTGGAGTCTCCTCTTGTACCTTCTTTCTTCCACGTTTCGCGGGCTGCTTCTTCGGTTCGCTGGTATCTAAACTTGCCGCGACACTTCCAGTTTTACTTCTCCCCTTTTGTTTTGCAGCTGTGGGAGCGGAGACTGTCTTTGTCCTCGGCCTGCCTCTTGTTGGCACTGTTAGTTTATCGGCTGCTGTCTCTTTCGCGAGCGCCTTCGTAGGTATGTCGGAAGCTTCCGTAATTCGGGCAGCCCTCGCACGGGTCATTCGTTTCGGAGGGGTGTCTGGGGTGGCAACCGCTGCGGTTTGGGAAGTCATTATTACCGCCCTGATTATACCAATATTATATGGTGTGTTTGCAATAGATTAGTTGGATTTGACAGAGCCCTGATAGCTTTCGCATCCGATATAGTGAAGCTATTCTGCTGCGAATCCGACGACAGCAAAGCGACAGACAGGAGCCAATTGATAAAATAGAAAAAAAAAAGGGGGGTACGAAGTAAGTAAAACAATATAAGCTCTTATTGAATGCTAAGCCCGTATTAATGTCGAATGCGAGACTGGCTGGTCGAGGCTCTGTCTGGATGTCGGGGATGTCGAGATGCTGATGCTGAAACTGGATGTAGAAGAACAGACCAAGGGTCTTTTGTTTGTTGTTTGTCAGCTTCTGGTTGTCAAGGACAACCAACAGCTTACTTAAGGTTGCAGCCCGCCCCAAGAAGCGGCCAAGTCAGGGGGCTAGGGCTAATTCTAAGCACGTGATACAACTGCGTCATTCCAAGGCAGGTATGATCGGGGAACAGTTGCGAATAGTAAACTGTCTTTGGTATATAAATAATTAACATCGTCCAAGCACTGGGATGGAATGTGATGTATATGACAGAGCGAAGTCAAGACGATCAACAAAGAGAAGGTTGCAAAGAGGAAATGGGGCGACGGCATGGATTAACTATATGGACAGATGTTTTAGGGAGAAAAGAAAAAACAGATATTACAGCACTACAATATTCCACGAACGTTCCACGAGTACATTTTGGCAGCCTGACGAATACAATATATTTTATTCAAAGGGAACTTCCACGTCGGTACATGGGATATATTTAGAAAAGCAGATTGACAACAAGTTAAATATAAAAAAGTAATCAATCCAACTGTGAGGAGTGAAGGAAATGGTATGTCAACGCTATCACAAAAAGTCCTCCGCAGTATCGGATAGAAGAAAGAAAGAACAGAGATATTGTTTTTTTTACATGAAATCAATGATACCACTGCAAAAACATATAGTTCCACACACCAGCAACGACAAGGAGAGTTGGGACACTCGGGGTGATGCCAGCCGCCATACTGGCGATCTTCAACGGTTCGAGCTGAATTCCCGGGGCATAGACTAGTGGAACAGAGCTATTTGTCTTTCCATCCCAACAATACGTGTTGAAGCACTTCCGGCAGGCTTCTGGAACTTCCGTGTTGGTGCGATCAAAAGACCTGCTGAGCATGGCACAGCCAACGCAGGTGGGCCAGTTGGCGTCAACAGTACCATTTCCCATAGTGGCGACGTCGTATCCGTTCTGGATGATCGCATTCCGCTCAGTCGTGCTGTATTGCAAGTTGAAAGTTGAGACGTTCGAGAAAAATATATAAGGTGCATTGGGAATGTAGACTACCAGAGGAGAAGGTCCCGTCATGTTCGAGCTATTGCACCCGAAGAAAGTGGGCTTCTTGTTAAGACCCAGATTGACGAACGTATTCACATCTGGGATAGCTGGGAACGCGGTGCCGTTGGCAACTTTGGAATTCAGGCTGCGCTCATACGTAGCGACGAGGGCGGTACCATTTGGCCAGTTGAATTCATTATCCGCTGAAGAGTCCACGGCAAAGATTACATCTACATGCCGCTCTGGTTGGATCAAAGGATGCAGTGGAATATTTTGCAGATCTTCCCCACCATCGACGACATTGAGAGATTTTTCCTTTGCGAAGGGAGATGTATTGTTAGAGTAATGATAAAAGGGATTGGGTTCGTATGCCGCAATATCGTTGTTGTTTCTTCCGATCGACTCGAGAATAGATCTCAGCGCGTCCTTGATGAATGTTGGAATGTCAACGCCGCTAAGGTTCAGTAAAAATTGGTTGAAGAGGGATGACGAGGTGCCCATGATATACCCCGCATTGTCAAACCCGCGCACACAAGATTCCGATTGAGGCAACGATCCTGCATCGAATTTTGATCCGAGGAATTCTAACGGAACAAAGCCAAAAACAGTTGGGTCGAAGGTGCCAAATTCAAAAGGGTTAAATTCGAATACCGTGGCGTTTCCTCCAATGAACAACTCTCCTGGATTTCTTCCGTCCGCAACAAGGATCGGGAACGGCATATCTCCATCTTTAAAACTCTGGCCGAGAGCAATCGAGGACCACGTGTAATTAAGTCCACCCTCGGGCCCATTGATGAGCTGGTACGATAATGCACGACCCCTAGACAAGGAAATTGGGTTAGTATTATTCTCCCCAAATAGTTATTCAATATGAGAAAGAATTCCCACGGGATGAAACCCACCAATAATCCGTAAGTGTAATGTCAAATCCCGCGTCTTTCTTCCCTTGCACTGCGTCGTTTATTTGCTGATAATAATCCATGGTGTTGAGAGGTTTGCTACCCTTTACCATTGGTCCTTTAAATATAGACTCGCTAAACTCCCACACTGAACCTTCCTCATCGGCCTCAAGCTGTGAGACAGTCGTGAAATTATTAAGATAGAGCGATCCAACAAGCCATCCACCGCCGCTAAGACCAGCGAGATAGGTGGCTGACTGCAGAAGCCCACCCAGCCGTCCAGGGCTTGTGGAATTGACTGTCCGGCTGTCAAACGCCTTCAATGCACCGCCGCCGTTCATCAGAGCTCTGTACCCCCCACCCGAAACCGCAATTGCAACATTTGGCAGTGCAGAAACGTTTTGGGCAAATTTTTCAAGATATGATATCGCTTCGAAGCTATCAATAGTGACGTGACCGAAGAAATCTTTCATCGCAGCGATTGTTTTCTGCCTTCTCTCTTCTAGCCAACTTTTTTCGTTTGGTGAAAGCGCCGCTGCGCTGCGCACCGTTGGACGTTTATCACTGCAGCTCACATAGGTAGGGTTATATCCATCAGGAGCGTTTGGGAGGGCCCGCACCGCTACATCTCGAATGGGTCCATACGCCGCAGAAACAGTCGATACTGGATATCCATCTAGTCAGCATCTTATCCAGAGGATCTAATATGATATGCAGATGGCTGCAATCAGCTTGCATATTGATTATGGCAAAACTAACCTGAAACCGTTGCTACAGCGAGGACACTGCATAATGTTGCTAGGTCTGATCGCATCCTCTTTTGACTCGTACATTCAGAAATACAGATCAAACAAAAATATGATTAGTTGGAAGACAAACCCCGAGAAGGGAGGGGAAGTTTATCTCATTCCAAGGCCTATTATTTTAAATCCGAAACTGTGAAACAACAATTTGGGAATCAACCACAGTTATAAACACGAGCACGTTCTGCCCACAGACCCATAAAAACCCAGTGTGGAGTTTTTCCCACACGTCAAGCAGCAAGTTCAACTGGCAGCTCCCTCTCCTCCAAGGATGAACACATGTTTAGTGGGAAATGTGGCTGAGATCCTTCCCAGCCTTCGAGAGTAAAAGCTTTGTCTAGCCTGTAGGGGTGCATATCTCGCAGCTTAGCAAAATGCTTGGTTATGATGCAAAACCACTTTGAAAACAAGCAAAAGGAACCCAAGATTGTTGGGATGTTCCCCTCTAGCCTGTGTTAGTTACTATCGCCAACACCAAACTAAATGAAGGATAGCGGAAGTGCCACATCATCCCCTCGTGAAATAATTCATCGCCCGCCTTATCCATGGAAGCCAAGGATGAATGGCAGGAGTGACAGTCGCCAATCATTAAAAAACTCTTTGGGTGAGACCCAAACCAGCGGCTTAAATGACAGGGGAATCCTTTGATGGAAAACAAATTAAGGCTTCGCTGTGGAGTAAGTTGCTTGGAATGGAAAATAAAATCGTCATAGATCGTGTGGCGGTTCGATCGCAGAAGCCATGGTCCATGGGTGTATGCTCAGATGTTCCCCATGCCGATGTCCCATACCGATGTCCCACACCAATCATGCTGTTGCAGTTCCTTGGACAGCTATGGGACGATGTACGTCGGAGTCCTTGGTATTTAATCATTGTTTACAGAGGTAAACTATGTATGAGTACTACATACTTAGATAAGGTTGAATTATGCCTCTCTCTGCATAAGAACAAATATAAATTCAGCGCAACACTTTTCTCACGCTGATCGGACCAACCGTCTGGAAAATCGAAGAGGGTGCAACCACTGAAACTTAGGCATACGAAATTGCAAAAAAGTGAGGGCTGGTTGTGGCGTTGGCCCGCCGTGTCTCCGCAGTAATTAACGTCTTTTATGTTTGGCTGGTTGCCTGGTACCTCCGCCGCACGTGATATAGGTATAGTTATTAGTTAGCTAGCCAAGTCCTAGTAGAGAATTAACCATCCCAACCACGTGATATGATCCAAAGCACCCATAAAACAATCAACCCGAATGCAAACTGACTTGGTTTGGCTGCTTCAGCCATAGAAAATCAGCGATTGAGTCATTGAGTAGCTGCCAGGCTATGATGCTTTCATTCAAGTCTACATGATTATATTACTGACCGTACAAATACCAGCTGCTCCTTTTATCCTCAAGTAGCACCTGGTAGGTACGATTTCTTTCCTTTACAGTTACTTTGTTTCTGGGCAGGACCATTAAAAACCACTCGTCCAACTCATCACGATAATGCCCATGGCAGCAAATACGCTGGAGGATTCAAGATATTACGATGAGAGCTCCCACTCTATCAACGCGGCTTGGTGGACATCTCAGCAGTAGCATGGTGAGGCACACCACCCCCCTCAGCAATCGACTCTTCCCGGGATGAATTCATCCGTATTCAGCTATTCATATGGCAACGGGAATGTGGAATATACAGGTGAGGTGGATTGGACCTTTCACCTTCATTCTGCATGTCTGATTCTGAAACTGCTCTGTAGAGAAGATACAAGAAAGTCCTAGTTATGTAAAAAATCAAAAGGATTTTTCGTAATGAACTCATGAAAAGCACCTTATTGTTCAGATGAAATAACATGAACAGATGCCCTTCATATAGCACAACTTCTGATGTTGAGAAATTCACTGAATAACACATGTCACTGCCTCACATTTGCCCTGACAACACACTAGGGGACTGTTGTGGCGGGTTCTGAAGCTTTCCAAGTCCACCGCTCCATCGTCTGTCCCCGTTCGGCATTCTTTGCAGCTGCCTGTGATGGCAATTTTCGCGTAGGGACTCCTCGAAACAGCTAGCTTTGGTATGGTCCCTAAACAAACCAAAAACTGACTTTGCAATCTCAGGAGGCATCTTCCGGTGTAATCAACCTAACCGAGGATCCAGTTTTAGTCCAATAGATGATCGAATTTCTCTATACCCTGCAATACTCCACTGCCTCTGAGAGTTACGTCGAAGCTTCAGTTCCCGAAACAGCACCAGACAACGGAAAGCTAGCTACCAAGCAGCCCCAGCCAGAGCAGGTTGTCTGCAAGACTGCCAATACGAGGAAAAACAAAAAGGCAGCATACACTGAGCATTCAACGTCCAGTAAACAGGCAAGCGACAATTCCCCTTCGCACTGGGACCTTATCTAGCTCCATATCAGGATGTATGCTCTCGGAGACCGCCTGATGATTGAAGGCCTGAAGAGCCATGCAAAGGAGTTGTTTGAATGGAAACTGAATTCCCCAACCGGTTTATAACAGATTCCAAGAGCCATTGCTGAGGTTTACAACAGCATCCCCGAACACGACTGTGGGCTGAAACGATTGGTAGTCGCGATTGCTGCAAAAAATCTGCGCGATCTCCGGCATGCGACACAGGAAAGTAAACACGTGTTGACTGACGAGTTCTTGAAGACGGTGCCTGCATTTATGTTAGATTTATTGGTTGTGTTGATGCATCAGAAGTTATAGAGTTCTGAAGCGAGATTGTGGTTAGAACTGCAACGGAAACATGGAACAACATGAAATGTCCAATGAGCATTTCTTCACTGAGGGATTGGTTAATGATATATTTATTTGCTCTTCTGACCTTCAGGGGTGGCTGGGCTATTTTATTTATTATGATGGAATGAGGGTTTCTAGGATTTTAACACGATCTTCTCTCTTTTGGCCACTCTATTAACAGATAGAAACAAAAAATGAGACGATGGATTGTGAACTCTCAAGAAAATGCAACTCACTCATTTTGTTTCAATATGTATATCGAAAAATCCAAGTGCCGTTGAATATCGAAATCGCTTTAACAAATGAGTATCAAAAGCAGAGTGAGAGCTCTTACTGGGCAAAAGAAATTGATTGAAGAGCATAGTTAACCTATGAGCCACTGGATAATAATGCCGCCAAACGCCGAGTCTACCCCCAATATTTTGGATATCGCCAAGCCACTAAACCTCCTGCCAGAAAGCCACGTCATTGGCAGGGTTTAACTAAATAATAGGGGTGTGGAACCCTATTTGTGGTTAAAAGCTTTAGTTAAAGAGTGACGTTATTCTTTATTTTCACAAGGCCATAGTTGCACCCTTCACTTATCTGGGCTTCTTACTCTATCCTTTCTTGGGATCTTAGATCCACCAGCCCTGTTTCTCCAGCCCCGTTTCTCCAGCCCCCACAACTTGTCGTCTGCCAAATTCTCAATCGGCAATTCCGCTGGGCCCCGTCCTGAACGGATTCATCCGGGCTGTTGGATTGAGCAATCTCCATACCTGTCATTCAGTTGTGCATCAATACTGGGGTTGTTCTAATTATTCGGTCTCCCCTTTAGGTGTTTATTCCCCAGTCTAGTCCATGTCACTACGGGGTGACAGAATCTCAAATTCAAGGATCCTCGCTTATTACAGAGCAGTGACCTATTATTATTGCCAACGTGACAGCAACACATATTTGCCCATCAAGTGACTCCAAGCTGGGGACTGGCAGAGCACGCACCCGCCCGGGGTCGTCCTGGAGAGCCTAACAGGCTGGGCTACTATTACCTCAATACTCTGTACGGAGTATATCCTGCCTGTGCGCGTGAAATGTGTATGAATAGTATGGATGAACAGAGTATGTGGTGTACCTTTCTTTGTCGGATACCTGGATGTTTGAGTTGATATTCGAATAGATATGTTAAAAACGGGGGAAAATGGAACGCTCGCTGCAGCAGCCAACTTCCACGCGACTCCTCCGTAGAAATGATAGCGTCCCAGGGCGGGATCGCACCACTGACAATCATACCTTTAGAAAATACGTGTGGAACTGCCTCGGACCATACATCCACAATTACCTTTACAAACTCTCTCCATTCCGGACTCCAAGCTCGCCACGAAGCCGTTTATATGCATTCCATTCGATATCCGAAATAGGTACTGTACATAGATAGATACAACAAGCTAGATCGATTTCTCCAAGAAAGGTTGTCTAGAACACTCATCCCCAACATACTCAATCACCCGTTTCGTGACTCTGATCCCCTCACCAATCCGTCTTCGATATTCATCATCATCCAGCAGAGCTTCGTCATTCTATCTTACTCCAAACGGCTCTCGCCCCAACACTCACAGGATCAACAAAAAATCCCTACTAACTATTCCCACTGCCTTACCCTCCATCCCGAGCAGCCCCTTTTCACATGTCTCAACTCTTCAATAGCTCGAAAGATGACACGCAAGCGGCAGCATTCGTGACTCGAGGTTCCAGTAATCCTCCAACAAAAGAGATCAATCTTTTGGATTCTGACCAGCAGAAGAACTTCGTGGGCACTAAGAGCAGATTGCCTGAATTCCTCCTCACTGGCAAAGTTGTTGTTGTCTCTGGTGCTGCACGGGGGCTAGGATTGACACAGGCTGAGGCATTGCTAGAAGCTGGTGCTATAGGTAAGTTTCTTTAATTTCTTTTTCTTTTTCTTTTTCTTTTTCTTTTTTCAATAAACTTATCAATGATCCTAAGCGGTGTGTTTTTGTTTTCATCAATTCCATATCTACTTCTTTTTTTTTTTTTTTTTTTTGATCACTCCGGAGGGCGTTTTCCCGCACCAGGGGGGATTGCTTGTGATGTGGCAGCCGAACAAGAAAATACTGGAGTGTTGCATTGGATTGATTTACTGGTTTGTGCTGGTTTTCGGATTCTAAATCGCGGAAGTTTCATTGTGGACCTAATCACCTCGTTTTAACCAGTCCCTTTCTCTTATGCTCTTTCTGCGTTGGCTCAATGAGAGCTACAGGCTAATCAACAAATGGTAATGGCAGTCTACGCCCTTGACCGTCTTGAGCAGCCTGTAAGTTCATACTTCTTTGCAACCACTGAGGTCCCGCCCATTCACACATATCCACGTTACCCAGGACATATAGTTGGGATCAAAGTATCCTAATTAAGCCAACCACTGAGCACAATCACTCACAAATATACTTACATACGTGTAGTCTCCCGATTTTTATCGCATCCAACAGCGTGCGGCTGAAGAGTTGAACACAAAACTTCATTACCGGCGCATCGATGTTCGCGACACCGAAGGTCTGAACGACGTCATCAAGGAAATTGCAGCCCATGAAAACCGGATGGATGGTCTTATTGCCGCAGCGGGGATCCAGCAGGAAACCCCCGCATTGGAGTACACGGCCAAAGACGCCAATTTGATGTTTGAGATCAACATCACCGGCGTATTTATGACTTCGCAAGCTGTTGCGAAGCAGATGATCCGGTTTGGCAATGGCGGCAGTATTGTTATGATTGCGAGTATGAGCGGGTCTATTGCGAATAGGGTACGTGATTTCCATGTCAGTTGCATATTGTTCTTGTCGGGTCTTTATTTTATTTATTTTTTATTTTCGTGATTTACTTCGGCCTAGCCGGAAAGACAGCCAACAAAATGTCTAAATAAGCCACTCATTTCCTCATTCCATTTTCATTGCTTTTTTTTATGGTTCTCTTTTGTGGCTCCGGGTGTGATGCGACAGAACATTCACATTTGCTACCCAACACTCGCTATCATAAAATAGCCCCGCTATCATAAAATAGCCCCGTCAGATTTGCCCCTAAAATTACCCCACATGCAAACCTGTCAAAACATGCCAATCAGTTTACCTTAGCTCGCCACTAAAGCGTTCACTAACTTAACCGTAAAAATACAACGAATAGGGTCTGATCTGTCCTGCCTACAACGCCAGCAAAGCTGGTGTGATACAACTGGCTCGCAACCTCGCGTCGGAATGGGGCCAACATGGTATCCGTGTCAATACCATCTCACCTGGCTACATCGTCACCGCCATGGTCGAGGATCTATTCACACAGTACCCAGAGCGCAGGATCGAATGGCCTAAGCAGAACATGCTAAATCGGCTTAGCTCTCCTCAAGAGTATCGTGGTGCTGCGGTCTTTTTGATCAGTGATGCCAGCAGCTTTATGACGGGTAGCGATTTGAAGATGGATGGGGGTCATAGTTCGTGGTAAGGGGAAGGAGTCGGGGGATGCTGAGGTTTTTCGCCTCGTTTTGTTAGCTGGATGAAGAATGACTGACTTTGGCCGGTGCTGTTGTGAAACTTGGATTGACTTGTCTTATTATGAGTTTTTCAATCCTTCCCTGTTTTTATGATTGACATCTCTTTCATGATGGGTTGTTCTTGTTTTTGTTCTTGGTGGATCAGGCGTTATTTCGTTCTTTTTCGTTCTAACTTCTGTTAACATACTGGCTCTTCAAGTTTCTGTTTCGGGATATTTTATGGACCAAGACACCAACCTGCCGCACATACCATATATGATAATGTCAATATCCATTCCTGTCTATATTTGGCTCTCAAGATCCTCGAAAACAGCACAGGATTATCGAAGGATTGGGCAACCCCACGTCACACAAAAGTGCACCCTGCGCTTTTCTATTGGAGATGATTTACTGCATTGTATTATCCAACACATGATAGCTAATACGAAAACAGAGCAATGCAGTCATGATAATCCACAGGGACCCAAATTGATCGTAAACTAAGTACGGGTAATCCGACCGCCTTTCAGCTTGACACGACTGAAAACAGGCATATTTCACCGCTGTTCATGCACAGAGCAGAACGATATCTCCCATGCCTGTCATTGCGGTTTTCAGTCCGAACGATGCCCTGGGCCTTGCTGTCTTACCATCCTATCCTATCCTGTATTTCGGTCCCCAACAGTTCATTGCGGTTGCTAGTCAACCAGTATCTTGCAAATATGTCCTCTTTGGTGCGGCGACAGTATTTCGGATGGCTTAGTTCTTCTGCATTACAATGGAATGGGAGCATGACCCTGTCCCATTTGCGCTGGTAGCCTTGCCAGAGTGTGGGCTGAATATTTCCACTAAACATGATCACTTGCGAATTGATGCATTTCCAAATAACCTTTGCGGTCCGTTCTCATTCTCCGTTGAAATAAGGAGGCAAGTGGGCCAGTGGATTAGGGGAGAAATACAGGGTAGGTAGTTATTATATCAACTAGCTTCCTGGACTATCAACTGAAATATTTTAGGCAATCAACCACTGTTGGTTAACATTTGGGTAGTTGAGATCATCGCCAGGTTATCTCTCCCAACTTTGATTCCAGTAAATTATTTAATTTAGTTTTAAACTAACTTATTTTCAATTTTCAAAATAAAATATTCGAACTATCTAAAATATTAATAAATTATAATACTATTCTCAATAATAAACATAGATATTATATAATATTTAGTAAAATTTATGGATTTCTATTTTAATCTTTTATAAAATTATTATTAAATTTTAATATATAACTAGTAATTGATTTTTTCTATTATATAGAAATTATTTTGAGGAAGTAAACTTAAAAAAAAACTTCCTACAGATAAAATTATAAATCTTAAAAATTTGATATTAAACTTAAATAGCTTTTTATCGATTAAAAAGTTCTAGATATCTCATCACTTTAAATTACTTTTTTTTTTCGATCATATTAACTTTAATATTCTTTCTCAAAAGCAAATACAAGCTAATATTTCTTAGCAAAATCGGTTAATCTTAATATGCATAAAGATCTCATATACAAATTCATACCTTAAAACCTTACAGAGTTGTAAAAAAGATCAACTTGTCAAATGAGAGTAACATTGAATCTTATGTTCAGAAAAAGAAAAACCACTTCATTGATATTCTGATCTCTAATCTTTGCTCGATCTCTGCGGATTTCACCTGGTGGTTTATAAGTGTGAAATATCTAATTTTACCTTATTTTCTTATATGGCTTATACCGGCCAAATTACATACGAAAGTCAACTTTGAAGTATGTTTTATCAGATCTTTCCGAGATTGGAAGAAATGAATGAAAAGTCCAATTGTGTTGGCATTTTAGGTGGATATTTAGTGAACAAGCTGGCGCTCTGGTAGTGAGCTTCTGTTTGCCACAACTTCATATAATTTTATAGATTAGTGAATTTTATCATAAGATTTTTCATATTCATGTCAATTTTTAATAATAGATTATATGGCGGACTCTTCTTTCTCTAACAATGTTTCCTTAGACTGACTGCTTCATGAAGTATGCTTTCAGTACTCTTTTTGAAATATGATAGTCAATATCAGCGTTGTAGTCTTGCTTTCTTGCATTTTTAATTAGATTTCTCTATCTATGTTCAGAAATATCTATGATTTTGTGGACTTTCTTAGGTGTATAGCCCTGTAAGAGCTGGAACATGAAGTTCAATGGAATGAGTGCTTATGATGAATCGAAGACATACTGTATGAAGAATGAGAAAAATTGTAAAAAAAGGGCAGCTAATGAGTGAGAGGGAGTATTATTTGCAGGCATCAAGGTCTCCGATTTACCTGTGATGGTGAGATACACGCCGATACAGCCAATTTTGCTAGAACGGAAATGGGAATGGCAGGAACATTTGATCCGGCAACCCCTCCGTACAATACTCTGTATTTCAACCTGCTCAAACGTGATAGTCAGACCCTGCGAGATCAATCGTTTGAAAATCGCGAGTTTGATGTTCCGGACAGGCTATTAAGCCCAAGCAACTTATTCTATGAATTTGGTCATATATTTATATGGTCTATTCTATATGTAAATTTAATGGTTGATGTGTAAGATGATTATCTATCTCATTGCGTTGTAGTTGATCTCGATGAAAATACGTGGTGGATATGTAATTAAAAATTCGAGTCTCTAGCGTCTAAACTATGGCTCGGGCAAACGCACGCAAAGCTGACAAACCCCACTACGGACAAAACTGAGTTTCAATCATAAAACGAAGGCCAACAACCTGTGCAGCAAGGCGGGGGATAAAACTAGCTTGCATTGAGTGGCTTGTTGTGTTTCTCTCACAACTTCTATCCACTCTTTAGTAGAATTTGACAGACGGAATGCCCACAATTACTTAGGTCAACGAGTTAACTACGAGTCGTGGTTGTTGTAGTAAGTCTTATTTTTTTGGGCGCATTGAATGCGAAATATCTCCGCAATTCGGTTCAGGCCTCCAAACGGGGGTCCTTTTAGTATCTAAAAGCACCGTCGCCCAATTTTGCCCATTCGGTTAAATCCACTACCTGCCTGGTTCCGTGAGTATTTCTTCCTTCCCCTACCCTGTTTTCTCTGCAAAGAAAGTGAATGCACATCTGCTAACATTTTCCCGATCGATAATTCTCAGTCGAAACACTAAACCATCTCCCAGTATGTCAGAACAACAATCTCGTGGTGGTGGCAGGGGGCGGGGTGGAGAGCGTGGAGGACAACGAGGTAGGGGACGTGGGCAGGGTTCTGATTCGGGACAGGGACAACATCCCATTTTCGATGCTCCTTCAGGTGGGCGTGGGCGCGGCGAACGTGGTGGATATCGAGGTGACCGCGGCCGTGATGATGGTGGAGGATTCAGGGGAGGACGTGGTGGGGGACGTGGTGGGGGACGTGGTGTTGTACGTGGCCCAGAGGTGTTCTCGTAAGTGCCAAACCTACCCACCATACGGACCAGTTTCACTTACCCGTCTTATTCTCACAGTCCATCCAGTGGAAAGATTCCCCCCCCAAATCTGAATGTTAAAAAGGTCGAGGACCAGTATAAGGGATCCGCCAGCCCAGGAAGGGATGTGAGCCTAGAGTCTCTTTCACTTAGCAGGGATTTTCCCCTAAGGCCTGCTTTCGGAACACAAGGAAGGCCCGTCCTGCTTTGGGCGAACTACTTTGAAATGATATCAAAGTCGAATCTCACCCTGTACCGCTACAAGGTGGAGGTCCTGGAACAAGATTCCAAATTGCCTGCTGGCAGGAAGCTCAAGCGTATTATTGAACTTTTGTTGGAAGATCATTTTGGAAACATGGCGAACAAAATTGCAACTGATTACAAGGCAACCTTGGTCTGCAAGACCAACCTTAATCTTGACCAGGAACTGTTTCCGATTAAATATCGACTCGAGGACGAAGACGAGACGTCCCCCAAGGCAAAGACTTACCAGATTCGGGTCATTCCTATTGGTTCTCTTGATGTAGCAACATTGATGCAATATCTCTCCTCGCCTAATTCTGGCACTCCTCTCATTAGCAAAGAAGAGATACTTCAGGCCTTGAACATCGTCTTCGGTCATCACCCGAAGAGTAATCGGAATTTACTTTCGATAGGTGCAAACAAACATTTCCCCTTGCAACAGGGAGTCGAAAGTTATGATCTTTCTGGAGGACTAGTAGCACTTAGGGGTTTCTTCGTCAGCGTCCGGGCAGCGACTTCTCGCCTTCTTGTGAACGTTCAAGTTAGGGCCACTCCTTGCTACAGCAGTGGGAGCTTATCTGATATCATAAATGTTCTCAGTGGTACGATGCGAGGCCGAGATCGCATGAGCCAACTCCATCGCTTCCTTAGGAGAGTACGCGTGAGCGTCACACATGTTGTCCGTAAGAATAAATCGGGCCAGGTTATTTTGCGGATCAAGACCATTGATGGTCTTGCACAACAACATGATGGTCGACGCTTGGAAAACCCACCGCAGGTGCCTTGGCTAGGAGCAGGTCCAAAAGACGTCAAATTCTTTCTTGATGAGCCAGCGCCGGCTGCAGAGAGTCAACAGAAGAAAAGTGGGAAGAAAGGCAAATTGCCTGGAGCGAAACCTGGCGGAGATTTACCTACAGGCTCATATATAAGTGTCTACGACTATTTCAGACGCAGTAAGTGAACATGCAAACTGGCCCCGCTCCTGGTTTCTAACTCCAAAAACAGCATATCCAAACCTTCCGTTGCTCAACGAGGCACTTCCGGTTGTCAACGTAGGGAACAAGGAAAATCCAAACTACCTCCCTGTGGACGTTTGCCAGGTCCTTCCTGGACAGCCGGCAAATGCTAAGCTTAACCCCAGTCAAACACAAAATATGATCAAGTTTGCGGTCGCTAAACCTGTGGAAAATGCCAGGGCAATTGTCACGAATGGGGCCCAGGTTCTTGGTATTGGTCCACAGTTGAACCCCATGTTGGTAAGTGCTACCTTTTCTCTGCTGCTGCTGCTGTTGCTGCTGCTGTTGCTGCTGCTGTAAGCCCTTGAGACGGTCGCTTACAATATCCAGGATGGTATGGAGTTCTCGATGTTGCCCAATTTAATCACTGTTCCTGGCCGGGTCTTGGAAGGGCCGAATGCTATCCAGTACAAAGGACAGAGCTTCAAAATCCCTCAAAGCGGGAACTGGAACCTTCAGAAGGTTGCGTTTCACCAAGGATCGCAGCTCCCGCCCTGGACCTATTTATATTACCAGGGGGGGCGAACTGACACAGCAGCCCTTTCCGATAGCGTTGATAGATTTATGGAAACTGCTAAGATGCAGGGTCTTGCTGTTCCGGCACCCAGCCGGCCAATTGCTGTTAATGTTCCCCGGGGCCAAAGCCCAGAGGATGTAACCATTGACCCTATTTTCGCGGAGATTCGCCAGCAGTCACGTGTAAGGTTGGTACTGGTGATCTTGCCTTTTGCAAGCCCCCCAATTTACAATCAGATAAAATACAGGGGAGATGTCAAAGACGGCATCCATACTATTTGCGTTGTCGCAGAAAAATTTGCGAAGAATCAGGTTCAATATTTTGCCAACGTTGCTCTGAAGTTCAACTTGAAGCTCGGAGGAGTCAACCACCGGCTTCAGCCATCCAAGCTGGGAACTCTCTCCGAGGGCAAAACCATGGTCGTTGGTATTGATGTCACTCACCCTTCTCCCGGCTCTGCCCCAACTGCACCAAGCATTGCTGGAATGGTCGCAAGCGTGGATAATGTGCTTGGCCAGTGGCCCGCCAGCATCCGTTTGCAGCACCAGGCCCGCGCGGAGATGGTCAACGATCTTGATCCCATGCTACAATCTCGTCTGCAACTTTGGCAAAAGAAAAATAACAAACGCCTGCCAGAGAATATCCTGGTATACCGCGACGGAGTATCCGAAGGTCAATACGGCAAAGTCCTTGACGAAGAACTGCCACTGCTCCGCAACGCATGCAAAGCTATCTACCCAGCTGACCAGTCAAAGAAGGGTCTACCAAGAATTTCTATCATCATCGTAGGAAAACGACACAATACAAGATTCTACCCAACCGACCTCAAAGATGCCGATAGCAGCTCAAATCCCAACAACGGCACCGTCGTCGACCGCGGCGTCACAGAATCACGTAACTGGGATTTCTTCTTGCAGGCCCATACCGCTCTACAAGGCACTGCGCGCCCCGCCCACTACTATGTCATTCACGACGAGATTTTCTCCGGCAAAAAGACATCCAACCGATTTCCTAGCATTGCTGACGACCTTGAGGACCTGACACACAATCTCTGTTACTTGTTCGGTCGAGCAACCAAGGCTGTCAGCATCTGCCCACCGGCTTACTATGCGGACCTGGTTTGTGAGCGTGCCCGGCGCTACTTGAGCAAGTATTTTGATATGAGCCCTGACGTCAGTGTTGCTTCCTCCGGTGCTGGTGAGGGTGGTCCTTCGCCCTCCGGCAGCGATATTCTGGTTCACCAGGATCTGACAGATACTATGTTTTACATTTGAGTGGGGTGTGCAAGGCGTCCTTCGAGATTGATGGACAAGCCTGCTGAAGCAGCCATTGAGGTGGAATCCGCTATACAGAACGTACCACGGTCATTCTGTCAATAAACAAGTCTTTGTTATGTTTGAGTTTATGGATTTATTTATTTATTTATTATTATTATTTTTTTTTTATATTGTACTTTCGGTTAACTTGGCTTCGTATGTTCGTGCCATTTTGATTTTAAATCTATGATTTTTTTTCTCCCCTTTTTTCTCTCGCCATTATTCGATATCTAGGACCCCTTTGTCAGTGAAGTTGTATCTTGAGATGTTTGGTAGCTCTGTTAAGACTTTGGTTACTCCTAATACATCACATCTTCATGCCCTGGGAGATCCAATGGTGGATACGGACTCAGCAGGATATCTATTATCCCCTTGATTGCCGACAATGATAGCTTTGTTGTACGTATTTGTGCTCTGGATTAAAATCAATTACAATGAATTGATGACGATTTCCTCCTATTGCAATGGAGCCATCAAAGTAGTTGTTTCTCACAGGGTGAAATATTCGCCTCTCATGATCTGCTGAATCACCCTCAGAACATATAGCAAAAGTGAAATCCAAATTACTATCTTGAACAGAACATATGTACATTACACTGCATGTACATACATATATACATACATATATACATACATACATACATAAAGCTCCTCCACTAAATAGACGCAAAATTGGAATCATAATATAGATATTAAACATTCACCCAGCATGAAAAGCGGAGTGGCACCCAAATCATTCATCCCGTCCCCAACTCATCTTATAACCCCAACAACCCCCTTCACCCCCAACCTCCCCACCACCCCCTTCTTCAACCTAAACTGCCTCTCGATCATCTCCTCCGACACCCCCTCCCTATCCCTCATAGCCAAAATCTGCTTGATACTTACAATATCCAAGAATTCACGGCCCGGGTGGCCATGTCTGTCCATGGCCTCGAGTTCGCTCTCAGCAGCTTTTTCCAGCTGGGCGCGAGCGGAAAGGACGAGTAGGGCGGGATTTGTGGTGGAGGATACTGTCGATGAAGGGATGGGGGAATCAGGGGACTGGAAAAAAGGTGGGGTTTGCTGTTTGTTGAAGGTACTGGAGTTTGAGAGGGTGGGGTGGGGTGTGACGGGGCCTATGGAGCGGAGGGAGGCTGCGAAGTGAGGGTCCCGGGCATCGAGGTCAATAACTATTAATATATATATATATTTTTTAGGCATTGTTGATTTTGGTTAGAATTAGAACTCGATTGCTCCCATGGCTTTATACTGAGGGTGCGGAGTGATGGATTGACGGCGGGAGTGATCGCGGGAGACACGCGCTCGAGTAGGAAATAGCTTTTCTGTTTCCGCAAGCAAAAACGCCAAAGATGCAATATATATGTAATTATATTAACATACCTTCCGATTTTGCGGAGCTGCCTTTCTCCCCTGAATCAAGTATAGATCCTGCCTGTCGTTGTTGACTGGACACCTTCGCCGCTCGATCTGAGGGTGTGATGCTGCTGGTGTTTGTGGTTGACGGAGAGGGTTTCTTGGGGTATTGGCGGCGGGAAGCAGCACCTGCAGCCACCTTAATTGGCTTCGACGAAGATGCACCCATTGAGAATCTATACAATGGAGGTGTTAGGTCAATGGTCAAGTGGAACACTCAATATGTGAATGAATAACCAAAACTTATGCTAAAAGTATGCGGGTAGTTTGTTCCAGGTTATTTCTTCTTTAGCTTCGGGATGTTGGAGACGGTTAAGTTAGACGCTACCTGGCAAAATCCACCCACCCATTCCAAAATACACTACTCTAAATCAAACATAGCGTATACACAGTCGTACACCCAAAGTAACTAGCGTTCCAATGTCATTGATATGTGCCCAACTGCACTGATCAGGGATGGAATCTAGGGGGGAGGGGCACGTCCACGGCGGGGGGGGGAAAGGGGAACTATACACAGGGCACCTACGTCACACCGAGAGGAAAGGACTGGAGTATGATTGGGTGAATAAACACCTCACAGTTACTTACCCCTGTCGCTGCCGAGCAGCATGCAGTCTACATGACAGATGCCGGGCGGGTAGTTAGTTGGCAGCAAGCAGTGCCCAATCCCCCTTCTACAGCACCTGCAGCCCTTGAAGAACAATGAGTTGCTACACTAACCTCCTCCCTGCATCCCTCAGGGCAGAGCAATTAAACTCTCTGAAAACGCCCCCTATGAGATCACTTCACAGGCGATAAACAGTGTGATTTTTGATATTTAGGGAGCAGAGCAGGACACAGAGGTTGATTCATTGAAGAATATCCTGGTTCTGCAGAGCAGCCATACGCAGAAGAACCAAGGCCTGGCACGGGTGAATTGGGGAGGTGGGGAGGAGGGAGGGGGGGGGGGGGGGGATGATTTTGTAGATTATTTCAGATTAATATATCAGTAATGAATTGAGGGGTTGGGCACATCCTGAATCCACTGGAATGCTGGTATTTTTTCTTCATGTATTCAAAATCCCTGGGGTGCAAGGGGTTTGAGGGGCTTGGCAGTGCTGCTTGGCAGGCAGTGTCTGAGTTGGCAATTGAGGGATTTTGGGCACATATCAATGACATTGGAACGCTAGTTACTTTGGGTGTACGACTGTGTATACGCTATGTTTGATTTAGAGTAGTGTATTTTGGAATGGGTGGATTTAGCCGGGTAAGAGTGTATTTATCAATTCCCTGCGGGTGTTGGTTCTAAGCATTAAACGTTAGACCCTATTGGCTGGTAAGTGCAGCTGGCACTTTTGCGAAGTCCAGCAAGAAAAGGGTTGAAAAACAAAAATGTTGGTTTCCTTTACAGGTATCTCATCTCATACATGGAATCTAATACCTCAATCAATTCGCGGGGTTGTATATATGCATGAAGAAACCATTTGACAGAGATCCCAACCTCAATTCTCAAGCTCTCTTTATGTATATATTTTTACATGCTTGGGCAACTCTTCCGGGTCGCATAACCAGAGCACAAAGCCAAAGTCAATAAATATGACATTAGCGCAATCCTGCCAGACGTCTCTCTTGGACTTCGCTCAATGCGCGACTGCCACTAATGATGGCAACTGCACCCACCGCCAGTGCGGCGGGGAGGGTTTGAAAAAGATTCCATGAGGTATAATATAGGAAGAATATACCCTCCAGCCCAACAATGGAACCGAGAAACAACATATGTGGGACAGGTGACGATTCGAGTGCGAGCTGGAGGTGGTTCAAGTTTACGCCCAGGTAGACCCACTACTGGCACTGTTAGCCACGGTCTCCTTGAAGAGGACTCCGTTTGGTCCGAGCTGCTATACGTACCAAACCTGCAAGCACCGGAAACGCAGCCAGTACCGCGATCACAAACACCAGAGTTACGATGAGAGGAGGGCTCTTGGGATCGGCCTTGAAGATATGGTGGATTTCCTTGAGCTTGCCATATCTGGGGGGGAGCGGCTGCTCGCTGACAGAGGCATCGCGGGTAATATCCAACCGGAAGACAGGGTCATCATATCCCTTCGCTGAGCCGAACGAGGCGATCACGAATCTAGCTTCGATGGGTTTCGAGGACTGGAAGAACTGCGTAGGGAGGTCCTTTTGTGCCTGGATAGAACGAGAGAGGGGGGGTGGGTTAATAATGCGACGTTCAACACTCAGGTGGTGTTTTGGGTGCATGTTCCAACTAACCAACTCCAGTCTTGCCTTTCCGCTTTCTCTCGCATTTAAAGGGTAAGATAGGTCAAGTCCTGTATCGAGATCTTCTAATAATAAAAAGGCCTGGTGTGGTCTCTTGGCAGAATGGTCTTCCTGAGTCGTCAAGCTAAGCTTGAGGATATCTGAATCTCCAAATGAAAGCGGTTGCGATAGCGGTGTATTCTCCGATAATCTAGTAGTTCCTCCCAGTGCGTACAATCAGCATCCCGCAGGCCACGTTACCCGTACGCGCAGGCACGCTCAACACACCTCTTTCTCAACCCCTCTCCAATCCCTTGACTCTTTGGTGTAATTTCGACCGTAGCATCGTCAAATCCCCAGCCAGAACCTGCCCAGGTAGAGGGGAGTACGGATAGCAGCAGACCGGCTCGGTGGAGTGTCCGCAGCTGCATCCTCGAAAGGATATGCGGCTGATCAAAACAATCCTGCTAGTAGAAACTCAGAAGTCAAAAAGCAGCGCAGATAACAAGTGCGAGGGGCACCACGAGGAGGGGTAATGTTTTGTTTATTGTTGATATATGTACTCCGCAGTTGCATGCACAGTTCTTGTTAAAGCCGCGGAGCTGGGAACTTTGGTCACTTGTTTCAGTATCGGGAGTAGCGCAACAGGCACATGATCCGGCTTCCCAAAGAGGCTAGCGCAGGGTCATACAAGGGTCGGAGCCCCTAACTAATTGTTTCCTCATGCCAATTAAGTTTACTGTACCTGATGTGTTCTATACAACAACTCCCTTATCTCTGCGAGAGGAATTTGCTGTTATTTAAACTGGGGTAAGCGAGTAACGCTGTGCTCTGGCTGGAACTACTTCATATCTCATTTTCACACCATTCCTCTGAGCCCCTTCGCACCCGTCATGCATTTTGCTGTAATCGACGGCCAAATTGCCAGCACGAGATTTTTTTTTTTTTTTTTTTTTTTTTTTTTTTGGCAGTCTATATAAATTAATTACCTACGTGTGATGCCGCGCTGGACAGGGCGTTCCAACCGTCTCCCACACAGCCAACCGGATGGTATGGGCAGTAGGAAATAGTAGCAATTCTACATATCTGTATCTCGTTACTTTTTGTACATTGTCGAGTTAACCAGCCGTTAGTCCGCAAGATTTGTTCCTAGGAAAACATGTTGAAAGAAGCTTCCAACTTATGATAAACACCTCTCAGTCCTCCCAACCTGGCAGTTTGTTCTGTGGTAGAAATAACTATCTACTTCAGAATTATATCCGACATCTGTTTTTATTTTTATTTTTTTATTTTTTATTTATTTTTGGCTTCAGACCACGGATATTGTTCATGAAAATGAGTCTGGGTGGAACTACTCTGGTAACTTCTTCACATCCACAGTATGTGTTTGTGTTCCATATTGGTCCCTATCAGTCTAACATATTTGTATCCAACGGCAGACATATAACCGTACCCAGTCGTTGGTGGTAGAGCAGTCGTTGGTGGTAGAGCAACCGTTGGTGACCCTGGTGGATGATGAAATCGATTCTGGAAGCTTTTCGAAAACCTCTCAGTTATCGCACACTTTGACCCAATCAGATTTCGCTCGCCCAACAAAGCGCCAACGGACTAGTAGTTACAATCGACGTTGTTCCAAAAGTTGGCAGGAAATTGAGAGTGCAAAGTTGCTCCCTGCTCCACAAATGAACCCCGTGAGCCGGCCTTGTCTTGAGCTTTCTTTTCCTTCGACACCTGGTAAAATTGCAGCAAGACATGCTGGAGTTGTGCCCAAGGAGCCCCGTATCAGCTCGTCGATTACGCCAAAATTTCAGATATTCAGCTCAGTCAAATATCCCTGGGACAATAGTCCAATTGCTATGGCGATTTGGCTTGCTCAGCAAATCGACAATGGAAGAGAGGGTCTTCCCCTCGAACAGGATCCTCCCAGAAGCAAAGCGCCTCAAAGACCAGACACCAGTCGAAGCTTAGTTAAGAACGATGCAGTTTTGTATCCCGCGAGTGAGGTGCCCTATTTTATATCCGGCACATTTTGTGGTTAGTCACAGGTCTCCCTCCCCGACACAATGGTGTTTATCTAATCTATTGGCAGTTCGAGTAGAATCGAATAGTAAGCATAAAGGCGAGAAGGGAGAACAGTTTGGGGAGAAACAAAATCTTTCTGTTGACTCTTGTTCTACCAAATTCTTCCATTACCTAACTTATTTGGAAGCAAAGAGAATCGCCCCAAAGCTGGCTAAATTTAAACGTTTTAAACCGGGATTTGGAGATAGCTTATTCAACGCAATGGTAGATGCGCATTGTGTAGATTTGGGCATAGCAACCGCAGGAAAACTCATTGTGAATGTCCTTGTGGTTCTTTCTTGTCCGGAATCAGAATCAATATGTCAAGCAGCAACTGATACCCTAATTGAGCTTCTTGACCTAGAATCGTCTCTTTCTCCTCGATTTGCAGAGGCATTTGCTATTCTATCACACGATGCTGATGTTGCAGAGGTGGTGGATATCACCGTTGCACAAATCAACTCCTGTGAATTTTCTCTGGGATTGGATGGTGAATTCGATGCTCTCAGCGGATTGTCAAACTACCATTGTCTCAACACACCTCATTCACCCAAAGACGTCAATGAAAAACAATTCTCTATTGTTCCTGGGGTGCTGGAGAATCATCTTTACAGCACCCCTCGCCGACCGTCTATTTCTTCTAGCTTGTCATCTCCTTTTTCTTGCGCCAATTCCTCTCTGCCAGATCATACTTGTACAAAAACCTCACCGATATCCATAGTATCTCAAGATATCTCTTCGTCAAACCCCATTCTACACTCCAATATGCCACCTCGTCAGTCAAACCGGGTTAGAACACCCACGCTGAGGGCCCTGGAAGCTAAACTCAGCTCGCAGGCGACAACGAGCAAAAAAACCAGGGCGAAAGCCTCAAGAAGGGGGAAACCTCGGACAGCGATGTCCACAGAAAATATTATCGAAAGCACCAGCAAGCAACCAAGTGCCGCCAACAACGACATACCTAAAATGGACGAGGAAACCCTTAATGCGAATGTTACAGCCGATTCACTGCCCTGGCTGCCAAAACTATCAGCCACTGCTCTCTCCGCCGACGAGATCACAGCTCCGGAAGATCTTGACACCTCCAGGTTGGAGGGAGCCCTGGAGCCCAGCATCCCCGACGAAACAACCAACCCCTTTCCCAAACCCAAATCAACTGCGGCTTCTCCAAGGCCTGCTGCTTCAGCGTTTACTCCGCCTCCAGAATCGGAAGCTATAGTTCAGAAACTTCTGAGCCTAGCTACAGATGCTTTGAAGCCTAAGTTCAAGCCCCGAGTGCCCATCAATTACAAACGTTCACACCGCATATGGTATGTGAAACAGTTCACAGCTGCTTTAGGTGCTACTTCGACTGAGCAGCTGGCAGAAGCCGACACCTCTCCGGGAGACAGAGAGACTGCTGCAGGTGACAGTTCATCATCTTCGCCATTTCAGACTTCCGCGACCAATGCGGATCCTTCAAGAACAGGTTCTCAGACACCAGCCACTCCTGCGGGAGTTATTACCGGTGGCGAAGTATCCGGTTCCCCTAATTTTGTTGACGCTCTTAACGTTACGGCAACCAATAACGTCGGTGCCTCTGATGCTGCGGCAGCTACCGCCGTCCACTCAGAATCACAAGCAAGGGAAGCTGCGGAGTCAAAAGACGTTAACCAGGCGATTGCAACTAAAGACGCCAATACCTCAGATGCTTCGATCGCTGGCATCGTCCCTTCACCCGCAGAAGCAAGTGAAACTACGGAACCAAAGGAAGCTGGCCAAGCGACTACGGTGGAGCCACCCATTTCCAGAGAAACTTTTCAGGCAGATGTCTCTTGCAAGTTCGCTACCAGCGCGATCCTGAAGCCTCTTGAACTATCTGTTTTGTCTCATTCTTACATTCCCCGTCCTTGGACCGACAAGGATGGCTGGGTCCACACAGGACTTGGAAACGAACATAACGAAGAAAAGGTTATTGTTCCCGATACTTATACCTGTATCAGGCCAAGGGATTCCCTCAACAACCCCCGCATCGGTCCATCGCCTCCTCGGATGAAGTCTCATTCCCAAATCGAATGTGACGATGCCTTTGGCTATCCTCCTCCGGGTCGAAAGCCAAACCTTCCAAAGGGTCTAGAGGGCCCATTCATTACAGAAGATGTTGAGAAACAAATGCAAAGGCCATGGACCTGTAGCAAGCCCGGACTCGCGGAATCGTCGGTCGCTCGATGGCTCTAGAAGATTTTCTTTTGGCCATTCAAAAATACGACGAGGTATACAAGCTAGAACTTCGCCCTCTAGCGATAGAAAAGGTGAAAACTCTTAAGGGGAAAGGGACTGCTAAGCAATCAGATGCACCTGACATAGCCACCAAGGGACCGAAGAACGTCTGGGAAACGAACCCCTGGTGAGGCTCTTGGGGACACACTGTTCCGAAAAAGGATGGTGAGACTTACAACCACCAACGAAACCAGCGGAAATAAAAACACGTCGTGTGAACACGTATGCGCCCATTCCCATTTCAGAATCCGAGAGCAAAAGCCTAAAACTACAGCGGATGCAGAATCTATGGATGTGGATTCAAAACCTGCTCCACCTCCTTCGCGTGGTCCCGACCGCCCATCGAGACGTGCTGCCACCCCGCTGCAACCCGCAAGACCACCAACCCTCGCCAACCCCTCAAACACTCTCCGCGAGAGCCTCAGCGTGAACCGAACGCTCAAGCTGCTGCGGATGGAATGGTGGCTGGGGAGGCTCCCATGAATGAATCTGCCGTTAGCTAAAACAAGGAACCCTCTGTTGAGAAAATGATGTTGTTACCGACCCCGACCCCGACCCCGACGCTGACGAAGACAAGAGACCCCCCTCCTGAGAAAGACGATGTTGATTGCAGTCTACACCGGAAAGGATGCTCCAAAGGAAGCAACATAATTTATAATAATGGAGTAATCTGGAATGACAATTTTTTCCTCCTTCTTTCCTTTCATCCTACTCTTAAGTGCATGACGATTCTTGTTATTTTATTTTATTTCATTTCCAGTACCCTCGAAATCCACGCGAGCGAGATAACACAAGGTCAGATCATCACTGTATACTGCGAGGCTTGATGACAGCAAAGTGGATTCGATGATGAACGTGCAACCACCTGGAGTCGGAGTTTATCCTGTATCTCTTTATGTTTTCTCATTTGTTATCTGCTGTCAAAGCTTCTCCATGTCGATACGAACTTCCTCCTGAGGGTTTGCAGAAAGAGTCCCGCCTGTTCTCTGATTCATTGCATTTGAACGATTTTTTTCTTCTCTTTTTTGTTTCCCCGTATGGGCTTAATAGAATGGGTCAGGTCCCGCATATCCGCATCTGAAAAGTTAAGGCATAGATAGCATAAGCTCCCGCCGGCGGTGGCTAGAGTTGTTTTGAAGTTTCCTGTCCGCCTACACGTCTATCTTTCTATACCAGAAGTATACCTTTGGCAGATGGGGAGATCACGATCAGGTCAGCGTTTGGCGTGCATCCAGTTCAACAGTGTTCTTTTCCTTGTAGGATGTGTTGTGCATGTTAGTTATTTCTTTTACTTTGCCACACCTGAGCCATTTACCGTACGTCATTCATCTTGCCAATAGATGGACAAGAAAAATTACAAGGAAGTCTGCATAGAGTAAATTCTTCCATTCTGTTTTGCTGCGCTTGTTGCTCTTTTCTCCTCCCATTTATAATTCCTTAGAGCCAGTTAAGCATGTCAAGTCACAATAACTAGTTACAGAGATGAATATCCACAGTAAACACAGCTTCCATTCTCTTGCTTCAAATACTGCAATATCTTCACCCTAAAACAGGTTGATCATCATCAGTTTGAGCGCAACACGCCCTGGACTTCATTCCAGGGCTCTCCTATTTTCAAAGCAGGCCCTTAGCCTATCAGCTGCCCTGGAGTGTCAAAGTACTGTACATGTTCCGGGCTGGACATGTCTTGCTGCAGTGAATCTCTGGAATCCCGGTTCGATGTGATAAAAACTCTCAACCGGGATATTCGAGTGCAGACGCGAAATCGATTAATCTTAATTTAAACCGATTTACGCGTTGTTTGGCAGACACGCGCAAAACCACCGCAAGATTCGAGCGGGGAACACGACTAGACAGGGAATCGAAGGGCGACCGCCTATCAACATGAAAGATTCACTTGTACGGAGTAATTGCTGGGGATTAAACGAAGGGATTAAAATTAGTTTTTAACTGACTCCGCGGCCGAGTCAAGGGTTGTGGATCTTTCTTGTATTTCCAACAATCTCTTTTGAAGGTTTTTTTTTTTTTTTTTTTTTTTTTTTCAACTAAGTTACTTCTGTCACTTTTCTTGTTACGAATGAACCTACTCATTCCATAATCAACGAAATAAAATCATCATGTCCAGCACTCCAGAGCCTGCGAACAAGAAGCGCGGTCGACCAAAGAAAGTTGTGGTCGTCGTAGCACCGAACAAGTCCTCCGCAGGCACAACCGCAGCCGCATCTACAACTGCGAACGCTGCCATACAAAGATCCAGCCCAACATACACGAACAATCCAAACCCCGCTACCACCACCACCACCATAACTCCACGCAAAGCGTCGACCAAAGCCCATCCAGCACCAGTATCAGAGATAAACCAGACAACTCCAGCAGCAATTAGGGAGAAATCCAGTGTGACGAAGGGCTGCCCGACCCCACTGAAAAGTTCCTCCGCACCCGTCCTCATCTCCGGATACTGCTGCTAATAATAATAATAATTGGGCTGATATTGGATCAACAGGCACGAAATCCCCATCTACCACCTCCACATCGAATCCACCTTCCCAGCTATCCATCAAGTTCCAAACGCCATCCACACAGTCGAATCCCCATTCGGCCACCGCGGCGATACGTGAGAAGCAGAAGTGGGATAGGAAGCAACAGGTGGGAGCGGGAGCTGGGCCTTCTACCGTTCAGGCTAATGGGGATATATCATCCCGGGCCAAGTCTGCCAGGATTGAGAACACAATTGTTGGACAGGGAAATCAGGGAGGTCTGAGGCCACAGCCGGAGACGATTCCCGTAAAACCCTTCGTTGACGGCGCTGCGGCGCAAGGTTCCAACATCCTCAACTCCCTGGCGGCTAGCAACAACAGTAAATCAGCAGCAGCAGAGGATAAGTTTAATAGAATTGCAGGGTCCACAGGGTCTACGACAAACATGGCCCCTCCCGTACGCAAGTTCTCAGCATCCCCTTCCCAGCAGTCGTCTTCTCCACCTCCTATCAAACCACCGGCGAAACGCGCCTCTCCTCTTTCGGCACAGCGGCTAAGCTCACAAAGATTGGAGCCGGCCCAGGCGCAGGCTGAGAGTGCTAAACTGCGAGATATCAGGCAAACGAAGCAGTATAAAACTCTGGCGAGACGGTAGGGTCCTTATATCTCAGGGCTCCTTCTTGAAAAGCGCTTTCTCCTCCAATCTCGATTTCCCATTCGTGTAAGAACTAGCTAATATTCACTGACGAACGATCTGCTTCCCCAGATGGACATCCGCCATGGTTGCATTACCGATCCTAATATATACCAGTTATGAGCTATATGAACGAGGTAAGAGATGATGCAGACTCCCACATATTATCATTATTATTAGAGTCTGCCATTGGGGAGTTGCCCGTTCTAAACTTGGTTTTGAAAACAATCAGTGTTCGCCAATAAACCCCCGCGCAGCCTACCGGGAACCAACCATTTCCCACCCGTGAATGAAAACTCCCGTTCTCCATCGCCATCGCCATCGCCAATCACGCCCTCATCAGCATCGACGACGGAAACCTGAAAATTCCACTTCTTTAGCTGTTCAATTTTTTTTTTTTTTTTTTTTTTTTGGGAAATGGTGCCGGATTACTCTCCTCGGGTTAAAAAAATAATAATAATAATTTCCTTCTTGAAGTTACATATTCATTACGGCTTTTATATCCTCCGCTCTTCCCCCTCTTTCTCGCAAATCATGAATTTTTATTTTATTCTATCTTGTTAACAGATTCCCTTGTGTATTAACTAACTTTACTTTCTTCTTTTTCTGTCTGTTCTGATATAGATTCTCGTTTCTTATCCCTCTTCCTCCCAACAACTCACAACTTAAATCCATGCATGTCTGCGTGTGTATATGTGTATTTATATATATTATGTTCAGGTAATATTTGACATGGTGAAGATCTTTACGCAAATAATTTTTTTTTTTTTTTTAAAAAAAAAATACTCCAGCTGTGCTTTCTTTCCAGGGGCCGTATACATTGATAGAGTTTGTGCTGTAGCTATTCCAACATCCACAAGAGAAAGACGGTCGTTATATTATCTATTATATCTAGGCTTCTTAATATAGTACAGATGATACTAAACGCGAATGGTCTAAAAAAAGGGGGGGGTGGGAAAGTATGGGATTGGAGGTAGTAACCAATGTGCCCGAACATCACGAAGTAAGAAAGAAACCAACAGGTTGAAGACACAATGGAAATAGCCAGAAAAGCAAAGAACAAAACGCTGCAAAACGTTCGTTTCATCAGTATCATCAAAAATAACCCAGGATAATCAAAAATCATTAAAATCAATCCGAAATCCGTCAGTGGGCACCCTGCCATTGCATGAAAATCATTATTCAAAATAATAAGAGAACAAAAAAAAAAAAAAATAAGGATAAATCAAATAGAACACTTCTCCCAATCTCCTCCTGCTCTCGCATAACTCAACCCCTCCACAAAATCCTTCAATCGACATCTCCCCAGCGAATCAACCTTGCACCCATGCAGCGGCACAACGCGATCATTAATCACCACACGGACCAGCGGCTCCCTCGCCACGGGCGTCGAATCACATTCCATTTTCTCGATATACGCCCTGGCAGCGAATGGGACTATCCAGGCGGCTGAAAACCCCTTCGTCTCGTTGGGACCCTGCACAGTCGAGTTGGACAGTGGCTGTGTGCCATTAAAGACGCCCAGGGCTGTGAAGATGGACGTCATCGTGTTGTCGTGGCCGAAGTCAGCGTACAGAGGCAGCCCAAGCGGGAATGTTTTCGGGTCAGAGTCCAGCGTGTGGTTGACGGAGGTTGAATCGCTGACGGGCTTGTTAGTTAGGCGGGAGATTAGCTCGTTGACAAAGCCGACGCCTTGGCTGGCCCCGAGTGGGTTGCCGGCTCCGAACCCATAGTATTTCCCTAGGGTGTTGTAATAATCGTACTGCGTCCACTCTTCATTGCTGAAGAGGTTACATAAGGGGGAGATGCTTCTCGCGTCTGGTGTGAAGGCCACAGTGTGAAAGGAGCAGAGGTCCATTAGGTGGACAATATCAGCGATGTCGAGATTGGAGCCGATGAGATGGGAGCTGAAGCGGTTGAGGATCGGAGAGGCGAATACTTTTGCAAATTGCTTCTGGACGATGTGGGAAGGCTTTATTTCTTCGAAGAGGTCACAGTTGCCGTGTTCGAGGGTGTTGTTGGAGCCAGGGTCCTCGCTTAGTATAACGGCCACGGATGGTTTGGCGTCCCTATCCGTTGCAGTTGGGTCACGTAGTTTCTCCTGGTAGAAGCCTTCGATGAATTTCTCTGCAGATACAATAACCCGTGGTGATCCAGAAGCACGGATGAAAATCTTGGATTTTTTCGTTAGATGTTGGTAACGGCGATAGAATTTTATTCCCGAGTCGGTCAACTGGGACTCTCCGAATGGAGTGAGATCATCTGTTTGAAGTTGATAATTGAAGGTTTCCAAAACTGCGAATTCACCGATGTATGTCTTTGTGTGATCCTGGATGCGTTTAATGAGTTGCGAGTAGGTTGCAGATTTTTTTTTGGTTGGATACCTTGCCCCATGCCTTGAAAGGACTTGAACGAAAGTAACTGTGCAACCAACGGGAATATCTGGAGAGATCTCCGAGGTGGTGCGTAGAGAGAAAAAAGGGGTGTATTGCCCCCAATGTTGAGAGTATTCTTGGTGGCATTGGTATCCATTCTGCACTGTGGTGCATACCAAACCTCTACCGGAACTTTTGTAGACACTGTTGCATGCAAAATCAGCAAACATTCAACTTTATCCAAGGTGGCTGTATTTATTTAATTTTCTTACAAGGCGACTATAAACCCTCCACATATCAGCATTAAGATGAGGACAGCGGAGACTGCAACGCAGCGATCCTGCAGATATGAACCCCTATCTTTCAGACTACAACGTGTCCATCGGCGTCGATCAGAATCCCCAACATCAGGCGATGACGGCGATGCTCTTGATTCAACCCCACGTTCTGATTCGTCGTCCGCATCATGAAGCGCGAGCAGCGCGGTTCGGTCGTTCGCTTCCATTGCACGGTTCTTTCGTGCGAAATGAGAAAACAGGCCTCTTCTCCAAATATATAGTCGCCAAAATAAAGAGTACGACAGCTCCTACCACCCATCAACCATCATAGAAGCAACAGGAATGAATGATATTCTTCTTCTATCCCATGAAACAGCGAACGTTCCATTAAAACGAAGATTCACAATGACCAATGGAAGAAAGAAACAAAAAACAAAAACACAAAATTGACCAAAAAAAAAAGAAAAAAAAGAAAAAAAAGAAAAAAAAAAGAGGGAGACAGAGTGAGTGAGAGACACGTTAACAGACGGTAGGATAAATGGCAGCCTGAGGGGGATGTTTAATATATAAATCAATATATCTTGATTGTTTTCGCTTCTCGAGCTTCTGAAGATTATATACTATCCCCGCCAATTACGTGTGTCGCAAATGGGGGGGTTAACGTAAAACCTTCGTGGAAGGGTGGGGGTCACGCGGATATCATGTGATCACCACATCTTCAATTGAATTCCAATGCAATCCAAATAAGTCGTGGATGAATCTTTTGGATGCGCTGATACGAATAAACCAAGGCTTAGTTGTATTGAAGGATGGCCCAGCAGAGGAATGGCGGCCAATGTCACTCTGGAGAGGGGTCCTGGAATTTACAGGCGAGGGAAAGAAAACGCTGCCCGAGGACGAAAAGGGGGATGGATGATAGATGCAGAGACCACTGGACGGGGCAAGCAACACACTATGTTAGCGGCGTCAAAGAGGAGAGCGTTCAGACCGGGCAAAAACCGGGCACAATGTGCGTTGATCAGGGGAATGAGGGGATATTGCATCGTCCCTCCTCAGGGAACCATCCTACCAAGGGGATAGATACAAGGGCGATGAGCACTGCTGACAAGGATAGTTTCACTGCCCGCTCGCAGCAACAGAGCTTTTTGCAAGAACCCACAAGTCCAGGAGCTAAAAAAAAAACCCTGTGAGAAATCTGCAAAATCTGCAAAAGGAGGGGAATCCCTCTGAGGAAGAATGAGGAGGAGGGGGAGGCCAATCCATGAAGTAAAATTCAAGGAGGAGGCGGCAACACACAGTGTCGGCATGCCAACTCAGCATGTGTCACCCCAACATCAGTCCGGCCGGTCAGACATGTCACCTGACTGCTTCTAACCCTAACAGTTAGTTTTATCAATGGTTTTTATTTTATTATATTTATTTATTTTCTTTTTGATTTCTCCCAGAGAGAGGGGAAAAGCCCAACTGCCCCAGGAGAGAGTTCCCACGTCTGCAGAGCGCAAGGACGGGGCGTGTGGGACTGTTTGGGCAATTGAGGGGGGCCATCTCAGTCAGTCAGGTGATATCAGGTCTGCTTGCTGGCAGCAGCTGCGGGGGAAAATAGGGGGAAAATGCTTGCATATCAATGGGGGGAACATATATTATGTGTACCATACACAGCTGCTTACAGAGTTAGCCTATCGAAGGCATTAACTCGGCTAATAATATATTGATTGCTTGCTCCTCTTTGCATGCTCTCTTCTCCCAGTCTTTTCTCTGCTATATTGCTCATCCCCAATCCCCACTTCGGAACGCACAATCGATAAGACACATGCAGCCCATTACATTGACCAGATATCCAGGGAAGCGGCCCAGAGGAAAGGGGAAAAAAAAAGAGGTGAAATATCAACATTCTAGATACAAATATGCTTCCTTCTGGGCGCAAAACACGGGGCTGAATTAAAGTGAAGAAAAGAAGAAGAAGAAGAAGAAGAAGAAGAAGAAGAAGAAGAAGAAGAAGAAAGAAATATCTGCAAGGAATGGGAGCGATTCCGGTGTAAGAGATTGGGACAGGGTAAACGAATGACAACTTCGTATTACGTGCACAGGCATAGCAGAGAGAAAGAAACAGGGGGGCAAGTAAAGGGAAATAAAACACGAGGTGGTAAACAAGAAAGGGGAAACCGTCAAAAATCTCCCAGCCAATGTTAGCAATAAAGATTCCAAGAAAAATCGCTATTACAGTACAATAAGGCAAGGTGAGGAAGCATGGAGATATAAAAAAAAAATTTAAATAAAACTACGAAACATGAAACGGAATGAGGCAGAGGACAGGGATAACACATTAAGGGAAGGCAGGAATATAATTTTGAGAGGAAACAAAATAAATCAAATTGAAGCAAGGGATGGAAAATAGCAATAACGAAAATCAAGGGAATGATGTTTGCAATCACAAACCACCTGTGCCTCCCAGGGTATCAATAAGTAAATAGAAAGAATAGGAGGAGTGCAGGTCCTTTTACCCAGTCGATATTAACCCCAAATGTAAAACCACCGCCATCTGAACGACACGCCCAGACATTAAAGCCGGAAACAAAATAAAAGAACTAACTCAACATCGGAGTGCTCAAAATCAGCTGGTCAAAAACGAGTGATGTGTTGATGAAGTAAAGCTTGAATTAGAAGGGAGGAAAGGAGGGAAGTAAAATTGAAATACAGTCCAGACTTCTGCACCTTCCGCTAGCCCCAAGGTTGCCCTCATCTTACCATAATACATGTTATGTTATGACTGGCTTCGAAATTGATATGGAGCGGGGGGGTGTGGGGATATCTCAATAGCCAGCTACTGTTGCAATGTTGCATAAGTTGAGCTCTCTGTTCTCTGCAGCTAACTCGTTCAGGTATCTTCTAGCTTGTCAGGGAGGTGTCAGCAGGACAGCCCGCTGGTCACGTGGTATCTGATCAGATCAAAACGCCGTTTGACACGTAGCTAGATCAATGCAACAACAACGTTCTCATCCCACCTAACTAACTGCTAGTACAATAAGTGGTAGAAAGAGAATTTGCACGGGCTGACCAAGCGACTACATGACTCATTCGACTATATGACTCATTGCCGGATCCTGACACAATCCTGACAGGGGGGGGAAAACTACAAAAGAAATGAAGAAGTCAAAACAAAAGGTTTGCCTTTTCACATCTCTCAAAATTTGACAACGAGCAAAGAAAAAAAAAAGGAATAAAAAAGAAAAGAAAAAAAAAAGTGAGAAAAGAAAAGAAGAAGGTTGAAAAGAAAGAAAGGAAAGGAAGAAGAAGATTGAAAAGAAAGAAAGGAAAAAAAGAAAAAGAAATCAGAAAAAGAGAAAGAAAAGGAGAAAACTCCTCAAAACGCTGGTACATAGTAATCAACGAATGGGAACATGTCACCGCTGATTTTGAGGAAACGGATGCACTCTGCTGTGAATTTATACCTATGAGCCAGGATTCTAGCTCCTGATGTGAGGGTTTCTTAGAAAGTAGAGATATGGTAGGGTGGTCTCTGGAGCAACACATGTTCGACGGAAACAGACCTGGCAAACCTGGACGAGCTGCTTGAGAGATCCAGGAAGCTGAGACTGTTGTGCTTGTTGGGAATGGGTTCGAATTTTGTGGGGGGGGGGGGGGGGACTTGGCGAGAACGTGCCTATCGGGGCCTCTTCGTTTTATTGGTTCTCACATATCTGACTCTCCGTCAGATTCAAAAACAAGAGACTGGGGTTGCTAAGCTATACGGTCCAATCCCAGATCTCTGCCATACAAGGCTTTGAAAAAATCTCGTTCCGCGCGGTAGAAACCCCTCGCCTCCGTTAAAAGTTTAATGTCGTCCTCCTGTCTCTCCGATTTCTGTTTCATCTCGTTCTCGTTTAGTTTTCTTCCTTTCCCGAAAACTCTAGGAAGCAGCACAATTTTCAATCGTTTCTCCGCCGCTTTCCAAGATCCAGCTTCAAAATCAGTTGGAATGTTCGATTGTGATGATTGGATCCCTTATCGAAGAAAAACTGCTCTGTGCGCTTACGAATGTGCAAGAAAAACCGCTATTCTGCGGCGTTCGACCCCAGCTTTCTTCATCAGTGAATGGGACGCCTATATGCTGGGGTGGAAGTGAAATCGGCTGCTGGAGCAGATTGGTTCGTGGATATATATATATGAGCATGCGAAACCTGGAGCAGCGGGCTGTATGCTGTCTGTGCCATATCTAAGGTTGTGTTCTGCGGTGCTGGGCCTTGTCGTCCTACAACAGGACACGAATCGCCAGGGAAAGTAGTTGGACGGTGGGATAGTTGGGACATGAAATACCGCGTTGATTGGAGTTCATCCATGAACGATCGTACCAGCGAGTCCCATACGGCTGAGGAACGAAGGGTTTTTGCTCCACAAGCATGGTACCACGAACTGCGGGTGATATAGCCGTGAGTATATGGCGTTGTGGTACTGGTGAATATGGAGTTAAACCCATAGGGGATGGAGTGGCTGGTGCATGGGTGGAAGGAGAAGAAGACGTATATGGATTGGTCTCCAGAAGATCACTTGTTCCCTGCCGGGGAGATGGGACTAAATCCAAATTTGAGAAGGGGTTAAGGATGATTCATCCCTATGGAGGGAGTTATTGAAGGTGGAAGGAGAAGAAGACGTATATGGATTGGTCTCCCGAAGATCACTTGTTTCTGCCGGGGAGATGGGACTAAATCCAAATTTGAGAAGGGTTAAGGATGATTCATCCCTACGGAGCGAGTTATTGAAGGTGGAAGGAGAAGAAGACGTATATGGATTGGTCTCCCGAAGATCACTTGTTCCCTGCCGGGGAGATGGGACTAAATCCAAATTTGAGAAGGGGTTAAGGATGATTCATCCCTATGGAGCGAGTTATTGAAGGTGGAAGGAGAAGAAGACATATATGGATTGGTCTCCCGAAGATCACTTGTTCCCTGCCGGGGAGATGGGACTAAATCCAAATTTGAGAAGGGGTTAAGGATGATTCATCCCTATGGAGGGAGTTATTGAAGGTGGAAGGAGAAGAAGACGTATATGGATTGGTCTCCAGAAGATCACTTGTTCCCTGCCGGGGAGATGGGACTAAATCCAAATTTGAGAAGGGTTAAGGATGATTCATCCCTATGGAGCGAGTTATTGAAGGTGGAAGGAGAAGAAGACGTATATGGATTGGTCTCCCGAAGATCACTTGTTCCCTGCCGGGGAGATGGGACTAAATCCAAATTTGAGAAGGGTTAAGGATGATTCATCCCTATGGAGGGAGTTATTGAAGGTGGAAGGAGAAGAAGACGTATATGGATTGGTCTCCCGAAGATCACTTGTTCCCTGCCGGGGAGATGGGACTAAATCCAAATTTGAGAAGGATTAAGGATGATTCATCCCTACGGAGCGAGTTATTGAAGTTCGCCATAACGGGTCTGGGGTTCCTGTCCTCCGTGCCACTACTGCCGCAGAAGTTCCCCTAGGCAGCTGTGGCTCTAGTGTTCGGAGACTGGTCATTCCGGTTCCAGAGAGGTGGTTCAGTTGTCATGATAGTTTTGTGGACATTGGGGGAAGGACTGTTAGATGGAAAATCTTGTGTATATGGTCGCTTTGATATAAGTTCCTGGTCTCTTCTGAAGGATTGCTCTCGTGTATCGGAATATGGACGCTTCTTCCCTCTCTCTTGAACACTCGGGCCCTCAAACGGTCGAAAATGAGAGAGTGATGTCAATGTGATATTTTCCTGATAAACTTCTGTTGAAGCTTTGCTCACGAACTGGGGCCACTGTAGCCCGGAGAAGTCGAGGAGGATTTGGGGGACATTCCGAAATCCCATGAGCAGCCATGATGGATGCTTCGAAGGAAGGCGATACAAAGAATCATGCTCAAACCAAATTAATACATCTTGAGGAGGACGAATTTGCAAGTCACTGAAGGCATATGCTCTCAGGGGGGTCGGAGGGTATGAGTGAGGAACTCAGAAAGAGCTTCAGCTCAGATGCATCAAAGGTCTTTCAACTTTGCATGAAGAACGTATGAGAAGCCCAGCGAAGGAGCCAAATAACTTGATTTCAAGTGAAGCAGAGAAAGCTTGATCTTTAAGGAGGGGAGTCTTCAAGAGATCAATCATTAAAAAAACAAAAGAAGGGGATAGGGAAAGGTGACAGTCGATCAGGAGAGTGCGGACATCCACCACAGTTAGATCATCAGCACTTCGGTTTATCGCTGGTCATAGGCCCGTCACACAAACACAACACAGCCTTGGAGACCAGTGGGACCGGGGACCGCGGGAAGGCTTTGGTGAGCACTGAGGAACAATAAATGCCCTTAACAAAAGCAAACACAGAAACAGAGCCTAAGCCTCAGACAATAGGGCTGCTGATGCATGGAAGGGTGCCCACGAGAATGGTTGAGGGGTGGTGATAGGACTATATCGGCGCGCTAGGTGCCTACTCGAGGCCGGCAATTGGGCAAATAGTTTAAGGCCTTCGAGAAATCGGCGTGAATGGTTTTTGCTGAAAGATCGTTGCACAGTCCGTCGTTTTTATCCTTCGACGGTCCATCCCAGCTGTTTTGCAAGTGACCCACCCCGATTTTGGACTTGTTAAGTAGTAAGGGACTTGGAAGTCGATGGTCAGTGACGCAAGATTCGGTAATAAAAAGAATAATATGTATGTATGTACAGTACACGCTGGTCTTGCTGTTATTGACGTTAGCCATAAGCGGCCTGTGAGTATCCAATGTTATTTGCAAAGATCCGCCGTGTCAAACTCCTTAGCTTAGAAAAATAGTCAATAACTACTACTTGCGTAAGTAATTTATTATTAATTTCAGTGGGTTCATTTCAGCTTGTTTCCTCTTCTTTTTCCTGGTCATTTCACTTCATTTATTTTATAAATACAAATATATATATATATATATATATATATATATTGGTTTTTGCTTACCCGCTAGTTGTTGCGAGTCCGCCGCGCTACTTACCTGGGGAATACTCTGGACCATGTCCCCCTCAACACCGAGCAGGGTCTTGTTATTTTGACAATGCCACTTGTGAAAAAGTGACAAAATTACCACCCAGAGAAACAAGTTCCATGACCGTTAAAATGTCTTGCAACAAATTGCTTCATGCTGCATGCGTAGTAATATCTAAATGCGTTTGGGTCAACTCTGACACATCTATCAAGGGTAGCGATTAAGTTCTGAGGTACTGAGGTGATGGTTCACGAGATGACACAGGGGCAAAGCAAAGCATCAAATGCAATTCTTGCATGATGGTGGGCAGTCAAGATTAGTTAGCTCACAAGAGCAGATAACAATGCAAAAACATAAACTGACCATGGCAGATACTTGTTTCTGTGTGTCCTGGAAATCCACGACCCCTTTCTTCTTCGATTTCGTCCAGGTCGGTGTCTGACACTCAAAACTATTTTTATTATCGTTCTGATTCGATAACCATATTGATTTGCTCCCCTGGGACCAAAGAGTTTCTGATGGCATTGGAAGCACGCAATGAATCCCTTAATAAGTATCATTACCAAGTTACCCTCCGGCGGCTTGGGCAGCTTTCTCTGCTCCGGTTCAAACCAGCACAAGGTGGGTGTTGAAATGCATTCCCCACATAGAGTGCTGTAATCGGGAGACGATAATCATTTCGTTACGTTGCAAAAAGCATTTGCTAATGCCCACCCAACATTCAACCACCACCCTCAAAAGTTCCCTGGTGGAAAATTCTCTTCACGTTAACACTATCACTTTGACCAGGCCTTGCGGAAACTCTCCAGAGAGCACATCGCCACACTGTCAATAGAATGCTGGGGTAAACTTCGTAATCGGTAAAGATGGAGGACAATCGAATGCTATGAGAATGGGGAATACTGTTCGAGTTGAAGGTTATATTAATACAGGCTTCACAAAGCTGGGGTTTTTCTAACTTTGACATTAACCCTCAAGCGTGTGATTTTTCTCATGTCGCGAGCGTCTCGAAATCAACAAGCATTCTCGAGACAGTGAGAATGACAGAGAGAGTGACCAATAATAGATTTAATTAAATTAGACCGAACCCATCTCCGCTTTCTGTTGGAGCTTAAACCTGTCGTTTGCAAGTGTACTCCGTACCTGCTCTGTACCATTTTTGGTGATAAAATATAGTACGGCGTCCATCCATGCATATGCTGCCATGATAAATTGAGGGTGTAAAACGGTGATATGCCCTTTAGGTCTCCTCGTTGAGCAATGTTATTGGTGCCCATAACCTTGGAGATTTCTTTGTCAGTTTCCTGATATAATAAAATATTTCATGGTTCCATCGATCAGCAATATTAATTTAGATCATCCGTCAGTCCAAAATATGGAATTCTTGGTCGCCTCTTGTGTCGTATTGGATGTACTGCAGTCAGTTTCTATGCTATGTATTCCAATTCTCCACAACACCCGGAATGAGCCGTTGGCAGTAACTACTTAGTGTCGGCTAGGGCTGTGGGAGGAGATTTGCCCCTTGGGAAAAGGTTCACATCAAGGCTTGAAAGGCCCTGTACACTGTACATGATTTACGCATAATTTATCCATTATTATTTCATTGTGTTTTTATTGAGGTAAATATTTTCACAAGCTTCATCAGCTTTACTGATATTATTTTATCTATCTGGTTTCTTATTCTTATAGGAATTATTCAAATTATCATTGAGTTTATATTATTATATTAGTTTATGCAAAGAAATCTAAATAGTTATCATCAATACTCTGTTTATCCTTTTCAGTATTTCATTCTCAGAATATACTTAAATAATTTATATTCAGTATAAAAAAAAATTCAATAGACCAGTCATCAGTTTAAGGCGCTGATAACTGACTGCTGCACACGGCTGGCTGACGTTACCCGACTTTCACGGTACGCCGTATGAATTTCCCTTATAAAATTACCCCACTCGGACGTTGGGCGTCCACATCAATGTGGCGGGGACAATGGCCAACGGCCTCAGAGCCTGGTTGTCTTACATCTTTGACGTGGCTATCAATCCAAAAAAACTAATTGGCCATAAAAATTGAAAATTTTCCAGACATTCTTGACACAACCAACAGCGGTGAATGAGCATGATGTGATGAGACGAAGGTTCCTTGTTCCGTGGCTGAAGGATTATGGAACTTCGAAAACCCCCCCCCCATGGAGTCATCCCGTACGTATGTGGGTGCAGGCAGCATGTACACACGTTGCATCGAATAGAACTGCCGTCTGTCACCTCAGGAGCATGAAATAGCGGTCGGTACTAATACACCTGTGCACTGAAGAGCTTCCATAACTCAGGAACCAATTTAATGCCCCCCTCAACAGCAAAGAAAAAAAGGCTATTAAGAGAAATGCACCTTGGCATCCCGGGGCGTCCAGAGGAGGAGATATGGGAAAGAGGAAGAAAATTATCCGCAAGAATCTACAATTTAATTCCATCCTCAGATTATTCTCTGTAATGATATGGTGCAGCAAAAAAAGCATGGCTCAGGTGCTCAATGTTCCTTTGACAGAATTGCAACATACAAACACAAGTGAACAATCAATGAACAGATTAAATGACATGGGCAGCCAGTGAGGTGTGCAAGAGCTGAAGTAGTTTTAAACCTTCATTGGCATCAAGATATAGTAATATTTCATTCCTATATGATATAGTTATAAGCATTGTCATCATTCATTGATCGGTTTTAATGGAGGAGATTATTCCAGTGGAATGAAACATTTATTTTCCCCTTGTCATAACCCGGAAAATATCCATCTCAAGTCAGTCCATTCAAAGGTCCTGGTTCTCCTTGATCAAATATAATGTCTTACAAAAAATAAAAGTTCTCCTCACAGCACGGTTCCCATGTTAACATGCACAGCTTTGGTCTGCGTGTATGCATCCAATCCCGCTTCACCCAACTCACGTCCAATACCGCTTTGCTTCACTCCACCAAATGGCACACGGAAATCGCTGTCGTTGCTGCTGTTGATCCAAACCATGCCAGCTTCGATCTCGCTCGCAACATAATGCGCGCGTTGAATATCCCTAGTGAAGACGGCTGCACCAAGACCATACGTGGAATCATTTGCCATTCTGATAGCATCCTCTTGAGTCTTAAAACTCGTGATAACAACAAACGGGCCGAAGACTTCATCACGGTAGACCGTCATGTCATCCTTAACGCCAGTGAAGATGGTGGGCTCGATGAAGAAGCCTTTTCCATCCCCAACATTCTTGCAGGGTACACCCCCAGCGACAAGAGTGGCACCTTCAGCCTTAGCACTTTCGATGTACCCGAGTACCCGCTCATATTGGGACTTGGTGATTTGCGGGCCCTGGAAGGTGTCATCGGAAAAGGGATCGCCGATTTTGCTCGTGGAGGCGACGACCTTCTTGAACAATTCGACAAATTTGTCGTGGACGGTGTCCTGAACAAGGATGCGTGAAGTGGCCGTACAAATCTGGCCCATGTTGGACATAACACCAATATGTGCCCATTTAGCTGCTTGATCCAGATCAGCATCCTCGAAGACTAGGAGCGGGGATTTGCCGCCAGTTTCTAGGGTGATATTTTTGAGGTTTGCGGCAGCCATTTTCATGATTTCGCGGCCAGTGGTTGTGGAACCGGTAAAGGCAATTTTGTCAATGTCAGGGTGGCTGGCGATTGCCGCTCCTGCATCTCTTCCAAAGCCATTGAGAATGTTCACTACGCCAGGAGGGAAGCCAGCTTCCCTGATAAGGGTCGCAAGATATAGAATGCTGAGAGGAGTCTGCTCCGCAGGTTTGAGGACGACTGTATTTCCGCAAGCTAACGCAGGGCCCAATTTCCATGCTGCCATTGCCAGAGGATAGTTCCAGGGTATGATCTGACCAACCACGCCAATGGGCTGGCGTAGAGTGTAGGCAAACTTTCGGGACGAAGTACTTATGGTGCTGCCAAATACCTTGTCGGCAAATCCGGCGTAGTACCTGAGCGTCTCTGCGACTTCTACGCAGTCCTCGTCGTGCGCAACGGAAAATGGCTTGCCTATACACATACACCAAGGATATTGTTGAGCACAATATCAAACAAGTTAAAGGCCAAACAGTCGTTCTAAGGGTGATCCGTACCGTTGTCCCAAGCTTCGATTGTAGCTAGGGTATCTATGTGTTTAAGGACAAGGTCTGACAGTTTGACAAGCAGCTTTCCCCTATCTGTTGGGGAGAGGTCTTTCCATGTGGGATCCTTCAATGCCTTGCGAGCAGCTTTTACAGCAGCATCCACGTCCTGTTCGCCAGCTGCCTCAACGTCCGCGATCTTGGATTCATCTCTATGGCATCCAGGCGTCAGGAATTATTCCAAAAAAAAAAAAAAAAAAAAAAAAAAAAAAGAGCTACCCAACAGCCTGAGTTTTGGTAAACTAACGTGGGATTGATCGAGGTGATCTTCTTTCCGGACCTGGCTTCCACGAATTCGTTGTTTATGAACAATCCTAGAGGTTGGATATATTCGAGGCCATTCGGCGCAGTAAGTTTCTCTGAGAGAACAGACATTTTGGAACCTGTGCTGGAGAGATATCTGCCAGATATAATTGAACTTGACGCTGAAATGAACAGTTTTCGGGAAAGTCTGCCAGCCGGCAGAATGCGTAAGCGCATGGGGGTTGTTCTTAAATAATGCCGAGGGCCAGGATGGTAAAATGGGGCAAAGGCAATATGCCCCCAGTAAAACCTTACATTAATAAGTCATTGATACGTCTTTGCTCTTTTTCCTTGCCCGTTCTCGGGGACATGCAGAGTCGATGACGTGTGTGGAGTGTGGTTCAATGGTGACCCCGCGAGCGAAGCAACTCAACCAATCAAGGGCAAGCGCCTCTTGGCCCCGCTCAGCACCAAACAACAGAGCTTCCACTGCAACCGTTCTTGTGAACAAATCGTCACGGATATCCAAAATATCAAACATATGCTTTATGCTTCTAACGGTCCGGCTCCACTGCTCTGCTCCCACCCCTTCAGTTTCCCATATCCTCCGCCTTGACACGTAACTAGCGGCAGTCTGTCTGCCGAGCATTTCCTGTGCCATGGCAGATATGCAAGCAGACCCCGAATTGGAATTGGACGAGCAACCTGACTCTCGCATTGACCACGCCGCCTCTATCGAGTACTGGAATTCAGTCGCCCCAACACCCAGTGGCATGCTTGGTGGCTACCCCCAAGTTTCTGCAATTGACCTGCGCGGCTCCTCCGCCTTCCTAGCCAAGGTTCGTCGGTTAATACCTTCAACCGGCTCTGGGAATATCAAGCTAGGAGTTGACTGCGGTGCTGGCATCGGTCGTGTCACTGAGGGCTTCCTAAACAAAGTATGCGATATTGTGGATATTGTCGAGCCTGTTGAGAAATTCGTCGACGTAATCAAACAAGGGAAGCTATACAAGGAGGGGAAGATCGGCGACATATATATCACTGGCCTGGAAAATTGGACACCAACGAAGTCTTACGACTTGATCTGGCACCAGTGGTGTATGAACCATCTCACGGATGCTCAGCTGGTGGATTGTCTGGTCCGGTGCAAAGATGCCCTGTCAGAAACAGGATTGGTGGTAGTTAAGGAAAATATTTGCTCGGATAACACGCGAGATCACTATGATGACGTGGATAGGACGGTCACCAGAACCGATGAAAAATTTAGAAAACTGTTTCGGCAGGCAGGATTGAAAGTATTGTGGTCAGAGGAGCAAATGGGATTTCCACAGAGATTAAAATTATTGCCGGTCAGATTTTGGGCTCTGCGCCCTGAGACATGAAAGAGTTGCCACTGTGGAATGTCATGTATAGATCTGAAATATATAATTAATACTAGCAGCACATCTCCTGTCTCACGGACACGTAGCAGCCGTATATAAGTGAAGGCATCCAAGCTAGAGGAAGTTGGAAGTGAAATGATTTTGTGAATCGGTCGGACTCTTTAGCACCACGAGATGGAAGACTTGTTGGGCAACAGGATAATATGGCTGGTGAAAAGCTACGGATTGGATCATGGCCAAATCTCCACGAGTGGGCTGGGAATTCGGGCAAGCATCAGGTAAGAAAAACACCCGGATACCTTCAAAAGTAAATCATCTTAATATATGGGATATACAGCGGAAGCTAGGAGATATAATAAGACACGAAAAATTCTGCCCAATCCGAGTCGAGAGGCTCTCTTGATTGCAACTCAGTCACTCACTTCTTACTCCTCTCCAACCAAGCTCATGATGAATTTCCACTCATTCCTACTCACGACCGACACGCTCAACCGAGACTGTTTTGTCATCTGCATATTCTCGAGCGGCCCACCTGGTTTCGCGTATGACTTGAGTTCAGCCAAGGTGATCAAATCCTTGAACTTGCGCCTGAACTCCACGTGTACAACCTCCCATTTGGGATTCTCGCGGCTGGATTTCTCGTCATAATACGGGTGTGCTGGATCGAATGCGGATTCTTTTTCAAATCCCAAGCAAGAAAATTATTAGAGAAGGAGTTTTCAATTACATTTTTCCCACATGATGTTATTCTTCTTTCTTATTGCCCATTCGGGATATACGCACCGTCAACAGAATGTTCCCGGACAATTTCCATTATTCCAGCAATTCCGGGCACTTTGCAATTTGAATGATAGAAGAAAGCCAAATCTCCCTTCTTCATGGCACGCATATTATTTCGTGCTGCGGAATGGTTTGTTTAGTCTCAACGCAACGCGAATGATACTTTGGGTCAATATTGAACTGTTGAACCTACCGGTAGGATTTCGAACGCCTTTTTGAAAATTCACATTAGAGTAAGACTTGATAAGCATCCATAGACCCGTAGAAATATTGGGTATTGCAGAGGGCTCTCACCATCCCACGGCTCCGGCTCCTTCGCCTCTCTCAAATCATCGATTGAGAACTTAACATCAACGCCCTTTTCAAACCTTGATTCGGGCTCTGCCTTCATAAGCCAGTAGGATATGCCATCATCTTCTCCTTTATCGTCATTCTGGTCACTATCTGGTGATTTGTTGGCTTTTGATTCTGTCGTCATCCCATGTGCAGCAACAGCAGAGATTGTTTCGGATCCCCTTCTTCTCTCCCTTGCAGCTAATTTTTTATTCCTGGAGCTTGATTTTGAGGCTAGAGCGGATGAGCCAGCAGCGGCAGCTAATGTTGCGGACGGTAGAGTAAATTGGTGGGTTAGCACATAATAAAATATTGCTCGAACAGACATATAACTGGATAGACAAGGAGAAAGTGTAATCCACTCTGCTACAAGATAGATCGTTCGGATATCTTTTTCAATAATTGAATCGCAGACAAATAAAAATTGAGGATGGGATGCATACACATATGGCCGTCTTGAAACACCTGGCGTTCCCTGGCCCAGAAAGAAAAAAAGTAAACCGAAGTTAGAGACGAAATGAGACGAGAAGGGATGCTCGAACCTTTTTCATCTTTTGTATTTCTAGCATTGGCACCACCAGCACTGTTCTTTTTACTTTTCAGAAACGATGGTAGTGATTCCTCGTCAGCAATAGACGCACGACTGGTTCTTTGGGGCCGGGATGAGGCTGCAGTTTCTGCTACAGGTGAAATAGAATTGATGCAGCTCAATCGTGGCTTTTTCTTATCTCTTTGACCAACACCATTTAAAGCGGCGGAAGAAGCGGCGGTTGATTGACGTCTTTTGGGAGGCATTATGGATTTTCAGGGCTCGTACGATGCCAACAAGGTGACTTGATTCCTGAGATCTGCAGAATATGAATAGGTTCCCCCAAAGGAGGCATCCAACAATAGATAGCAACTGTTTGGAACTGAAGGAATTCTATAACTAGTGATATATGCATATCATATTCCTTCAACCAATAAAACATTAAATATGTATATATATTCTGATGTTTTTTTGGGCAAAGCCTGCAGTAAGGAGCTCGTTATTTAGTTTTCACGTGCTTCTTTACTAATTTATAGTTAGTTAATACAGTCATTCTTCACGCCGAAACTTATCAAAACTTCTAATTCCCAAGATATACAGAATGACATTTAGAAGCCCTGACAAGTGTTACTTGTACCTCAAAATGCCGATTTCTGAAGTGCGAGATATCGGCAATAGCAGCGACATGTCAATTGTCTAAAGATGATACATACATAGGTGTGTCTTCTCACATATATGGTTGATCCATCCAGTATGTCGATGTGGTTGATGAAGAGGGAATAACTGCTGTACCTATCTATTCCATCATCTCCACAGTTCTGCTGTCGGACCATCTCATCATCCCAGGACTAACTAGTTAACGGTAATAACTAATAAGTTCAAGGTCTGAACCTCAACTATCAAGCAGATTTCAGTGTTTTCTGGTGGAGACCTCTCGAGTTGCATCGGGTGCCTTCATTTGTTAAGGCCTGGGTGAATCGGCTCAGCCCACTCCAACCCTCTGGAGTATGCCATAGACCCTGAGTCTGACGTTGGTGGGGGTGAGCTGTAACTTAACTTTCAACCCGGTAAGGGTTAAAGTTCTGGCATCATTTCCGGGAGGGTGACTTTGAACAACTGTGATTTATAATAAGCCCGGGATCTGTAGATAACGCTTACAAGCCGGTATTCCATCTCGAGCTTCGCAAATACCTAACATCCGAGAGGCAAACGCTAACTAGATTACTATAACGCCGAAATCCTTAATAAATGCTAGCGGCGGCACTCGACGAAGAGCGGAGGTTGGATGACATGCAGAAGTCATGATGCTTGTTAACGACTTGCGTGGGACCGGTTACTTAAGTCTGCCCAGGTATCCCCCCTATTCTCTGCAAATATGTTTTTTTTTTTTCATCGACTAACTTATGCACTTTCACGACATCATCGTGACAGAAAGAGATTGCAGAAAAGTACTTTGAAATGCCGCATAGGATTGCGAACTCATCTAAAGCGCGGACTCGCGCGCAAGATGAGAGAGCGGTACCAAATTCCGAGGCCGAGAAGGAATTAAGAGAACCGAGTGTACATCTCCAGCAACCCCAAAGTACAGCAGTAACATCGCAATCAGGAAAGTGTGCTGAAGATACCATCAAGGCGGAACAGCCAAGGCCAGTAGAACAACTGGAAGACGAAATACAATATCACTATCTGACCTTTGACACCTTATTGCCCTCTCCTACTGGCATCTCAATTCCCCGATCAAATAAGCAGCCACCTCCCAACCCGCCCGATCTACGACCATATATTTCTTCTCCCTATACATGGCAGAGGTCCCGCAAAAGGGTTATAACGGCGCTATCGTGCCTTGTTACGTGTCTGGCCTCAGTGGCGGCGGGTGCCTATAGCCCCCCTGAGAAGATACTCACAGAAGCATGGGGGATAAGTAGTGTGGTATACAATCTCGGAATCACATTGTGTAATATTGGATTTGCTATTTCGCCAATGGTGTCGGCGCCGTTTTCAGAACTCAATGGACGGAGGCCATTGCTTGTATGTAGCGGGATAATATTTTCGAGTGAGTGTGGTCAATCAATACCAGTTTTGCAGTGTGCGTGTGAAGCTGATATTTGCGGGATAGTTAGCCAACTAGGCTGCGCTGTTACAGAATCGTTTGCTGGCATGCTGGTTGCTCGATTCTTCCTTGGAGTGGGAGGCTGTGAGTTCGACTTGTCCACTGCCCTTGGAAAACACTGTTCCATATCTATCTGTGTTCTCAAATTAACGAACTACTAGCAACCTACTCATCCATTATTGGCGGGGTGCTCAGCGACGTCTACATTACCGAGGAGCGCAATACTCCCATGGCCCTATTCTCAGGAGCTGTCTTCTTCGGTACCGGCTTTGGCCCCATGGTTTCCAGCTTTATTGTCTATCACGTCTCCTGGCGTTGGGTATTTTACATGCAGGCGATTCTATCAGCAGCGGTTACCGCAGCAGTTGTGGTATTTTTCAACGAGACGCGTGGCAATGTGCTGCTGAGCCGAAAGGCGCAAATGCTAAACAAATGGTATGAAAAGCTTGAGGAAGCTGGATATATTGGTGTCGATATGCCTGTGGATGGGCAGCCGCTTTCTGCGGAGGGATTGCGACAAACACAGCGAATTAGATGGAAGGTCAAGGCAGATGAGGAGAGAGAGAGTATTGCCAAGGTCATTGCGATCTCGCTCTGTCGACCGTTTCGTAAGTTTGAGAAACCCTGGATACATACGTTTTTAGTGGTTTGGCTAACATGGCAAACAACGGTAGACCTGCTCGTTACAGAGCCTGTCCTCTTCTTCTTTTCTCTCTGGGTCTCATTTAGCTGGGCAGTTTTGTATCTTCAATTCGGTTCCATTCCGCTTGTTTTTGAAACCAATCACGGATTCAACCTGCAACAATCCGGTGCTGTTTTCACATGTATGCCTCCGCCTCCCTCTCGTTAGTCCTTCTCCGACCCCACACCTCAATCCAATTTCAATTCCCTAACACGCAGCCTCTCTCTAGCAATCTCCGTCGGCGGTATAATTGCCACATGCATGAGTATTTGGCAAGAAAATCTAGTCAGGCGCCTAGGTAAACTATCCAACACCCCTGAGGACCGCTTATACTTTGTATGCATCACGTCGATCTTGATGCCGGCGGGAATGTTCTGGTTTGGATGGACGTCTTTCTCCTCCATACATTGGATTGTCCCTTGTCTTGGCTTGGTCTGTGTTACTATTGGCATACACTCGATTTACCTAGCGGTGTTTAACTATCTGGCGGATACGTACCATCGGTACGCCAGCTCGGCATTAGCGGCGCAGTCGTTCTGTAAGTCGGACAGGGTCCCTCTTTACTCGGCCTAGCCGGTAACGAGTCAGTGTCTTATATAAGAATATGCTTTTGCTAAGTTTTCGATACTCTGGAGCAGGTCGAAATATTCTTGGCGGTATATTCCCACTCATAGTGCGAGCCATGTTCATCAATCTTGGGTATCCAGGGGCATCAAGCTTGCTGGGAGGGATCGTAGGCTATTCTCCTATCTGGCTGTCATGTTTTTTTTCTGTTTTCAAGTGAATAATTCGCCGAGCGAGAAGCTAATGCACACAGCTACGGGCAAACAGGGCTCAGTACTCACGATCGTGCCGTGGGTGCTTGTATTCTTTGGCCCGAAGATCAGGGCTCAGAGCAAGATTGCAAGTGTAAGTTGGGTTAAAAGTTTGTTTCTTATTCAGTCTGCCCTTTCTGATCCTCCTCTTTTCATTATTTGCTGATTGCACTTTTGTTCTCTAGGAAATCATGAATGAAGGTGAATGAGAGATGTGGATTTAATAGAGAGCTAATACTGCTGAGAGTCAACCAAGCAGTAACTGTTTCATTCTCTGTTAAGTGACATGGTTTTGCACTTCTTCTGAATGGGTATAGATGGGTATAGATGGGTATAGATGGGTATATGAATTTCTAGATATGTATATATAGTATAAATGAGAGATATTGTCTAAATCGCCTCATTGCAGTCTTTGAATGCATTTTAGCAAATTTTTTTTTCTTGTATTCAGTTTTTTTTTTATTTTTTATTTTTTATTTTTTTTGTTATTTATTATTTATTTTTTTATTTTTTTATTATTTATTATTTATTTTTTTATTTTTTTATTTTTTTTTTTTTTTGCAAATATATAATTTTGCATAGAGATTTCATGATAATATTAATTTCCATCTGTTTCTCTGTCTTTGTATATCATCTTTTCTTTTAAAAACAAAAAATAGAGCACTTCTCACAGTATGAAGCAGAGTTGAGAAAGCAACTGAAAGGGAATGCAACACACAGTTGCATTTGATAAACTCCTCATAGTCTGCAAAGTCAGTGATTTAGTTATCCTAATGAAAATAGAACCAACAAAGGCACTTGAATAAATATATATATAATGACCTGAATGCTAATAATATAAAGAGCAATACGAGAAGACCATCAACATAACCTTCAACACATAGCTTCAATCTTGAAGAGATGTGTTTCCTCTTTTAATAGGAACCTGTTGAGAACTCCCTTACCTCTCGAAATTCATTCCCCACATCAAAGTTAGAGATCATTGACTCTAAATATAGTAATAATCTTGATAAGGACGTAGCAAATCAGAGTTCTTGTAGAAATGTCTTCCTGTGGCTGAGAATCACTCCTCTCCTTTCAGAGCAGACGAGAAAGCTATGAATAAACTCAATCATCGCCTCTTCTGTTTAAGACTCTTTGTCCTTCAGAGAATCTTCTTCATCTGCATGAAAATTCTTTCCCCTGAAAACGCTCTCTCTCTCTCTCTCTTCGGTGCAACGAGAGAGACAAACCACCACATCTGCAAATAAGCGAAAGGTTCTGGACGGTTGGAGTGGGGAGAATGCTACGCCCATACCGTATCTGGACTAGCACCAGTGTCAAGGCCGCAAAGGACTGGCAGGCACTCGATTTCGCGGCTAAGGTTATTATGTCAGCAGATTAACGATGGCCCCACCACGCGCGGGCCAATCAGCAGGTTCTGCCCCTGGTTGGAAATTGCGTGATTTTGCCATGGGATGCTCTCAAGAAGGAAGGAGGGGCCATCAAATTCCGTCAACATCGAGGAAAGGGAAGGTGCGTTGGTTGGGCTGGTGGGTTGCTTACGGAGCATCTCAAGGGAAGGGAAGCAAAATAGTTAATTAGTGTAAAATGCTAACTTAACCATTATTTTGCTGGTTGGTTTGCTCGTTGTTAAAATCCCAATTGCCCCCGCCATCCCCTCCGCCCGTCCTCCCCATTCCTCCTCCTCCTCCTCCCCATCTCCCCTCCCCCCCCAGCTCGATATTTTTGGGAATCTCGTTCTTTGAGTTCATACACGACAACACGACACCTCGCTCTGCAAACAGAGAGTCCTTGAGAAAATCGATCTCTTGATCGTTCGCTGTATATCCTTTAAATCATAATCATCCACGTTCACCATGGCTGAAGAACATCGTGCTCCGTAAGTTCCGCTTTTACTTACCCCCCCCCCCCCCCCTCCTCCAGCTGCTGTTGCTCACTGGTTGTGTCTCTTCTCAGTCTCCGCCTGGGGTCAACTGCTCCAAATTTCAAGGCTGTTACCACCAAGGGTGAAATCGACTTCTACGAGTTCATTGGTGACAAATACGTCGTTCTCTTCTCTCATCCTGTATGCCTCCATTGTGCTTGTTGACACCCCCACCTCAGGAGGGAGACCAAGGGAGAGAAAGAATAAAAAGAAAAGAAAAGAAAAGAAAAGAAAAGTCATTGATTGGATTTCCTTCAACTCTAGGATGATTTCACTCCTACCTGCACGACTGAACTCGGAGCCTTCGCCAAGCTCGAGCCTGAGTTCACTGCTCGTGGTGTCAAGCTCATTGGATTGGTAAGTGACGTTGCTCCGTTGCTGTCCTAGGAAGCGGTCCAAGGGAGAAAGAGAGGAGTAGACATTGCTAATCATTTGTATTCCTTTAGAGTGCCAACACTCTCAAGTCACACTATGACTGGATCAACGACATCAACGAGGTTACTGGATCTGACCTCCAGTTCCCAATCATCGCCGATGCTGATCGGAAGATATCGTACATGTATGACATGATTGATTACCAGGACACAACCAACGTTGACGAGAAGGGTAAGAATAGCTCTACCATCCTTACGATGCATATCCAGCAGTGCATCATCGTCATATATGCTAATGCTGATGGAATGTTCACAGGGATGGCCATGACCATCCGTTCCGTCTTTATTATTGATCCCAACAAGAAGATTCGGTTGACCATCAGCTACCCTGCATCCACTGGCCGGAATGCTGCTGAGGTGCTGCGAGTAATCGATGCCCTGCAGACAACCGATAAGAACGGTGTGAATACCCCAATTAACTGGAACGTTGGTGACGACGTCATCATTCCTCCTGCTGTGAAGACTGAGGATGCCATCAAGAAATTTGGCGATGTTAGAATTGTTAAGCCGTAAGTGAACCCGCTCTTTGAAAAAAAAAATAAATAAATAAATAAATAATAATAATAATAAAAAATTGTATGCTATCTCGCGTACGCTGACGTATTTCTCTGCTAGGTACCTTCGCTATACTACCATCAAGAACTAAAAGACCTGGTCAGCCAGACCTCAAGGCTATGAAGGGAGATTTTCATACCTCCCTGATGATTGATGTACTAGATTTGCGTTTTCATTTCAGTTTCTTTTTATCCTAGTTATTCAGAACAAGTTATGGTATTTGTCAGACAACTTCTTAAAAAAAAAAAAATCCTAAAACATCAGGGGGTGTTTGGTAAAATACCACTCTGGCTCCACAACTTCCTGAACTATTGACAATCTACTGGCCTGGCGTGGCATTCTTCAATTGTATCTGCCAACCCTTCGGACATGGATTGATTGTCACGTGTGAAAGAGAATAGGCTCGGGGCGCAAGTAGAGGCATCTGGCTCGCCAGTGGCTCCGATTCGGCCCAGCTCCTCCATGTTAATGTAGGCGATGAAAGGCAAGGTTTGTCGTCTTTAAGAGGCTATGATCACAAACCAGCCGCCAACTGCTGTCCCGAGACTCGTGCAACTTGCCGTGGGGGTATGGATCGGTGTCTGTACGGAGTATATACGTCTGCCTAGTCTCTCCATAGTTGTTCATTTTAGGGATCGAAGTGAGAGGGGTTGCTGCTTAGTTAAGAAGACACAAGGCGTAGTTAATCCGGATAGGCTCGTTGAATGAGCGCTAAGCCTAGCTAAACAAGCTATCTTCATGACCAGTACTTGTGGAGAATATGATTAATTATCTTGCCAATCATTTCCAATCTTCAATCCTCACTCAAGTGAAATTAAATTGAGTATCAAATTTAATTACATGTTCGAAGTTTCAATGATATTATTCTCAGTGTCATAATCATAACCAAGCGTGAAAATGTTAGAGGATTTTAGAAATAATTCCAAACTTTGAAAAATATTTTCACTGATTTTGAAATGAGATAGAAAATATATATAATTGATAAGACTGAAGTTGGAATCAATCTTTGTGTCATCATTAAACTGATCACTAGTGCTGAGTATTACAACTAAGCAAAGCTTCTGCAATTAAAAAAGAGAATAAGGACTGTGATTAAGACAGTAAATACATTAAAATGCGCTCTGCTTTTATATAATTTTTAAAAATAAAAATCTATAAAAAAGTATTTGTTAAACTTTCAGATAATTGAAGATTTCATATTAGTTCTAATGATCAAATCACAGATGAGATAGATATTAATTAATTTATTAATATTTTTTTCTACAGTAAATTTACATAATATTAATATTTATTTTTTCTTATTCTAAATGATTATAAAAATATTTTTTTCTGAAATTTATTCATATTTGTAGAAAGAATAGAATTATTTCATTTTATATCAGTATATTTATCATATTTTTTGTAGTTTTTAAATATAAGTATTTTCATAGTTTCAAAAGAAGTATATAAAGATTTTATAAATGAGCATATGCAACTTGAACTTAATATTATAAAGAAGATTAATTTTTTAAATATTTATTCTATCACTTATGTAGATATTTTCAAGATTCAATATTATTCACTATACGTTTAAAGTTATTGATATAGTCTTACTTAAATCTGGTCAGATAATTCAATAGTTAAATGTTTAATTTAGAACTTTTACTCTCAATTAATTAATTTAGCAATTTTATGTTCTATATAATTTTTAATCTTATTCATCTACATATGTAATTAACAAAGTTACACTAAACAAAATAAACAATAAGTGTATATAACTGAATAATAAGCTTTTGAAAATCTAGTTTAGTTTAAGATTAAATTACAAGCTTTAAAGCTATTTGAGTATTTAAAATTTAAGCTTTTTAACAACATTAAATTTAAGCTAGTTAGTTAGTTATTTACTGCTTAACTAATACATATATATATATTCAATATTTAAAAACTATAAGACAAGATAAATACACTAATAAAAAAAATTCTTTTATATTATATTTAATAAAATTTAGATACAGGATATAAGATAACTGTTATAATTATTCAAAATAAAAAGTAAATAATTGTCAATTTACTAGAGATTTACTACTGAATTAAATATTTTAGAAAGCTATTTAATTTTTATTTAAATTTTATCTCTTGTAAATAACTAATAAAACTAATATCATGTTATTAATTTCTAAAGATGTCAAATTAGTTCTTTTGAATATTTTAACCTGTAATAATAATATATAAAGGTAAAACTTAATTTAAGATACTGATTATCTCAATTATATTTTCTTATTTTTAATGCTCAAGCTGTAGCAAGCTTTGTCTAATCATAGCACTCAAGTATTGATAATAACTTGAATGATTGCACAAAGCTCCATTGTAAATTTAATCTTATTAAGTAGATATATGAAAACTGAAGCTTATGCTTAGCAATAGTATTCTCTGAAATTTTAAATTAAATACTAAATAACCTTTCTATTCTCACATTTCATGGTCATGATTATAGTGTTCTAAAATAGTGTAACATTGAAACTTCATACAGTAATTAATTAGTCTTGAGATTCAGCTGTTGGCAATGTGAAGAAAAGTAAACTAACTAAATCTAAAATGGTGTTGAGTAAGAAGATGATTAGCTATATTCTTAACAATGCCAGTCATGAGGTTAACTCGTTTAGCCAGGTCTAGTATTCATTTAGCAACTCTATCCTCTTCAATCCTCTTCGATCTGTGGGAATTTGCACATATCGTAGTCTGTGAAAGCTGTCCATTTAATTGCTCGTGTGATGCTGTATAAGAAACATCATGTACCCGCGCAGTTTCATGAGATAGGTTATTTCTTCACTTTTTAAAAGAGGATATTGTAAGTTCAAGCCTTCCCTCTCTCTATATATAGAGTTTCTTGCCTTTTACCACGAATGGGTGGCATTCTCACAACGTTGAAGTGGACATACAAGGATATCGAGGATATTTTAAAGATAGCGATCGGATCGCCGATGCTTGGTGGGGAATTGCGTTTAACTGGTTAGTTGCATTAGTTAGGTGGATACTGCAACTGCACTAGTCACGTGCATCCTATCTTAACAGCTCGGTAGCTAGTTTTACACACAACCACATTATGAGAAGGGAGCTGTCAGTTAAGGATGGGCTTTCACGCTGTTACACCTGGCACCGATCAAGTACTGTAGTTACCTCACATCCTTTCATAATATACAGAAAACCTTCTTAGCAGGCAGAACAAATTGAGGGGGTTTGCCCAAGGCTATGTTGTCATCCTCAAGGGTCTGAATGAAAGGCAGTTCCAAGTCTTGTCTATATTTATCAGCAACAGACAAGTCATCTGGAATGAATGCAATAATAATAATTACACCTGAATCCCTAAAAGGAACCTCCCGTGTCGAACAGAAAGTAAATTTTGACTCCAGGACACGCAAAGACATCGTTATATCGACGTTCCTCGATACCCCAAAAAACCCTTCGTTTTAAGTCATTTTGGTATGCCTAGTACTCCATCTTGACCACAGATCCTTGCTTGTCTGAGGTGTGTTGAAGTTCTGCACCACGGACAAGAAGGAAAACGTCGCATTTCAGCCATGGGTGATCGACGGTCCGACTCTTACGACGGTGAGGTGAAAGAAGCAGATGTGGTGATTGGCGGGAAGAAAATCGATAGTAAAACCGCGCAACAGTTATCGTCATCCGGTCGAAGAGCTCAAGACACGAGAATCGAGAACAAACCAAATAGATCCTTGAATGGAGCTGGTGCGAAGGTGGCTGCTGAGCTCGCTCGTGAAAGAATGGCAAAAGAAGCGAAAGGAGAACAACAGAGAAAGTAGGCAACAAAGTTCTGTGTTTGCGGGGGGAAGGTATATATAAGATGTTGGATTTGTGGGAAGGGACGCGGTTTCTTGTTTCATTCCTCTATCTCACAGGGAGTGCGCTTGGAAGACCTCTAGGAGCTGTTCGTCATACCGCTTTTTGTCCTCGGCTTTTGTAACCATGAAATGCCAGGCATTGCTACTCCAGAAGGTCGGGGCAGCAATATAAAAGGCAGAATCAAACTTGGATACTTCTTCATGGGAGTCCTTGTCATATGGGATTTGGTATCTGGGCCTAATGCGATTGTAGAAGATGTGATGGAGACCCGTAGGGCTATCTAGTGCCAGACAATACCAGAATGTTCCTTTGTTCCATAGGCTTTTCAAAAGCTCCGCATAGGAAGAGAGCAAGGGGGGGAACATGTCATTGCCTAGCGCCGCTGTATTATGGTCCTTCCCATTCCGTTGCTCCTCTGTCATGACCATCTTCTTCTCTTCTTCCTCAAAAATGTCTATAAATTCGTTGCAAATCTGGCTATACTGTTCTTCATTGATTCTATCCACCGACTGGCTCGTCAGCCAGTATGGAGGGTGTTGCATTTCAATCGGACGGACGCATGCCCATTCCAGATCAAGCAGCTTTGTAATGTGCCACTCATCGTCAACAAAAAAGTTGCTTCCATGCATATCGGTAAGCGTAAGCACAAACGGTCCTGATCGTAACTTGCGGTCGAAGAAGTCAGAGTAGACGGTTCTCATAGTTGCCAATGCGCACATCTGGCTTATACAGTCTTCTATGCTTGAGGCGCCGTTTGGCTGGTAACGTAATCGGCTGTCATGAAGAGACAGAATGTCGTGTATATAGGTGTCCACAGTGGTGTACGTCGTCCCCTGTGGCATGATGGCCTCCACGGGGATTTTGTCATTGGCTAATTGGCAGACTTCCAACGTGAATGACCGATTGTTGAGAGTCAAGATAGCGTCGTTGTTGATAGTGAGTGACCCGATTCGCGGGAATGGCTTCCGGAGCAGCGAGAGTTGGATTTTGGCCAAATCCCTGAAAAGGTTTTTTCGGAGAATTGTATCGTGGTTCTGCGCTGCATATGAGTGGGACAGCATCTCTCCATCGTTGACATAGTCAAGAAGGAGATAACCGATGCCGAGCATATGCTCCGGTGCTGAAGTCTGGTGTTTCATATACTGGCAGGGAACAGGGTGTTGGAACAGAGATAAAATCTGCCTTCTGAGATATTGGAAACATCTGGTCCAGAATGGAGCATTTCTAACGGCAGTGAACTGCGAACTTTTAGTTAGAACACTGTGAATATGAGTGTGTGGACTGCCAATTCCTGCGGGAAACTCACTCTCTGACCGGTCGATAACCCAAAACCGTGGAGACAGGCCGTCGGGATGTTGGGGCATTCCTGATTAAGCCAAGCATAAGTGGCAGCTTCACACCGAATTTTTTCATCTCCGTTTTCGGGTCCTGCCACCTTATACGGTAGGGGGAAACGCATGAGAACCCGCCAGCTGCCTTTTTGCTTCTGGCTTTGAATAGAGACTGGAACGCAAAGGTTGAAACTGCCGCTTAACCATTCTGAGCGGTCTGATATTTCGACGCGATATGAGGCTGGAATCAAATAAAGATGGTGAGCAACAATGGCCTTGATAGTTGCACTATTCTTTTCAATGTGATCTCTGAAGGATGCGGCCAACGTCACATAGGTCAACTCTTGTAAGATATTCGTCGTCTCCTCCTTCTTTGCCTCCGAAAAGGTGATCTGTCTTTCTAGAAGTCTTCTTGCAATTGGCATTGCTGCATTGTTTGGTCAGAAAGTTTGACCAGGAAAGAAGATCAACCAAGAGTTCATTCACAGTTTACTGACATAAGGAATATTAGCTCATTTAACTACAACGTGTGAAGCCAGTCATGGTGAAGCCGAGAAAACAGCACTTTCTTGATAATATGCTCTCCAATCAGCAATCTTCTCACCATGTCAAGTGTTGTGTTCTCTTCGCGGTTCTCCTCGTGTTTTTCGTCTCTGCAGAAGGTTTTATGGCCAAGAAGTTTTTACCTGCCAAGGGAACGACAAAGTCTGGGCATTGCCGTGCCACTTCTTGTCTCCTGTCCCTGCTTATCTAATGTCCACGGCAGCCCTTCATTCCATGGTTCGGTGAACTAAAACTACTTCACCAGCCTTAAACCAACGTCTGATGTTCAATTTCGCTTTGTAAACACTGGAATTGAGAGCGGCTCCGTTGTTGTCAGGCCTGTGTCTGATCAAATCTACTTTTCTGTTGTCTCAGCAGAAATTAGATCCAGTGCAACGGTTCACCAACTCTATCCTTTCACAAACGCAACGGATATAAACTATTGAAAACGGAGGTTCCGCCCATACGACTACGACACGGCGCAACACTCACTCGCTGTTCGGATCGAGCACTCGTTCGCCAGGCAATTTCAATTTCAATTTTCTCCCGCTCCTCGGATCCGATACATCTCATCACCCGTTTGCTACTTTATATCGAAATTCTGTACGATTTCAATTGTGATTCGCAAATCCTGCCTGGCTAGGCCTCTCATTTCACCTGCCTCCGTCGTTCGTTCCAATATCCCACTCAGCCAACTTGTCGTGGTAGTGCATGGGGCAAGGTTGGACAAAGGAGCCAACACTTGACCAATTCTCTCATTCGTATGTTTGACAATCTGATTTTCTCTCTGATTTATATAAGATTTGCGCTCACCTATTTCCTTTTCTATTATGTCCTCCCCTCACACCCCCTTCGTCGAATGTGACCCCTCAAACCCTTACCATTCCTCTGTGACCATCCGGCTAACCATGGCGGGAACAGGCTCAGGACGTGAAACCGGAAAATCTTCTGCAAAAACCAGTCTCGTAGATGCGAGTGCAGAGTCATCGTCGACACCACCCCTTCCCACCCCTCCACCTACACCGGACAGTTTCAAGCGGTTTGCCTCCGTAATTAAATACTTTCGTCCCAAGCAGACCAAGGCCCGCAGCAGCACCATCTCCACAACTTGGCCGTCGAGAAGATTTGCTTCAAAGGGCTCCTCGAAGACCTCAACTGAGACCATTCCGCGCAATAAAATACCTGATGAGTTCCTATTTGCGACCCCGACTACACTCAAACTAGCAGATCAAGATCTCTTTCGACGTCCAAGTCTACCAGTCCCCGCTGCGGTGCTCGAGCCTGGCCTAGGACAGAATATTCAGCTAGAGGGGAGATTTTGGGAGCACCAAGAGCCCGGGGAGGCTGTTGCTCGAGAGACCCAATCGCTTGGTAGTAGGGGCAAAGCTACTCCAACCCAGGGCATTGATCCTGTTGGACAAAGTCTGTCGCCAGCTAAGACGTGTATAGCAAACGCAAGCGTCGAGTCGTTGCCTATTAGATCACCCAGAAAGTTTGACTCCCCAACAAAGCCAACTGATAGCGCAGATAAGATGATGGTATCCAATCCTCCAAGCGGTAGACAGCATGGAGCCTCCCAAGAGCAGAATGCCACCCTAAATCCCCCGACTGTAACATATTATGGTCAACCTCCACCGTCACCTTTGCCCAATGGCCAAAATTCATCGTCAGGTCCAACGAATTTATCAGGCTTGGTATGCAATGTTCATCGAACTACGGGACGGGAGCCGCGTCCGCTGGCAGGGCCTTCTAGTACAGTTCTAGGAGATAAACTCTATGTTTTTGGAGGACGGGTGCAGTCTAGGAGCAGGCCCGAGTTATTGACTAATGAGATGTACGAATTAGATTTGATACGCCGCCATTGGACTAAATTAGAAACCACAGGGGATATCCCGCCTCCCCGCTATTTCCATTCAGTATGTGCTTTAGGTGACTCAAAACTAGTTTGCTACGGAGGAATGTCTGCCAAACCTGCTGTTCCAAATCAACCATCATCAACACCAAATCCAAGCGGCCAGCAGGCAAGCCAGGAAGCACAGCAGGGAGTTGTTCTCTTGTCAGATATACATATTTTTGATGTGCCCAGCCGAACATGGACTTTTATTCCAACCTCGAACAGTCCCAGGGGGAGGTACGCCCACTGCGCGACAATCCTACCATCTGTTGCCGCCTTCGCCTCCTCGAATGCACCGCTGTCCGCTCTCCACCATAACCCTTCTTCGTCCAATCCCCATCAAGGCTCGATAGGCGTAGAGATTGATGGGTTTGGCGGGGCTGAGATGATTGTGGTTGGTGGTCAAGATACGTCGAATCATTATTTTGAAGAAATAAACGTTTTCAACCTAAGAAGCTTAAAATGGACTTCTACATCTTCCCTTGATCGAAGCTGTGGAGCCTATAGAAGTGTTGCTACTCCATTACTTGGGGTGAGCGCTTCTGATATTGGAGGTGGAGTTGAAGTGGAAGGGTTTCGAGATCCCACAAAACCGGATGCTCAAAAACAAGACCCATTATTGCTGATATATTCGAATTACAATTTCTTGGATGTGAAGTTAAACCTGCAGCTCCGTCTTCCTGATGGAAAACTTATTGAGAAACCAATGCATGGTCCAGTTTCACCTCCTGGCTTACGGTTTCCCAATGGTGGCATTATTAATGGCCATTTTGTGGTTAGTGGTACATATCTAACATCTTCGAAACAAGAGTACGCCATGTGGGCTTTGGACTTGAAAACACTTACGTGGGGCCGTATCGACGCTGGAGGTGCCATTTTCGGGCATGGTAGCTGGAATCGCGGTGTCTTATGGAGCCGGCGAAGCACATTTGTCATTCTGGGACATCGGAAACGAAGTTTGGTTGAAGATTACAATCATCGCCGTATCAACTTTTCACACATCTGTTTTGTTGAACTCGAAGCATTTGGTTTGTATGAGAACCCTCGACGAAGTGCACCAACCTCTGGGTATGCGTCTGTAAGCAGTCCTATGATACCTGCATCCCTGCAGGCAAAGATTTCGCAGCAAGGTATTGGTGGTCGACCGCTATCTGCTGCAGCGGAGGCTCTAGGCCGGATGGCCCAATCACTTCGAGAGTTGTCGGATATGGAGCTGCTCACTCTTGGCGGAGAGCGTATTCCCGTCAATTCGCACATTTTAGCACGTCGCTGGGGGCCATACTTTATTCAACTTCTCCGCGAAGCTACAAATGCAGAAGAAACAATGTCAGATGCTGCTACTGTACGGCAGCAGAACCCATCTCACCCTAGTAGAAATTCCAGCATTACCATAACTCCTTCAATTGGCAATAATAGCACCTATTCTGCCGCTACAACCCTTGTCGGTCCCAGTGGCTCTTCATGCAGCCAAAAATCAGCACCATCCCTCTTCCCCAACCTCGAAATCCCGTCTGCACACACTCTTACACCAAACTCCCGTCCCAGAACTCTATACCTCCCTCACACCTATCTTACTGTCCAACTTCTCGTCCAATACCTTTATACCTCCTCCCTCCCTCCACCTGGCTCTCAACTCTGCACCCCTCAAATACTCTGCTCTCTCCTTCAACTCGCGCGTCCCTACCAGGTCGACGGTCTCCTCGAAGCCACCGTCGAACGCCTCCACCAAGTGCTAGATGGCCGGAACGCTGCCGCTGTCTTCAACGCCGCCGCCATGGCTGCTGGCGGAGGCCGTGGCACAGGATTCACCAGCGGGCCTGGTGGAACTCTTGAAGTGTTGAACGGCTTCAATTCCCGATCTGGCGGCATCTCTTCTGTCACAGAACCAATGAGCATTCTGAACCTCAACTCCAACTCCTCTGACACGGAATCCGCGGGAACTGGTCGGCCGTCTGGAGTCACAATTGGCGGCAGCAACGCGCCAGGACCCTCACACAGACGCGCATCAAGTGCCCAGCGTCCCGCTAATCTTCGCATCAATACCACAAATCTCAACTCTAGAAATGTCTCTGCGGCAGGTCCTCGTGGCCGCAGTCGTGCCGAGTCTGTTAGTAGTGCGGCCAGCACTGCCACGTCCGCGTCGACCAATACCAGTGTTAGTTATACGGAGTCCATGAGTGTGGATGGTAAAGATGACATGGTTATTGGTGGTGGCGTTCTTGAACGCGGGCGGAACAAGCCTGAGCGGGAAATTTGGTCTGGTGAAATTAGCAGCGTTGTTGGTTTGCAGAAGCGAGGGTTACGCGGATTGATGGAGGGGAGACGTATGAGAGAGAGGAGCGGGAGACCGGCTAATACCTCTGGCAATTCTGGGGGTGGTGATGATGGAAGTGCCAGTACCGGTGGAATGTCACAGCAGACTCCCTCTACAGCTACTTCAGGCATTGCTGTTAACGCTGGCGGGTAAAATAAGAATGGAGATCTACCCGCGTTCGTTGGGGCTAAGACGACGATACAGACAAATTTTCACTATTCCTGTAGCTTCACCTGCCTCCCTCCTCCCCCTTTTTATTGTACTTCCCATTTTTTCTTTTCTTCTTCTTTTCTTCTTTTGTTTTTTTTTTCTTTCCTCCACAAAATATTTGTCCTTGAATTTGACTTCCACTTGTGATGCTTCTCCTGACAGTGTTTATGATTTTCTATACTTTATCATGTGTATTTTCCTTTCCTTCTTGTTCTTTCACTATTTCCATGACTTTCCTTGAACTTGGATTTACGCTGTATGAGTTTCTTCATCACATTGATATGTCCATATTTCTCTTTTCTCTCCGCATAAGCGGGCCATCCGAAGTCAAGATGCAAGTCCAGCCTGTTTTGGGAAATGAAATTCCCGGCTAGGCGTGTTATCCATGTAACTTGTTTCTATTTATTCTATTTATTCGCAAATGCACATGTTGTCATCCTGAGTCGATTTCAAGTACGAAGTTAAGATTTGCCCAGGTCATGCATGTATCGACAAAAGATATCAAGTTTATTTAGTTTTTTAACACTGGACGCATGTTAAAAGGAGTAAGCTCAAAATATCCTTGGGCAGTATGGATTAATTAAGAGGTCATCACTGATTTCGTCTGGTGGCGAGTTTAAAATTAGCCTCATTGTTCTAACCGCCCAGGTTTGACCAATGTGTTGTTGTCTGGATTGGCAATTCTGGACCAATAGGGGATAAATAACAGCTTTGCAGAAAAAGGCACGCTACTTGTGCCTAAACTGTAGAAGAGGTATATAGCTTCCGCAGCAGTGTTTTTTTGAGCTTGCTAGCTGTCAGTACACTGATGTAGATAAAATTGATGAAATGCCACAATAGGATTTTCAAGATACACATGTGGAACTGTGCAAAGTCATCAAGGCGGTTCGCATATATCTTTTGCAGTCAATGATGCAATATTTGCTCTGTGAACATGCATGTACTTGAGTTCCTTATCTACAAATCGAGGTCAAAAGTTTCTTTGGCATTTGAGGAGAATGCCATTTTGTCTGAAGAAACCGGAAATGTAGTTGAAATTAATTTATATAGGACAGAAGAAGAAAAACGGGAGGAGAGGGGAGGAAATCGCACACAAAGGTAGAAATGGTAGTTAAAGGAAGAAACAAAGAAAACCTAATGTTGTAGATTTAACGCCCCGGAACAGCTCTCGCCAGCACCCTTATATTATCCACGAACCCTTTAATAAGTTCCTCGTACTGATTTTTGGGATCCCCAGCAAGCGCCAAGTCACCCTGGCGTCGAATTTCGGCAGAGGAAATTTCAATTTCGAGCTCATGTTCAAAATCTGATTGGGGATTGTTGGCGAGTTCCTGGATTTGGCGTTTGCGTGGTTAGTTTATTGAAGGGAGAAAGGAAGGAGGGTAAAAAGGGCGGGACAAAGAAGTGGGAATGATTTCATGTGTGAAGACACACCTCTGAGATAGCGACCTGTGTCAAGTCAATCTGATACGCCAAATGTCTATAGCTCATACGATCTTTACATCTGGCACCTCCCCTTGGAGCACCAACCCCAGACTGCGGTCCCGTATTTCCCGGTAAACTGAGCTCACCAATATCGCCTTCGAAGTTCATTTCAAGATTGACACTGATTCGCCAATCAAGACAGGTTCTTGGGCTAAATACATCAAGATCTGCAATGCGGCATTTGACAATGCGAGCTAGGACGGCTCCAGTTCGCTGGTCCGTTGTGACGCGGACTTTTGGTTTGTGACGGGGATTGAGATGGTGTTGGATTATTGGGGGGAGGGAGGAGGAGGAGATATCGTAGAAGGTGTCACGTTCCTTTTTGTGGGCGTAGGTCAATGGGATGCGGGTGCCTGGTTGAGAGAGGGAAGATTTCACGGTGTCGTTGAGAAAATCGTTGAGAGCGCGGTGTTGGGCCTGGTGTAACTTGTTAGTATTGTCCCTAAAAGGAAAGACAAGAACTGTGGAAGGATATGTATGGAGGTCATTAGGGAATTTTTTTATTTTTTATTTTTTATTTTTTTATTTTTATTTAAAAGTGAGGGATGGCCCACCAAAGACATTGAGCTTTCAAACCCAACTCGTATACTGGGATCATCTTTTGCAACGATGCATTCCGTAAGAGCAGGTATCCGAACGCGCTCTCCACGATTCCTGTCAATCAATAGGCCCAGTTTGGCTTCAACTTCAAGAATGGCATCTTGTCCCACAGCGGATCCTCCAGCGGGGGCTGCTCCAATGTCTCTCCTCATCACAACCTGCTGAAACAAAAAGTCGCATATCAACTTTGTAACTTCTTCGTGGGGGATTACTCCTGTAATTGACGGTTCCCATGGGCCCAATGAGGAGCCTGCATGGTCCAAGGGCGCGGGACGAGTAATTGGAGCTCCATTGGTTGGGGCTTCCCCGTTTGTAGTGCCAACAACTTGATGCTGGGTACCTGGGGCCAGGGGGCGATTTCTCAGGGGAGCTTTGTCCGGTAGAGAGTCGTGTCTAGGAACTGCAGATTTAGAGGGAAGAGAAAAATTGCTTCCGGTAGGTATTGCTGGTGGATTGCCGCTGGTTCGTGGAGCCTTGCGTGCGTAGGTTGGAGGTTCATCATACCGCCTTCGTTTCCTCTTGGGGGCGTCGGATGGTAACTTAGAAGTGTCCATTGGTGGATGATCTCCCTTCCCTTGTTGTATGTGACTAGGTTCAATGGATGAGGGCAGCTCACTTCGCCGTGTACTTTTGGTAGGGGGAGATATAGTTGGTGGACGACTAGCGCTTAGAGGTTGTGGCGTTTTCGGAGTAGTGGGCGGGTGTTGTAACGGTCCTGTATCACCGGTATAATATGCGTCACCAGAGAATTGGGCGGCGTTATTCCTACTGTTTTTCCACGTTGTATCAACGTCCTTACGATATGGCTGAGGAGTGTGATCACGAGCACCATTATCACTCGATCTGCTCAGATTTGCCACTTTTGTTCTTGGACTAACACTGACGCTCCGCGCCTCTGGTGCTACCGAGTATCGTCTTCGCTGCTCGCCACCCGTTCCCGGATCGTGGCGCGCAATGACTGGAGATCCTGAATCCCTCTTATTCTGCGATTGGATATCTTGACTGCCCCAGGAGCCAGATAGGGAACGCCGCTGGGAATCGAAACCGGACGACGGGGGTCGAGATTGGTGAGGAGAAGGACGGGAAAGGGGAGCCGATGGGGCTACTACGGGAGTTCCAGGGTGGGAACGGTGCTGGCTTGGGGAGAAGGGTTGTGATTGTGGTTGGATAGACTGCTGCTGTGGCGCTCCAACGTTTTCATGAGAAGGATACGTGTAGCTATGGGTGGAGGACGGAGTTTGGATGGAATGAACCGATTGTGAGCGCTGTTGTGGAAAATAAGATTGCTGGGTCCCGGCACTTAGAGCTTGAGGGGTATACGGAGAAGATAACGGCCCGGCAGATTGATTGTAAGCGGAACTGGAGGAGGTAGGTGGGAAGGGATCACGCGAATTGGGCGGGTAGGCCTGTGTCTGTATGGCATTAGGTAGGGTCTGCCCGCCCTGAGAGTGCGGGCCAGAGCTTAACGTGGATGCCGACGTATGTTGATATGGTGATTGCGCGGACCCGTAGGATGAGGAACCGCTTGAAGATCGATGAGGGCGCTGGAGGGGCGGAGGTGGCGGTGGTTTGGCGCGGAATTCCGAGGGATGCTGAGCCTGTTGAGTCTGGTTAAATGACGCCGGAGAAAGGTTATCGCGCTGTTTGTTGGGGCAATGGGAGTCCAGATCGTGACCCGGAGGTTGATGAGGGGAAGCCGGGGGTCGCTGGACACCAGCAGCGTCGTTGTTGATGATGGTGCGCAAGTCCATGATCACGGAAGCAGACACAGCGAGCTGCCTCAACAGAGCCACACATTTATCAACAGGCTACAGGACAAGCTCTCGGTCAGCCCCAAATGCATTCAGACCACCAATACGCGGCTGCAGCGGGTTGAAGAGGAGGAGGGAGGGGGGAGTAAAGTTGGGCGAAAGCAGCAGCGCGGGAGTTGGCTGGCAGGGGATAAGGAATATGGGGAGTTGAGGATATTGTGGATGAACCGTCTCAATGGGTTTGTTGTTCCTGCGTGCGGTTGAGGTTTGGCAGCTTGAGAGCGCTTGCCGTTTTGGGCGGAGTTCGACGGACAAGAGGCAGCTTTGGGGATAACGTGATCGAGGCTGGGCCAAAGTTGGAATTCCGTAATTAGAGAGAACTAAATGACAGTTGGAAATGTATAACTATATATATATATATCCCTACCGGGTGGATATATGGATCTCTCTACGTCTGCAAAGAGACATAGAAGCATATTACCGTGCTTGCTACAGCTGTAGGCTGGAGACATTCTTTAAATATCCCCCCATCTCTTGTTCTCTTGTCTCCATCCCGCCTACACCGATGTCCCTTATAGGGCCGGTCGCAATATTTGTCCTCGTTGTATCCTCACACTCAGCATCGCCTCTATTGGGAGAGCGGCCGATCCGAGGGGAACAAGCTGCACTGGGATTCCCTGCACAAAACACAGGCGTTTGATTTTATGCATGGGCTTTGCATATGAGGATCCTGTTCTCCTTATTTCTCCTCTTCGGTTCTTGGGGATTTCACTACCGTGGATGACTCATAAGGTCATGTGGTCCTCTAGGTACGTTTGCCTGTCTGCTGCGGGCTGGCGATACGGCGTTATGCTGTGGTGCAGGGCGCTAGTCCGTACAGTTACTAATTAGTTAACTAGTGCACTGGGTTCTTATACTAATAATCAACCAACGAATGAATGCAAGTGAATGAAAGATGTTGTGTCTAATGCTGAGTATTCTTAACTCGTTTGAAGTGAATAATCTGGCATCTTAGCTTGCTAACCTGCTCTTTAAAATAGCTGATTACATTCTCATGTTGTCCATCGGATATTTGAGTTCTGATGTTGAATTGAACTTGCTCTGCCTCATAGCCGCCTCTAGATTGCCATGGTTCCTAATGTTTCAACATTGGGTCAATGATGGATTTAATGTAGCTCTCCTCAATGTCTTGAGAGGATGCTCTGTGGTCTTCGACTTCCAATTCTATTCACATTCACGGATAAAGACTTCCGTGGTATGGAGTTTTTGTGATTGTATCTGCGTTCTTCATCAGCTGCCTATTATCATTCATGCTCCCGATATTTTGTTATGTCATGGCTACCCGCATTCTTCATGGTCTCTGGCTACGTGCCCTCCCATAAACCAAACCATCGAAGCTGCTGTGGTGTAAGCACGCCTTTACTGACCCGTTTTCATTATAGGGCTTTGCTTCTTGTATATCGCTGTTCGTCTGAGACTCTACAACTATTCCATTCCACCTTGTGTTCTTTTATAGGCAATGAGATGAGATATTATGTGACAGAATGGCAAGCTTGATCGATTGCAAAGGCTGCTAGCTGACGAGAACGACGATATATGGAAAGCAGTTCACGTGACGGAAGGGTCCGACAAAATGAATAAAGTATTCAGGTCGGATGCAGAAGATTATTGATGATTGTTTTATTTTATTTTATTTATTATCTTTTTCTTCTTCTCTCTCTCTAAGAAAAAAATAAGCTGGAACAACGAGAATGAATGAGAAACCTGGGACCAAAACAAACCAGGGGAAAAATAAGAACATTGAAAGAGTAACAAACAAGACAAAACAAAAAAAAAAAAAAAAAAGATAAACAGTCATAATTCATTATTTATTTCCATCTCGAATGTTCGTTCTCCATACCCAATCCGACACAAAAAGGAGGTTCGTGGGTGGTTGATGTATATTTACTCGAGGAGAATTTCTTCATCGCTCAAAAACCCAATGAAGCACGTGAAACCAAAGGATGGGGGAATTGGGTTTAGACGGGAGATAAAGAGGACGTTTATGCATATAGAGACAACTCCAAAATAAATAATAAGAAACTCCAACAATAGGTTCCTTAAGCTCTATGCGCCAGTCATATCACCATCTCTTCCTATTGCCCGCAGGAAACAAAAATTCATCACCCCGGGACATCTTAGTTGTCTCTTCATCGTTTTCAGCCCTTCGGCAAAATATTATATAGATACGCCCCACAAACCGCGGCCACCGCACACGCCCACCCAATCCCTACCAGCTCCAGGTGGCCCAGCAATGCTATTATTCGCATGTGGGGCCCAGCTAATGTTCGAAACCTCATACTCGCACTGCCACGCAGCGGCCGGCCCGCGTTCTATGGTATTGGGTGCATTGGAGGTGCCACCATGGTGTGATGGGGGAGGTGGTGGAATAATCGATGCGGCATTGCTTTGATTTATGAGATCCCAGATCAAGACAAGTGAGTCGTCTGCTCCAGAGGCGATGGTACCGCGGCGCGCTGGAGACCATTCAATGCAATTTATCGAGCCAGCATGACCTTTAAGTTCCATGAGTGCCTGACCTGGTTGTCTGACGTCGAGGATGCGGATAATGTTGGAGTCTTGGGAGAAGGTGCCAAGGAGATGTGCGTCGTGGGGTGAGGCTGCGAATGCATGTTAGATACATATACATCATTTTTCGTGGCCCACAATACAATACTTATAACAGAATTTACTTACCTGCTATTCGTAATAGGGGTGGAGGCCAAGACATGTTGTTGGTAGGGGGCGTAAGGTTTCCAGGACTCGTTACTGGATATGACGTTAGATTGAGGTAATATATGTTTGAAACTAACTGCGACTTACGCTTTTCATTCTTCTCGGATGGTTCGTATATAATCGTGCTATGTTCGAGGCTTCTCAAGTCAAACATTCGGACACTACCATCTGCACCACAGCTAACAAAGACATCAACACTATTGGCACAGAATCGGACATCGTAGACTTCCTTATCGTGTGCAATCAGCTGGGTTTTGGCCGTCAGTGTAGGAATGTCCCATATGGTGCAAGTCGTGTCAATGCTGGAAGTGATTATTAGACTTGGGGACACAATATTCCAGTCCAACGATGTTATTGGAGCGGTGTGTTCTGGAGATTTAGAATTGGAAAGAAGTGCGAGAGGTGAAAGCTTTTGTACTGGCTGGTTCCTAGACTTGCTTGATCGGTTTATAGAGTTGCTCATAGAGTAGGACTGCGAATGGGAGTCTGCTGGTAGTGACCAAAGCCGCAGATGATCGCCCGAGGTAGCTAATAGATCAGTTGATTGCTTCTGGGACGAAGGTGGCTCCCATAATATCCTTGTCACCGGATATGAATGTGTAGCCTCCGCAGTCTTAATGAAGTCTAAGCCCGGGTTTCCGTCCGGAGATTCTGGAACATCGGCAGACGCGCGCTGGCTACTTAGAATTTGAATCTGTAACGATAGTTAGTTATACATTTCTGGGATGAAGCTAACCACTGTCGCCAAATTAGCCTAATGTTCAGTGAACCCAACATACGTAATTATGGCTGTCTTCAAGGTAGCTCCCTAGTGCAACTTTTCCAAAGGAAGACCCGCCTGGTGGAACGGGCCATTTACACCAGTCCAAGGCATATACAGCCCACGGGGCGAGATAATTGCTGTTTTTAGGATATTGCACATCACCATTATTGTTTCCTGTCACTGTGCTGCCAGCGTCTTCCGACATTGTAGTATCAATATGAGGTCTGATATCAGCCAAACCGAGCGGTGAGTATGGCGATGTCTGCGGGGTCTGTGGTGCATAGGTGGTTGACGTTGATCCTATGTACTTCCCGCTATCAGGCGTACTCCCGACTTGCTTAAATTTTTGCTGATCAAACACGGACGGGCTGGCTCTTGAGTAAGCCTGTGATTGGTTTGACTGACTGGATTTTGAAGGCGTGTTAGGAGAGATCGACTGCGTGGCTAACGATGGTAGTGATTGTAGAGCTGGTGCAGTGGTGGTATTGGCCGGACCCGCGCGGTTTCCGGGCCCCGGTTGCAGTGCTCCTGGGAGTGATGTAGTGTTGTTATTGGTGTTGTTGGAGAATTGGGAGAGCTGGATATTGATCGATGGCGGGCCATAGTCAGGTGCAGAGGGAAATTGATGTTGGCCCTGCCGAGGGCCATTAGAGCCTAGCGAGTTGTTTGGTGCAGGTATGTGTAGTTCCTCTGGCTGCCGGGGAAAGTTTGGTTGCCGCCGGGGACCGTTGAAGGACTGAGACGGTTCCGTCATGGCAGAAGTTGACGACGCAGTAGACGCAGAGCTTCTCTCTCCCGCCTCAATACCTGGGAGCCGAGCGAATCTCGTATCTGCCAGGTCCCCGCCACTATTGGATCCCTTAGGATGATCGTTGGAGAAATAGAGGACGTCCGATCCTTGGGAGGTAGTGTTGGAGGGACCAGCGTGCAAGCTTATGGTGGGAGCAGCAACAGAACCTAGCACCTGTGTAGCGTGTAACATTCCATCAGTAGCGCTAATGTGACTTGGGTGATCATTTTTTGCACTTCCTGTTGAATAGTGGAGATGGCGATGCCCGTTCAGAGGCATATTCACCAGCTGAAGAGGGTTTGGGGGGATTTGATAGCTCGACCTCGACGTCAACGCTAGTAGTTTACTTGGAGCGTAAATTAGCTTTGGCTATAATGACTAAGCAGCAGCGGGCTTGGAATTGCTGAGTCATTGTAAGTCACGTGCTGATTTCCTGCTTGAATGGTTCCAATCTTTAATTGGCCAAAGATTTCCCTCGGCTCATTGTTCGTTCGAGTGGTTGGGAAGAAACAACCCCGCCAATTGTAAATAAAGACCAGAGAAAAAAGGCCGTATGAAAAAGGAACGGGGATACTCATATTAACCTTGGTCCAGACTGATAAATTTTCCGGTCTGAAGTGATTGCCAGGTGTCTCTACATGCGCCCGGCGCCTAATCTCTACGACAAACGTCCGTTCGTTCTTCGGTCTAAAATTTGTTTTGCCTCATCCACATTTACGCATGATCCCGCTGAGCTCTATATCAAGTTCTTATCTCCTGGAGTATGTGAATCTGGAGTGATATGGCGATTGGCAACAACTCTCGTTATCATGAGGCATTGCTGCTGCTTCCTGGCACCCCATCAACCTCATTCTCTTCGTTGAAGGCTGCATACGGTCCTGCACTGTCAACAGTCCTTGCCGACCTCTCTCGTCCCATCAGAGGAACTAACGGCACTGCAGTGTTAGATATTGGAATCACCATCCGTGGGCTGGCTGCACCGGATTCCGCGCCACGAGGCAGAGCTTTCGCGCATTTGCAGCACTTGTTGGCTTCTTTTTATAGGCTCCTTGGAGTGACCAGTGCCGGGCAATCCGTGGAGTTGGATGGCCCAGGTGGGGTAGATGCGAGGGTTTTTTTTATTGACGACGAAAACAATGGTACCAGCGGCGAAAATGAAACCAACGACGAGGGCTGCGCCGAGACTTCCCGTACTAGTATGGGCCCAATCATTCGACTGGCGGATTTCACAGTTTCCGGTCGTTCCTGGAGAGTAGTGTTTTCTTTGGGGACAGTCGAAGGGGATTTGCTCTTAGATGCGCTTACCCTAACACTAAACCAACAAGGGCAACCAAATACGGCTCCCATTATTCGAAAACTTGCGGGGTTGACAGGGTTAAAACTGCCCCATGTTGTTCTTGAAGAACCCGAACCGCATCCGTGCCGTCATTATTCTGTAGCTGTTGGAGGTACTTTCGACCATCTGCATGCGGGGCACAAACTTCTACTCACGGCAACCGCACTTGCCGTCGATGCAGCACCTCCAGGGTCTAAGCCAACTCAGAGGACTATCATCGTTGGCATCACGGGGGACGAGCTACTGGTGAATAAAAAATATGCAGATTTCCTTGAAAGCTGGGATGATCGATGGCGCGGTGTTTGGGCGTTCCTGGAATCAATAATAGATTTTGCGCCACCCCTTGGGGATCAAGCCACCAACACCAGCGCCGGCAACCATATCGAACATGTCAATCATCCCGGCCCAAATGGCAAATATGTCCGCGTGAGAGTGTCACCGGACTTGGATATCAAATTTGTTCAGATTTCTGATACATTCGGTCCCACAATCACAGACGAAAACATAAGCGCTTTGGTCGTGTCCAAGGAGACTCGATCGGGCGGTAAGGCAGTGAATGACGAACGGGAAAAGAAGGGGTGGTCGAAACTGGAGATCTTTGAGGTTGACGTTTTGGATATTGATGAAGATGAGCGCAAGGGAGAGTCAGGAGAGAACTTTGAAAGCAAGATAAGCAGTACTGAAATCCGTCGACGCCAAATGAACTTGGCCAAGGGGAATTTATGAGGATGTGGATCTTGCCACTTCAATTAACGTCGTAGCGATCGGTCCAATTTTGAATGTATGTGAGGAGGATAATAGATAATTATGTTTTGAAGAACAAAGCTCTTTTCAATGTAACCCGGTATGGACGCGTGATACATAAGCTGGTGAACCTGTATAGATCAGGCGCTTATACTTTCCCCGTTGGAGGACTTGAGATCAATGCCGATCTCCTGTTTAATTCACAGTACATCATATTTGTGCTTCAAGAGAAATAGACGGGTCCTCATTTTGACTGAAAAAGGTCGTTCGCCCGTCGACTAGGTTTTGGCCCTTGTGAAATGCGGGGGTTGCGGTAGTTGAGTCATGGCATTCAATAATGCCCCCCTTACGTTTGCACGAAACGACTTGAAAAACTCTTTTTTTGGTCCTTAAGAATATTTTGTCCGTAAAAGCTAATAGGGCACATCCGGATACGTTTGACAAACAAAACAGAACATATAGCGTTATTATTTTCTTGAAAGAGTCCCACACTTTTTGGCGCTTTTGATAGTGAAAAAAAAACCGTAAAAAAGTGTTCTATTAAGAACGACAAAACAAGTTAATGGTTGAACTGATGATGCCATGTTCTTGGGCATACAAGAGGGGCTGAAGAGAAAGTAAAGAAAAAGCAAAGAACATAGCCAAATGATATCAAAGTAAAGGCGACCATTCCCTTTGGCAAAGATTGAGGAGTAAGAATGGTGAATAATCGACGGATAAGGTAAAAGGAATGAGGGGACCGAAAAGCCGAGTCGATCAGAAATCGGAGAAGAGAAAAAGCAACGAACAAGAAAGCCTGCCTTGAAGTGAGGATAATTCGTCGAGGGGGAAGATTCAGGTGAAGAGACCGGATTGTATACAGCAAGGATGTACTGGGCGGCAAAGGATTGTAAATAGATACTGGGCCGATACAGATTAGAAGTTGACAGCTCCACTGAGTGATACCCCGTCTTACTTCAGGCATTTTTGCACTATTTTCATGCCCCGTTGCTTCTAGTGCTAAATAATAGGAAAAGCTCATAATTCTTGCATTGAAATGGTTGGCGAGAATTCTCGAGAACAGAAACGGGGCGAGTTGGGGTGGAATGCAGATGATATAGGACAGCTCTGATTGTATGCATGTGTGTACATGTACAGTAACGTATGGAGCTGCGAGGTACGAGGGCCCGTGCTGGACAAGGGAAGAAACGACATTCTCAAATTGCCAATGATTATTAAAGTTCGTTGGGGGTTCCTGAGTTGTCGTCACCAGTCCCTGTTTTGTTCCGCCTGCAAGGGATATTTGGTGGGGAATGTGTTTTATAGGCTGCATATTTGCGGTGGCATTGAGGAAACATAGCGCGAAAATGTGATGTATGCGCTGTACATGGACATGGACATACATACGTTGTGTCCATGGATGTTTGTCTGGACGGTAGGTATATCGGTAAGAGGCATCTTGGATGTTTGCTATCAGGGGTAATCTGTCCCGTGCAAGAGATCTCTGTCCCGCGAGGGCAATGTAGCATGGCATTAGTCCATGGGAACATGTTACTTTCTGAGGATAAAGATGATGTAAATTGCAACAGAAAGCTTAAATAAAAAATTATTATAAAATAAAATAAAATAAAATAGGCCAATAAAGTTAAATACTGTGTGTGCAGTTGGCATAAATATCCGATTGTACGGTAGACTAATTAGTTACAACTTAGGCGCTTACCAACATGTCAAACGATAAAGCTGTTGATATAGCCCTACATCAATCAGTTGTTAGCCCTGAACCTGCACCTGACTCCGCCACAAACAAACAGAGTGAGAAGGAAGGAGAGTGGTCAGGGGTCTATGAAAATACACTGTATATAGGCTTATCAGGGCCGGGTTACCTATAGGCGAGACCAGTCTAATCGAGGTCAGGTAGTCATTTTCAGATTCAAAGGTCAATGACGGCATATGACTTCTTTAACCAGGCCAGAACTGAACCCGCCTGTGGATTTCAAGTCTCGACCAACCCCCACCCCCCTACCCCGGCCCCCATCAGACCGCATGCCACCCATGTCGTTGTTGTCGGCTGGTCCACGATGGTGATTCGCCATCTGAAGCAGCATAGACCAGTCGAGCAGCTGGGTTTGCTTGGTGGGTTGCAAGGACTCTGCAGCACTGGGTCGTTGCATCCGCTTAAAGGATTGTCGGGAGGTCTTTAGGGGCTATTTCTGGCTGGGTTAACGAGAAGCCAAGCTCTGCGGACTGGCTCTTGTCAAGACCAACACGATGACGCTCTTCACAACCATTCGCCCGCCACATCCGTGCCACAGGCTCTGGCGCGGACCCAACCCTCGGGCTTCAGGTCGTTTCTGGATTCGCAGCGGCCCGCATAACTGCCGCAGCAGGCTTGGGATCTGCTGGTGCTTTCCCGGTCATGTGACTGGATGGTGTAGTGGCAGCTCTGGTGATTGGCATCGGTGAAGCAGCAGCCCAGCACACAGCACACGTTTGTCGCTGTTACTCGACGGCGGAGGCGACGGGATGGAAGCGCCTGTGCATTATATTGGTCTGTAGTTATAATACCGAGTCGCCTGTGTCCAAGTGAAAGGGGACCCTATCAGCTACGGCATGCTCATTTGCTGCCATCACTTTGAGCCCTAAATAGTGTTTGCCCCGACTTGTCTCCCTGTCTCCACGTCTCGTCGCCTGAGCCATTATAAGATCGTTTTATTTTATTTGTACTCAGTCCTGTTTAAAGTTTTTGATTTTTACCTCCTCTGATGGTTGAACGAAGGCCTCATCACCGCACGTTTTACCGATCAATCACTCTATTTTTGGGCCAAATAACTTCCAATATTATTTATTAATTTCCAAAAAAAAAGAAAGGAAAAAAGGAAAAAAAGGGGAAAAAGAATAAAAAAGAGAGAAAATCCCATCCCAAAAATATAGAAAAATATATATATCGATATCCCGGTCATCCCCCCACCTCTTCCCTTCTAATAACCACTCAATCACTGTTGCTGAAAGAAATCCGCCAACCTGTCAGTTTTTCTGCTTAATTGGTTCTTTTCCTTTTTTTGCCTTTGTGCCGCTGCGCTTAGGGCTCTCCCATAACGAGCCCGACGAGCTAGATTTTGAACCGGCAAGAAAGCCGCCATCTGTGTCCCAAACCCCAGTGATGGACGTGCCACGAGGTATATTGGGCCTTTCAAATGAGTTGTTCAAGGAAATCTTAGATCATTTGGCTCGGGATTCTGAAAAATGCATCAACGTCGACCGTCGTGCATACCTCTCTATCGAGAGTTTCAAGCGCCCAAGCCCGCCTGCGCCAATACCCCTCATTTACGATAGTAAGAATGGCTTTCAGGAAGATCATCGAACAGATATCGACCGTTTCAGGGAGGTGTGCAAACGCTTTGCAGACATAGGTGCTTCTCATAAGTTTAGCCGCGTTGTGGTGCGGTTTTCTGAAAGCGCGTTCCAGAAACTGGATATGCTGTCAGGTTCTCCGCATTTGGCAAGGCACTGCAGGAGTTTCACGTATATCATTCGGTCATTTTACGTTGAAGGTTGTTCATGATATCTCCAATCGTCCCCATTCTTTCACTCCACGCATTCTTTTTTCCTGCCTTGGTGTGTCTAACGCATCTCTGTCTTTCTCTTTTCGTCCCGTTTAGATCGAGACAGACTCAGTGAACTGTTCTTAGCGGCAGACTCCAGTAAATTAAAAATTTCCGAGCACCATCGCCGGCTCGAGGAACAAAAACTCCTTGTCAACACCAGCGAAGACTTCGCATCTCTAAAGAGGGCAATGGCAGCATTCAAATCACTTCAACATGTAAAAATTTTGAAGGTCCAGGACGAGACGGAACGGGAACTTTTGCAATATATCCATCGCCATGACAGTGCCCAAGACCCATTAGTGTCATTAGATTGGAAACCAGCATGCACTCGTGCAGTACAAACACTTGCAGTAGCTCTTCTCGAATCACAATCCCCTATTAACAGATTCTCCGGGCCACAGATAAATCCCCAAGCAGCCCTCAAATTGAAACAAGCACCTATCCACATGCTTTCCGCCCTAGCTGTCAAACTGACCTGTCTGGAAATCCACTTCGATGCGGCGGGACATGTCAATGAAGAGATGCGAGAATTATCAGAAGTGTTTCGCACTTTATTCATGGCCGCCAAGAACATGGAAGCCGTGCACCTAGGATTCCCATCGCGAATACCACTTGACCTGCGCCTGGAAGATATATTCCACAACGTATACTGGGAGAAACTGCGTGCGTTTGGCATACAGGCCTGGCGTTTGGACTCCCAGGAAATTATCGATTTCGCGCGACGACACCACAAAACGCTCCGCGGTCTCCGGCTACGTGACGTCCTTCTCAAAGAAGGGAATATGTGGAAAGACGTCCTTTCCATGCTACGCGAGGAGATGGATATTTTGGAATGGGTCAGCCTGCGACGAATTGACTATTCCAACGCTTTTGACGAGAAGTGGGCGACAAGCGCGAATATATCTGATATCCAGTCATTCCCCAATTCTGACAGCGAGGATGATGATATGTTCGATATTCATGATGTGGAAAATAACGAAAATAACGGCGATGACGATGACGATAGCATTGGTGATGAATCAGATGGGATGAGTTCGCATAATGCGGACGATGGGCCTAGGGCTAACCAGATTGAGCTTTCACCAGATACTGCTGTCTCGTTGATATCACCCTTTTCATACTGGACAACGCCCCTGATGTCGATATCTATCGAGGACCTAGAGGACAATGGGTTCAATGTGGAGTATCGACAACGGAAACTGTGGGAGGCGTGGGTTATTTCGAAGTCAAGATACAACAAGTAGTGTTGTTCTTTAGTTTTTTCGTGCCTTCTGACGAGGTTATGGCTTTTTTATTCCTTTCATATGATTGCTGGAATTTCATGTCACCATTTATGGTCCAAACTTTTACGCAGCGAGTGTTGATTTTGGTTTTGTCCCTGGCTTTTGTTTTTTACTTTACCCTCGCGACGGATCTTTCTCGTTTTCTCTGTTGCAGCTCCTTTATTTTCAATTTTTTTCTCCTGTGATTTTATCCAACAGACGAAAAGTAGCATTTCGAATTGTCGATTAGAAGCCCCTGTTGCAAACGCAAAGGGTCTTCCAGAGGGGTTGTACATATTCATACCTCATAAGGGACCTTCTGCCAGCCAGCCAGCTGTTCACTGTTCCCGCCAAGCTATCAACACTCTGCGAGGTATGGGATTTGGAATGATAGGTTTGGCAACTAAATATAGTGGTATATCCAAATAAACTAAATTTCAAAATGGTTCCTGGCTCAATTGCAACATATTAACGCAGCAGATAAGAAATCTCTAGAGCTCCCTTTTACCGGTGAGCTAGGCAAAAGTCGTGGAATCTAGGTGTACGGGAAATGTAAGAGCTGTTGTGGATCGGGATTGCCTATGGAAACAAAAAGAGATCATTTAACATTCAAAAGAAAAAGAAATAACGAAAGCCTTGAAATCCATTCATATATTGATGTTTGAGTGTCCGATCTCGTTTGAAGAGCGGAGACAAATATTGTAGCCAAGGAACAGAGTTGTTCTGTCTGAGCACGGAAACATGTTGTGATATATAGTGCATGTTAGTATGGAGGGAGTTGGAGCAAAGTCTACCAGATTTAATCACATTTGAAGGCATCTCCAGTCGCGAGAGAAATGATAACAACAGAGTTATTGGATGCCGTGGACACTGGAAGAACTCTCGAAACTTCTTGCACTACTCTTAAAAGAGGCACACAAGGTCAATATTCACCTCAAATGTCGTGCGTTCTCGAACATGTTTCAGAAGATACCCGCAATGCTCGGCTGGATATTCAAGCAGCTTCAGCATTCGGGGGTCCGTGCTATGTTCTAAGAACATGCAAACAGCGACACATTCGGCATGAATCCTTGGTTGCATCCACCACTGATTTTCTTGACACTTCTTTGCTAGCCAGTAGCCTAAGATGAGAATTGCTCTCGGGTCTTTCCTTTGCAAAAGGTCAGTATAATCAGGTAGCAGCCGGCCCATGAACGAAGTCAGTTTGCTCGAGTTTTCGTTACAGGGCAGCAGATTCAGTAATGGACTAAGCATGCGAAGTGGCCAATGATAAGGGTTTGTTTCTTCAGTTGTTGTTTCATCGATTTCACAAAGTTCAGCTAGAGCAGGGTGAAGACCCTCAGCGCCCGGGCGGTGGTCATCAAATGTGTGGTCTTCGTCATCAGATTCCATAAAGACTTTGTACCAAATGCTCTGAGACAAAAAAGGGCCTGTGAATCTGAGGAGGTGCCTGAGTCCGGATTGGACGAGGAGCCAGTTTAGAGCTTTAGGGTCTGGTGAGAAAAGCCAGGATTCTTCTGGCTTGTACTCTTCTACCGCGAAAGAGAGAACGCCCAGGAGCAGACAGGTCGACATGAGACCATCCATGTTATGCACGCCAATGGGAGTAAATAGCTCTTTCTGATACAGATTGATGGCCCGCTGCCAATGGTAGCTTTCGGCCATTCTGAATGACGAGTCCCATGAGTGTAATCGTCTCAGGCTGGTTGTGGCAGCGCCCAGAATAGCATGCATGAGATATGGAGTCTAAAATAATTAATGTTAGCGTCGTGTGGGATCCAGAATTTAGAAAGAGAATGGCGTATAATAGGAACTACCTGAAAAGCTACACGCAACATGTCCCCCTTTGCCACATCTTTACCGGCCTCGGTAAGGCCGGAGTTTTCGCCTGGGAGGGCCAAAAAATGATAGAGAGCTTCGACAGAATTACGATGAGCAGGTTTTGTGATAAAATTACTGAGATCATCGTCAATACCGGGAGAAAGTCGCAATGCTGAGTCTATTTTGTCCGCAAGGTCGGCAATGGCCAGTGAATAGGTGGTGGAATCAATCTCATAGATTTGAGATAACTCCTTTACTAATCGGAATGTAGATTTTGACTTTGATTGGGATTCCATTACCAAGTAATCACAGGATATGCCATAAGCGTCACACTTTCGGCAGCCTGGTTTGGTTTCATCGCACTGAAAACCATGGATAAATTACCGTCAGATATGCTGCATCTAGACCCAACACAAAACACGCTACATACGTTCCTGCATCTATGCAGACTAAGGTGTCCTTGTACAACCAAGGAAATGAATGGAATTGGAGATGGAGAAAGCATACCTTAACCCTGCGTTTCTTACAATTACAGCAGCCCATCCTCGATTTCCGGTGAGGTTTCCGGGGACGGAAGATCGGGTACTCCACAGATTGGATGACTTGTTGCTGCGATGACTTAATCGGCTGTTGCCGTCGTGGATATCTGACGCGAAACACTACCTGATTTCGAATAACCCGATTTAAAGGAGTGGCCAACTCTTGAGTGTGCCCTTTATCTTGTCGACGCAGGGTGGATGGGGATAGAGATGATTTTGGTATGGAGGACATGATGTTTCGAGCTTAGATTGAGACAAATTGTCGTTAAGCGTAAACGATAAGCGGGTACATCTGAACACCGATAGCAGTAAGCCAGAGCTTATACTGAGTAGATTAGGTGGACATGCCGTATATATAAACGCTCTGGCTGAAAACAGCACTTAGCAAAGTGTCCTTCTCCAGACATCAAAGTTACCTGATATGGTTAAACGAGGTACCAGGGAGAGACAGCATCGGATATTCACAGGATATGACAGATTCAGCCCTCACCAAATTGCCTTGTAAACCACCCTACCATCGCCATCGCCATCGCCGTCGCCGTCGGGACCATCATCGTCGACATTATCAAATCCTTGTGATGATGTTCTTGCACTGAACTTGCATCCGCTAGTCCCAGAAAGGAAGGAATTCGTGTCCGTGTGGGGAAGTCGGTCCTGATTGGCTGATCGTGAGGTAGTTAGTTGAGCCGCATGCGAAGCCTACTTAGTCAGCCAACATGCAACCTTAGAGGCAAGTTTGCTACCTTTTCGAGATGAAGAAATTTTCAATGGGAACAGGCTTAGTTGTTGATGAAGGCTTCTCCTTGCCAAACTCCATGTCCATTGGTTCCGATATATTATTGTCACTCAGCAACACTAGAATCGCGTTTTGATGGCGCAGTCAATTCATTTTAAGCGAAGTTTTAATGTGCGACTGAGAAGGGGCATCAACGTCGACATTCTCTTAACATGACACTGAAGATTCAGTTCAGGTCATCATTGATGCCCTGCGGGTATTCCTGTTTATCAGAATAAAGATTTTTGTATCACCCTACAACGACGTTGGCTCATTCATGTACCAATCTAGACGCATATTAACATCTACGCATCCGTTTTCGTGACGCGGTTAAAGTGATCACAGGTAATAAATTGTTGCGCCGATATGTATATACGAAACACAAAGTATAGTGTACAGGTACATGGTTCTCATATTTCTCCCCTCCCGATATGAAGAACGATACGGTCACGGTATCGGCTTCATGGGCAATGATGCGTCCGCGGGAACATTGTCCTCCTCCTCCATCTCGTCTTGTTCGAATTCTTCGTTCTCCATTTCCTCCTCATCTTCGCCAAACACCCTTCTCCACACCCCATCCCAAATACCTTTCTTAGTAATAAGCGTCCCAACCATAAGCAACGGCAAATGCCATACACTAGCCCAAAATAGGCCTCTTGCACTTCCACCTGCTCCTTGCAATTTCCAGAACCGATACGCTTCCTTGGCTAGCCAACAATTGACTAACGTCCCCCCAATCAAGAATCCTTTGTCGACCACACCAGCCCACCAAAGCCCAGCGCACAATGGAAACATGAGGATCGAGTAACGAAGGGCCACTCGACCATTTCGCGCGGGATTCATCCACGCAAGCATTTTGTAGCCTGCGTTCTTGTACTCCTCGCGAATAGTGTGGGAGAGGGAATTGAAGTGCGGGAACTGCCAGGCGAAGAGGATTGCTGCCATGAGCCAGCCACCGGGGCTGTCAGGGCCAAAGAGGAGATCGCGCCAGGTATCATGGCCAGTTGTAGCGGATTGGCCAGTGGCAGCAATCCAGCCCATTAAAGGTGGGATTCCACCGACAATGGCGCCTACCCAGGTGTTTATAGGAGATATACGTTTGAGGGGGGTGTAGACGAACGCGTATAGGAAAAGATTAAATGCAGATAGAGCAGCGACGGTTGGATTTGTGCCCATATATAGTGCGGTTATGCCGACGGTACCTGTGAGCGCGGCAAATAAGAGGGCAGCCTTGGGGGAGAGGAGTTTGCGAACAAGGGGCCTGTTACGGGTGCGGGACATGCGGGCATCGTGTTGTGGCTCGAACAACATGTTTAGAGTGTTGGCACTTGCGGATGAGAGGAATGTGCCGGTTGTGAGGTAGAGAAAGGTAAGAGTAGAAGTAGAGAGAGCGGGGAGAGGTGTTACTGATGGGTCTAGTGCTAGCAGTGTTGGAATAGGATAGAGGCCGTAAGCGGTTGTAGCGGTGAGAACAACGAGGAAGGACAGGTTTGGTTTTGTAAGGGCAAGGAAGGTTGCCATTGTCCGCCGCAGAGAAGTCTTCGGGAGAGATGAGGATATGGTGGAAAGGCGGGCTGAGGCATCAGGACGAATCTCATATTTAGAGTTGGCTTCCTGCTCAACCTTCAATCGTTGCCGTCTTCGATGGGGAAGTTCTTCAGGGGAAGTAGCAGGTGATCCATGTTTCCTGTTTGCCTCAATTGGTGTGCCGAATGAGCACTGGGTATCAATAGAAGGAGGTACGGAGTGAAAGAGAGCGGAGCGATCGGTATGTTGTGATTCTTTTCTTAACCGTTGAATGACACCACGCTGAGACAATGAGCTACTGCGTAGTCCGCTGGAAGAAAGGTAGGCTTTCTGAAAAGCTTTAGGCAAATTTGTGGCCCGATATTCCGTATTTTGCAGGACCCTAGTTGTGGAGAAGCCTCTCCGCGAGACATCCGCTGGCTGCGAAATTAGGCGGGTGAAGCAGCGGGAACAAAGCGCGGCAGCGTCCAGAGCCACGCCAGTGCGTAACATTAACAACGAAAAGGCCATGGCCAATCCAGGTTGCACTCAATTGGCAGCCTGAATCAACAGAGGCCTCGCCATGACATGGCAATGCGTTGGGTGTAACTTGATGTTGATGCAGAAGTTTCAACTTTGGGATTTCTTTTCAAATTTGCTGATTGGGGTATCTTAGAACTGCATGATGAGTAAGCTCGCGTCTTCCGCAAAGGATCATGTGACCGCTAAGGATTGTGCTGAGTCCAAAATAGACTGACAATTGGGTGCCAGTAGTTTAACAAGTTTTCACATGAAGCATTGTTGTCTTTAATCAGGTTATAAACCTCTTTGATAAGAAATATCTTCATGTATTATTTAAATATGTTTTAAATATCATTTTTATTCATAAAATAAAATATTTAATTTATTAATAAAATATATATTATTTTAAATAAAAATAGTAAACTTAATGAATAAATATTTAAAAAGTTAGGTAATAAAATTTTTATCAATATTTAAAATAAATTGCAAAGAAAAGAAAAGAATAATAAATAATCAATTCAAATAACTTTGTTAATAATTAATATATTGTCATGGCTTAGTTTAAAGGCATGATGATATATAAAACAAAAGCTCAATTTATCTATCTACTAGGTAGCTGCGATGAGAATACTAAACTGGGGATTAGAATATGAGAATGAAACGAGCAGCCCAATATATATAGGCGGTTGAGGATCGGAGCGGATCAACCTTATCCCATATTACCGCGACTGCGCTGTAACACTCAATCTTTTTTACAAATGTAATTCTCAAGTAAGTGAATCACTCAAGTGAGCGGATCACTCAAGTGAGCGGATCACTCAAGTTAGTGGATTACAAAATCATCATATTTCAACTCTCTAGATTTTAAATCAAAATATCTCAACATCACAACACTTAATTAAATTAAATTAATTTACACTAGATTAGAGATATTTTATTTTTGTATATCTAAAAGTATAATAAATACTGTAGTATTATAAAGCTTATTAAAATCATATAGACTTAAATAATATAGACTTATAAAGTTAAATAATTGTTTATTCAACAGATGTAGTAGATGAAATAATAAGATTCTGAGCTTTATTTCTAGTTAAATCTACTATATATTGAATTTAATATTTAGATCTATTTTACTTTTTCATTTCTATCTTATTTCATATTAAATATATAAAAATAAAATTTATTTTAACATATTAACTGATATAATTACAGTCATTTATTTTTAATTTTTAAAATATAAAAGTTTTATTTGACTGTAATACTCACTGTTAATAATAATCTTAAGAGAGCAAAATCTTATTATAAAATTAATTTTATCAAAGTTATATATATTCTTTTATAGAATTTTATACTTAGTAATTATAATTTTTAAAAATTTAAATCAAATTTAAATAATTTTTATATTTTTATATTTGATTTGATCATAATTATAGCATTTAAAATAATATATTACTAGATTTAACATTTAGTTCCTGCTAATATAGAGGAAGTGGTTATGAAGATACTGAAATTATATATAATAAGAAGATAATTAGCTGTATTTTTAATAAATATCAACTGTAAAAAAAAATTATTTAATTTGATTTAGCATTTATTATGATATTCTACTTCTATTCTTCTGCATCTTTTTATATTAGTATTTGCTCTCTATTCACCCCTCTCTAATTCACTTATAGGTCTCAATCTTTTCTATATTTTCTATTCTATACAATTGCTTCTATCATATAAAGTGATTATAGTGTGTATATATAGCAGGATATTTACTCATCTTATTAGAAGAGAATCAGATATGATTTATTCTATCTATTCAATTACTTATATTCATCAAATTGATAGCATGTTCATGTCTCTCTAAAAGGTTCAAGATCTACTGAATCAATCAAAGTTCAAAATATATATTAAATTGGTTCAAAATCTACTAAATCAGTCACTTTAAATCATAATTACTAGTCACTCTAATTCATAATTGCTAGTCTAATCACTTTATAAAAAGTGTTAGCTGTAGTATCATCCTCTGAGTCAAATCTCAATTATCTTCAAATAACTACCTTAACCACCTCACAAAATGTCAAAGATAAATACTCTCATCATTTGAATATTTTCATCATTCTGATAGCTTGTAAATTCTCAACAAGATCAGAGGATGCTGAGTTAATCAGAAAGAAGCAAGCTGCTGATGAGAACACTCACTACAGCAGTTCTCATTAATGCATGCAGATGTTCACAGAAAAGTATATAATAGCAATTGCAGAAGTGTGAAGAAATAAGAGTAGTTGATATACAGAATTACAACTGTTGATCATTCTCTATGATTGTCTCAAGATGAAGAGAGTGCTATTCTCTGTCTCTGCAAGATGATATAATGAAATGAGTGCAATAATACAGAAAACTTTAATAGCAGAATGAATAACTGTCTTCTACTGATGAATTTAAATGTTCAGAATAGAAATCATCAAGCATATCAGAGATCAGAGATTTATTACTTCTTTCTTTGCAGATTTTGATCACTCAGTTGCAAAAGATAATCACTGTAATGAGAAAGTGGTACTGAATATTATAAAGAAGCTCAAAGAGCTTAATGTATAATTGAGAAAGTGAGAGGACAGATTGACAGATCTTAATATGCAGTTAAAGAAGTGAGAGAACTAAATGACAAATCTGAAATTCCAGCTCTATATCTGCAAGTCTCTTCTCAGTGAGTGAGAGAAGGAACTAATCACTCATGAGATTTACTCAGAGTGTGTCAATGTCACCCACTCATTTGTCACAAAGCTGAGCTCAAAAAGAGTCAGTTGAGAAGTGTTGAGAGTAACAAGTCATCTGTGAGAATTGATTTTGCATATCATAGTTAATCTAGAGCATGATAGAACTGCCAGCACAGAGCATTACATATATAATATGAAGGATAATAGAATAAGATGAGATAACTGATCTACTGCTAAGAGATATGACCAATCTGCATCTCTTATGACAGACAATTAAAACAGAATCACTACCTCTTTATACAGTAAGAAGCAATTAGTGAAGCTTCAAGCAGCAGATCTTATGCTTTATAACTCAGATGAGATAGATATGACCATTTTTATATCATGATTAAAGTTCATAACAACTTTAAAAGAAGAGAGAGTAATTCTCAGAATGATTTCTCTATGTTTCAAGAAGAGAACTTTGAAGTGACACAATGAGCTATCATCTGAATGCCAGAATGAGATGGCAGTGTCACTTGCAGTAACAGTTAATAAGCTTACAGAGTGAGTTTCAGCTTTCAGAAGAGAAGATCTGAAATCAAGCTCAGAAATTATAATTCTTATTTGATAAAATAAGTGAGCTATTACTCACTATCTATATTATCTGCAAGATCACCCTTCTATGAGTGGTAGTGATTTCTAACTATAAGGGGTTGAACCCCTAGATTCGCTCTGGCTGGCTGACTCAGCCTAGTCATCGTTTGCACATGCGCACATGATCATGCTACGCAAGCTTGCTTAAGCTTGAGTTCTCATCTCATTCTTTTCTTCCCTTTCTCAAGCAATTCATCCTTGTTATATAGGAGGACTAGCCTCTAGTTCTTAGAGCTTAACCCTTTACATTATGAATTGCTTCACTCCTTTCATTGATAGGCCACTGGGAGCCTTAATTCTGTATCATGAAGCTCAGCAAATGTACTGATATATGATAGGCTATTGGGAGTCTTAAATCCTGCATCATGAAGTTCAGTGATAGCACTGGTATATGAATAGACTGGGTTAGCAATCATGCTAACAAACAAATAAGTAACATTGAAAACATCTAGCTGAATGAGATAAAGCAGCAGACTTGTACAACAAATACACAAATGAATCAACATGAAGCAATGAGCAGGGATGCCCTCAGCAGCTTTGAACAACAATGAATAGCCTTTCTTCAATAGCAGAAACAGGTTCAGTGTGAGAACAGAGATTTAATAGCAGCTCAGCAAGCTGAAATAGCTAATCTATGACAAGTTTTAAACACTCTGACATCAACCCTCTCTCAATTGAACTCACAATCACTCATTGCAGTCAGAAGACCAAAGACCAAACTACTGAACTGCAAGAAGTATGATGGTTCTAATCTGAAGCACTACTCTCAGTGGGAGATAAAGCTTCAATCAAAGCTTAAGATCAATGAAAAAGCTTTAGGCAATAATGAGGAATGTGCTTGGTATGTGTACTTGAGACTGAAAGAAATGACAGCAGCTTAAATTTATCTCTGAGTTGAGAATAATAAGAACAAGATCAACTTCACAGTAGAGAGCTTACTGAAGCAGACATGCATGCTCTTTAGTGATCCCACATGACAGAAAAAGACTATGCAAAAGCTCAACAATCTATGACAGAGTAGAAGAGCTCTCTTCAACTTTCTGCCTGAATTTAATCAGCTACTGCTGGAAGCTGGTGATCACAGATAGGATGATTGCATTAAAAAGAGATATTTGAAATCTGCTCTAAGCATGGAGCTGAGAGAAGGTATGATGGGTGTAAGAGAACTGTCTCTCTACAAGAATTACTGCAAGAAGCTTAGATTAGTTGATCATCAACTCTCTGAGCTTAAGACTCTAAGGCAGTGGTCTAAACATCATGAGAGCAGATCTTCTTCAGATCATACAACATCTAATCCACACTCTCTACTTTGTCATACTGTTCTCAATTAATGAAATCAGTCTCAAGCTTCTGCTGATGATCTGATGAATCTCTCTTCTGATGCTGTGACTTCAAGTATTCACCACATCAAATTGATAAATCAGACAGAGATTAATCAAAGAAGAGAGCAAGACCTGTGTCTGAGATGCAGAGTCAGAGATCATATGATTAAGAGCTGTCTGTTTAAATCTCCCAGACACTCTGCCACCCTCACAATAGCTAAGATGATTCCCAAGCCAGTACTAGACAATGACAATGTGGATACAAGTGAAGATTCAGGAAAAAAAGTAGCTTCAATCAAAAGACACTGGAAGAAGTGAAATAAGAAGCTTATGAAGAAGCAATGAA